ATCTGACTCGACGGATTAATTGATTCGATTGTTATCTGCTGTTTCTATTCTATGCTTCCCCCCTTCATCCCCCATCTGGCATAGTCCTTTCGGTGCCTTGGCTCGACCTGTCGGCCTGAAGGATGGGGTTCCGTTGCAGCTAAATAACGACCCTGGACCCCTCCACATTACACTGGTTTTGGCATCACACCGATTTTACCTACTTACAAGGCCCCATGGTCCTAAGATCCCCATCCCTTCCCTTCCATTGATCCCCGCAGAACCAACGAGCCTTTAGCTTCAGTCTGTACTGCCCTTTGTTTACTTGCCATATCCCTCCCCCAGCCAAACTACCCCCGCCGTTTTTCTCTCCTACCATTCGATTCGCGTGGGACTTGGGTCTAATTACCTTCGCCTCAGACTGCAGCTTCCGGAATTTGGACCACAAACCACAAATAGTAAAAAAAGGTTACTCGATCTCGTTGTACTCGAGGTCAGTCATGACCGGCATGGTTCAGACTGACCTAGCTCATCCCACGGCGCCCAAGTACAAGGACGAGCCTGTTGACGATACGGTAGGTGATGATTGCTGCTATCTTTTCTATCCCTCTTCCTGGTTGTGTCCCTTTGACATTTATGATTGTGATTTCCCCTGTTTATGCTATATCCCCTTTCTGTTGCAGTTTGCTGTATAGCTTTGCTTTCCCCGTGGACTCTCCCTGACTATGGGATGTGACTTGGACATCGTTTCATCAATGAGTCCATCGTTATTCTCGACGCGTCTTTTCACCTCCTCTTCCTCTTTTCCCCCACCATGACATCAGTCGCGTCTGTTGTCTTAGCGTCAGTCGTCGTCATGGTCTCCTAGATTGATTGCGCGGCGTGAGACTCAACCGTGCTTGAATCAAGGCTTCACCCACAAGTGGTATGATGCCGTGGCGTCATCTTTGACATCTGGAATGGACCCAGCTGCACCTGTCTCTACCCGTGTCAATCATCGCACCCGGGCCCTTGGCACCGTGGTTGGGTAGCCTCTGGTCACCAGCGCCTTTGGAAGGTCCTTGGGAGCCAAACTACCCAGAATAAAGTCTAAACCCTACGACCACCTGACTGTCAACTCGACGTTGGGATCGTTTGATGCTTGAAGCACAGTACCCCCTTTGTTTTGGTTTCAATACATGGCGACAACCGCTCAGACGTTGCCTACCTTGATAATTTGCCCTTGATATAACTTGCGCGCATCCCGCTGGGTGCGCAGATCCATGTCTGCGAGCCCAGAAGACCCTACCCGTGGATTTTCCTGCTAAATCATGTTGCATGATCCTATCAAATTAACCGCGCTGACTTGTCCCATTCAGATCCGACATTCTGGGCACCCTGGCCCACACCATCTTCAATTGCAGCATCCTCGATCAGCAACCTTACTCCCACACCAGAAGCCCAGTTCTCCACATCAGTCGACTACGACAATCCCCCCTAACCCGTACGGACCGCCACACGCAGTAGGAAACGGCGTCTTGCACAGCCAGTCTTCCTACGGACAGGCACCCCAAGACCCTTACTATACTTCTCACCAGCCGTACACTACGGCCAGTACGCCATCGCAATACCCTTCAAGCGGTAAGTAGTGTTCTTAGTGTCTCGTTTCTCATAGTGTGGACCGTTGGGTCTCTTTCCAGCGCGATTCTCCGAGACGCGGTAGCTGATTGAAGAGCCAGGCCCTCCGGAAATCATGGCGACCACCACCCAAATGCCGAGGCCGTATCCGCCCATCTACCATACCCCCCAGTCCAGCTCCCCTGCGTCAGTGGCTTCCCAGACGCATGAACAACACAATCGCAATCTCTACACGCAATCCCCTCAGATGTCATCCGGCATGTATGGATATCAGCATTATTCGACCGTGAACCCTGTACAGCCTTCGCCGTACCCGACGCACCCCTCCCCTCAGCACCCCCTGACCTCGCAGCCATTGATGATGGCCCATTCGAACGGGTCGCAGTTGCAGCATCAGTCTTCCCAGGCCCCGCCGGGCAGCATGAGCAGCCCGAGTACTGCCACAGCTCAGCAACCGACTCCGCCCCAAAGGGCTATCCTGCATCCTCCGTTATCCGCGGCGACGGGCGGACCCCTGTCTGCGGGGAGCGCGCACCATCCCAACTCAAGTGTCGGTGCCAGTTCAAGCGCCGCACCCGGTCCCATCCCGGCCACGACCCCCCTTGTCGTCCGGCAGGATAACAACGGCGTCCAGTGGATTGCCTTTGAATACTCCCGCGATCGCGTCAAGATGGAATACACCATCCGGTGCGATGTCGAATCCGTCAACGTGGACAACCTCAACCAAGAATTCAAGACAGAGAACTGTGTCTATCCTCGCGCCTGTTGCAGCAAGGACCAATACCGGGGGAACCGGTTGGTCTACGAGACCGAGTGTAACGCGGTGGGCTGGGCTCTCGCGGATCTCAACCCGGCACTGAGGGGAAAGCGTGGCCTGATCCAACGAGCAGTCGACAGCTGGAGGAACAGCAACCAAGACCCTCGCCTCCGCAGCAGGCGTGTGAGACGGATGGCGAAGATGACCCGGCGACAGGGCATGCCACAAAGCTCGTCCCACATGGCCAGCGCATCACCCGTTACCCCGAGTGTACCGGGCGTCAATCTGACGGCTGCCCCGGGTTCTCGCCCGAGCCTTGGTCCTCTGACCATGGGACCTCCGCAACTGCATCATCACCACGCCCAACCCGAAGGACATCCGAATGAGGAAGTAAGCGGTATGTTCCACCATATCTGATATATCCTGTTTTTGCTGTTTTCCAAGTGGCTTTGTTTTGTTCCTATATATTGGATTGTCTCATTTGTTGTGCCACATGACCGGTGGGAAGGACACATGGAGTGTTTGAGGGTGTTTTCTCTGCTTCTCTGGGGATTGTGGCATGGTGGATATTGTACAGGTGTATTTTTATGTGACCCGATGCGATTCCTGTCTTCTGTCTTTGTTTCTTAACCCATACCCAATTTTCTATCTTTTCTTTCTTACTATTTACCTCTTACCCTTCATCTTCCTTCCTTTCTCTTTCCCTTTTTCTTTTGCTTTCCCTTTTTTTTTCTTCTTTTTTTTTTGGCCTCAGATCTCACTGTTCATGCCTGTACCCCTTTACGCCTTCAGTTCATCACGTACCCCTTGCAGCTCATGTAGGCTAATTCTTAATTTTTGTCTATAATTTAGGTGCCGATTTGACAAATGGTGCCAATCGCCCCGCAACAATGGACAACCACGGGCCGGGTCCCTCGCCCACCGACATGCGCACCGCACAGGTGTTTCACGGCTACCCTGGATTCCCACCCTCGTCAGCGATGGCCGGAGAGGCGCGTGGCCCATCCATTCCTCCCCTCATGCGCGATTCAGGAATTGGCAGCCTGGGCCGACATCCCGCCGTGGCGACCTCGAGCAAAGCCGGTGAGATGATGAACATCGACGAGGAGGAGGACGATGACGAACGCAATCCCACCGAGGACGCCCTCTTCGGCACCCTTCCGGACGGCAGACGGCGGAAATTCATCCTCGTCGAGGACCCCCAGCGCGGCGGCCGTGTCCGCGTCAAGGTCATGCTGGACCAGGTCGACATGAATGAGATCCCCGACTCGTACCGCATGTCCAACTCGGTCTACCCGCGGTCATATTTCCCCGTGCAAATGAAGAACCCGCGTGGCCGCGGCGTCCCGGGAAAGCGCTATCTCAAGGACGACACTATGACTGACGATGATGAGACCGCGACGGTGGGCCGCATTTTGGTCCCTGCCCCGCAGCTTGACGGCGAGGGCGAGATCGCGGTGCCTCGACTGACTCGTGGGCGACACCGTCAGGACGTCATGCTTAACGACCTGGGTTACCGAATGAGCTGGAGCCAGAGCCGAGTGTTTGCTGGCCGACCGTTGTTTCTGCAGCGATCTCGTGAGTGCTTTCCCTCTCCCTTTTCTTTTTATATGGTGATCGTCTCCTTGCATATCAGTTTCTATTTATTCCTGTTTTTATATCATATCTTGTCTCTTTCTTTTGTCGTTTCTGCCTGTCCCCCTTGCATATATGCGGGTCGGAAAATTCACCCACGCAATCAACCATCGCTCCCGGACACACGGCCGGCAGCCCCTTGAATGCCATTACTAACTAATACTCGCAGTTGATGCATACCGGAACAAGATGCGCAGCACAATGCTAGGAGCCGGCCAGGAGCCGACCTCCATCCCGCGCCACTTTGAAACTCGGGCGGGGAAGCGCCGATTCCTGGAGCATAGACGACGACCAATGGCGTCCTCGGGCCGCAGCGGCATGCACTCGCTGTCTGCTGCGCAGCGCAGCGCCGAAGAAGTGGAAGCTTGAGGTGGGGGGAGTTGATCTATCATATCATTTTGGGGATAATGCATCGTTGGCTAGCCCTACGTCGTCATCCTACCCCACCTTTCTCTCTTTCTTTTTACTCTTTCTTTCTTCTTTCTTTTTTGTTCAAATTTTTCAACTTTTCTTTCAAATCTTGACCCTCGGTTTCCTCCGGGGTTAACTATTGTACTCTGGTCCGAAGACGATGATTGCGAACGAGTCCGCGATGTAAAATACCATGATGAGCTATACCACACGGCAGGACAGGGACGGTCGCTAGGGCTTCGGGATTGGAGTTGGATGGGTATCGAGGTATACTTGGGTTGAATCTCTTCTTTCTCTGGTTTATCTTTTATTTCCTTTTTTTTTTATGATTTTCTGTTGTTGTCTGTCTGTTTCCTGCTGTTTCTGGATTTCTCGTTTGTTTGAACTTTATGATTGTGATGATTACGCTGGGATTCTTGGGAACGAGGCATGAATCATGATGGGACTTGGACTTTGGATTCGGGGGACAGGACAGGATTATTGGGTTCTGGAATGGGATGACCGGATTGGAGTCCACTTGCGTTATGCTACTGCTACCTCGTCGTTTAGTATTACCTACTATATGAATTGATTTTGATTGTTTCATTTGACTGTGGCTTGATTTTGATTAACCCCGGACCCTTTCAGCTTTGTTCTGAGACATCCATCCGTATTATTCAATTATGCTGACATGGCGGAGTCATCGATTTCCCTCCAGTTACCTTAGATCGACTGAGACATGGCCAGAATGGGGAGAATGGAGTTTAGTGCCACCGCGTGCGGTTCCCAGGCGGGGACGAAAGCAGACGAAAGCGGATGAAATAGACGGGAGTCAGGAATGTCGAATGTCGAATGTCGAATGTAGAAAGGAAGTAATATATTTATAGATTGACACAATCCGATCCATCTGTCAGGACTCCGCAGTATCATGGATGAGAACGGTTGTCGTGAGAACGTTGTCCGGGCACGGGACCTCGGGAAACCCAACCACCACCAAACTAAACATCACCGCTTGCAGTCAAGCCTACTTTCATCCTAGTCCGTCTTTCGTCCAGCCGTTCTCTCGTCGCTTTCTTTCTCTCCCTTCTCTTTTTCTCTTCTCTCTCTCTCTCTCCTCGACTGGCTCTTCTATCTCTCTATCCTTTCCTCCTCCTCCCTTCTCGCCGCGATTTCATTCTTGCCATCGCGAAGAATTTAAGATCGTCGAGATCGACATCCATCCACCTAATTCAGTCCCCCGATTGACCTCTCACTTACTCTGTACGTCGTCACATACTGTCAGTGCCACTGTCCCCGTCCCTCTGCCCGTCCCTCCATCGCCGATCGGGTACGTCCTCAGATCAGATTCAGAACGGTTCAAACTGACTCGCCCGATCCAGCAGTGCCCCGAGGCCCCATCGCCCAAATCTGGGTCGCCCTCTGTGGAACCGTGGTTCGATACCTTCAGATTCAAACTCGAAAGTGCACTTCCCCTGCTGTTTCAGATAATCCAGGGTCTGGGTCCCGTCGCTTCAGATTGATTGATTAATCACCTTCCCGCTTTGCTTTCTTTTTTTTTTCTATACATATTCGTTTATACCCCCATCTCTCGTTGAGTCGATTTATTTTTTTCGTCTCTTCTCTCCTCCACCGTTCAACCTGCTACCACCGAACCGCCCGACTTTCCCCCTTCGCGAGGGGCACTCGAGATCAACAGAGGCAGCCCAACTCACGCACCAGCATGTCCGGTGGTTACCGGGCTTTCAGCTACGAACAAGGCGATGACGGTCTGGGAGGAGCCGATCGGGGGCAATATGCATCGCCGGAAACTCGACATTTGATGGGCGGACAAGACTTGTCGTCGGTACCGGAACAAGGACAGCGGAATCTCGGGCCCTCGCAGTCGATGCGCACGAATTCGACCGCGACTCCCGGCATGGATAATCTGGGCCCCGCCGCGGTAGGTGGCGGCATTGGCGGAGTCGCTTTGGGCGTCGCTAACACCCATGACCGGCAGAGTGGCATCGATGCGATGAGGGAAACGGATGGCCCGATGCACCACATGCCCGCTGAACGGGAGTACCACGCCACTGGCGCCGACAACCCCTACATCCCCATGCCCCCCGATGGTCCATACGCACACTCAGATGCCTTGCGCCCACCGCGGGAGACGTACGGGCCGCCCGCGGCGCTGGGTGCCGTGGCGGGCGCTACGGCCGCCCATTCGATCCCCGCGTCCAACCCGTCGCAGCCCAGCCTGACTGACGGCCCCTATCAAAACGTCGGCGCTTTCAACGGCGGTCCGTACCAGCGACAGTCCGCGTATAGCTCCAACGAATACCCCCTCGTCATTAACCCGGACGAGATCGTCGACGACGGCGACGACGGCTTCATCTCTCCGAATTCCAAGTCTGCCGGTTCCAAGGCGGCGGCGGTGGGGGTCGCGGGCGGCGGCGCGGCGGCGTACGATGCAGTGCCGGGCTCGGGCCTAGAGGCCGGCAACGAAAAGAGCCAGTGGATCAAGCCGAAGCCCAACGGGGGCAGTCGCAAGCGGGGCTGGATCGTGGGCATCATCCTGGCCTTCGTCATCGTCGGGGCCATCGTCGGCGGCGCGGTCGGCGGGACGCTGGGCAAGGGGCGGAAGGAGGAACCCTCCGGCATGTCCGCGTCGGATGACAAAGAGGCAAACGGCGACCTGGGCAAGGACTCGGACGAGATCCGCGAGCTGATGGACATGCCGGGCCTCGCCAAGGTGTTCCCGGGTATGGACTATACGCCGTGGGGGGTGCAGTACCCGCTGTGCGAGAAGTACCCGCCATCGCAGAACAACGTCACGCGCGACATCGCCGTGCTCTCGCAGCTGACCAACACGGTCCGCCTCTACGGCACCGACTGCAACCAGACGGAGATGGTCCTGCACGCGATGGACCGGTTGGAACTCAAGGACATGAAGCTCTGGCTGGGGGTGTGGATCGACGACAACAACAAGACCAACGACCGGCAGATCTCGTCGCTGTACAAGATCCTCGACAACACCGACGACAAGACCATCTTCAAGGGCGTCATCGTCGGCAACGAGGCCCTGTACCGCGCCGGGCACGACATCAACGCCGCGCGCAGGAAGCTCATCGGCTACATGAACGACGTGCGGAAGCGCCTCAAGGAGGACGGGTTCGACCTACCCGTGGCCACGTCCGACCTGGGCGACAACTGGGAGGAGGACCTCGTCGAGGTGTCGGACATGGTTATGTCCAACGTGCACCCCTTCTTCGCGGGCGTCAAGGTCGACCTCGCCGCCAGCTGGACCTGGGATTTCTGGCAGAGCCACGACGTGGTCCTGACCAAGGGCACCAAGAAGAAGCAGGTCATCTCGGAAGTGGGGTGGCCCAGCGGCGGCGGCAACGACTGCGGAAAGGGGGCCAACTGCCCGGATGATACGTCGGGTTCGGTGGCTGGCATTGACCAGCTGAACCAGTTCATGTCGGATTGGGTGTGTCAGGCGATGGATAATGGGACCGATTATTTTTGGTACGTTCCCCTCTCTCCCTCTCTAGCACCACATCAACCCCATGAAGAAAGAAAGACTAACAGCATACAGGTTCGAAGCCTTCGACGAGCCCTGGAAAGTCCAATTCAACAAAGGAAAGGAACAATGGGAAGACAAATGGGGTCTGATGGACCCGGGCCGCAAACTCAAACCAGGCATCAAGATCCCGACCTGCGGCGGCAAGACCGTCGATTAGTCTTTTCTCCTTTACCCTCCTTTTACCCTCCTTTTACCCTCCTTTTACGAAGTACAGCGAAATGCTGTGGGCTTCATTCGATGCATAATATTTCATGTCAACTTCTACCTTCCTTCTTGTATGCTTGTTCGTCACGTTTCCGGAGTTGGATTGGGTTTGTTATGGTGTATTTTATGGATGTTTTTCGACATGTTTATGGGTTGTATATATTTGACTGGCGTGACTACCTAGGATTTACATACTCATCATCTATCTATTTATCTATCTATCTATCTATCTATCTATCTATTGTAACTATGTCAACGATTATGGCGTATGCCTATTATACAATGCTCTATTTTACTAGGTACACAGCGTGACAGAAGAAAAGGTTTGTAATACTACACCCCTGGTATATAATGCTATATTATAGTATACACATGGAAAGAAAGAAAGAAAGGATAAAATCAGTAATGATAAACCCCCACCCCCCAAAACGCACTCTCCTGCTCTTCAAACAGAGGTAACTTGACTCCTTGTCTAGTCCTCACCTCTCTCTTTTCATTACTATCATCACCACCATTACCATCACCATCACCATCGTGATTATCCCCTCTACCTCCATGACCAATACTCAAACTCGAATAAACATCATCATCATCACAAGAAGAAACAACAACCCCCGGCCCGCGCACCATCATATCTTTCAGATGAACCCTCTCCACCCCAGGACAGAAAAGCAGCGTGCGCGGACCGACTGCCTCGAACGCGCGCGGCGACTCCACGACTGTTATGTTGAGCGATGAGAGGAGGGCTTTGTCGAGGGTGTTGAAGACGGGGTCTTGGGCGTAGATTGGGATTGTCTTCCCTCGGGTTTCTGATGGAATGTATTGTTAGTTTATGTATCTATGGTTTGTTTGTTTGGGTAAGAGATATAGGAGGAAGAGGAGAGAAGAGAGGAGGTAAATTACCAAAACACTCGATGATCCCCACCAGCGCAGCAAGCTGATACATTGATACGCGACGACGATCGACCCATCCGCCGCGGAGGAGGCCGCTTAGGCTGCCTAGACCTATGCAGATTATTTCTGTGGGGGGTTGTGTATCGGAGTTGTCATTGCTGTTGTCGTTGTTGTCGTCGGGGTGGTTACGGTGGAAGAAGATATTCTGGATTGTAGACCGGAGCGTTTGCGCCGTCGCAGAGAGATCATATTTCTGCTTGTGGGTCGCGAATTGGGATTGCAGGATTGGGAGGGTGAGTTTTGGAGGGCTTTCGGCGGGGAGGAGTTCGTCTATCGTGTTGTTCTTGTGGGAGGTAGATGGGGAGTGGGAGGAGGAGGAGTGGGCGGTGGTGGTGATGTGTGTCCAGCCGGAGGAGGGGTCGGCGATTTGGAGACGTTTGCTGGTGGTGGGACGCTTTTTGCGGGATGTGTGTGGCATTTTCTTTCTTTGTTCTTTGCTGTTCTTTTGCTTCTTGATGTATATGTATATATGTGCGTGTGTGTATGTGTATATTGTTGGTAATTGGAGTCTTGTTGGATAGAGTGGTGATGGTGATGGTGATGTTGGAGAGAAATGAAGAAAATCGCGATTAGATTGGAGGGGCGATAAGATAGGGTCAGGTGGTGATAGTGTTATCTTATCTCTTCTTTGGCTTCATCTCTCTACTCTTCTACTCTTTTCTACTGCCTCTCTTGTTGTGCTATCTTACATTCTCTTCTTGTTTCTGTAATGGAATAAATATAATGGAATAAAATCAATCAACAATGGTTGGTAAGTCAAAATGCAAAAGGATTTCCTAAACCATGTCTACGAGGTTGATCTCTACGAGGTTGATCTCTGCTTATAGTATGTGTACGATATATCCTACAAGTACAAATATCAAGACTCAAGGATCCTAGCTACTAGGTACTACACCTACCTTAGTACCTAGATAATACTAGAGTCTACTTCCTACATCTACTCCACGCCAATCACCATGCTCATCACTTACGCGCCCAGAACTGACTACTAAATCTCCAAGGTGTGATAACTAGTTCGAGCGGGCGCTTCCATCCACGAATCACAGCCCTCACTCGCCCGTCGAGGTGATGATACCTGCATGGCTGATGTGCAATCGGCCAATCCTCACCCCATGTCCATTCCCCTCTCTCCTCTTCTCAACCCCATCCCCCTTCCTAACTGGCCCATCCCCATGTCAACACCCTCAGCACGTCCAGACCCGTCGACCAACCTGCGGGTGTGGTCACATCCCCTCTCGTACATCTTCACTCGCCCGCCACTCCACCCCGGCTAGTCCTGATGTGAGCGCCTGCTGCATGAACGGCTCCCCTACCAGCCGCCTTCCCTCAAAAAGTCTTGTCCTTCCCGTCTGTCCTCGTCGCTGCTGAAGCTTGTTTCGCGATGATCAATCTGTGCTGTGTCTGGTTGACCGCAGAGACTTGACTGGTGCGATTTGTCGACTTTGCTCGGTTCGCTGTTCCATCCCTCTCTTTCTTCCTTCCTTCCTTCCATCATGAGTCCCTTTTCCGTTCCGCACTGGGTCGCTGTCCTCCTGTTGTGTTTGGGATGGACAAACGCCCACAGTGTCATCGTCTACCCGGGCTATCGAGGGAATAATCTGCACACCAACGGCACCGTCGAGGCCGCTGACGGTCTGGGTGTCGCCTACAACACCAAGAATGACACCTACATGTACCCCTACGGCATGCAGTGGATCTATCCATGTATGAGATGATCTGCCTTCACAGCCCTTTCCAGCATACTAATCCCCCCCAGGCGGCGGCATGCCCACCTCGCAAAACCGCACCAAATGGCCCGTCGGCGGCGGTGCCATCTCCCTCCAGCCCGGCTGGTTCCAAGGTCACGCCACAGCCTTCATCTACATCAACCTAGGCATGGGCGCGACTCCTCCGAACATGAGCCACCCGATGGTCCCGCCGTTCCAGATCGTGGGGCCGACCAACGACCCCTACCCGGGCACCATCTGTCTGCCGCAGGTTCTGCTCCCCACAGGGGTGTCTCCCAAGGTGGGCGACCTTGCCACGATCCAAGTGATCGAGACTGCCAAACACGGAGCGGCTCTATATAATGTATTCCCCCTTCTCTTCTCTCCCCCTTTCGCTACTTCAAACCAAAACAATGCTAATCTGAAATGCGAATAGTGCGCCGACATCGAATTCGCCGAACCAGAAGACGTCGCAGAAGTCACCCGCGACAACTGCTTCAACTCCAGTGCCATCTCCTTCGAAAGCGTATTCACATCCACCTCGCTGAAATCAGCCGCGCAGCCGCGCAGCGCGATAACAATGCCCATGGCATACGTGATTCCGTTCGTGGTGGGCGTTGCGGCCTGGATGACGTTGTAGTTTGGTTTTTTAGCATGCATAACCTGTCATATCTCTCATATCATACCCATATAGTATTGTCTTTCCTTTTTATTACTTTATTACTTACTGTCAGCCTGACAAGTGTGACTGTTATTTATTGGCGTTACGGTAATTATCCATCACTCTATGAGTGTTGATGTGGTGTCCTTCCACCGGATACATCTACATAACAAATACGAAGTTCGAAGTTACAGGCTGGAAGTCTAATTGCCTTCTTCCGGTATCAGAGCTTGCTACTTTAGTGCTTTGTTTTGCAGGCTATAGTGACTATATACAAGAGAGCTGCTAGTATAATCAAACAAGTGTATATGTATATATTACTCGAGACCTTGGGACACTTGTAGTTTCAGGGTTATGTGATTCTTGTGATTATTACTTATAGTTTAATCTTTCCCTTCTGAGCTCTAGGCTTTAGTTAGAACTGTATACAAATTACCTACTACTCTTCTCTATGTTTATTGAATATAAGTACTTGAAATGATACCACGAGCAGCTTATACCTGCTCATTCCAACTTTGCCGCTTGAACTCCACTCCTCTTCCGTGATAAAACCTCGAGCCCACGACATAAATTGCCAGACCTATCCCCATTATAAACAGGGCTCCTTTGGCAATTTAAAGCCGTAAGCAGGAGCCCCCAGAGTCCTAATCTCAAACTTGGGAGATAGGTCCTCGTATGCCATGATAATAATTATGGTCATGATACTGATAGTAATGCTATCTAGCGGTAATGTTGTTCCATTCTGGTTGACAATTTCCATCTCTGATATTGCTCAATCCTCAACAAAATAAACGGCAATGAAGCATATTTCCAAGTGCGTTCGACCTGAAAAGAGCAGATATCTGCAAGCTATATTTGTTGAGCCAAAAAAGGAAAAAAAAAAAAAAAAAAAAAACAAAGGATTACTGAAGGAAAGAAGACAGGAATGGATCAAAGGATATGGCAACCTGTGCAGATAAAATGGCGCAAGCGTGAGCTTGGACTTGTTGAAGCTCCTAACTCGGCATATGTGAGTGACCATAAGACTTGACAGCTGAAAACAAAGCGCCCGCTGATACTCTAGACCCAGACGCTAAATCGTCAGCGTGCTATCCAGCTAGAAGCCCTAGCTCTCCTAAGCCGCTGGGGGGTTCTGCGCGTCCACTGTCGCAGCGGCGGCATCGCTGTTCTGACGGTCTCGCTTGAAGATCACATCCCAGTCCGAATTTTTGTTCTGCGTGTCCACTGTCGCAGCGGCAGCATCGCTGTCCTGACAGTCTCACTTGAAGATCACATCCCAGTCCGAATTCTTGTTCTGCGTGTCCACTGTCGCAGCGGTATCGTGGTTTGCGTGGTTTGCGTGATTTGCGTTTACAGACCTCGCTTCCTGTTTTTCCGTGGTCAAGAACAGATCCAAATCACGGTGTCCAAGGTTCAGCCATATAGAAAAGTCTAAAAACTTACACTGTCAAGCGGCATGGATAGACACACTGCGAGCAGGAAAAACACGGTGGATATGATCAATCGCATGGTTGACAGCGTGATATAAAGGAGACGGTGTGGGGATTGTGTTGGTTGACTTGGGGTCTCGGATTGCTTGAAGAGAGATTGGATGTGATTGTGGTGGAAATTGATTGATCTTAGATTCGCTGAGTGGGAGATATATCCCCTCCTTTATATCTCACTAACCGGCATAGAATTGACCGCCTATGTGATAGATACAGGATTTGCTTCGTTGCTCTGTTGCATCTTATCAAATCACGCAATAGATATTCAGATCAGATACAGAGATGCATATCTGGCGCACGGCATAGAATAGGTATGTGGTTGATGGAACAATTCCATTAGTGTATGTACGACTTCTCCCAAACATGGAACCTGGCTAGGGATTATCCAGTCTAGTTGCAATAAATGAACACCCTTTGGTTAACTTGACGCCTTGCTTGAGAAGATTGATGTAACAACAAAAGAAAAGTATCGATCAGATCCTTGTGAGAGTCTGCCCTGGAACCTACTATACTGCTCTGACCGTACCACGTCTGTGGGGAAACAGCGATAGGTAGACACAAGAAGTCGGTGTGTTGTGACACCAGACTAAATGGTTGTACGCAGGGATATTCTATGTAAGAATATCTGTTGGGGATACCAGTCAGATGAAGCCCTATACCAAGTGCCATCAGCATCGTGACGTAGTGACTGCAGCCTATATGCATGGGAAGCCTTTAGGAGCATGATAGGGGCAAGTACGGGGTATGCATATACCACTTGGGAACAACGCTTTGGCTCAACACAAATTCAACTTCAAGTTCCATTGCAGCATCACATCTGGCGCTGATGGGATAGTTCCCAGCGTCCCAGGACACCCAACACTTAACAAAGAACTACAATGCGTCGGACATACATGAGGTAAGGAGGGATAATCGAAACTTTTTTGGTGATGATTCTACACACCGCTAATAGCCCTGTGATCAGTTTATATCCTGGAACCTGAAAGTACAATCCCTCTCGCATGTCACTAGACACCGCCAGGGATACACTCGAACACATCTGGTTCCGGCCGTGATATCTCTGGTACAATGGACACAAGCGTTTACGAGAGGCTTGGAGGAAGTTCTGGGGAGTACTCGGCCGCAGAGTGTGAATGACTTGTTCAATGAACGATCTCCTCGAAACCCACGTCCCTGGAGCGAAAGCAACGGCGAATCATCATTGTTCAATGGGCACTAGTTGGCATGGTTGTATTGGCAGTCGTGGCAACCTGGGTTAGCACCCATGGGCCTGTGTCAGACCAAGTCTATTGTGAGACCCCCCTCTTCAATATAGTTGCACGTGTCATGAATCGTGAGTACTGACATCGTGAGCACTGACAGGTGCTACTAGCACCTGCACAAGAAGCCCTTCGATATAAAGAAGTCGTGTTTCGAGCCTCCGTGGCCGGGGATATGACCGAGTATCAAGGGCCACCGACACTAGAACGAAACAAAGCCTGGGAGGATCTCTATAACTGTGAGATTTGAAGTTTTCTTTCTGTGCATGTTATATATTAGCACTCTTCGCAGTTGGAATCAGCAAAGTTCCCATGGCACAGGCTGCAAGAATGCCAAACAAATCATTTGCGCTCCCGGATTACCCAGGATACTATGTCGTGCAACTTGATGTCTTCCACCAGCTTCATTGTCTTGTCTATCTAACCCTTTCCTCTCGTTTTTTTTACACTACCCGCTGACAGTTATTAGAACATGGTCCGGAAGAAAACCTGGAGGGCAGAGTCCTCCGAGTATAAGATTGGTGACGACGAAGATATGATGGATATAGCTCACATCGACCACTGCGTTGATTCAATGCGGCAGAGCTTTATGTCCTCGGCTGATATTTCTACCATTGAGAGAGAGAGAGAGAGAGAGAGAGAGCTGCATTATACTTGAATATATCGCTGTTTCCGGGATCCTTCCGAGTCACTGACGGCCGAAGGGCCCTAGTAGGGCCTGTCAGCTCGCATCAGTAATGTGGTCATGGTTTTATGTCGTCTCGGGTACTTGGTATAGGGGTGATCCTCTAGATAGCGAGAGGTAGCTAGGGATTTCCAGGGATATTCCCAGTCCCCTGGGGATATTACAAGTCCTCCCCTGGTAGTATAGGTATAAATAGCTTCTCCAGAGGTGCCGGCCGCGCTCGTTTCGACCGATTCGAAGGAGGAGACGTAGAGACAAGCGGCTACGTGGTTGGTATATTTATATTTCTACCATTACCTAGACTTGGGTCGAAGAGGAGAAGGTGGCAAAGGATCATCTTGATACTCTCCATTCATGCCGAGATTTTGAGCCTATCAAGCCATAGGCACTGGAGAATTAGGCAGTCAAGTTCAACAAACATGCACATATAGTTAACCCACTGTCGGATTGAATCTTTGTTCGCATATTCTTTACCTTCCAATCAAGAATGATGCGATGCTTTGCAGAATCCTATGTTAGATAGCACATCATTTATGATATTATCTAATCTTACCATTCACTGGTATCGTTTACTGTCCAAGTGGATATGCAGCCAATTGGATAGGAAATGGCGACAACCACAGATGGCCTTTCTTGTTCATGGCATGAGAGTAGTACTACGGAGTATTGGAAAAGTCGACCGCAAGCTCGAACCTTGCGCAATTTCTATGTAGCATCGCATGAGTCACAAGATGCAACTCACTTCGAAGCTTCAAGACGTTACAGTGATGGTAATTGATATGGAATAGGGTTTGCTTGTATCGAAAGTGACCCTAGACTAATCACTCAGCTTTACCACTGGGCCCGACAATGAGCTCTACCACTCGTTGGTTTTGATTAGGGATTACTAGAGAGAATATCTCTGTAGTATTGCCATAATCGTAGGATTCAGTTCTTTGAGTCTCCAGAAGGTCTAATTAAGATATGTAATTGAGTTATTCGAAAATTATCCTAAGATAGTCTTGATCTACTGCAAGCAGAAAGCTACTCTACATATACTACAATAGTCCACCAAAGTGCCTTTCAAGTTCAACAGCTAAACGGAGTAGTATCGTATAAAATGTAAATAAAGATAATAATCATTCGCTATGCTATGTACTAGAATTCTAGCCCAGTGTCTTACTGACGATCGACCCTCGATCCGCCATATGCCTGAATCATCAAGCATCTGGCTGGACACCTGTCCAGCTGTCCAAGTGGTGGCGCAATCAGCTTGCGCCCACTTCTCAAGTGGCAGATAGACAGTTCCCTCTGTCAACTGCATGTTTTTTTCTTTCTTCCTTTCTTCTCTTTTTCTTTTTCTTGGTAAATTCAACGGGTGCAGTTCCCTGGGAGGAATATGGTGAATAAGAAATGAAAAACCAAAACACTGTACTTGCTAATCCACATGCAGAAGAGAGCGTGTGATGCGAGTAGATATGCGGGTATCAAAAATGCTGAAGGAAAACTGGAAGAAAGCTGCTACGGCCGAGGCCAAATGCCATGCATAAGTTGAGCCATTGGCGAGATAGCTCTTTTGCTTCGCCGGCTGTGGATCGGCGGCTTTCGGATGACTCTTCGGCCGCTCACCTTGATAAGAGATGACATCCCCCATCGAGCTGCCGAGTCGGTTGTGGCCCAGATAGAAGAAGGAACGGTTACAAAGGCAGGATCCGAGAGGGGTCTTGAAGAAAGCGTCTACGGTATGCGGCAATCTCCTTGGCCACAGTGTTAAAATCTTTCACCTTGTCGCGTCGCATGTCGTTGATGATTTGTTTCAAACCAGCGATGTAGTTGTCTTTTTCTTCGGATGTCTTGCCCTCTCGGAGCGATCCCATCTGAACAAGGACTTTGTCTTCTGCTCGGGTTAACATGCCTGTCTGTCAGCATCCACACAATGCACATGGCAGCAGAAAAGGCCTCGGGGAAGGGTCAAGCAGATGATGGAGATAGTGGTAATCAGGAAAGAAAATAGGCACAGGATATATCAAATGACGGGAGTGGTGCTGCGGGATATCTTGAATTTGTCGACGCACCGCTCAGAGACATGTCCCGGAAATGTTGGTATTCACAGGAGTGGTCGTTGCAGACGCCCCCTGCAGCCTCGAACGGGCAAAGACACTTCATGGGGTCGATGTTGTGGCTATACGTTAGGGACCGAAAACCCTCCGAGACCTCATCACCGTACTTGGGATGATACCGATAGGTCTTGAAGTTCTTTAGCGCACTCTGGTACGGAGAAAATTTACTTTCCGTATGTTCAGGTTGCCCCTTGTTCTAAACCACGAGTTAGCGTGGTCCTGATGGGAACCGAGGACTGTCGTACATCATCTAGAAGGCCAACCTGCGTATGGTATCTGGGGCGTTGGACTTCCAATCCCTGGTCCTTTCCAGTTAGCACATCATCAGATTTCTGCAACTGATTGTTTGGAGACCGAGACCCCTCATTGAGCTCGACGGGGCCAGGAGAGGGAGGATCAAATGGAGGAGTGTAGACAGAGCCAGCAGGGCTGTCATTTCCCTCTGGCTCTGGAGGCTCATAGGCCTCTGACACCGAGGATTCGCGAGAAGACTGGTCTCGGGAGATACTAGCGACCTGCTCAGTAGTGTCGGCGGCCGTGTCGTCTGCAGTCTGGTCGACTGCTAGCGGCGGACGTTCCGGAAGAGGATGGGGCCCTTCCGTTTTGGCCGGATGATTGCTATCCTGATCCTCACTCATTTGGTCAGGAGCAACTGACAGAGATCGGGTCCGTTGACGGGGTTCTTCGGGGTCAGGGCTGCCCGAGCTCTCGTTAGAACTGCCATTGGATTCGTCCATAGCGGATCCCGTAGATTCGGAAGAAGAAATGGGCGAAGATTCCCGATTAGGGCTTGTAGAGCCTATCGCAGTCTCTGTTTGTTCATACACAATCGGTTCAGGGCCAGTGGAGGTCAGCTGTTCCTGAACAGAAGCCATTTCGGCAGCAGACCCTGTTCCGGGACTCCTGAGTCTGTCCTGAATTGTGACTGAATCGCCGCCTAACGCATGCTCGGGAATAAAGGCTATAAATCGTGATGTAAACCATGTAAGTTTCAGATCACGCTTGCAGCCCAACACTGATCTCGACCGTTTCGAGTGTTGATAGAATTAAAAAAAAAAAAGAAAAACAAGGGTTAGCATACCTTCATCTGTTTCCTGGGCGCCGTTCTCGGCCGGCGAGCTACGTAGCTTGGCTTCAACTCCTTCAAAGGATGTTCCATGCAGTTCCAGGTCTAGTTGGTGCAGTTCCTCGAGGAGGTGCTCTCGCCCCTCCCTGCCTTTCGCTATCTCGGAGAGGATATTTGCTTCCTGTTCACGGAAATCCGCTAGTCTTGCCTCAGTCCGTTGTATTTCGGCATCTAAGGCCGGGATACCCGATTCCAATTCCTTTCTCCGCAATAGTTTGGCCCGCACGTCGTCTGGCCCGTCCACACTTCGGGGGGCAACTCCCTGAGGAAGTGACGAGGGTGAATGGTGGAGGGCCATCGAAGTCGGTATAGATTGAGCTCCGTTCTCAGCGGCGATGGATTCAGGCGATCGCGAAGCGGGGGAGTCCAAGGCGTATGGTGATTGGGTACGGCTCGCAGCGAGCTTTGCTTTGTTGCGTTTTTCAAGCTCGGCTATCCGCCGATGCATGGCTTGAATCTCAAGGTCTTTCTTGCGGAGCTGTTCCGTATCGCTATTCGACGCGTATTGGGGTGTCGCTGACGCAGACAGCCCCTGGGTCGACGACAAATCGGTCGCTGGAAACGTCCTTACCGAGTTCTCGTGGTTTCGGATCAAAGAGTCGATATCCATGGCACCCGCGTCATCATCATAGAATTCATCATCGTCGCTAATGTCAATGATGAGTCTCTCGTCTGGGGGAATATAATTGGTCCCGTTGGTGAAAGTCTTCTTGGGGACGGGAATAGGCTCGTCAAAGTCCGACGCCCGGGGACGCTTTCGTTGGGTTGCGCGGGGTTGCTGCGTTGGATCAACCGGCAGTGTCTGAACTGATGTAGGAGGAGGCTCGGGTGAAGCCTCTTCTGTGTCTGCCATAAAAAGCCCAGGTATACGAGATCCAGCGGTGGAGTCCGGATCAGGGGGGCGTTCCGGGAGAGGATGATGTATCGTCGCAGGGTTCGAAGGCGGTAGCGGCTCTTCATCGCTTGCCTGGGCAGCTGGTTCCGATGTATCTACGGAAACCGATTCCGGTTGCAACTTCTGTTGGTTCCTCATCAGGCCTTGCTTTTTGAGAAGCTCAATGCGTTGCCGTGCCAGCTCGGTCTGCGCCTTGTTCTTCTCCTTTGTACGCACTTCCTTTTCCTGGGTCGACGTCGCAAGAGAAGGGGCGGCTTTGGCGGGATCCTCCTTGGCAGAGCCTTCGCTTGATGGCTCATCCTTTGCAGTCTCGACCTGCACCGACGGTGGTGCCGCGGAAGGCCGAGCAGCTTTGGCAGCAAGCATGCGCGCAATCAACTCCTTTCTTTCCATCGGCTTGGAAGGGGCGACTTGTGAAGCAACAGGTGCTCCTGGGGTAGCATCGGACTCGATATTCTCGGATCGATGGTTCTCCAAGGGCTTTTGAGGAACGAACTTGCTGTGATCGGAGCTTATAGACGAGCGGGTGGATTCCGAGCGAACAACAGCGGCGGGTTGCGGCGTGGGTACTTTGATGCCCACCTCCTCGTATAGTTGTCTCAGAAGCGCCGGATTGATGCCTTCCCCGGCGAGCTCACCATAGCGAATATTGTGGGGCGCTAGGCTAAGAAGAGCGCCCTTTGCTTGGATGCGGAGTTGTGCTGAAGACTTGGAGTGATTAGACAGCGGTTGTGGTTCCCTTAGGGCATCGTTTTCCTTGGGACCATTTTGAGCCGACGGCGGGATCGAGTTCAATGTTCCCGAGTTTATATTCCCACCAGGGACGAACGCCTCGGTCACCGACATCGGGGGGTTATATGCTGTAAGGTGTTAGTTGCGAGGACATGCATTGTAATAATGGGGGTGTAAATACGGGATCCGCTGGCTCGGCTAGAGGAACGAGAGTCAGGTGAAGCTTCCCCTTCTTCCAGGTCCGAGTACCGTGACTTTGAACGTCGTCGTCGGGTTTGCATTTGAGGAAGACGCGTTTCCGCGCCCAGACCATTTACGGGCCCCGGCTGTTTCCCAAACGGCCTAGGGGGACTTTGGGGCCAGCCTCCTTCCCTATCGGTCAGTTCGCCCTCTTCTCGGTCAGGATCATGCTGAGCTGGCGATGTGAAGGTGGCGGGAATATCCACCATGTTCGCAGGTGTCGGGTTCGCCTGTGACTGAATGTCTCCCGTCAAAGGCCGACTCGGTGGTGCATTCATCGGGGCGTGCGGTATAGGTAGAGAGTAGTTCATGGGTGGCATATGCATCGAAGGAAGCGGAGAAGGAAACTGCGGAGGTGTAAAGGGATTCAGAAACGGGAATGGTGGTGGCGGTAATGCCCCTCCAGAACCTGGGGCTCCCAATCCTGGGAGACGCGAGTTCGCGTTGAACTGCATTTCATTATGCTCCCGAGGTTGACTGGAGCTGTCCTGTGATGGATGCGGCGCGAGCGATAGGTTCGGAGCATAAGGGAGATTCTGCGGTAAAAAAGGGGGCAATGGAGCCGATGGAAAAGGATTTGAGGGAGGCGGCCACGGGTGTGTATAATGACTGACATCGCCATACGACGGCGTCGGTGGTTGATTAGACATTGTTTGGTGAGAGATTAACGAGGTGGAAACAAGGCGAAATCAAAGGATTATAATGTCTAGATCTTCCTCTGCATGTAAGTGACTAGCTCCGTCAAGGTACAACGCGTTTAAGCACCGCACATCATCCAGCTGGTGCAGGACTCCTGAAGAGCAAATCTGCGTATGCGGATCAGCAAGGAGCAAGATCGAGACCGAGTCAGGATGCCTGCAGGGTCCAGACCTTGGGAATATAGACACTTGCGTGAAGTGAAGCCTGTCTCCGACAAGGCAAGTTAGTTGAGAAGGGAGAGGGACAAGAGGATGTTCGATGGGCAAGAGCGATCGCGATAGACAGAAAGGACAAGCGGGAGAGCCAACTCGATACAGCTTCGGAGTCGGAAAAAAAGGACGATCGAGTTTGACTGCGGGACCACGTGATGGTGCGGCCAGATCGGGACTAGTGCGTGATCGGCGCCCGCAGCCTGAGGAACGCCGGATGTAAACAAACAAGTGGGCCAAGGCAGGGCCAGCCTCTGGTCCCTCTCCACCTGGAGCTACCATCGATCACCACCTGGGTTGAGGACTGCTCCGAGATTCATACAATTCCCTTCCTCAATACTCCTGATTCAAACTCTATTGTTTTTTCTTTGATTTCCCTTTTTGTCCCGGCTCACGGAGCTTACATCGGGTGTTGACCACTGCTTCATCTATAGAGCTTCACCTGACTGCGACCGACCTTGGTTACTCCTCACCTCCCATAATCTCACATTCCTGCGTGAATGATGCCCCATTGAAGTGACGACGAGATGCTACCTTCCCAGTTGAATGGCTCCCCCAGGCGTGCCAATCCGTTTGGTCGCTCATCCCCATCCTCATCCCCAGCAACACAAGGGAAAGCTCCTCGCCCAAAGTCGGCGATTGTGACGTCGGGAAAGTTCGAAGAAGCCAAGGGACATTTCCGCAACTTATCTTCGATATCTCCGTCGTCACCGGCACCAGTGGCAGGGAATGTGAATCGACAGAGGGCGAACTCACTCAGAGGCGATGCTGCGTCTGGAACGTTTGCGCCAGAGTTCATTAAGTCAGAGGAGCTCCGTCGGGGAGCCGATCAGATCCGGGGACTGGAGGGTGATAATGACTTCTCTGGCAACAAATACGTCTGGCTACGGCACCCCGAGAAGGCATTCATACGTGGCCTGGTGGTAGAAGAGAGAGAGGATGGTCGGTTGGTGGTACAAAGCGATGACGGCGAGGTACGAATCCCGAAGTCGCTGGAGAATAGTCCACACATTGTTGACCGGTTGACAGCAGCGTGAAGTCGACGCCGACCAGGTTGACAAGGTCAATCCGGCCAAGTTTGATAAGGCGGATGACATGGCGGAGCTTACGCACCTGAATGAGGCTTCCGTGGTACATAACCTGCACAGTCGGTACCAGTCCGATTTGATATACGTGAGTTTCTCCATTCGAATCCGGGCGCTGCAGGGGGTTGCGTGATCAGACGAGCTAACACCTTTGCACATTAGACATACTCCGGTCTTTTCCTTGTAACGATAAACCCATACTGCCCGTTGCCCATCTACTCGAACGAATACGTGAAGATGTACAAGGGTCGGAGTCGAGACGAAAGCCGACCTCATGTCTTTGCTATGGCCGACGAAGCGTTCCGGAACCTGGTCGAGGAGGGACAAAACCAAAGCATCCTGGTTACGGGAGAATCGGGAGCGGGCAAAACGGAGAATACAAAGAAGGTCATCCAATATCTGGCCGCCGTTGCCACCTCGGACACCCCATATGCTCGTTCTGGAAATAGACAGCTGGCCGCCCTGTCACAGCAGATACTGAGGGCCAACCCGATCCTCGAAGCGTTCGGTAACGCCCAGACCGTCCGAAACAACAACTCTTCACGTTTCGGAAAATTCATTCGGATTGAATTTTCCCGGTCGGGGCAGATCTCGGGCGCCTCGATCGAGTGGTATCTGCTGGAAAAATCCCGTGTTGTGAAACCCAACGCGCACGAGAGGAATTACCACGTGTTCTACCAGTTGTTGCGCGGAGCGGACGCAGCCCTAAGGGAAAAGTTGCTGCTTTCGGACCTCCATATTGAGGACTTCGCCTATACCAAGGACGGCAACGACACCATCGTTGGTATATCAGATGCAGAGGAATGGAACTCCCTGATTGAGGCATTCCATGTCATGAACTTTTCGGAGGGTGATCAGATGAGCATCCTCCGCACCATCGCCGCGGTCCTACACCTAGGGAACGTTACCGTCGTCAAGGAGAGCATCCGAGCAGATCAAGCTGCTTTGGGTGCCGACTCGCTGAACAGTATAGACAGGGCTTGTGAGTTGCTGGGTATTGACCCCGAGCCTTTCGTGAAGGGGCTACTGCACCCAAGGGTCAAGGCAGGCCGGGAGTGGGTGGAAAAAGTCCAAACGCCAGAGCAAGTTCGACTGGCCCTTGATGCCTTGGCTAAAGGTATCTATGAGCGTGGCTTTGGGGACCTTGTAACTCGCATCAACAGCCGGCTTGATCGAAATGCTATGGCTGGCGAAGACACTTATTTCATCGGTGTTCTTGATATCGCCGGTTTCGAGATCTTCCAAAATAACAGCTTCGAGCAGCTTTGCATCAACTATACAAATGAAAAGCTCCAACAATTTTTCAACCATCACATGTTCGTCTTGGAACAGGAAGAATATGCACGGGAGCAGATTGAGTGGCAGTTCATCGATTTTGGAAAAGACCTCCAGCCCACAATCGACCTGATCGAGCTGACCAACCCTATTGGTATCTTCTCCTGTTTGGATGAGGACTGTGTGATGCCTAAAGCCACGGACAAGTCCTTTACAGAAAAGCTGCACTCGCTGTGGGACAGGAAATCCCCCAAATACCGTTCGTCTCGATTGAGCCAAGGCTTCGTGCTTACCCACTATGCTTCGGAGGTGGAGTATTCTACAGAGCACTGGCTGGAGAAGAACAAGGATCCTCTGAACGACAACATCTCCCGACTTCTCGCAGCTTCGTCCGAGCAGCATGTTGCCAACCTGTTCTCAGACTGTGGTGATATGGACGAAGAGGGGGATTATCCTAAAAGCCGGGTGAAGAAGGGCTTGTTCAGGACAGTTGCGCAGAGGCACAAGGAGCAGCTATCGACCCTGATGAATCAATTAAACTCCACCCATCCTCACTTCGTTCGCTGCATTATACCAAACCACAAAAAGCGCCCCAAGATGTTGAATGCGCCCCTTGTTCTAGACCAACTGCGATGCAACGGTGTACTGGAGGGCATCAGAATCGCCCGTACAGGGTTCCCCAATCGCCTCTCCTTTGCCGAGTTTCGCCAACGATATGAGGTCCTGTGCCGAAAGATGTCGAGAGGCTATATGGATGGACAAAGCGTTGCCAAAACGATGCTTGACCAACTTGGCCTGGATAGTACCTGGTACAGGGTTGGCCGAACGAAGGTGTTCTTCCGGGCCGGAGTACTCGCAGAACTGGAAGAGAAACGCGACCAACTGATACGCTCGATCATGACTCGCTTCCAGTCTCTTGCCCGAGGATTTGTGCAGCGACGGATCTCCAACAAACGCCTATACCGAGCCGAAGCTACCCGCATCATCCAGCAAAATTTCAGAGCGGTTGCTGAGTTGAGGTCGAGTCCTTGGTGGCGGCTATTTTCCAGAATGAAGCCACTACTGGGAGAGACACGGACCGCCAATGAGGTCAAGAGACGGGATGAAAAGATCCAGCAACTCGAAGTCAAAATGAGACAAGACGTATCTGATCGTCAGAAGTTGGACGAAGAACGGCGTCGAACGGAGTTGGAGATGCAAAAGATTCAGCACACCCTGGAAAGTGAGCGTGCCTTAGCCCTTGACAAGGAAGAAATCTTCAAACGGCTTCAAGTCCGGGAGGTCGAGCTTTCTGAGAAGCTGGCTGGGGCGATTGCGGATCAAGAGAACCTTGAGGACCAGTTGGATGAGCTTATCGAGGCAAAGAAGCGGGTGGATGACGAACTGGAGCATCGCATAACGCAGCTTGAACAAGCAGGCGACATCATTCAGCGCCTCGAATCTGACAAAAATCAGACGCAATCCCAACTCGAGGACATTGACCGCAGGATCAAAGACGCCGACAGTTCTTCCTCCGAAAAAGACGAACGCATTAAAGATTTGGGCCAGGAATTGAAAATGCTCCAGAGTCACCTCAGCCTGAAGGAACGTAAACTTCAGGATCTGGAATCCAAACTGCTCAAGACGGACCAAGACCTTGATATCAAACTCGCCAAAACCTCCAAAGAGCTCGATCAGTCCAAGAAGCAGGTTAAGGAGCTCGTTGAGGAAAACCGTGGGATCCGCCAACAGATCTCAGATATCTCCTCTACATCTGCTGGATACGAGGAGATGCTCAGGAGGAAGGAAAGCGAAATGGCTGTTCTGCGCAACGACTTTAAGAGACACGAAGACGAAAAGAAGTATTTGGAATCAGAGAAAGCTTCTCTATCGACTCGTCACGACAATATGCAGAAACGCTTGCGAGAGGTCCAAGCCGAGGCTGATGCCATGAGGTCCGGCAAAGCCCAGTTGGAACGCGAACTCTCTGACGTGAAGAAATTACTCGAGGAGAAGCTCTCTGAAGATGCCGAAGCCGGAGAGAGTCGGAAACTTCTCGAGCACCAAGTCCGCGACCTGAAGAGCCAACTGTTCCAAGCACAGGCAGATCTCAGCCGAGAGCGACAATCCAGAGACGACGTGCAGATGCTTGCGGAGCATAATCTTTCTGAGTTACGTGACAAGTACTCGTCGTTGAACGAGTCCAAAATTATCATCGAGAAGGAGATGTACATCCAACAAGACACGCTCCGCCGCGCAACCGAAGGCCGTCAAGCTGCTGAGAATTCGCGCAGGGATCTCCAAGCCGAGTTGGTCAAACTCCGCGATAGATTCACTACTGTTGAGAACGCTCGCGTGAATGCCGAGGCTGAGATCGAGCGCAGCATGGTGAAGCAATCTAACCAGCGTCTCGAGAGTGTCAGAAAGGATTTGGAGCAAAAGACGGGTTTGTTGGACGAGATTGAACGAGAAAGGTCCCGTCTTACGACCAAAGTCCAGGAGCTTACAAACGCCATCGCAGAGTCTGACAACTTCCGGATTCGACATGACCAGCAGAAAGAGCGCATGGAGAGAGAGCTGGTTACCCTGAGAGGGAGACTTACTGCCTCTGAGAATGACAACAAGTCTCTAATGACAAAGATCCAACAGAAGAATTTGGATATCGCCAGGTCGAGCTCCAGGGCCAGCGACAACCAACGCCACCGTGTCACGATGCTCCAGAAGGAGAAGTCCAAACTTGAAGAGGACAACAAAAACCTTGGACGCCAGCTGGGAGATCTCCAGCTCTCGATCACGTCACTCGAAAAACAAAAGGAGAAGCTATCGTTGACCCTCGAAGATTTGAATCACGAGGTCACGAGAGAGCACAAGGCTAGCCGCAATGCCGAAAAGGCCGCTTCTACTGCTGGCATCCAGCTGGCAGAGGCGAATAGAAACCTGGAAACAGAGAGACAACTGCGCAACCAAGCGCAGGCCAACACCAGAAAACTGCAGGGCTCTGTGGATACGGCGAACAAGGAAATCGACGGCTTGCGTCGTCAACTGATACTTCTTCACAAGGTTGTTGAACCCGATTCTGACCGGTCCAATGACTCTTGGGAGGCTATCAAACCGGACTTGACCAAGAAGGTGGATATGGCCCAACTGGTTGATACACTGCAAAGTAAGCTGCAAGTGACCGAAGAGAAGTACAGCCGAGCAGAGGGCCAGCTTGGCGAAATGCGGCGGCGCCACGGCGACGAGATGAAGGAGCTTGATACTCGTTACTCTTCTTCCAAACGTGCGCTGCTGGAGGAGATCGACCATAATCAAGTGGCAAGCAACCGCACACCAACTCACCTGCGCAAGGATTCGGAGAATAGCGCGGTCAAGAAGTTCGGGACTCCAACAACGCCTAGCCGAAGATTCAATTACAATGAGACGGCAAATGACTCGGCCCGCTCTGATCGAACGGTAGATACTGTTGGCTACCAGAGGCGCATGGACTTGGCTGGCGAGATGGAAGAGTTGCAAAACAAGTTGCAAATGGCTGAGATGCAGAACAAGCACCTTGAAAGTCAATTGCAGCAATCAACGCCGAATCGGGGCTCTTGGGAGGACGAGAGTCCATCTATTCGCCGCATGCAACTCCTCGAGCGGGCGAATGGTCGTTTGCACGAGCAGCTCGATGACTCTGCCAAGAAGGTCTCGGCGCTCGAGCGAAGCATTCATTCTGGAGAATTGTCGTTACGTGATGTTCAGGCTAGATCCCACGAAGAGCTCTACGATCTCATCAACTCCCAAGAGAACGCCAGGCGATCGCTACTCGTGGTCCACAACGAGGCTGTTTCCGAATTCTCGGAAGCGAAGAGCCAGTTTGAGAAACTGAAACGGGCCAAGGCATCTCTCGAGGTCGATCTGCGAGATGCGCGCTCGGAAACAGAAGAGCTCCGGGAGGCCAAGGAACAAGACTCCGTCAGCCGAGGCCAACTTCTCCAAGAGTTCTCTGATCTGCAGATTCGCCTGGATGCAGAATCCTCCAAGTCTGCCGACCTTGCATCCAGCTTGAGTTTGTACAAGACTCGTGCGGATGAGTACTTCAACAAACTTGAGCAGGCTGAGATCACCGTCCTCAAGGCTAAGCGTGCGGAGCAATTCGCCAAGTCGAAATCCCAGGAGGTAGAGGAGACATGCGCTCAGATCATGTCCGAGCGCAAGGAGATGGACTCTTTAGTTGCGGATCTGGAACGCCAGACGCAGTCTCTAGAAGCAAGGATGGAAGATCAAGGTGCTGAACTGCAAGCGGCGCTGCAGTCCAAACAACGCCTCCAGAACGAGCTCGAGGATTACAGAAACCAACGCGCAATCGACATCGAGGACAAGGAGACTTTGATGGAGCAGACGAGGCAGAAGTACCAGAGGGAATTCCTGGCCCTCAATAACGAGCTCGAGATGGAGCGCGAGAAGGTACTGAGTGTCCGTGGGGAGAGCTCGCGTCTGCGGGAAGAGCTCGATGAACTCCGCAGCAAGTGGGACAACGAAGTCCTGAATAGCTCGACGTGGGCGAAGGAGAAGGCCCGCATGGACATGATGCTTCATGATGTCACGACGTCTCGGGACGAGGCAGCCAATGCTCACAATGAAGCTCAGAGCCGAGTTGTGAACCTTCTATCGCAAGTGAGAAGCCTGAGAACCTCGGTCGAAGATGTAACGGCCGAAAGAGATATGCTGTTCAAGGAGAAGAAGATGCTGGAGACGCGACTCACCGAGGCTGGCGAAAGACTCGAGGACCTTGCCAAGGGAGAGAGCCCTTCCATGCGTAACGCCGCCAGTATGGATCGCGCACTGCTGGAGCTGAAATCCAAGCTCGCCCACCAGGAGGATCTGTCCTCTGCCGCTGTTGACAAAATGCGACGCGCCGAGGCACTCGCCATCGAGATGCAGAAGGAGGTTACAGCCGAAAGGGAGGCTACTACCCAGCTGTTCAAAGACAAGGCTTCCCTGGAGAAGCAGTTGAAGGAGACCCAGCTCAGATGCGTCGACTTGGAGACCAAGAGTTACTCGTCGGGTAGTCAGGATATCCGGTTCCTGCACAAGCGGATCAAGGAGGTAAGCCATGATAAATAGTGGGCATATGGATGATTGAGAACAAGAACACTGACATGTCTATTCACAGCTTGAAAACCTTCTTGATGACCAAGAAACCAAGCACAGCACCGAGCAACGATCTTCCCGCAACGTTGACCGCACTGTGAAGGACCTTCAGTCTCAAATCGACCGACGCGACAAAATGAATTCCCAGCTCGAAGACGACGTCAACAAGGCCCGTGACCGCATCGAGCGGCTGCTCCAGGACATCGAAAAGCTGGAGCACGGCGGAGCTGACACCATGATCCAAATCCGACGGACCGAACGAGAGCTGCGTGAGGAGAAAGAAAAATCGCTACGACTGGAGCGCGAGCTAGAAGGGTGGAAAGGGCTCCGCATGGAACGTCGGAGCCACTTCAGTGAAACCGGGAGCCGGAGGGGGAGCGGTGCATTCCCCGCCGCAGATTTACAGCGGATGCCCAGCAACACCAAAGGCTTCCTGTGAAGACTACTTTTATGAAGAACATGACCTGTGGGGTTTCTGAGCCTTGAAACCAACCTTGTTGATATACACCTGAGTGCCTCAATGTCAGGGCTCCTACGACGAGTACGATATAATGGGCAGTGGACATGACTACGGAGCATGGATGGAAGATGCCGTTGATTTCGCCCCCTTTCTTTTTGTTTTATGTGTATACGCATTCGAGATGCCTTTCATGATCTGCATTGATGTTTGTCGAGTTATCCATACATTTTGATGGTGACTTTCGCGGAATCGGTTTACGTGTTAGATATTGGCTTAAGTTAGGAATTATAATAGTAATTCTGCCACTCTGGTTTGTCCAGGTCTTTTCTCTCTAGCTTTTATATCAGACGTAAAATGGGCTGTCGATACAGTTATGCAGTGACATAATTATATAATCTGCCATGGTTGTAGCCGCGCGGCTCCGGTTGACGCTCGCTTGGACCGGCCGACTTTTGAACCCACCCGAGCTTCACGTCAACCAGCCTTGGGAGTTGGTTGTTGACCCATGACCCTTGCTTCCTGCTTCCCCATCTCCTCCATCTCCTGGTGAAATTCTTTTCGCGCTCTTCGTCACCATGGTAAGTAGACCTCTTTACGAGATCCCCCGCCTCTTCCAGCATGCCCCGACGACCCCGCCGGATTCGAGAGATATCCCTCGCCGAAGTCCAGACCCGTAAACTAACAACAATCTTTCCACAATGACAGGCGCGAAACAGTGAAAAGGCGCAGTCGATGCTGTTCCGGTTCCGGGCCCAGCAGGCCGCGGATCTCGGCATCATCGACATCGGACGCACGCGCCGCCCCAAGGCCATCACGTCGGTGGACTCGATCCCGAACTGCGAAAAATGGCGCGGCCAGGTCCTGAAGGAGATCTCGCGCAAGGTGTCCCGCATCCAGGAGTCCAGTCTCAGCGACTACCAGATCCGCGACCTGAACGACGAGATCAACAAGCTGATGCGCGAGAAGTGGGCCTGGGAGATGCAGATTCGGAACCTGGGCGGGCCCAACTACATGCGTGGCACGGGGAGGGTGTACGATGATGAAGGGCGCGAGATACCCGGCGGCGGCAAGGGGTATCGATATTTTGGACGCGCGAGGGAGTTACCCGGTGTTAAGGAGATGTTTGAGGCGGCTGCTCGACGGGGTCGCGGGCCGGCGGAGGAGGAGGGCGAGGACCGTGGTCGTGGGGGCGAGATCGCCACGAGGAAGGTCGATGCGAATTATTTTGGGTATGGACTGGATGAGGAGGATGGAACGCTGTTGGCGTATGAGAAGCAGAAAGAGAAGGAGGCGAATGAACGTCTGCGCGCGCAGGCAGACGACGATGCTGAGGATGGGTGGCAGCCGTTGCCTGGCGATGCTGGGGACGGGACCGAATGGCGACTGCCGACTCTCGATGAGGTGCAGGAAGAGCTGGTGGACCGTCGGAGGAGACGACTGCTGGATAAGATCACTTGAGAGATGAGCGGTGATAATGTGTCCGTCCATGGATTGGCGTGCTAGGCGTCTGTTTGCTTCCTTTCGTCTTTTCTCTCCGCTTTATGCGGCCACACTTGTCGGGCGTTCTGGATCTGTTTTGTCTTTTACTGCGATTCCTCTCATGGTTCACTCTGCCCTTTTCCCGTGCTTCTCGGTTTTGTATCTTATGCATTTGAAGGAAAGCACAAAAGCCCTTGATGATACCAACGTGACTCGACCATTTTTTCTAATTTTCTTTTCTACTGTTTTGGAGACCATTCCTGCTTTATTCTAGCCTCGCAAAACCTGACGTGTGCTGCATCTTTCCAACTTATTTTCCCCTTCCACTATTTACTGTTCATTATCAGACGTCATCGATGGATCCAACCCGGGCAGGGGCCATGCCACACAAACCAACTGTCCATCTATCACCGTCGACAGGAAGTGATTATCATTCCTTCCGATAATTATGGGCAGAATATGGCAATGGAGTTGTTGTGAGGCATATATGCGGTTTGTGCTGGGCGTTTTACGTCATGCAGGGTGATTACGGCAGTTTGACTGTTGCCCCTCAGTTTAACTTTACCTCCCAACGTTCTGCAGATTCTCCCTTGACGAGCCCACTCCTTCAGTGGATCCATGCCTTGAATTATGTCCCTTATATCGGCTTTTCGACCCCGCTCGACGCGGGTTGTTACTTCCCTGCAGGACCGGTCCTCTGCAAGAAATCGCAAAGACCCGAAACAAGGCGCTAATCTAGGGATTGAGCCGATGCACGCAGAGGACGGAGACAGCGATGCACACTCCATTATAACACCCTCCAAACACACTCCGAAGGCATTGCGTGTATTGCGAGGCTCCGTGGCAGCCGGTGGTCCTCTTCGTCCTTTTCGCCTGGTCAAACAAGACATCGTCAACTTACGCCGGCGATGGCTGTCCGACTGGGCCGTGTTCAACCAATTGATCTTCGCAAGCGCCGTATATGTCTTCTTTACCAACCTCCTACCGGGAATCACCTTCGCAAGCGACCTCTATGTCTTAACCGGCAAGAGCTGGGGGACGATTGAGGTGGTCTTCAGCACCGGATTGTGTGGAGTCATTTTCTCACTGTATGTCTGACTGACCGACAAAGTGTCTCGGCGTCAATGTTCATGCTGTGCAATAGGTTTTCGGTCCAGCCATTGAATATACTCGGCGTGACGGGACCGTTTTCGGTCCTTGCAGAGAACATCTATGCTCTGTGTGATGATGTGTTCATGGTATACAACCCTTTATCTGTGTTGAACCACGACGATCAGCTCGGTTGACAACCCTGGCAGGTTCCATTTTTGCCATTCATGGCCTGGTCTCTTATCCATGCCGGTTGGCTTCATTATATATTGGCCATCGTCAACGCCCACGACTGGACTATGCGCTATGTGACGACATTCGCTACCGAGATCTTTTCTCTCCTTAACAGCATAATATATTTCCACAAGGCGATCCAAGAGCTCGAGAGAGCACATGATTCCCTCTCATTCGCAGCGTTCCTGTACGCAGTCATAGGCGCCGTCGGGACGATGCTTCTAGCGATCTTCTTATCGACCGCGGAGAGCTGGCGGCCGCTGTTCCATCGGTATATCCGAATGGCGCTCACGGAGTATGCGGCAGCCATATCAATCATTATATTTATAGCTCTGCCACACGCAGGTGAACTAGCGAACCTAGACAAGATGAACCTCCCCGTCAGCACCTCCTTCAAACCGACGTCTCCAGACCGCGACAAGTTTTTTGTTGAATTCTGGAAACTGCCCGTCGGGTGGATCTTCGCTGCCATCATTCCAGGGCTCATCATCACAGTCTTGTTCTTCTTTGACCACGAGGTCAGCTCAATTATCTGCACCATCGACCGGTACGGAACCCGCAAGCCCGGCGGGTTTGCATGGGATATCGTTCTCTTGGGCACGACGACCGCGCTGTGCGGGATCTTGGGGATCCCCCCCGCCAACGGGCTCCTGCCCCAAGCACCCTTACACTCGGAGTCTCTGATGCATACCGAAAAAGAACAACGCACTGAAACGGTGGACGGGGAAGAGAAGGTCGTGACGCACGAAGTTAAGCGCGTCTACGAGCAGCGATGGTCGGCCTTCCTTCACGCAGGCGCGATCCTCCTCTTCGTCAGTCCGCCGTTCATGACTGTCCTCGGCCTGACTCCAACCAGTGTCCTCGCTGGACTGTTCATGTTTATGGGCGAGCAGAGCCTATCCGTCAAGTAGGTCCCAACAACCGCCCTTATTCAGACTTTCACATCCCAAAAGAAAGAAAGGCAACAAACGCGATAAACATACTAACTAACGTCCCAGCCCAATCCTCTACCGAACCTTCTACCTCCTCACACCACCCTCCGAACTCCCCCCTTACCAGCAACCCTCTCCAAGAAACCAAACCACCCACCATCCTACCTCCCTATCCACCTCTACACCATCCTCCAAGTAATAACAACAGTCATCATTTTCATCGTGACCCTAACGCGCGGCGCGCCCGCTTTCCCAATCATAATCATAGCTCTAGTCCCCTTCCGCCTACTAGTCATGAAGCGGTGGTGGCCGCGCGAGGTCCTCCGTTTCGTGGACGCCTGGGCCTGCCGCGAGGGCACACCCGAAGACGACGAGGACGCCCTAGCCAAGCGCGATGAAGTATGGGGCGATACGGTGCCTTCTTCTCCTTCTCCCGCTGCTTCTTCGGGGGTGCACGATGTTCCTCGCGCTGGGGAACCACTACCTGCAGGCTCGGAGCGTAATCTGCGTTCTTCCGCGGGGAGTAGTAGTTTTGGTGGTCCGTCTCGGGGAAGTGGCCAGGAGTGGGTGGAGCTTGATTTTCGGACGCAGACTGATGAGGAATTAGGTAGGGCGATGGATGATCGGTAGAAGTTTATCTGGTTACTTTAGTTGGGGTTCGGCGTGTGTTGTCATGTCGTTAAGGGGGGGGGGGGGGGCTAGGTCTGGACGGTGTGCTCTATACAGAGATCAGAAAAGAAGAATAGATGGATAGAACGATAGAACGAATAAAACGGAGAGCGTGTTTCTCGCGCTGGTATTTAATCTCGTTGGTTATTAAATTAGTGGCACTAATGCTTAATTGTAACGCAAGACGGGGGTATATAATGAATATATATTGTCCATCCCTTCAGTGCGGGCGAAGATTCAATTGCGCCGACCGCCTCTAGATCCGCCCCAATAGATTTCCCAGAACATAATGAATACAGAGCAAGACGCCTTTTAGATTCCGCTAACAAATTCGTATTTCGTAATATTAAGATATCAGGATGTGACGATCAATCCGGGTTATTTAAGCCCGCCATCTCTGCACAAATTCGTGCAGGTGGTCAATAACCACGCCGAAGATGGCATTGACGCTGTCCCCGATCAACTGCTCAAAATGGCGGATAGCCTCTTCTTCGGTCATCTCGAGGTGGAAGCGCTCCTTGACCTTGAAGACGGCCTTGTCAGGCTCGACGCGGATGTCCGGGATGTTGGCGTCGACCATCAGGCTGAACAGGTTGAGGATGAGGTTGGCGGACTTGCGCAGCGTGATGTACGCCGTGAAGCAGTACTGCTTAAACTGGAGGTACAGCGGAGAGGCGGTTCCGCCCATGCCCTCGACCATTTCCTTGCAGAGTTTCATCATGGGCGCGAAAGGCTTCGGATCACGGCCGAGGATGAAGCCGAAGTCGGCGTGGAAGAAGTGTCCGTCGGGTGCGATGAGCAGGTTCTCGAGGTGGCGGTCACCGACGCCGAGGAGGTACGTGATTACGCAGTAGCCGGCGCAGGACTTGATGTATGTGTCCATTGTTTCTTTGCGGACGCCCATAGGTTCGCTGTCGTCGGGGTTGTTGGCTTGGAGGTAGGCGAGGACGGATTTGTACTTGGCGGAGACGGCGGAGAGAGACGTCGAGGGGATGAACTGGACCGCGCCTGCGGTGGCGTTTGTGGCGAGGATTCGATAGGGGGTGAGTTTGAGGTCGAGGTTTTCGTTCTGTAGCAGGCGATCCATTAGGATGATGATCTGGACCACAAGCTGGTCCTGGCGCAGGTCGTCGCCGACCTTGAAGAGGATCGGGTACTTGTTGCCGTCGGAGGTCTTGAAGGTGAGGAGAAGAGGGGATAGCGTGGATTTGAAGACGTTGGACTCGTCCGGGTAGCAGCCTGTGACCATCACCTCCGGGTCTAACGGGAGTGGTAGGGGTGGGTCGATGTGAACGATTTCATTTTTCGGGTCTTTCAGGAACTTCTTCAGCTTTTCGATCTTGAGCGGCCGGCTATCTCGCGAAAAGCGGAGATCTTTGGCGATCCTGGACAGGACTGCCACCATTTCCCCTTGGCGTAGTAAGGTCTTCCGGTTTTCCGGGTTGAGTTTCTCCATCTCGACCATGAAGTAGTACTCCACTTGGGCAAACAGCCGGCGCTGTGCGGATCCCGGGCCCGCGTCATCGCATTCGACCATGAGGTACCAATGTAAGTAGCTGCCCAGCTGGAGGTTGTTCGCCGCCCGGGTGATGAGGAAGTTGGCCAGTGAAGAATCGTGTGCCACATCTTCGGCGTCGGCGTTGGGACTGTCCTCGTACTTGAGCGCCTGAACGAGCTGTAGGAGATAGAGAAGGAGTTCATCGTCATCTGCCTTCCTTAGCCGTTCGACGGCGTAAGTGCGGACCGCCGGGTTATCGAACGTCGGCCCAAGGAGCTCCAAAGCATCGTCGACGTCAATCTCGGTCCATTTGGGAAGGATCTCAACTGCCTGCAGGGATTCGCCCGCGTCCCGCCAATTGACGGACTTGACGAATTTGGTGAGAGCCCTTTTCTCACGCGTCAGGTAATAGCGGAATCTCCAAACCAGGTCCTTCTCTTCTGCGGTCAGGTCTTGCGTTGGCTCGTAGGATACAATGTGGTTGAGTTCATCACGGATCTTGGGATTTGGTTTGAGGTCCCGGTCCATGATGCCCGTGCGATGGCTGCGGATGAGTCTGCGATGTTTATCCTCGCATGGATTGCCAGTTTGGCCCATCTCCGGATCGTATATTCGAATCACACCCTCTGCTCCCTCTATGTCTGGACCAAAGCGGACCTCTGGGAGTGGCTTCAGGGTTGCGTTGGCGTTTCCGGGCGCGCTTTGGGTGTAAGTTGAGATTGGGGGCGGTGGGTACTCATGATCGGACCAGACGATCGGGTGGTCGAATCGAGGAAACTCGACATGAAGGGTAAAGTTTTCGTAATCAACTTCCTCTTCCCCCGAATCGTCCTCCGCGGATGCCGGCTCCCCGGCCGGCTTGTGTTTTCTAGCCTGCAGGAGAATCGCCCGTTTTCTTGCGGCTTCGTCGGCGTTTATCTTCAGCCTCTCCAGCTGGCGAAAGACCATCTGATCCATCCAGTCGATCCGGGGAATCTCGCCCATCTCATGCTTCTTGATCAGGACCTCAACTCGTTCCAATTCCAGTTCCTCCGGCGAAGGTGCCAGTGGATCGGAGCCGGCGGTCTTGCGACGCTTGGGGGGTAGACTCGACGGGGTGGTTGTGGAAGAGAAACCGTCCGCAGCTTTGTGCCGGTAGATCTTGCATTTCTGCCGACCCATCTTTAGCTTTCCATCCTCATCGAATAGCGAGATGGTCGTTCCGCCAAATGGAGCATAATGACCCCGCGCCCCCTCGCTGCCCAACGGCGATAGATCCCATACGGTGATGGCAAGCTGACACTGCAACGGCGCATCTTCAAGGGACATTGGCATCTGCAGCCACTCATTCCAGGACCTCGCCGTCTTAAAGGTCTTGAAGGCGGTCTGTACAGGCACCCCCAAGGGCTTGGAGTCTGACCATAGCTGCGCTGTCACAAATAAATCCGATGTCGGGTCCTGCACGGAGCCGATGTGTCGCAGATCGGGTCGTTTCAAGAGCACCGAGAAAGGGATCTGTTTCTGCTTTCCTTCCAGGGAACCACTGTTGGGTCAACGGATGGCGTGCGGGAGATCTATGGGAGGATACATACATTCGAACATGAATCGGAAAGTCCACCTGAGTGGAAAGCGCAAAAGTAAAGGCCTCCATGAGGAAGAACAGGCTGTTTCAGCGCATGTTGGTTGAAGCTTCAAATGACATCGAGGGAAACGAATCATGAAGTTGGAGATCAAGTGACGATAAGACCAGATAACGCGGGGTCAGCTGACGTCACGTGCTGCCATCGCGTCGCGGTTCGGTCATTTCGTTGATTCAATTTCATTCATTGATGCGCTCAATCACTCGTTGCTGTGCTGCGGCTTGTTTTGTTCTTTGTTCTTCTGAAGTCTTTGACTGCATTGGATCCTGGGGTTCTTCTGGCTTTGTGCGCCCCTGTCCCTCTTTTGGGTTTCTTTGAGCCTGGTCTTTGTACCATTGACGCGCCCCCATCACGTTTGCCCCTCCGTTTGGCACTCGGCATGGCTCGCATTTCCCTTCCCAACCATTCGACGACACCGTCATCCTTGTCACCAGAACCACAATCCGATAAAGAGAATCGTCAGTCCCTCAGTCGCAACCGGAAGAGAGATCAAACACAGACGATGGCTCATCCTTCGAATCCAAAACGCGCCCGGTTGGCAAGCCGGACTTCCAATGCGGCGGGCAGCCAGTCGCAGGCCCAACCATCCCAGTATAATCGAGACAAGCAGTACTATGATCCGGATCAGGATGAGAAAGAGCGACGGCAGATTCGAAAGGGGCTCCGGGACCTCGCGCGGGATCTTCAGGGTAAAGTTCAGACTACGTGGGAAGTGTTTTCTTGGGATCATAATTAACATGGGTCCAGATTCCAAAACGGAGTACATGCAAGCGGGGAACCACGGTATCAAAAATACTATTGAAAAGGCGAACGTTTTCTTCCAAAATGTCAAGCAGACCTCCGACGCCACGATCGACTCCCGTCTCTTGGTCAGCGCCGCCGATCTATCGTACAAGAAGACCGCACAACTCGTCCTGGGGGATACTGCTACCGGGATCGACGTCGATGAGTTCGTGTCCAAATGCATCGCGTTCATGCGCCAGGGCCCGGCAGACCAGGCCGCCCCGAGCACGCAGCGTCGACGCGGAGGACGCACCCAGGGTGATCCGAACGACAGCGATGACGATCAGGGGGACGCGATGAACTGGGACTGGCTGGGCCGAGCAGCCTGCTTCCGTCATAATGCCCGCCCGGCGGTCTCCGGCTTCCTCCTGGGCCCGCTATCGGTCCAGAAGCGCACCCGGCAGGTTGCGCAGCGACGAGCACGCGAGCGCATCGACCCGTCGCAGGCTGTCCGTCCACAGGAGCTCCAGGAAGAAGATCTAGATGGGCAGAAGAGTACGAATCTGACGACCATGTGCGCCGATATCAACAAACTGCTGGCGACCACGCAAAAACAGGGCCAAGATGATGTGGAAGGGCATTTGTCGCAGCTGGCGGAAGTCCCGCCGGACGAAGTGGTGCAAGAGTTCATGGCCAAGCATAACGTCGCAGATGATGGCGGGGTACCGCTCTTCAACTTCTGCATCAACCCGAAATCGTTCGGACAGACCGTGGAGAATCTGTTCTATGTTAGCTTTCTGGTCCGGGATGGCACGGTTGGTATTGCAGCGGATAGCCGTGCACTGCCCACATTGCGTGAGTTTGTCTTTAATGCTCATGAGTGCTGCAATTCCTTTTCGTTGCACAGATACTGACGGAATTATAGATGCGGCAAAACCCTACGCTCCCAGTGAAGCCCAGAGGATGGGAATTCAGAAACACCAGTCGGTGTTTTGCTTAGACTTTGACACCTGGCAGGACTTGATCGATGCGTATGATATCAAGGAGTGTATAATTCCACATCGCCAAGAGGAGGAGGCGGCGAAGTCGGGGCGGGGATGGTATGGTTAGATGTGCTCATTCCGTTGTGCTGTAATGTGTGATACCCTAAATGATTCTCTCTACGACTTACTCTATGATTCAAAATAAATATGGTTTCTTTACCTCTGTCGCTGTCAAAACCTAGTGCCATGGAGACGGGTACCTTGTCCTGGGCTAGGATACCCACCACGTCTTTCGGCATGATGCCGTACTCGGAGCGGATTGCGTCTGCAAAGCGACGGCTCTTCTCCTCCAGCTGGGCTAAAGTGAGTGTCTCTCCTGTCCGGTCGACGCAGTAGAGGACCCGACTACAGGGGTAGGGTCTTCGACCGTGGTGAAAGATGTAGTTGAATACATCGGTCTCCGGGACCTCGGGGAGGGGATACTTGGATTCGAAGATCATGCTGAAGATCAGAGAGCTGTAGATTGCTGAGTAGCGTACTTGCAGTCAAAGTACCATAGATGTGAAAAAATAATACTGAGACTTAGATAGTAATGTGGCTAACTCTGTGAGACAAATTAATATAAAGCTGGGACCAAAAAGAGACACTGTCATATTTTAGAAGAGATTAAGTCTTAGATAGTGCTATATGAAGAGATCTTGAGTCTACCTGAGTAACCGTTGTGTGAATACTGGCATTCCGTGTCAGCTTGGCTTCTTACTTCTAGTGACCAGTGAATAATATGATATGAAGCCTGGAATGGTGATAATCTTGTAAGTAGACTGGAAATGACTAGGCCACCAGTTACTCTTCGCACTAAGCATGTTAGTTCTATGGGAAAGGTATAAGCAAGAGTTTTTGAAGCATTCAATTGATCATTTTTGCCGTGTGGAAGTAAATTAGGTTCAAATGAGATTGTATCTCAAGGATAGAGAAGCTAAATTGTATTGAAATGAACTCAAACACGCTCAATCACCCTAAGCAGAGAATACTCCAGAGTCTATAAAGCTTCAGTAACTTGATTATTTCACAGTGATAGATTGTTGGTATGTGTAGTGCTATTCATACTAGTATACTTAGTTCTTGAATCTTGAGATACTATGTATATTCAGCAGACATGGAGACAAGATACTAGCAGTCAAATACCGTGACAATAGATGAGTCTCTTACTATTGATATCTATTCACTTGGAAATTAGACATTTATTCCAACAATACATCCATATAATCTCTGTGGCCGGTTGGAAGCTCTTTGTGAGTTACTCTAGTAGAGACAGAGCCCGGTAGAACTCTAGGGCATTTTTCTAGGGCCCCAGGAGTGACCTGGATCAAGAGTGCCGCTAGAAATAATCAGCTGGATAATAGAATATGGTACAGTAATGAATGCATTTTTGTGTGTTTAATGTGCCATCCACGGTCCAAATGTAGAGCCTCGATGAAGAGTGCAGGAGTTGGACTGGTGATGTCTGACAATCCATTTAGCCAAAGAAGACATGCTACACCGCTCGGTCTGCTGGCAGTACTTCCTCAGCTCCGTACCGCCTTTTGCTCATAGACAGATATATGACGTCATTAGTCTAGATCGCCCTATCCGGATTTCAACCTGTCCTTCATTGATCGCAATCTCCTAGACACCATCATCATTTATAATCTCACCGAATAGCGCGAGATTACGGATATGTGGCTACAATCTGCTCGAAGTGATCATAATCTGAGCAACCATCCGCATATACTCCTACTGATATAGGTACCGGTTTGAACCAGTCTTCCTGATTACTACGGCACGATACGCCATCTCAGAAAGCATACGACTCAGCGCCATCCGACAAAATGGGCCCTCTCGTCCCTCATAATCCATCCGAGTTGATGGTGATCCGGAATGTCACTTCGGACGTGATCACCATGAGCTTACCCTTTGCGCGATTTGGACACCTTCGATTCGGCAGTCGCGGCACATTAGGTACTACAGCCTTTCCATCTGCAAGAAAGAGAAAAGAAACAAGCTCACACAAACACCACAGTTAAAATGTCATCCGGTGCCGTAGCCGTCTTCTCCCCCGTCAGCCTCACCCCCGAAGTTCGCGAAGCGGTCACCACCCTCGGCGGGCGCGTAGGCTATATCGCCGCCCTGGACATGGAGCACCACATCCACATCTCCACCTGGAAAGCAGCGTATCCAGATGCGCAGGTGATTGCCCCCGAGGGTCTCTGGGAGAAGCGGCAGGCGACCCACGTGTATCGGGACGATCCAGCGTCACCCTTTGAGCACATCTTCACGCCGGGCCGGCGCAGCGTCACACCTGAGTTTGACGCTGACTTCGCCACGGAATACGTGCATGCGCACCGGTCGCGGGAGCTGGTGTTTCTGCACCGGCCGTCGCGTACGCTGATTGAAGGGGATCTGCTCTTCAATCTGCCAGCGCGCGAGCAGTACAGTCGCGCGAGTCAGAGCCCCACGGGTGGGATCTTGACGAAGATGGTGATCCCGTTTTTGTCGACGGAGCCGTCGGCGTCGTGGCAGAGGATGTTTGTGTGGTATCTACTGTCGGCGGATACAAAGGCGTTTGCCGAGTCGATGAGGCGCATTGATGGGTGGGAGTTCAATCGGCTGATTCCGTGCCATGGGGACGTGGTGGGGAATGGGGCAAAAGGGGTTTTTCGATCTGTAATGGATGGGTTTTTGTCTGGGAATCTGAGTTTGAAGTAGATTCTGTTCTTTATGTATTGTACATGTTATTTATGAAATAATCAGTGGATGGAAAAGATACCATGACCTTTGGTACCCAAAGTAGGATCCAGGGGAGGAACAACAGGTCAACGTCTGCTATCTTCAATGCGAGATTGATAATCAGCCAGGCCTGACAGCTCATCTGTTCTCAACATACCTAGTAAACTACAGCCTCGATCAATGCCATTGAACACAGCTCCCCTGCAGGATCAACAAGCCGCAAGCCAATCCATCCGAATTGGGGATTGGATCATGGAAGCTTAGTATAGCGCTTGTAACGAGGTATATCTATATAGATCGGCGGAGGAGGTTCATTTGATCTCAATTTCATTTTCTTTTCTTTCCTTCTCTCTTTCCTGTGTCGTTGTACCTATCGATGATATAGACCTTGCGGACGGAGACAGCGTTCGTTGGCGGATGGTAATGATAGTCATAAAATTGAGAGATAGTATACACTCTGTAGAGCGACAGTAAATCCAGTCACCCATAAAATACAAACTATAGTTAAGACCATATGAATTACAATCTCGATGCAGCATCAGGCATTACCATTTAGGGCTGATCGGACTTGTCAGCTGATCCGTATCCGATGACGTCATTATATCGAACGACATACCTTGATACAGCGATTCCTTGCGCAAAAACATCCGAATATCCTGGCTCGATTAGAATGATATTCTCTAGATGCATGTAATGGACATGCAAGAGTGTCCTGTCCCTTTCTCGGGGCTGTGTTTGCCTCTCGTATGATTCATTGCAGACTCCGTTCACATTGAATGTCCAACCGCTGATCATGCACCAACAAGGCAAGCAGCAGCGAATTTCTTGGCTGCCACTATTGAGCTACCTGTTCCCCATCCTGCCTAGTGAGTTGGATCCCGGTGGGGAAAGATATCGCCGATCGTCACTGGCTTGAAAATTGAGACCAGGGGGATCCTCAGCTAGTCGCCAGCTGCTGACGTCCTTGGCCGGTCGACACGACACGAGATGGTCAAAGTCGAAAGATGGGACGAAATCGTTCGCACAGGCTAAGCCACTTGGGAGAAAGTAAGGAAGTCTGGACCACAGACACCGCCAATGCCAGCTATGCCAGCGAATGCGCCTCCGACGTGTGACGCTCAGCGATCGCTGTCAATCGTTACCTAGGCGGGATCGGCCAGAGTTCAAACTTCACGCCCAGGCGTTGGGCAGACCCCGTGGGCCAATCGTGTGGACCTGGACAGTGTCATGATGGAATAAAACAAGGAAAAAATCGAGTAAGTGCAGCAGATCTTGGGAAGCTTGTCGTGGACTTAAGAAGTAGTCCACTTCCCGCTTTTCTCGGGTCATTGTTTGTTTGTTTTTTCTCTCCTGCTTCCCTTCGGCAATTTTTGAAGCTATTTGCTTTGTCAATACCACGACTACTACCAACACCAACAACACCACCAACACCACCAACACCACCACCACTACACTCCCACTATACTTGTCTGATTCACCTTCCGTCGAGAGTCCAACCTCACCATGCCTGTGCTCTCCCGTATCCTGTCGATCGCCTTGCGCGCGGTGGAAATTATCTGCGGCGCGGTAAGTACTAGACACCTGCCGGATAGCCCCATCATCCACTAACGTGCAGTAGATCGTGGCTGGTATCATCGGCTACTATCTTAACTCTTTCGACAAACTGGAAGCGTGGCCCCAGGCTCGGTGGATCTACACCGAGGTGGTCGCTGCCGTATCGATCATCCTTGGTTTTCTCTGGCTGATTCCTTGCTCTTTCGGTTTCTTCTCCTGGCCTTGTATGTTGCACACCCTTCCAATGTCCATGGACAGCTTGCTCATGCGATCGATCTAGTCGACGTTATCATCTCGTGCGCCTGGTTCGCCGCTTTTGGTATCCTCGTCGATGCCATCCACAGGTTCAGCTGTGGAAGTATCTGGCACTGGGGAGGCATCACCCATGGCGATTCTTGCGGTCGCTGGAAAGCCGCCGAGGCCTTCAGTTTCATTTCCGCCTGCGTATGGATGGTGTCTGGCATTGTGGTATGTTCTTCTCCATCCGCACATCCTCCCATCTACCTATCCACCTATCTATTCGCCGAGATATACTCACACTCACCAGGGCATTTGGTTTACCTTCCGCTCCCGTCGTTCCAGTGGTCTCCGCTCCGCCGTTTGAATCGGTCCCTAGACCGGTCGACATCGGCGACGGTGCTTGCTAGACCTTCTTGCAAGACCATCCGCAACCACCCAAAACCCCACGCTCATTGTTCCAACTTAATAATTTCGGGTCTTGCACCCTGACGCCACACCCTGACGCCACAGGAGCGGCTCCTTTCGTGGTATCCGCTTCATCGCATTACCAGGACATGGGTGTTGACACGGCAAACGACGTGATGATTCTCTTACTACTAATACGGATACCCAGTCGGCGTGTTGACGACTCATGTCGTATTCGCTCGTTGTGTTAGATATAACTTGATTAATACTGTATATTGACCCCTTAACCATGTCATTTCCCACAATACCCCGTAGAAGTAGAAACAATGAGTGTAGGCAGGGTTGCCCGATCAGGCAATGGACGGGCCCATCACCGATGACTAAGCTGACATTCCGGACTCCGAATCTCGACTCGCTCTCTCTCCGTCTCCTGTCAATCCCTCTTCTCGAATCCCCTTGTGAGACTAACCATCATGGTCGGTAAGCGCAAAAGGTCGAGTTCCCGGGCGCGCGCTTCGGTTGAAAAAACTCCGCGCGTCACTCAGGAGTATACGCTACAAAACCTCGCCCCCGAGGACAACCGTCCCAGTGCCGACTCCGCGCGGGTCCCCGACGATGAACCACTGTTGCCCACGGCCAGCGTCCCGCATCCGTCGTCAGGGCTCGACCGGGGGCAACCGCCAGCGCGATTCTCTTGTACACTGCCGGGCATCTGGGCGTGGATGCAGGGTCCCCCGAATCCGCAGAAATATCACATCACCGCATGGTTTCGCAGGGGACAAACCGCCCCTGGACGTCTGATTGACCGGTATTTTCGCACCACTAAGGCCAAGGCGGCGCTGCTGCTGGCCTGTCTGCTCCTCTGGAGCATCGCTTTTCTCTCCATCTTGCACCAGTCGGTCGCCGGTCAGGAGATTCCCGGGTATGGACGCCCAGTCAAGCTCTCTTGCGAGGCGCGACTCTGGTCCAATGGCACAAACTGTGGTTTGGACGGCGACGCTTGCCGCCCCTTTGAACAGAGCGCGTTCGCGTTCCGGTGTCCGGCCAGCTGCGCCGAGGCGATGGTGCTCGAACCTTATTTTATCGGCCCGCAGGAGATCAACTACAAGAGCCTCGTCATTGGGGGTGCCCCTGAAGGTAGCGATCCCGCTGACCACGGTGTCTACCGGGGGGACTCGGCCATCTGTCCGGCCGCGGTGCACGCTGGCATCGTGAGCAACGCGCGCGGTGGATGCGGGGTCCTTCAGCGCACCGGCGAGCATAGTGGCTTCCCCGCCGTCGACAAGAACGGCGTCCCGAGCACCGACTTCCCCTCTAACTTCCCGCTCTCGTTCACCTTCGACACAGAGAACGCCTCCGCGGAGCGCTGCACCGACCTCCGCTGGCCGCTCTTCACCTTCACGCTGGTCGTAACAACCGTGCTTTCCCTCTTCATCACATCTCCGGCCGCCTTCTACTCGTCCATCTACTTCATCATCTACTTCCAAGTCGCCCTGTCCTCCGACCCGCCCTACTCCCCAGACTACTATGAAGTGGTCTCAATCGCTCTCGGCCGTCTCCTCCCCTGCGCCTTCGTCGGCTTCGCCATGTACTACTTCTGCGTGCGGTACACGCTCACCGATCTCGAGGCCCACTGGGACAAGACGGTCCTGTGGCTGGGGCCCTGCTGGGTCGGCGCCCTCAACACGGACACCTTCGACAAGATCCCCATCTCGCGCCTGACGCCCCACGACATCGAGCAGCAGCCAGGAGCCGTCCCCGCGCTCCTCATCATCATCGGCGTCCTCGTCACCATCGTTCTGACACAGGCGCTCGCCTTCCGCAACGAGGGCCGCATGCCACGCATGCTCGCCCTCTACGGCCTGCTTGTCGGCGGCGTCCTCGCCCTCATCGCCGTCCCCAACATGAACCTCCGCATCCACCACTACATCCTCAGCCTGCTCTTCCTCCCCGGCACCACGATGCAAACCCGCCCCTGCCTCCTCTACCAAGGCCTCCTCGTCGGCCTATTCATCAACGGCATCGCCCGCTGGGGCTTCGACAGCATCCTCCAGACCCCAGGGCACCTCCTCGACGGCGGCCAGCTCGGCGGCATCCAGCCGCACATCACACCCCCAGTCATCCAATCCGCCCACAACATCTCGTTCTCCTTCCCCGATATGGCCCCGGAGGCCGACGGAATCAGCATCCTCGTCAACGACGTCGAGCGCTTCCACCAACTCAAGGCCGACGATGGCCACATCGCGGACTTCAACTGGACGCGCCGCAGGGACGGCGACCCGGAATTCTTCCGCTTCGGCTATATCCAGCTCAATGCGCTGGGCGGCGTCTGGTATCAGGATTTCACCAAGCCTGTGACGTGGGATGTTCAGGGCGGTTGGAACCGCTCTGCTCCGGTAGTGGTTTAAATGTTTTGTTGATAGGCTGAGTATCAACGTGTGTATATATTGATTAGAGGGCGATTGGATACGTCGCTCGTTGTATATTTAAACTTTGCGCGGTATCAAGTGTTGGACTTGTTTATGCTATAGGGTAGTGTAGTAGTATTGGCAGTGCAGTAGGGATACGAAGCCCCCAATATAACCATCTGACCAGTATGATATCTCTCCGGCGGGTCATAGATACGATGTATTCTTCATTAACAAGAAAGCATAGCCACCCAAGAGCTACGTTAGATCCCCCAACAATATCGTGAAGTCCAATCTATCCAATGTTCTATCCATGCACGGTATACACAAGTAACGCAACACCACCAGTTGTATGTATCAAAGAAAACCGCTATCAAACACAAAAGTAACAACTACTGAACAAAGCCACCCAAAGCCCAAAACTCCTTCACTTCTTCCCCTCGTACCCATCACACTCCACCTGCACGATCTCCTGCTGTCCACCAGCCCCAACGATCAGAGCCGTCAGCTGTCCGCCCTTGACGCACCCGCTGTCTAGACCCTTGGTGTACTGTTTCAGCGAGAGGGAATTCTTCGAGTCGTGGCCGTAGATGATGGTCGTTATATCTCCCTCTACTTTCTCCTTGGGTTTGGATTTGTTGAGCATGGCGGATTGGTGTTTGTTATAGACCTTGTCTTTCATTAGCGGGGCCGTAGAAATTACACTCATAGCGATGGCAATCACTCTAGTAGGACAAAGGAAAGAAAAGATACCTTAGCCCACTTATCCCCCGCCCCTCTCTTCGAACTCGGCTCCCCCGTCTTAGAGTCAATAGTCAACATAGTCATCACGCTCTCCGGGTCTTGCTTCTCCAGTTCCACCCCGGGCACGACGCCCCCATGCACAACAGCCACTTGGCCCATGCCGGGGACACAACCAATTTTCAAGATCACCGGACACGCCTCCAGCCACTGCGCCTGGTCGTCGCTGAGAGCCAGCGCGAGCGGGCGATCGCGTGCGTCGTGCTTGTCTTCTTTTTCTTCGTCGACTGCGCCGCTCGGAGAGAATAACTTGCGCCGTAGTCGCAGAATGCGGTCTTCATGGTTCCCCCGCACACAGGAGGCTGAGTATCTCCGGGCAAGGTCGACTGCGCCGAGACTGTCGGGTCCTTTGTTGATGAGGTCGCCTGTGAGGATGAGGTGGTCGTTGTTGGGGTCGAAGGATACTTTTTGCAAAAGTTGCTCCACTGTGTATTTGGCTGTGTTAGGATTTCCCGTTTCGTAGAATGGGATGAGGGTAGAACGCACGCTCATCCCGACACCCATGCACGTCACCTACGAACACCAACCGTCGCGAGCTGCTGGTTTCGGCTGCGGAGATGTCGCCCTGCGGTAACAGTGCCGGATCCAATGTTTTCATGAGTATGAGGTTGCTGAGTGCAGACTGTACGCTACCCTCATCGGGTGTGTTCTCCGCGTCGGGGCCCATGTTGATATTGGGTAGTGGATGCAGCCACGGCGAGAGCACGAGTTTCCGTCCTATTAGGTAGGCGAGTATAACGATCAGGTACACTGTTGGGTGGCGCCACAACTGCGGTACCATAGGGTGGCGTGCTCCACTTCTCGATCAATGTAGATATCTACTAGCGTAGGTGGATTCGAAGCCCAAACTCTGGTTGTATGTGGTGTAGAGCTCGGTGGAGAAACGAAGTTAGACACACGCTCCCGCTGGTCTTGGAGTGGACGGTAGAGCCGCGAATTTGGTAGATGACCGGTGTCAGTAGACGGCGCTCTATCCCTAGATATATATAGAGCTTGTGATGCGTTTGTTTTTCTGAGAACGGTCACCGCGGTGGTTCTGGACTGTTTCTGGTTGGCAGAGAATGACGTCGAGATCGGCGGAGGCATCTCACTCTAGGCCAAACCCGGTTAGACCAAACCAGCCCCCAGATCTAGGTACACACGTGACTGATCGGTATAAACAACAGTCGATTCAACGCGATGGTTTGTCCTTCTTATTGTTATGAACCATGAGAGGGAGACGACGATGCTGTCTCCTAAGAAACTACGCGTCTTGTCATCTTTTCATCAGAATATCGCTACTTTCAGAAGAGCAATCAATCGCGGCATAGCTGATCTTCGCTCGTCAACGCCGCGCGTCTTCCCCAGTTCTGGATGGGATAATATTGACCCTTCCTGCTTGATTGAGGAAGAGAACATTCCCACTTACAAACCGGAAAGATTCTATCCAGCTCATATTGGTGAGATCTTGAATCGCCGATACCAGATAGTGGGCAAGCTAGGATATGGATCTAGTGCGACGGTGTGGCTTTGTCGGGATATATGGTAAGAGGAGCTGAGTACAATCGCTGGCCCGATCTAACAGGATAGGGGCGACTGTTTTATAACGTTAAAAATATACGCCGCGCTGACCTCACCGACTCGAGAGATTGAGGTGTATAAACATCTAAGCACCATTCAGTCCGACCACGCGGGGCAGTCATGTCTACGTCCGTTAACAGATATCTTCCACACCAGGAATCCAGATGGCCATAAAATGCACACTTGCTTGGTGCACCCGCCTTTGGGGATTAGTCTTGACCAGTGCCATGGTGAGGACAACGATGCGCAATGTCCTGGCCTCTCTGGACTTCCTCCACACGGAGGCGCAGGTCATACATACTGGTTAGCCTCGGTTTCATTTCAAGGGCGTCACCATAACCTCATAACCTAAAACCGAGTAAAAGCTAATACCGTAGACCTCCAACCGAATAATATGCTGCTTGGTACCAAGGACAACTCGATCTTATCAAACTTCGAGCAGGCCGAATTCGATGCGCCAATCCCGCGGAAGACACTCGAAGATCGTACCATTTACATCACACGGCCCCTCCCCATCTCCTTGGGGACGCCCGTTCTCTGCGATTTGGGCGAGGCTAGAGTGGGCATTGACCAGCAACGGGGTGATATCATGCCTGATGTTTATCGCGCACCCGAGGTCATCTTAGACATGACTTGGGACTATAAGGTTGATATCTGGAATGTTGGAATGGTGGTAAGATGCTCATCCATGGGATTATATTGGAAATACAACAATCTCGAAACTGACAGTAGCCAAGATATGGGACCTGATGGAGCGTCACCACCTTTTCAAGGCTCGAAACCCTGATCGCAGATTAGATGACGGCGTGCATCTCGCCGAGATGCACGCGCTCTTAGGGTGTCCTCCCCGCGAGTTCCTCTCACGAAGCGAGAAGAGCCTGCAATTCTGGGATGCAAATGGTTGGTAAAGCCTCTCGCGATATCACATGTCTGGCATTAATGGTCCAAAAATTCTATACAGGGCAATGGAAAGGTGCAGCTCCTTTCCCAGATTATAACCTCGAAACCAGGGAAGAAAAACTCCACGGTGATGAAAAGTCAGACTTTCTTCGCTTTCTCCGACGGGCCCTATGTTGGCTACCTGAAAAACGGGCCACTGCCAAAGAGCTTCTCTTTGATCCTTGGATGATGCATGGTCTCCGCCTCAAGAAGCCCGCGGAGGGTAATCGCTAAGCACATGGATATGGCCGGCGGTGGTGACTTGAAGCCTGGAATAACCACAAAGTACTGGCTGAGAGGGCATCATTGGACAGGTGCGTCTGATACGTTGAAGATAGACGTCTCTGGAGCTTACAGTAGAGGCACAATTAGAAACTTTCCCCCGCTTTTCTTCGTTGTCTCTACTAAAAGACGGTTCCGGACTGTGCCAGTCTCGAAACAAAACAGTGTGGGCGGCAGCTCGCAAGATGAAGGTCAGACAACTGAGCGTCGGACACAATATCATATACACCTCCCCATATTGAACACGCTCAAGCCACGAAGTAAAGCGAGGTGGCAGATATAAGCACCATCGTGTCTATACATTTTAATATACATCAAACTCGTTAATCACTAAACTCATCACACATCCTTCTCATACGCCTCCAACTCCTTCCGTCGCTCATTGACCTTCTCAACCACGCTCCGGTCATACATCTCCTCCACCGTCTTGTCACCCAGCAACACGTTCTTCTCATGCCGCGCCGCTTCTTCCTTCGTCATGCACACGAAGTCCTTCAACTGGATCGGAACAAACTTCTGTCCCTCCTTCTCCCATTCAGGGTCCGGACCCCAGCCCCGAGCCGGTCGCTGCCAGGGAACAAGAGCAGGCTTGCTAGGCAGGCCCGTCACCACGCTCTTCCCGTGGTAGATCTCGTCCAGGAGGTATCCGACGTCGTCCCTCGTCAGGGGCAAGCGCAGTCCCACTACTTGGTGGCCAACCTGCAGCCGGGCCAGGCGCTCGTGCAGGCCCTGTAGAGTGCCCAGCACGCTATCGTAGACCTTGTCGCGGCCCTTCCCGCCCAGGCTATAATCGATCGGGTAGTTCGCCAGGTCGCAGATAACGTGGTTGGCGAGGGTGTACCCGAAGACAGCAGGCAGTGTCCCCAGGACGGGCAGGATGCGCGCCCGGAAATCAGGCAGCACGCTTAGCTCGCCGACCTCGCCCTTGGAGAACTCATCCGCGGACAGGGGGAGAAGGCTGGCTTTGCCCGGGCCTGATCGCTCCGTGGAGAAAACAACTGGGATCCCCGTGCTGACGCCGAGCGCCTTCAGGCGCCGCCGCGTGCTGCGCGACAACCGGTCGTCTGTGCCGGCCGAGATGTCGGCCACCGTGACGCGTGTGGGGTCCGACTTGCACCCGGCGCCCATGGACGAGATCACGGGGATCGAGTGTTGGTGGCAGTAGTGGAGCAGTTCGACCTTGGAGCCGATGTTGTCGATGCAGTCCAGCACGTAGTCCGGTTTCCGACCCTGGTCGCTGTCGTCCATGCTCCACGGAGCTAGGAGATCCTCCGCGGCGGATCCGTTGAAGAGCTCGTTCCGGCAGTCGAACCGCACCCACGGGGTAATCTGTTCCAGTCTCCGGCGAATGCAGTGCACCTTTGGTGTTCCCACGTCGGCGAGAGTGGCGACGGCGTGTCGGTTCAGAGAGGATAGGGTGACCTGGTCGAAGTCGATGAGCCGGACCTTGGCCGCACCTGACCGTGTCAAGGAAGCTACAGCGTGTGATCCAACACCGCCGCAGCCGACAACGATAATGAACGCCGACCGGAGTTTCTCGAGGCCTTCGTCGCCGAGGAAAACGCGGTTGCGCGCGAGTTGTTCGAGGATAAGGTCTAGTCGGTTGAAGAATTGGTTAGCGGATGAACCTCATAGCGCTGAAAGCGGAGATGTCTCCTGTACCATCATCGTAGTCCCCTTCTTGTGCCCTGCGCGCGAGAGCCGCGCTGCGTTCGTCCTCCTTGCTCATGGGCGCGGGCGCAGTCCCATACTCGGTGAGAGGTTCAGCATGGTGGCGCTCGTTGATATCGGGAATCGAAGCCTTGAGCCCTTTGACTGCTTCCTTCCGGCGGTATGTTTGGTATCCCAGTATTGCGCCTGCAACGGCGGCGCCCGAGATAACAGCGGTCGCCGCCAGTTGAGACTGGTGGGTGTTGGCGTGACGCTGGATCCAGGAAGACATTCTTCACGTTGTTCCTCCAATTTCGACACGGACAATTCAAGAAAGCTGTAGGACAGTCAGACCTAAGACGTTCAGCTTTAGAGACCTTGTCCGGTGCCACAGGAGTCTTACCATCATATATTCAGGTCTAATAGCTGCTAATTTGTATAATGACGAAATCGCATTTTCGGTCCGGCCCAGCGAATGCCCGAAAATGATAGGCGGTCACGTGCAGGCACACCCATGAAAATGCGTCACTTGGCGATTTCCCCTTGCCGTCTCCAACACAAACACAACGTACGTCGCACGCTGCAACGCCAGGTATTTCGCGCCTTCCACATAGCGAATTGATGATGTATTGCTAACAGGGACTTAGCGCGGAGAAGTACGCTTCTATTCTCAATGACGATAACACACACAAGAGCATCTTATGACACCTGTATCGGGAAAAAACCCCAAGGCAGTGGACCTCATCCTTCGAGAGCTCTGGCGATCGAATGGAAGAAGACACTAGCTGCAGCGTGAATGATTAAGATTGAACAGAGATCTTAGGGATTGGTCAAGCTATAATTGCTTCTCTGCGTGGCGTTGTTGCGACACTCGTATATACGTCAAGTATGGGGGATTCATTCCTGCCGTCCTCTAATGTTGTGGACTGGAAGTTATATTTCACCCCCTGTATTTGATCGCGAAAGTCTGCTCTCTTGCGATTAACGTAAGGGATATTGACATGCATAGTCAGATTGACCTGCTAAACCTTATTGCTCACCTTTGCTTATACTGCATATGCCACCTGCTTACCTATCTAGTCCCCTCGTACTGCCCCTTATCGTTGAGTCACACCGTCGAATCTCAGCCAAATGATGACAACAATTCTCTCCGAGGCGTCAATCGCTCCATATGTCACTCGCGAAGTAACGATGTCGGGCAGATCAATGACGAGAGAAAACACACAAAGGTAGTTTTCAATCTGGCATGGCAGGTCGATTTGAGCATGCTTGTTGTTTTTCTCTCATCCTTCATATGCTCCTGGGCATAATATACGACGACAGATCCTCACAAGATACGTGTATCTTAGCCACTAGATCTAACTCGCAATCCAAACTTATTTAATCCGACATCGACCATCTGTCGTCAGCTCAAGCTCCTGCTTCCTACCACACTAACCGCGCACCAGCTTCTTGCTTCCCCTACCCCACACACCCCATAGCACATGCAATCGCCCAGTGACGAGGTTATTCCAAAAGCCAAAGTTGTATGGTATCCGGCCTGCGCTTAGGCGCTTCCACATCGGCCTGGAAACCCGTGAGAACCTGAGAGCTAATCTGAGGGCAATTGCATGTGTTATTATTATTCTTATCATCCATTTATTCCCATATTTAGTATGCGTTAGGCATGGCAATTATTATTAAGTAGATTTTCTTTCTGATCATAAGGTGGATTCGATAGAAGTGATCAAGACAAGGCTTTTTTCCAATACATGAGTAAGACCAAAAATCCGCTTCAAACCGAAGAAAGGAAGGAAGGAACAGATAATAATGATAAAAAGAATCAACGATAATTGAAACATAAGGAGAAGAAAAGAAAACGAACAACCTATTAACTAGAGAGCGCCGACAACGACCCAAGGCGCACAGTCGACTTATCCCCCGAATCATTGCCCATATCCACCCCCGCAACATACCTGCACCTCTTCCACGACGACTGCCTCCCACAATCAGCATGGAACACCATCCTGGACCCATTCGCAGAGACCGTAGCACCACCGGGAGCCTTGAGCCCAAAATCGCCCGTCTTGAGCAGCGCGCGCCGGGCACGGGTATACGGGCCGCGAAGCGTCTCAGCGGACGCATACTTCATGTCATAGTAGGGTGACGAGTAGCAGTGCGACGAGAAGAACAGGAAGTACCGCCCGTAGGACGCGCGGACGATACTCGGGGCCTCGACGACCGGCCCGTCGTCTTTCTCGTTGTGCAGGATTTCAACGGCGGCACCCCTGGGGGTTATGCCGTCGGGGCCTAGCTCTTGGAGGAGTATCCGGACACGCGAGTCCCGCTTCTTCCCCGTGCCACAGCCGCCCCCGTGACCGTTCTCTTTGTATACGATGTACAGTGAGCCGTCGGCGTCGCGGAAGGGGGACGGGTCGCTGGCGCTGCCGGGATCCTGGGGACAGGCGAGGGGCGTCGATTCCGGGTAGAAAGGGCCGACTGGGTCGGTGGATGAAGAAACGGCAACCCCGATACAATGGTGATGGTTCTGGGCCTCGTGCTCGCCCGAATAATAGAGGACGAATTTTCCATCGTCCTATAGGGTATTAGTCTGTGCAGACACAGCTTTGGGGTGGGAGGTGGCTATTTACGCGTTGGATCACGTCGGGGCCCCAGTGGTTGATTGCCTTCTCCCAGCCGCCGAGGGTTGGCAGCGCGTCATGTCCCGGTTTTCTGCGCCAGACGATGAAATCATCCGACGTAGCGACGGGAACATGCGCATTCGCAATGCCTGTCCCTGTGTCTGTGCCATACGCGAACCAAGTCCCGTTGAAGTGGACCATACCCGGATCGGGGAAATCATCAAGGACATTGATGGGATGGTACCCTGCATTGTGGTAACTGGGGTCATCGTAGTGCCTCGAGCGCTGATTTCGCATTATGATGAATGGGAGACTGAGCACTACGATGACAACTACCACCACCAAGAAAGCCGCTGCTGCTTGACTTGCGATTCTTCTTCTTGTCAATGGCTTTGGGGGCTGTGTAGTTTCTTCTAGGCTCCCTTTGGGGGTTAAACTCCAGTCACTGGATGACTCCAGATCGTAGGCAGTGCAAGTGGGCATTTTCTTCCTTTTGAAAAAAGGCAGCATCTTGGTTCTTCTGTCTTTTGCGTGCTTGTTTTTCCAGTTATTGTTGCCTGGGCTGGATGGGATATCTTTGAGTATAATACCCAGGGGGCAGATGTTCCAAAAAGAAGGTTGGAGAATTCCTCACGGTCAGGGGCACAGAGTTGCAAATTAGAGTCTTGGGAGGGGGAAAGTTTGCTCTGGTGCCTAAATTTGAGTATGGATGACGAGTGAATGACACTCAGGACCCGTGAAACTCACATTGGAATCTACCAACCAGCGGGTGTCGAGGTCGAGAAGAGGAATTTTAGAACCAACCGCTCCTAAATCTATTAGTATTGGCGATTAATGTCACAGATCCAGTTCTTTGCCCATGTTGGAGGTAATTACTGATCCTGCGACACCATCACAAAGGACGAAGCAAGCAGGGTGGCGTCGATGAACGCCTCAAGCAAATTGAGACTGTAAAGTGTTTCGAAAACATGGCCGAGCAACGGGCTGGACGATGATATCCAGACAAGAGTCATTGAGCTAGTGTACAATGCCTCAAGCCATGTGTACACCCTCGGCCCTTATCGCCGATGCCACAGCTATGTATATTCAATCTGGCCATACCAGACACAGAGATTCGCAAGCCATTGTCAAAATTAGTATTTTGCCCGGGAAGGAGCGCATCAAGTCTGATGCACAGCGCAGGACAGACAAGCGTATCCATTCCCGTTGCCTTTCATCTGGCTTGTCTAGTAGACCTAAATAGTAGCAATGTCTTTGAGACCGACCTCGAAGACAGACATGGTTTTACTCCTCGCTAGGAACCAGCATGACCATCGCAGACCATTTGGCTAAGCCCATCACGTGTTTGGAACAGAAGCCAACCAATTCAATGCATGTTTCCCATGGCAAGTACCGCTTCGGGATGACAACAAATTCGTGAGTATATCATGAGCCGTGGAGACACCACGACGAGGCTCTTGCCAGGAACACCCCCAACGAAGTGGTAAATAAGGGTTATAGCAAACGGGTTGTTGGTTCCGTTGCAAGATATTACCACTTGTCTGCAAAAGATATCATGACACTTTTGGTCTTAGTAAGTAATCATATATCCAGTGCGACACATGGCTTCCACGATGATATTCCGGGAAGGGATGCAACTCATGGACAACATCAATCAGCTTGTCAATCTGTCAAGTCGATGTACTAAACGCTGTAGCATATAGCCCAAAGGTAGAGCGAGTTGACAAAAAAACACACGCGTGGAGATCCAGCGAGCGGTGGCATTGGTCGCGTTGCGCTAGAGCAGTGGGCCCATCACGAAACGGAAGCTCAGCGAACAATGCGTGGGATAAATAATTCCCCGCGTACTCTAGTAGGGCCATGATATTCATGAAGCGATTTGGATACCTGGGCCCATCCCCGGGTCTCGGTTGTAGCCTCGGTATGGGTCTCGAGATCCGCAACCACATGAGTCCAACGAGATGGTCCTAATGATCGACATCGATTCCTCCGCATTGGTCGCAACACATTCCCTTTCTGGATCGTTGGATCCCGCATCTCAGTCCCGATAACCGATGTTGATATGCGGTCAGATGGATCATATCACGACTAGCCAGAAATCATTATAAATACGGCGCCCCTTGTTGTGTTTCCCCCGCGTCCCTGGTAGATTATTGCGAACGTATTTCCCCGGTCGCAAGCACTGTAAGCCTCAGTCATCATGGTCGCCAAGCTGCTTCTACCCTTGCTCAGCGTCTTTGTTGTCTATACCATTTTCTACTATGCCGACATAAATAATGCGCGGGCCCTGGCGGACAAGGCTGTCGAGTCACAGATCCTGCCTGGGACCGCGGAACCACTGCGCACCGTATACACGGGCGTGCCGCAGATCGACAGGCTGCTGTCTATCCTGACAACTTTCTTCTGGCCAGCCACCGACGGAAGCCATCCAGCTCTGACACTGCATTCCCTCGGATTCTCCGGTACATTTGGGTCGGCCTGGGTACTGGTGACTCTGGAGGCCTGGAGACGCGGAAATGCGTGGACCATCGTCGCCTTGTAAGCTCTCCTTCCCCCCAACTCCAAGTCCCTCACACTGACTGATTATGGCCTATAGCCCAATGGCATTCGGACTCGCGGCCCAGGTTCTCACCTTTGCTTTCGCAACCCCGCTGTTCCTGTGTCTGCACCTATCTTTCTCGGTTACGGCTCGCAAGCCCAATGCCCAGAACATTCGGGTTCCCCGCGCCGTGCTCAACGCCATCCCGCTGGTGTTCACGGTCGGTTTCATGGTCCCCAGCGCGCTCCTGATCCTACCTCGATCGGAGCAGATCACGACGGATCTGAAGCAGATCTTCATCGCCCTGTGGCAACCCTGGCCCGCATACACTTCCATTCTACTTGTGCTTGTGAACATTGTGTTCAGCCCCTTTGTCAGAAATGACCGGAACATCGACGATGGCCGTGCGACCCAGCGCGCCTTGCGCCGTGTCTATGCCTATGCCTTTGGCAACGCCGCCGTCACCCACCTCATCTCATGGACTGTCTCTCTGTCGACTGTTATTGCCCCGTCTATTTTCAAGCCCGAATATGTGGGCGTGCTGCATCCATTCAAGGTTTTTGATATCCCACAGCCATGGGCCTCGCCTGTCGCGCAGGTGAGCACACTTGGTGAGGGAGTGCATGCTTTTCTGCGATGGGACTACCTGATCGGCTCCGCTGGAGTACTGATCTGGGCTGTCAGCGTGTACAAGAGTGCGCATCGCGTTGTCTATGGTCGTGTCGGTTGCCTGGGCCTCGTCACCAAGGTAGTCTTGCTCAGTCTTGTGGCCGGCCCTACTGCCGCGGCTGTGGAGCTGCTCTGGGAGCGTGACGAGCTGGTCATGAACGAATTGGGAGGCATCAAACGGGTGGCCCCCAAGAGCAAGAAGTCGTCATAGATGAGGTGGGACCGATGCCTGCATCTCTGCGCAGGTAACCAAGGAACACTGGAGATGTGATATGTGCTGTATGATTAGTGTTCTTGATGCGACGTATGTCAGCAGAAGGCGAAAAGATATTCCAGAACGACGATAAAACCATGACATTAGACCTTGTCAATTCCCATACACTAGGCAGCAGAGAACAAAAAGGGAAGTAGATCGGGGTGGATGTCTGAGGCAGCTACCCTATCATCCTCAGGCAGTCCATTTCCTGATCGGGATGGCTTCGCGATTGACGCACGTGCTCATCAGGTGACATGACAGTCCCCGCGTTTTTATCGCTCACCGCCTGCCTAAACAGCAACAAAGATGATGGATCAGTTTTACAGATTAAGCGACAATCACAAACAATCAGATGGGACAACGACTAGTGACAATGGATCAGTGAAGATAGTGTGAGTGGTAGAGTCTGGTGCTGAAAGTTTCTTGTCACTGATCTTGATTACCTAGGCATCAAGAAAATACTAGCCTAGCCTTCAATTTGGGTTTTTCACGCTTTTTCCCCTCACCATCCTCCACACCCGCATGTCCCGCCTTGCCCTCCAACGGCTCTCGCTGATCTACACGCGGTCCTTCCTGATTGACACTGACACGTAAAGACCTAACTGCTGGGAGGCCTGACACCTGTTTCGGGCTATATACCTATTCCCCGTGGAAATTTCCCCGCTATAATCCCCACTTCCACAACGACATCAACATCATGCTACGGGACGCTGATATCCAAGCCTTGGACAGCCATGTGGGCTCCATCGTCCGGGATAATGAACAGCATCATGAGCGTGTACAAGGTCTGTTGCAACAGTTTCAGCTCCTTCTAGATAGTTACAATCAGCTCCGGAGTGATTATGAGGAGGAGAGGGAGAACCGGGAGAAGTATAAGAAGCTGGCGCGTGGACAGGTAGGTCGCACCCATCAGGTACCGGGTTTTCAGCTAACAATACAAGGAGCGGAACCCTTTTGCATTGGTGTTGATTGACGGAGATGGCTACCAGGTTAGTCGTTTTGGCTCTAAATTGATTACCTTGGTTGTTTCTAATATAAGCCTAGTTCAAGGAACATCTGATCCGTGCGTCGGCGGAAGGCGGCATCACTGCGGCGCGTTTACTAAACGACTCGGTCAAGGAACTCCTCCATGAGCGCCTAGGTCCTCAAGCGGATCAGTGCCGGATCATGGTTCGCATTTACTCCAATCTTTTGGGGTTGTCCCGCTCATTGGCCCGTAACGGGCTGGTCGGAAACGAAGCACGGTCTCTATCGCCGTTTGCTTCGAGCTTCACTCGTTCTCAGGATTTGTTCGACTATATCGATGCCGGGGATAAGAAAGAAGGCGCGGATTATAAGATTAGAGGTGGGTGAACCAAGACAAGCGCCACCCTGTCCACTATGTCGCCCTGGCTAACCCGTACCAGAGTTCTTCCGGTTGTTTGTAGAGAACAATCAGTGTAAACATATCTTCTTTGCGGGATGTCATGATACTGGCTATCTGTCTTTGTTGACCCCCTACGTTGGCAAGTCGGAACGCATTACCCTTCTCAGGGCCGCATCGTTTCATCCCGAGTTTGAAAGTCTCGGTTTACCTATCAGGGAAGTGCCGTCCGTGTTTATGTCGACTCCGTTGGGTAGTACGCACGTACCCTCAACGCCCACTACTCCCACGCGGCCTATCTGCAAACACTTCCAAAAGGTACGAACCCATCCCATCATCTTCGTCACCATGCTCACCACCAAGTTGTAGGGTGTCTGCCGATATGGGGCCGATTGCACCAAACTCCATATCGCCTCCAATCCTCAAGTTTCTAAGCAACAAGACCGTAGCCCCCCGCCCCCGTGGCGTACGCCTGTCCCAACTCGCGACCAAGCCTACTTCTCGCGTCATCTGCCGAGGGACAGTAATAAATCCCGGGAATTCATAGCCGTCAATAAGAACGGAGAGCGTCTGGACACTTACAGTCCTTTGCCCTCTCCCGACGCCTGGGATGCCTATAACCGACGAGCCAAGCAGCACAGGCTGTGCAACAAATACCACCTCGGTGGCGAATGTGGGGATCTCAGCTGCGAATATGACCACAGTAACCTAGAGTCCACGTGCGTCAGCGTGATGCAGTATATCCTGCGCCAGCACGCGTGTTCTAGAGGGCCTAGCTGCCGCTCTTTGAAGTGCTATCTCGGTCATCTTTGCCAGAGGGATGGCTGCAAGGGTACAAAACCATGCAAATTTAGTCGCCATGCCCACCTGCTCGATTTAGATGTCGCGCAGTGGGTCGCCCCTATTGAGCACGATATGGATGAGACACCTCTGAGCGATGGTTCGCTGGAGGTGAACTCTACCACTGATCCTAACAATAGCTTCTCATACCTTATGAAAGATGTCGTGTTTTAGACGACCCGAAAATACGGCAAGTACAGCTGATACTATCTAGCTTGAAATGCCTCGCAATGGGCTATTTTTGCGAGACTTTTCTGATTACATTTACTTTGATCTTTACTTTATCGAAGAGGAAAAACATACACGGGCAGAAACTCGAGAGGTGAATAGAGCCCAACAACAGCGAAGCCAGACAAAACAAGACCAGGTCACTGTATGGGGCCTTGGCAAAGCTATATGAATATTATCATTTAAGCTGGAAAAAGTACAACCGTTTTGAAATCGTTCATGGGTCGACTGTTTGGTTATTCCGCGGGTTAAGTAGGATGGTTACTCGTACCGTGAGTGGTAGAGTAATCATAATCCTACCTATGAAATTTACTAGTATCAATCGGAATGCTCTATTTACTCATGTTTATTACGTACACAATCCATGTACTCGCTCATGCCACTTGTCCCTCGCCGTTGATTGAGTCCCTGCTCGCTGCTAATTACACCAAGCTGACTAGCAAAACAGCAACAGCGAAGATTCCCCAAGGAACGCACATCGTCGCAGATCCTGATTGCCCCACCCATGCATTCCAATTTTGCAGTCCCTTGTCACGGTCAGAACATTTCGACGTGATCGGCTCACCCTGCATGATTGCCACTTTCTTTCCTTGCCGCGTCACAGCAACCTCCACGCGCCCGGTGCTCTGAAATGGAACACTCCCGTGGTAGATACCCTTACCATTCTCGGGGACATACTCCCACCGAGCAGTCGATGGGTCATCGCCAACCTTCACTGACACATTCGCATTGGCGTTCAAAAGCGCAGAGTAGAAAATGCGGTCCTCGAGGATCTCCGAAGCTGGATATTCCTTCTGTCTATGGTCCGGCGCATTTCCCCTCGTACCACCAGCGCGACAGGCCTTGCCCGGATGAAGCCGATACCAAGAAACGACGGTCTCCTCAGCGATAGCCAGAGTCGTCTTGTTCTCGGGAGACTTGTACTGGCTAACGAGGTACGGCAACAGCGTCCGCCAACCATCGTGCTCCATATTTCGCGCGTAATCAAACGGCGCGTCACCCTTTTCGGGCCCGAAGACCACAGATCGGGCGTCATTCAAGGGCCCAATATAATGGGACTCACCAAAGTCGTTCCAGGTGTTTATCTGCACGAAGTCAGGCTGCAGCTGGAACACCTGCTGCCACCGGTCATGCCAGAGGTTGTCGCCGCGCCAAACCCAGTTCTTGTCGAAGCCGGGCAGATTTGTGTAAAACCAGGGCGACACGGGCATCATGTAGCTGCGGCCGTCGAGGGCGTCCAGGAAGTCTTCGTCCACGGTGGTGTTGATGGCGCGCGGGCCCTCGGGCCAAGCATTCCAGTTGAACAGGCCATCAACAACGCTGTGGCGGGCGGCTTTGTGGGGCTCGACGGCGCTCCAATCCGGGACGAAGAAGCAATCGGTTTCTTTCTTGATGCTCTTCCAGTCGGAGGCCTTGTCGAATCCCTCAAAGGTTGACACAAACGGCTGCGCCTTGTGCTGGTAGTAGGCCGAGTGGTCCTTGTACTGCTTTAATAGGTCGGTGACGCGCTCCCGCGGCCAGCTGCCGTTGCTGGCATAGTCGAAGGAGAAGAAGAGCTTGAAGTCCTGGTCTTTGGCCGTGGAAAATGCCTTGGAAAGCGAGTCAGGGTGCAGATCGTTCATGCCCATGTTCAGGGCGAATGCATCGATGGTGGCTTTCTTGGCGAGGGAGATGTCCTTTTCCCAGTCCTGCGCTGTGTAGTTTTCCGCATTTCCTGTCTGTCTGAGTGTTAGTTTTGTCTATGGAGCAGCAAGTGGTGTAGGTAATACCATGAAATGGGCAAACACTGCCTTGGACTCGACTTGTGCGAACACCCATGCCAATAGGACAATGATTCGAAGCACAGATACCATGGTCGGGGCAAGCTGTGAGAAGAACACCCAGGCACGTCGGATTGCACGGCGATCCCACGCTTTTGACTACTAAGACGCACTAGGCAGCGGTCTTTTCCTCGACCACGCCAATGCTTCTGGACAAATGCATCTATATATTGAGTTGCTACTGCACCTGCGATGCGGACAACCTAGTGTTCTGCTGTCTCCACTGTGACATGTCCAAAATTGTTAACTTCAAATTACATAGGATCATCTTCCTCCTACACACCGCCAGTGTGTACGCGAGTTCATTCGAAAGCATGTGTTGAATCGGCGCCATCTCGCAACACTGTTCTGACTCATGCAGGTATTGGCTCGTTTTGCTCTTGGTCAAAGCATGAGATCCGCCCTTTGACGGCATTCGGACCCTTTTCAAAAGTATCCGTCATGACATTATGTCCGGTGCGACGGGCTATCCCATTTTGAAATCTATAAGAGATAAGGATAATCGTCAAAGAGGTCAGTCGCAACCCTGACAACTCACCATTCAACTGTCTCTACCAGGGTTATCCAACATTTGACTTGAGCATTGTTCAGGAAAGTTTGATCATCTTTCAAGAATTGGCACTCGTCATTGTCGCATTCTTTCACACATTCTTTTGCCTGTTTATGACCGACCTCCCAGGGGACAAATCTCGGTGTTCCCGGCCGAAACTTCGCGGACTAAATGGAATTCGCGAACATTCAGCATGGAATAACATACAACCCACAAGATCAACGAAGAAACATCCAAGACGGGGTATGCTGCTCGATACTACAGCATACGAGATAAGGAAAGCCAAATGGAGGGTTGGTCTAAGTCAAGCAAGTAAATGACACTGCGACATCCAAGCAAGGGAGGACTCGATATCCTGAGAAACCTGGTACGATCCCCTTTTCCTAAATCAATGACTCTGTTCCTCTTCTTCGGCAGTAGGGCTACTCCACTTTCGGATCCGAACCCCCAGGTGCTGGGCAATGTCAAAGATATTCTCCACTGGAGATTGGGTTACATACCATAACTCCTGAGTCCACGCATTCGGATACGGCGCCCCCTTCGCAACTGAGTCGAAAGCGGCGAAGGCGACCAAAACAATGGGTGCTCCTAGAATTTTAATGCAGATCCTTGGTTCTACAGTGTCGTGTGTCAAAACTGGTCACGACGCGACTACAGATCGTCCCCCGTATATAGCTGCCTTCTTGCCTAATACATACTTTCTCCTCTGAACCGTACAACCGCAAGCAAAGATGCAGTTCACTCTCAGTGCCCTCGGTGCCCTCATGGCCGCCACCGCTGTCGCCCTCCCCCAGGACGAACTTGCTCAGCAACGGCCCGGCAACATCCTGCACCCAGCCCCAGATGGAATGACCATCGAACAGGCCTCGCAGAAATGCGGCGACAAGGCCCAGCTGTCTTGCTGCAACGACGCTACGTACACCGGCGACGACACCAAAGTCAACGGCGGCCTTGTCTCTGAGGTGCTCGGAGCCGGCGCTGGCTCGCAGGGCATTGGCCTTTTCTCCGGCTGCTCCAAACTGGATTTGAAATGTAGGTCCCTCCTGTCCTTCTCCATCCTACGTGCCTCTATTCAATTACTAGAATGGTTACTGATGCTTTGACTCGTGCAGTGAATATCCTCCTCCTCCTAAGTGTCCAAGATCTGCTCAATCAGGAGTGCAAACAGAATGTTGCTTGCTGCCAAGAGAGCGGTGGATCTGCGGTATGTGCTTGTGGTTTTTCCGGATTATCCTCTACGCTAAACACTTGCATGCGCTAATCTCAATTTGTATAGGACGAGGATGCTGTCGGCCTCCAGCTGCCATGCATTGGCCTTGGCTCGATTATCTAGAGGAGATTCTAGGTTACACGTCAATGGTCGCGAGCCGAACCAATCTGTTCGGAGAGACTTGCGCATGACGAGTGTTACTATGATAATAATCATCATCGGCTTTCTTATGTTTTTTATTACGATCATGAGCTATGTCGCGGCTGTGGGATTCAGGTTTGGCAAAGGGCAGGGGGGGTCCTTCCTACGGAAAACAACCAGGGCAGTTCATGTCGTTCTGTCCCATGTCCAATGTACTGGATATCAATGTATAATCAGGGAATCAATTCCATTCATAGCACAATAATCCCGAGACTAGTCCGTATAAAGACGAAGAACACTCCAGGCCTTCGTATTCATCCACTCCCACATCTAGCTCGCAATCTTATTCGCCAAGATGGCCAACCGAGTCGCATGGAGCCGTTGTTATGCATTGTACGGCTGAGCTGCGGCTGGGTCGCCGTCGTAGTACCCCGACGTACACAATTGACCAGGTCTCCCATCAATGCCCGGGGGAAATCTAAACGTGAAGGCGTATCGTCTCCGTCGCGTGGCGTCGTGGCGTCGAAGCATGTAATTTGGGCAATTGATGAAGGAGAATATGTGGATCCCGACTAACACTTTTCCGGGGTGAAGAACAGACAGTCTCCAAAGTAATTGGCAGGACCCCACTAATCCCGACTAAACATGCAAATGATTATCAGTCACGCCAATCAGGGTCTGGACTATACCTCCGTGTGTCCTAGCGCTGCACGGTCCAAGCAGTTAGCTGCGTTGTGCTGTCTACTGGCGATGCGACCCAAGCCCAACCGAACTAATCGGAACCGGCCGCCGTCGCGTGGTGAAACAAGCCCTGATATGACAGCCATGAAGAAGGAGACGAAGAAACACGAACAACACGAAGAAGCGGACCCGGTGCGCAGACTTAAATACGGACTGACATCCCAGTGATTTCCCCCCATCCTTCTCTACCTCCCAGCTTCCCAAAATACTCCTAATCTACACACCATGAAGTCCACGGCTCTTATCTCCCTCCTGGCCGGCGCCCGCGTGGCCTACGCTGGCGTGCAAGGCTTCGACATCTCGAACTACCAGTCCAATGTCGACTTCGCGGGGGCCTACGCCGATGGCGCGCGGTTCGTCATGATCAAGGTCTGTCTCCCCTTTCTTCCGGCCTTTAACCCTGCACGCACATACTAAGACAAAAGTATACAGGCGACCGAAGGCACCACCTTCGTCGACAAGTCCTTCACAACGCACTACAACGGCGCGACCGCCGCCAACATTATCCGAGGCGGCTACCACTTTGCCCACCCCGACTCCAGCAGTGGTGCCGCGCAAGCCGAGTTCTTCCTCAAGAACGGCGGTGGCTGGTCCAACGACGGGATCACGCTCCCGGGCATGCTCGACATCGAGTACGCCCCGTCGGGCGATACGTGCTTCGGGCTCAGCGCATCGGCTATGGTCGACTGGATCTCCGACTTCGTCGCCACTTATAAGGCGAAGGCGGGTCGCGAGCCCATGATCTACACCACCACCGACTGGTGGACCACCTGCACGGGCAACAGCGACAAGTTCAGCGAGTGCCCGCTTGTGGTGGCGCGGTACGCCAGCGCCGTGGGCACCCTGCCCGCTGGATGGGGGTTCCAGTCGTTCTGGCAGAACTCGAACGCGTATGCGTATGGTGGTGACTCCGAGGTGTGGAATGGTGATGAGGCCTTGTTGAAGAAGTTCGCCAAGGGTGGTTAGTCTGGTTATGACTAGTATAGTGAGGGGCATTGTGTATAGGGAAAGGCTTGCGAGGAGATAATGTATCTAACTGCTTCTATCGCTTGACTCGGAATTGAATTCATCCATTTGGATCCATCTAGGAATATTGAAAGTGGAGTAAGGAGGAAGAGTTACAATCACTAAGCCTCCTATCCAAGGATGCCCAGCCGCCAATTCAGCCACAATCGGGCCTCCGTCGGCGATCCCGTGCGACGTTCTAGACAGGTCATGCTGCCATCTGATGTATACAGAAGACCATTGGTTAAGGCATTTGTATTGTTACAGGAGTTGAATGAGTGGTAGAAGGTGGCGTTCTTCCAGTTAATGCGATGGCTTAGGGCATGAAGACCTAGCCCTATTCCTATGCTATGAAGATGATATAGTTGCATGCTTTGTTAATCAGTCTTCACTTAGTAAACACGCAGTGCTTTAGTCTAGTGACCATCCAGACGTTATTCTGCCTATCACTTTTCATATATCTGCTTCATACTAGGAAGTGATTCCATGCGGAGATCAATATAGCAGATCCACGTTAAGTAAGACGATCTTCCATCTGTCACTATATCCTAGCTTCGCTGGTTGAAGATCCTCCAGACTCTTTTTATAGACACACACCATCATAAATGATGATCTACATGACCTGATGCAGTGGTACGTTTCATGTCACTGATCTGCCAACTCTAACTCTCCATATTCTATGGCATTGCGGGGAATGAAAAAATGAAACTCCCATCATGAGTATCCATCTTAAGCTATGATCAAACAATTTAGTAGCTGCCAGTTACAGAAATCAAACCCAAAGTGCATCACGTAAAGTCATAAATCATGATCTTCTCCCCAGCTATGCCTTCACCTTCGGCTGCCTCACCATGCAATAGAGCTACCTCAGATTAGCACCATCCAATACACACCCAGGCGTAATAAAGAAAGGTGAGAAAGAGAAAGAAAAAGGAAAGAAAGAAAAGAGAGAACAAACCTTACACGCATCCCCCCCATCCACACAATCCACTTCCCCAACAACCTCAAACCCCATCCGCCCATATATCACCAGATTTGGCATCCCGCGCGAACTCTCCAGGTAGCACGGCCGGCCCTCCCGATCCGCCCTACGCGTAACCACCTCCACCAATTTCCGTCCGACGCCCATCCCGCGCGCGGCCTCATCCACCGCCAACACATTGCAAAAGTAGTACCCCTGCGGGTCCGTCCACAGCTTCGCGTGCGCATCCCGCTGCAGCGCCTTCCACAGCCGGTAGCGGCGCAGGTTGAGCCCGCCGCGGCCGCCAAACCGGATGTTGAAGACGAGCTGGCGCGCGGACAGCAGCCAGTCCTGCGCCAGGGTTGTCCATGTTGGGGAGGCGGGCGAGGGCGGAAACCACCAGCTGACGCCGACGATGCGGGCGGGTTTGTCGGGTGTGCTAGATTGCTGAAGGGCGATGTACATTGGGGCGTTGCAGTTGAGGCCGTATTGGAAGTGCGCGGTTAGAGAGGCGGCGTTGCGGGCGATGTTGTACTATTTTGTTCATTTCTTTTCTTTAATTCATGTTCTCTATAGATTTACCCTTATTTATGGTGTGGTTTTATGGGGATTATATGTATGTGTATGGATGAGTGGTAGTGGTGGTAGGTATATGAAGCAAGGTCTGCAAGACGTACCCGTGACGCTGTAAACAACCAACAGAAATACGGATCCTCGGCAAATGCCGTCTGCACGCACTGAACGGCGGCGGGGATATCCCGCTCCGTCATGAGGACTATATCGATGGCCATGGTGTCATCGGATCAACGTCTATTGGCTCTGCGGGTGGGTTGGGACAGGGCGATGGTGTACACGTGCGAATGGTGGCGGAGAGAATCGAACGATAGCGCCATCTAAGTCGACGATAGTGGGGAGGCTAGATGGTTCGAGTGGTATGATGTGGGGGAGGAGAGGAGAGGAGCGGAGACTATTGTCTAGGGGAGGAGAGTCCAGTGGTGATATAGGGCGGACAATTCAAGGGACGGTGACGGTGGGGAGGAGAGCGTGACCTGGTCATAGGGGGGTGTGTAACCTGCTGGACCGGTTGATAAGGGATCCAGATAGTAGTAGTCATCAGTTGATCACACCTCTCACGGCGCTGTAGATGAAGCATACTGCGTCTATCTAGTCCTATCTTGGCAGTTCGAGGCGGAGGTCCTGTCCAATAAGGGATAGGAGATGCTGCGCGGGGGCGGGGGCTAGTGTGCCGCTAGGCCTACTATGGCAGGTCGTTCCGCCGCCCGCCTCACTCATTGGAATATTGATTTTTTGGCACTCACAGTCTGTATCCGCATGGCATTGCTTCTTGAAAATGTAAGTATAGCTATAGTTATATGGGATAAGTAAGGCGTGGTGATTAAGCAATCATCGAGCGAGTAGAACAGCAACCGTAGCAAACCAGATCTGATTGATCGTCCTGAAAGTCTACAATAAGCTGCTATCACCTTGGAGTGAGGGTCAGGACAGGAAGTAAGGTGTCGCAATAAAAGAAGGGGAATTACCACTTGGCTATAAAAGGTATCATGACACTTTTAAGCTTTTTGAGTAACCCTATATTCAGTACGACATATGGTATCCTACAAATATAGGGCATGACCGAGTGCCTGAGATTGTTAGGAAGAATAACCAACTGTTCCTGACTACTTTAACTTATCTACCATCCCTATCTCCTAATTTTTAGGCTTGTGGGACTCGGATCAAGCCAGCATGTCTAACTAAATATAGGCCTTGTGGGGGAATATGCAAAAGATCGACTGTAATCGGTCAATAGGGCCACCTGACTACAGACCAGTGTCAATGGTTTTTTTTTGCATCTTTTTGCATATATGAACCCTTTTCTTGACACATGTTTACTTTCCATATCATCGTGGTATTTCCTTAACAGGGATCTGTTAATTTTATCCATTTCCTCTCGCAGCATAAACGTATCGCAATTGTCTGAGTCATCTCTCGATACTACTTGCACAGTACACTCAATTGAAGAGTGTTCGTGAGCAATTGCTTTGCATTTATCCATTAGAGTATCTGAGTACACCCATACGTAACGCTCGAATCAATGTGGTTGCCATTCTGCTTTACGGATATGAACAACGCAAGGCTATATGAAATGATAACAAGACCACTCTTCATCGACTAGCTCACCTCCGACACCTTGCAGTACACATACAGCTACCTAGTTCATCAAAGGTGCGTCCAGCCGCATTATCACAAACTTCTGAGTCCCCTCGCCTCCCCACATACTAAATTCGATATTCACTTCCTCCATATCCTGCCATCCGAACTTGCGGTACAGCGAATATCCGTCCATGGTAGCCTCAAGGAATATCCCCACCTGGCGCTTAACTGCCTGTTCAATTCCCCAGCGCAGTAGAGTCGACCCCACCCCGCGGCCCTGATACTCGGGGAGGGTGCCCAGGAAGTCGAGTGCTAGAGTCCGTCAGCTGCCTCTCTCCATCGGATAATACATCCATAAATAGTCCATCACGCAGATATCTAGTTCTACTAAAAGCCAAACAAGACCAACAGGGGCAAGACGAAGACATACTAATTTCCGACTCTCGTAAGTACTTCGCCCGTTTCTCCTTGACCATAACAAGGAATTCCTGGATCATCTCGAGTTTCGTTCCCTCAGGGTACATTTCACCACGCGTGAGCCGCGCGATTGTCTCCTGTCCGTCGGCACTCAGTGTTACGGGGCTCGGTTCGTCGGGGATCGTCCAGCGCGAGTAGCCCACCACGCGCTTGTCGGGCGTGTCATCGTCCACAGCGACCAGGACTTGCACGGTCGGATCGGCCAGTTTGTCTAGACCCCGGGCGATCTTGAGGGGAAGGATAGCGGCGGGCTCCTGGCCTGGGAAGGCGTTTATGCTGAAATTTTGGTGGCAGAACGCGGCGACGTTTATGTTGCCTAGCGCGGGGGCGTCGGCCTCGGTGGCATAGCGGACGGTCACACCCATTCTTATGATGCTTGTTTTGTTGCGCTTCGAGAATCTATTAAGTGTTGGGCGGGTGGGAAGATGTTGTGACTGCGTCTACGGGAATAGATACTACTAATAGTACTCATATACTAGCGCGACTACTGACTAGTCCGGTCGCAATGTAACAGTGGTTAAGAGTCATTCGAACGGACCTCGCGGGGCGCGCTCGGGCGGGGGCCTTATCAGCTTCATCCGAGGTTTAGTGCGTACTAGTTGTCTAGTATTCATCACAATTTGGCCAATCAGTGCGCATGTAATCCCACTGTATTAGGTATCCGTATTCCTGACAGACGGAGATGTCAAAAAGAAGACAGATCTTGTCTCCACTAGTCTATGGCACAAATAAGCTCGACGCGTGGAGTGACTCATGCACAGCATACATCAATTGGTAGTAGCCTAGCCCAGGTGTTTTGTGGTGGCTCAACCCTAATACTTACTCGCCTCTTGGTCCCCACAAACGGACCGAGTATGGATAAAATTTTTGATCAGACAATGGAAGCAATTGCATTAGTGATATGAAGATACATAGTGTGGGATATAAAGATATATTAGTAGGTTGCTGCTGAGTGAATCAATAAATAATAGGTGAAGTACTGGGAAAAGAGCTACGGGTACATTATATATGTTCTAGATAGCGCATTTGATATACATACAATAACTCCCCGTCAACAATAAACTTAACTAAATATAACAGTCCTAGCGTAAATAATAGTTAATGTGTAAAAGATATTTATAATGACCAAATACTGTGTCAGTAAGCATCTCTACACCTACTAAACCTAGTATATCATATATATCACCTTTCCAGGAAGCAAATAACTTCGCAGTACGAAGTAGTAGCGCCTGCGAACTTAATGAAACAAGGAAAAAATGATTTGCAAAGATAATGTCCACTACTAGTTAGAGTGTGGCCTCTTGCCTGACTACTAAAGCTGACTAGTATGGTGGATTTTCTTATTTTTTCTACATGTTCGGACTTTTAACTCAAAAAAAAACCTACATTCTGGTCAATAATATAGGGAACTCGTCCCTCAATATACAGTCATGGTTATATACACTCATGGTAGATAGTAGCGTTCAATCAATGGTACTTTAGAATACAAATTGACGTTTGTTAGGGCTGTCTCTGATCTCGTGACTGCAATGTAACTCGAGAACGAGACAACACTTCGTGATATAATTAACGAGAGGGTGATTTGGTGGCAACATCTAGTTATTCTTGCATCGAATAGGCAAGCGAAAAATCCCGGAAGTCTCGCAGCGCTGTTGACCGCACAGATAACACGGTGTGATGAGAGATGGAAGACATCGGTAGGCCGGATTCTCCCACTGAGACAGTGAAACAGTATCAGCAAAAACAATGTGACTCGTCCACTGCAGACCAGGTGTGGGGGGCTTTGTAAACATGCCACTCCCTTCATTGAACATTGTTTCAGGGGATCAAGGGATACATGCAAGAGGAAGAATGTGTTGCCTTGGAGAGCGAGGACCCCTTGTTTCGTGCAGGCAGGTGCCTTGCATGACTGCAATCTGGGTGACCTGGGCAACAGTATCGACTGATCTGGACCTACTCAGGGGCTTCTGGTGTCTGAAGGCTTTGATTGGATTGAGTGAGTCCTCGAAGAGGGTTTACGTGGCTTCGGGTCATCTAGAAGGATGTGGTTAGGAGAACACTGAAGAGATGGTTACTGGGGCTAACAGATGGACATCTCATGTTGATGCTGAGTATCAGACTTCTTAGTGAGAAGGAGAAATTGATAGTCAAAAGGAGAAGATCATTGCTGCCGCTAGATTGTAATTGTCCACTCATTGGGGGTAAAGCCAATCTTGATAGTACTGCCGTATAGCTCACATGATTTGGCCATATGGCCATAGATTGTAGTAAGATAGTATAGCTAACTACGGAGTAACTGGCTCCTAATAATTGGATTAGTATGCTAAAAATAAACGCACGATGTGCTTATTCCAAATAGTAGGCTCTAAGTTTATACAGTACTGCAATTACTGCTTTACTCCATGTAAGACTGCTGGGTGTACTATACCACTCTGACTATGCCAAAATATATATTGCTCAAGATGCCTTTATGCAATCATCCATCTCGAACCTCGGAAAAGATAGACAAATGTATTGGTATGAAAATCATCTTTTTATACTAAACCTACCCTGATTAAGAAAAGAGATACTCCATAACCTATCCCCAGCAGGGTAGTTGCGCTCAACCTTACTTGGGAAGTGCTGATCCTGCATGGTAAGGGTGATATTAGATATTACCCAGGGAACCAGCTGTGACGAGATCGGGTAACTCCAATGGAATGCTGTGGCAGCAGCCACGTGCCATATCAGGAATCCCTGCCAAACAGGATCTTAGTAACTCCCCTGAAGGCTGCCTCTGTTGCTCGTACACATCAGGAAAATAGATTAAATCACCGCATCCAAGCCCTTGACACCAGGATCCACTGCCCTCCTGCGCTCTCAACTGGGCAAGCACTCACCCCCAATGGCGACCCGCCTACAACCACCAGGTCAAAGTATTTCCGTGTGACCTGAACACACTCCAATTATCTAGATCTCAGAGACCAGAACCATCTACAATCACAAGCATGCCTCCACCCGCTCTAGCTGCGCTGTCCACGCAGCTTCCGGGGACAAAGGAGGCCTACTCCCCTCTCCCAACGGTCCCTGATCCGATCAATACCCCTCTTACAAAGACAATCACCGACTCCTCCACCGGATCCACCCCACCAGCCTCCCCGACGCCCGCCCCTAAAAGACCCAGAACCAGGACAGCAACGGTGACCTTGACGCCGCTGGAACTGGACTATGATCCCACGCTCAATGCGAAGCCTTGCTCGCCCTTCTACCGACATGCAAGCATCAAGCAGTCAATACGGAATCTCGGCACACAGACCAAAGCGAGCCGCCCGTCCAGCTTTACCGACGCCGAGCAGGGCTTGGTGACCGGGGACAATCGGGGGTCCCAGCTCTGGGCCCAGAAGAGGCGACACTGTGACTGTCTGCGCGGACTATCGCGACGACAACGGTTGGCAACCAAGGTGGCCATCGCGATTGTGACGCTAGGGTGCATGGTCGCGGTGGCGCTGGGCATCTCAGTGGCCGTGGGAGGGGGCGTATGGAAGTCGAATCATCAGCATCAGGACATTCCACGAGCGTGGGATACCATTTTCTAGACCTGAGAGGTCTGGTTGTACAGCCTTTAGACACGGGAGGGAGAGGGATGTGTACAGTCGTTACTATAGTACAATAGGAAAGATCAAATCGAAGGTGTCCCAGGCTCCCACAGACAAATCCACCTCGATAATAGTTATGCATGGGATAAGAATGCCAGGTGACAAATTATGCGGGAGTAACTAAACTGCCTGAGGTGTCCGTCGGCTAGCTTCGGAAGGAAGGTCGGCCCGAGGGGCTCTCCACCGCACGTATAAAAAGCGCCGCATTCCTCTCGCTCCCCTTCTTTCTTTTTTCTTTTCTTCTTCACATCGAAAAAGCTTCACGGAACATGCCACGACCATCGTCCAGTCTTTACCCACGGCGATGTGTTGCCTTCGGTCTACGGATCGATCCGTTCTGGAGAATAAATCACTCCTTGATAGGAAGTTCGCCTCTCGTTGGGTCCTCTTCAGTGAGGGCGATGAGGGGGGAATGTCGATGACGGGATACATACCTTTTCTTTATTTTTATTTTATTTTTACTTTAAAAACACAATTCGTATTGAGTATCATGAATGCAATGTTTTCTTTCTGGAGTGATGTCTTGAACTTTTCGCGTACCGTGGTTTTCTGTAGTGTCGAATGGCCCCTCGGAAGGGTCACATTCTTCCATTCGTGGTCCCTAGACTTGGGAATGAGCTCCTGCGATCCTCAGCCCCTGTGGTATGGCACTGACGGAAGCTCACAGGGAGAGACAATTGGACCATGGTTCGCGACCTGAGAGAACTAGATCGGGTCTGTATCATCCCAAAGCTTGGAATGCGCCCCGCCATAACGGTGAAGATCGTGATCAGGCGTCGCTGGTGATGTTTACTTGTCCCTGGGGCGTGATCATACATTCTCCTGCTGATTTGCAAGGCGCAACAATGCCCGGGATGTTTGTTTACTTCCTCCTGGTTCCGCTGTGGCATGCCACTGGGGAATAAGGAAAAAAGGGAAAGCAGGATAAAAGGTCCAGCAACCCGATCGGTCAACAGTTCCATCGTCAACCTATTGAATCGTTGAGGTCCTCTTTGCGTGTTTTCTCTTCTGCGTGGACGTGTTTGATCTGATACTTTCGTTTGGCCAACGGCCCAAGTCGCTCTTTTACGAAATTTCTTTTGCAGCGTACGGGAACATCCCACCATTACCTCACCATGAAAGGATTTGTAGGTGGTGTGCCTGTGGCCTTGCTTGCCGCAGCGGCTTTGGCGCAGGCTCAGGAGGGCATCCGAGGACCTGCTCAGGTGAACGGGGCGAGCAACGTCCGCCGCCATCATATGGATTATGTGCCCAACGGCGATACGGTGATCGGAGGCCCGGGCGGAAGCGACTCGGGCAACAGTGCCGGCATTGACTTTGAGTCGGAGTTTTCTTCCGAAGTCAACGACGCGCAGGCTGATGATCATGGGGTGGACGTCAACAAGGCGACCGACTACCACCCACATCCCGTCCACAACGAGGTTGTGGAAGGCTTCGCGGATCCCTTCCCCGAGCCTTTGCTGGCGCCCCTACCCGTCCCAATCAAGAAACGCCAGTACGGCAATACGGCTATTGGGGGCACATCGGGATCAGACGTTGGCAATGCCGCCGACCTGAGTTTGGAGAGCGAGTTCAACTCCGAAGTGAACGATGGGATAATCCCGATCCATTATCGACGCCGTGCGAAGCGCCAGGGCAATTCCGCCATCGGGGGCCCTGGGGGGTCTGATAGTGGCAACAGTGCCGATTACGATTCCGAAAATGAGTTCGAGTCTGAGGTCAAGGATTTCGCCGAGGACGACCACCATGTTGACTACGATGAATTAAACAACATTCACCCTCACCCGGTCAAGAACCATATCACCTATCCGGTCCGTGAGCCCTATGGGGTGCCGGTCTTCGTGAAGCGCCAGGGCAATTCTGTGATCGGTGGCCCGGGAGGATCAGACAGTGGTAATGATGCGGACTATGAGTCAGAACAGGAGGTTGAGTCAGAGGTCAATGACAGTTATGCTGATGATCATCACATTGACTACGACGAGCTGAATGATATTCACCCGCATCCGGTTCACAACGACGTTAATTCTTATCCTGTTCCCGAGCCTTACCCCGAACCTGTCCCTAATTTCAATTCGGGGTTTATCGTGAAGCGCCAGGGTAACTCGGTCATCGGTGGCCCGGGAGGATCGGACAGCGGTAATGATGCGGGCTATGAGTCTGAAAACGAGTTCGAGTCCAAGGTCAACGATGCTTACAAGGACGACCATCATGTTGACTACGATGAGGTGAATGATATCCATCCTCATCCGGTTCACAACGACGTCAATTCTTATCCCGTTCCCGAGCCTTACCCCGAACCTGTGCCTAATTTCAATCCGGGGTTTATCGTGAAGCGCCAGGGTAACTCGGTCATCGGTGGCCCGGGAGGATCGGACAGCGGTAATGATGCGGGCTATGAGTCTGAAAACGAGTTCGAGTCCAAGGTCAACGATGCTTACAAGGACGACCATCATGTTGACTACGATGAGGTGAATGATATCCATCCTCATCCGGTTCACAACGACGTCAACTCTTATCCCGTTCCCGAGCCCTTCGGTGAGTCCTTGTTTGTGAAGCGCAAGGACGACACTGATTTCGACTTTGACTCCGACTCCGACTCCGACTCGAATGAGAGACACCATACCGCCCCTTTCAAGGGGGGAAATACCGTCATCGGTGGTCCTAGCGGATCTGATACGGGCAATGATGCTGCCTTTAACTTCGAGAATTCCTTTGATTCGAAAGTCAATGACGCCTTTCACGACGATCATCACTTTGACTATGATGAGGCAAACGATATCCACCCCCACCCGGTTCACAACGACTTCGAATCTCACCCCGTCCATGAACCGTTCCCCGTGCCCCTCTACGACCCGCTGATTGTGAAGCGACAGGGTAATTCTGCCATCGGTAGCCCCGGCGGATCGGACAGTGGGAACGATGTCGATTATTCGAGCGAACATGAGCTCGAATCTGAGGTTCATGACGCCCACAAGGACGACCACCACATTGACGCTTCTGTTTTGAACGACATCGGAGGTGGTGGAGTGTACAGTCACCAGACTGTCCCGCACCACGTGCCGGGGCCTGTGCCTGCCCCCTACGATGGTCCTGCCCCCTACGATGGTCCTGCCCCCTACGATGGTCCTGCCCCCTACGACGGTCCTGCCCCCTACGACGGTCCTGCCCCCTACGACGGTCCTGCCCCCTACGATGGTCCTGCCCCCTACGACGGTCCTGCCCCCTACGATGGTCCTGCATCCTTTGAGTTTCCTGGCCCGGAGTTATTCGAGGGACCCCAGCGTCCGGCTGCCGCCCACGACCCTCAGGTTCCGGCGGCTGTCCCCGGCCCTGCAATGGAGGAAAGTGCCCACGCCCCCCGGAGCGATGCTAGTGTCCATGGGCCTGCGAGCGGGAATGTCCCACCGTGCAGCACGGTCGTCCACGAGGTTGTGCACACTGTCACTCAGACCCTTCCCTCGCAACCGACGGTGGCTCACATGGGCATGTCCTCGGCTGTTCCCATGGCTCCCTTCGTCCACCACGCGCCCGCTAGCAGTGGCGGTGCGGCCTTGGGCGCAATCAAAGACCTCCCTGGATCGCAGTACGTCGCTCCGCCTAGCTCGTCCGCCGCGGCGCACATGTACGCCGTGCCAACCGGTGCGATGCCCAACGCTGCAACGCACGCTGCGCAGTACCCTGCATCCACTGTGACCATTTACAAGACCGGGTCCTCGGTGGCACACATGCACGCCATGCCCACCGGTGCCGTCTCTGGTGTCGCCATGAATGCCGCGCAATATCCTGCATCGACGGCGACTCTCCATCGCACCCCGTCCTCGGTCGCCCACATGATGAACGCTGTCCCGATTGCCGCCACTCACCCTGCGCAACAGCCTTCGTCTACCCTCACCCTCCAAAAGACCTCGTCCTCGGCACATATGCACGCCATGCCAACGGGAGCCCTGCCGATTGGTGCCACGCACCCTGCCCAGCAGCCCGCGTCCACTCTCACTGTTCAGGCCGCTTCGACATTCGTCGCGATCCCCGTGTACGTCCCGGGTGCGTCCAGTGTCGCCAGTCCGAGCGGAGCGACGCCTGTCGGCTCCTCCCACAGCAGCGCGGCCAAGGCGTCGCAGTCTGCCCCGGCCTCGTCGACGCCCGCGAAGCACCACGGTATGATGTTCACCGGTGGTGCGGCCGCATTTTCGCCCAACACTGCCCTGGTCTCTGCCTTTTGCGGAGCCGTGGCATTGCTGGCTTATGCTCTGTAATGGATTCATCTCCCGTTGAGTTTGGCGGACGATGATATTCGCCTGCGATATGTTCGGTATCGTTCAGGCCTGATTGCACAACGCAGTAATGTTCATGTCATTCGTTAGGACAGAATTGTGCTTTATGATTGATCTGTTGTCTTGTTTTTTCGTCTTCGAAACTAGTTTTATATGCTCTTCGTCCATTTAATATTATCATCTTATATGTCTCTCTTCCTTCTCGTGTTCCTACCAAGATGTAGTCAAGTTTGTAGTCGGCCTCATCCACCTTGTCCCTGGAGGCAGCGTTCAGGCACAACTCCGCAGATATCCCATGGATAGGCTCGACCAATCCGGCGTTCGGAAAAACCCCGTGAACAACATGGTCCGTATACGGTGCAATGTGCGTGCCCTACTTGTGTCGCCTCGCTATGGTTGTGAGTGGGTATCTACGTCATAACCCCAAGCCTATCAAGTTTTGATACGCTCACTGCGCACCACTGATCTCATAAACCGTACATCTTTTAGTGGCTGGCAGCTGTTTCAAATTGCCAGATCAGGAATCTTGTTGAGTGTCCGCCCCATGGTTCGTTGGTCAGCGACCAGTCTAGATACCTTGTCTCCACGCTGCGATAGTGGCTGATATCATGATGATGCGGCAATATCATCTGGAACGAGGTGACATCAGCAGTCTCAGTCTATATCAACAGTACACTTCGCTGTGCCTCTGTCTACTGAATTGCTTCATTCATCCTAAGTAATTCTCCGAAGCTTCTGCTCTCCCCAATTTGTCATAATCCTACCAAAGAACACCAACTCTAATCGAAACCTCCAACTCCCGCGATTCCATACCACACCTTTAACCCAATATGTCTTCCCAGAGAAACCAGACCGACGCCCACCAGGGCGGTTCGCTCTCTGACATGGCGCCCACCGGCACCACCATCCCCGGCGACGCCGGCATCCAGAACAAGATCCCGTCCGTGCCGCGCCCCGACCAGCGCGCAGAGAACCCACACTTCACCAACGAGGGACTGGGTGAGCCTTCGGGTGCCTTTGCGGCCGACAACGACACCAGCATGCCTCGCGACCCCAGCGATATGTCCGGTCCCACGGGGGAGGTGGTCACCGGTCAGGGGAATACGCTCCCTACGGGTGCAGAGACGAAACGGAACGTGGGGACCTTTGGGGGTGATGTTCGGGAGTTTAAGCATGCAACTTCGTCGTGATATGTTGATTAAAATGTGCTATTGTTGATTTGTTGTTTCTTATAATTTGATTTTTATTTTCAAGAATATGTTGAGTAGATGTAGTTAAGTTGATCGTCATGCTTTGATCGGCTGGAAAGATCTTATCGCGGAGAAAGGTAGCCCCGCGCCACTGAAAATCATCTATCTTCGTAGATTGTAGTTACTGCAATCCACCGTCATCGACCGGTCCAGTCAATCGTTTAATACATGACTGTCATGAAAAGCTTGAAATCGATCTAATATGCCGGTCGGAAAGTCCCTCGCCCTGAGCCAGAATTCCTTCGTGGAGCCGCCCACTCGTGAATTCGAGCTGGAGGAGTCCGCCTCTCCGACACACGCCCGGCCCAAGCGCCAGGCCAATCTTTACGATGCCGTCGCCGGTTGGTCTTCCCTATATTCTCCAGACGAATTAAATATACTAAGAAATCAACAGGTCGAGTGAACGCCCACGGGTTTATCCCATCCTTTCCCCACGCGTCCAAATACCGCGACACCGCCTCCTCCAACCGCTGTCCCGTCCGTCCAGAAGAAGTCCTCTTCCGCCGTCAAAACGCGCCCGACCGTTACGAGGAAACCGACTTTTACTTCGCGCACGAGACTCTCCCATCAGACCGGCCGCTACCGTCCTCCGACCTCCTCGAGGCCCTGCATACCTACGCTGCTGACTTCTACGATTCCGCCGTCCCCGACCGCGGGCGCCTTGACATCCAGAGCTTGGACGAGACGGCGCTCCTTGCGACGGGTATCTTGCTCGAGGAGATGGCTAAGGAGTCGCTGGGTGAGACGGGAGATATGGTGCTTGTCGAGGGGGAGGAGATTCTCTCCGACGATGATCTGCCGCCGGCGAGACTAAGAAGTCTGCGCCGCAAGAGGTCCCGGTCGCGGGTGGGGAGTATCTTGCCAAGTTCGGGGGATGATCTCGATAGTGTGGTCAGAAGGAGGAGGTCGAAGAAGAGGCGGCTGGCGAGGGAGGCATCGACGACCGATTTTGAGCCCGAGGGAGCGAGAATTTGATCGGCTGGAACCCCGTCGGCTATTATCCGTTTTCTTTTTTTACGAGCGGGCTTGTGATCGGATGACATGGACGGGTGGCCAGTTTGTTGATTAGTGGCTGCAGTTATAGGCCTGGGCCATGCCGTCTGAGACGTTGGCCTGGAACCGGTCCCGATATTCCTGGCCCTTGCTCCCGAATACACCCACCGACTGGCAATTCGCTGAGGCTGGGCTCAGACATAGTTTAACTATTTACGAGCGAGCGAACTAACAAGGACGACGTTAGGGCCTGACAACCGGCACTTCCCTCATTCAGGCTATCCGGGGGACGCTCAATCAATGAGACACCACGCCAGGGCCCTTGCCTCGCCTCGCAGATGGTCAGATGAATCAACCGCATCCCCCGACTAGCCCTCGTTCTAGCCTGTCAGGCTCTCGTTCCTCCAGTACTTCCACCAATATTGGCTGGATAATCTCCTCGTTGGCCATGGCCCAACACACGCTTGCGTCTGGAGGCGCAAGCTAATGGACTTGGCCGTTGCAGTTTCAGGCTTAGAGGCGGCACCCCAGATTGCGACCCCCGCGTCAGGAACTAGCCGTTTTCTCCCATCATCTCCTGCGGTGATTTGCATTCTCACCTATCATCTCGCCTTCTGCAATTAGCCTGAATAGACATTTCAGTCGTTGACTGCTTGTCTCACGCGATCGGGCTCGGATTGCGCCTCAGCAAATCATGTCGTGAGCTGGGGTAAATGGTCAGTCCGTAGGCTTGAGCGCCTGGCTCCTCGGCTCGTTTCGCTCGAGGGCTAGATTGGCTAGACCCGTTGACCCTTGTTGTTTCTGGGACAGATGCCATCCTGAAGGATGCCTTGAATGTGGCAAGGGTGTCTTGTTTCGGTTTTCCTGTCAAAATCAGTTCTTTTTGTCCTTTTATCTTTATTTTCCATATGATATTATATGTTATTTTCCCGGCAAAGGAGGACGCCTCCGGACCCTGACTGCCGCCTGTTTAGCCGTACGCATCGAGTCGCATCGTGCATTCCGCCGCGCCGGGCTACTTGATTGATGCATGGATGGGAAAAATAGCCTATGGAAATTAGTCTCCGGCAGATCTCAGGGTTCATAAGATGGCCCTGTCCGCGTGCAAGGAGACTGAATGTCTGCTCTGTGGATGATTGTGCTTGTTTATGAGAGCGAACAGACATCGGCGATCGACTGATTTTCACCTGGGTTCCTGATTCCAACCTCTTCGCCATGGGGTCCGATACCTTCGAGCTGGCCGGACGCCAGTTCCCCAGTGTTACTTGGTACAAAAATCCGGGGATGAGAAAGACCTACATCTGCTTGATGTTCGTGGTCTTGACTTCGGTACGAATTCGTGTCGCGACCAGTCGTTGCACATGCTAACCTTGGACAGGCTACCAATGGCTACGACGGATCGATGATGAACGGATTGCAGATCTTGATACCCTGGCAGGAATACTTCGGTCACCCGACGGGCTCGAGTTTGGGCATCCTCAGTGCGATCATGTCCCTCGGGTCGTTGGCGGCGCTCCCGGCGGTGCCGTATACGGCAGATATCTTGGGTCGTCGCATGGGCATCTTGATCGGCTGTCTGATCATGTAGGTGGCTGGTTTCCTTTCTATTTGGTTCTGACGGGACTATGCTCATTTCCGCGGACAGGATTCTCGGCGTGGTTCTGCAGAGTATCGGCGCGACCTACGGCATGTTCCTGGCCGCACGGTTCCTCATCGGCTTTGGTGTGGCCATTGCCCACGGGGCCTCCCCACTGCTGATCACCGAGCTGGTCCACACCCAGCATCGTGCAATCTTCACAACGATCTACAACAGTACGTTTTCCTACTCACTTCGCTTGATGTCCCTGTTGCGCAATCAGTCCCACTAACGGGCTTTCTGTTGTCCAGCCACCTGGTATTTCGGCGCCATTGTAGCTGCATGGCTCACGTTCGGCACCAACAACATCAAGAATGACTGGGCGTGGCGTGCCCCGTCCATGGTGCAGGCGCTCCCGTCCATCATCCAGGTCATCTTCGTCTGGTTCGTGCCCGAGTCGCCTCGGTTCCTCATCTACAAGGGCAAGCACGAGCAGGCGCTGAAAGTGATGGCGGACGCCCACGCCAACGGCGACCAGGAGGACGAGGTGGTGCAGCTGCAGATGCACGAGATCAAGGAGACGATCCGGCTGGAGAAGGAGTTCGAGAGCAACGGTTGGATGGAGCTGATCCGCACCAAGGGCAACCGGCGCCGCATCCTCATCTGCATTACGGCGGGGTTCTTCTCGCAGTGGTCGGGCAACGGGCTGGTGTCGTACTACATCAAGATGATCCTCGAGACGGTGGGCTACACCGACACCGTGCAGCAGAACCTCATCAACGGCTGCCTGAACATCCTCAACCTGATCGTCGCCCTGACCATGTGTTTCTTCGTCGACAAGATCGGCCGCCGCCGGCTCTTCCTGATCTCGACGGCGGGCATGCTTGTCGCGTTCATCGTGTGGACGATCTGCTCCGCGCGCTACGATATCCACAATACTTCCTCCACCGCCGGCGCCGTCGTCGCCATGATCTACCTGTACTACGTGTTTTACAATCTCGCGTGGTCGGGTCTCCTGGTCAGCTACACGGTGGAGATCCTGCCTTATAGCATCCGCGCTAAGGGCATGACGGTGATGTGGTTCTGCATTGATGCCGCCCGTACGTCTACCCCTCCCCCCCCCCCAATGACTTCTGTCCATAATGTATTATACTAACGTGGAAAATAGTCTTCTTTAACCAGTACGTCAACCCCATCGCGCTAGATGCCATTCAGTGGAAATACTACATCTTCTACTGCGTGTGGCTGGGCATCGAGCTGGCGGTGGTGTATTTCTTCTACGTGGAGACGCGCAACACGCCGCTGGAGGAGATCGCCAAGTACTTTGATGGAGAGAATGCCATGGTCGGCGGGGCGGTGGCGACCCAGAAGGCGCGCGATCTGGCGTCGACGCTGGAGACGGAGCCTGTGAATGAGAAGGCGCTTGTGAATGAGAAAGAGCTTGTGAATGAGAAGAATGTTTGATTCTGTCTGTCTGGTTCGGTTCTTTAGTTTGGTCTTTTGATTCTCTATTCTATCTTATTTTTAAATCATTTTATTCTGTTTCAGTTCTCTCTATCCTATCTATTTTGTTCTGTCCTCTGTATTAGATCTATTCTATTCCGTTCTCTCTATTTCATCTATTCTATTCTTTCCAATATAGTAGCAGTAGTGTTTGCCGCCTGAATCATGTGTCCACTGCCTGAGGCCTTACCCAGGCAACATGTTATCTACTTCAATAACCTCAACTGGATCAACCTCAATCCTCCCTCTCCATCCTCCTCAACCAACCACACCCAATCTCAACAACCTAACCATCCTAACAACCATGGTACCCTCCCCCCTTCCCATCTACACAAACAAATAAAAGAACAAATTCTAATATAAACAGGCCCCCAAAATCCCCAAAAGCACCAAACAAGCCCTCATCATCTCGCACCTCCAAAACTCCGCCACCTGCCACACACTACGCGATCTGGAGCGCGCCCTCCCAGCCGTGGCCTCCATCGCGAGCATCCAAGTCAAAGAGTACCTGCAGGAGTTGACGGACGGGGGCCAGATCCACGTGGAGCGGATCGGCACGGTGAACTGGTACTGGAATTTTGCGGGGGTGGAGCAGCGGGTGCGGGAGGAGCGGGTGTCTCGGTTGGGGGAGGAGCGGGATCGGGTCCAGGCTGGGGTGGAGGGGTTGGTGGGTGCTTTGCGGGAGAGGGAGTTATTGTTGTGTGGGGAGGGAAAGGATGATGGTGATGTTGAGGGGAGAGGGGAGGTTGGAGGAGGAGAGGAAGGTGGTGAGGGGGGTGAGGGATGCGCTGAGGAGGGAGTTGGGGAGTTGTGGTGGTGGTGGTGAGGGTGGGATTGGGGATAGTGGAATGGATGGGGAGATGCTACGAGGGGAGATTGCGCGGTTGAAGGAGGAAGCTCGTCTGTGGACGGAGAATGTGTGGGTTATGGAAGGGTATCTGGAGCGGTTGGCTGGAGGGGATCGTGAGGTGGTTGAGGCGGTGCGGAGGGAATGTTATGGGGAGATGTATGGGGAGGGGGAGGGGTTGGATGTATCCTAATATTTTCTTTCTTATAATTATATCATCATAATAGTTATTCCTCTAAATATCATAAATATCCTCTATGCTGGTGAAGTTGAGATATAGATGATGGAAAGCCATCACGTGCCCGCGAACCGGTCACGCCGAGCCACAAAGAAAGCTTGACTTTCTCCTTCTCCGCTTATCTTCTTCTTCTCTTCTCTTCCCCTGTATCTCACTTGCTCTCTTGCTCACCTCACTTCTCTCCTTCCCTTCCCTTCTCTTCTTCTCCTCCTCTTCCACCCTCCATTTCACTCTCTTACTCCCCCACATCTCTCTTGTGGATCCCCTCTCTTCCATCCTTTACTGCTCTCTTCCAATTCCCCCCTCCTAATCTCTCCTTTCTCTCCCCCATTCCCTCCTTTACGGAGAACTCCGGACTATATCTCACCCCCACCACAACACCCTCGATCGTCCGCACCTTTCGATCTCCCCCCAAAGCCACTCGTCGATGCTCGATCGTCCTCGTCTCATCCAAATGATGCCGCTCGATCGTCCGTGTTTGTGACTCCCTCGTATCTCCTTTCTTCGTCCCCCTCCCCTCTTCCACGCCCTCCGATTCCGACCTCCCGTCGACGCATCCCACATCTCGCCGATCGCCTGCATCGTGGCCCCTTACCCACCTCATACGCGCCCGATCCGACCCGGTCACAATTCGATTGATCCATCAGCCGTCTTCCTCGCGACCTGATCTCCGACAGTCCCGTGGTGTGGGAGACCACGGTCAACTCCTACTCCCTCGATCGCCCCTCTAATATCCCTCCTCCATTCTCTCCCTCCGCCTTGTCTTCCTTAACCCCCACACGTCAACCCCCTTGCGTGTGACCACCTGCGTCCCATCTGGAACACCCCCCATCGAGTGTCTGGACTGTTCTGCATCTTTCCTGCCGAGGGAAACTCGGATCCGCCTCCCTCTCCTCCTTCCTCTCCTCCCTCTCCTCCCCTTCGGTGGGTGACACATCGCCTCCCCCTTCTGTGTCTGGTCAAATCGCGTCGTGGTCGCCGTCGTGCTCCTCCCTCTTCTTCCTTCCCGCCATCGTTGTGTGGATCGAACGACCTCGGGCCCCTGTGTCATGTCCGTCAATTCGTTCCCCGCGCAGTCCTCCTCGCCGCTTGGTCGGAATCGCAGCTCCCTCCTGTCCAAGTTCCGCTCCCAACTCGGTCAACGCAATCGCAGTCTCGCCGATTTTTATATCGAACCCGACGATCCCTGGCGCTCGTACTTCCCGGGCGATGTCGTCACGGGTACCGTCGTCCTCACCGTCGTCCGCCCCGTGCGCATCACCCACCTCGTCATCAGTCTCCATGGCGTCGTCAAGGTCTTCAAGAATACCGTCCCCTCCGGGGAAGCCGCCCCGGAGGTGTCGTCCCTGGGTCCTGGCCGCGGGCGGCGCGGGGCCGAATATCTGGGCAACGGCTTGGCCACCCTCTTCGAGGACGAGGTTGTCCTCTGCGGTGAGGGTCGTCTCAAGGAGGGCATCTACAAGTTTCGCTTCGAGATGTCCTTCCCGCCGTACGCCCTGCCCAGTAGCATCAGCGTGCGTGATCCCCTTCCGTGATCCGGGGCGCCCCGGAAAACCCCCTCCCTCCCTACTAACTAAACGCATCTAGTTCGAGCGCGGCACCATCGCCTATTTCCTTACATCCACCCTGACCAAACCGACCACCATAAATCCCACCCTCACCTGCCGCCGTCGCATCAACCTTCTCGAAAACATCGACATCGCCCCCTTCCCCGCCCCCAAGGCGCGCATCGTCACCCTCGAGCCCGTTTCCAGACGCTCCAAGTCCAAGGCGAAACCTCGATCCAGCGCGACCGATCCTCCCACCGACTCCCCAACATCGCTGGACCCCGGCCACGGCGCATCCGCGTCCGACCCGCCCCCGTTGAGCCCGGCCCCCAGCAACGTCAGCTCGTCGAGTCACCGGAGCAACAGCACCCAGAGCTTCCAGATCACCGGCAGCGACCCCAGCTCGTCCACCGGGACCGGCGTGCGCACCAGCGAGGCCCGCAGCCTCACCCCGTCCCTGGGGGATCGGACCATCACCGCCAAGACCGAGGTCCTCCGCGCCGGCGTCCTCCCCGGCGACACCCTCCCCATCCAGGTCACCATCGCCCACTGCAAGCAGGTGCGCAGCGCCCACGGCATCATCGTCACCCTCTACCGCCAGGGTCGCATCGACCTCCACCCGGCCATCCCGGTCGGCCGGTCCGCCGAGGGCAAGAAACCCGTCTACGAGGACTACTACCCGCGCTCCCGCACAGGCCTGGGCGGGCTCACTCTCGGTACCAGCCGCAGCAGCAGCGTCTTCCGGAAGGACCTCGCCCAGGGCTTTGCGCCCCTGGTCGTAGACCCGTCCACCCTGACCGCTGTCGTCAAGACCTCGATCCGCATTCCCGAGGACACCTTCCCGACCATCACGCGCACCCCGGGCAGCATGATCAACTTCCGCTACTACGTCGAGGTCGTCGTCGACCTGCGCGGCAAAGTCATGGCACCCGATCGCTTCCTGCCGCGCTTCAACCTCATGTCGTCCGGCGGCAACTTCTCGCCGAGCGGCAAGGTCCTCAACTCGCCCGACGCCGGCAGCGGCGCCGCCATCACCGCCAACTGGTCGGGCAACATCCTCGACACGGACCAGATTCGCCGCGAGAAGGGCGTCGTCGCCGTCGCCTTCGAGGTCGTCATCGGCACGCGCGACTCGCACCGTACGCCGTCGGCCCAGCGCACCCCGTCCACTGCCGCCGGATCCGACGCGCGTTCCGAGGATCACGGGTCGCCGGAGGAGCCGACGAGCCCGCGGCGCGCGGGAGAGACCGCCGACCCGACCGCTTCGCCCGCCGACTACGGGTTCCCGCCCCCAGATGCCTACTGGACCGAGTACCCCGAAGGGCCGCCACCGCCGCCGCGACCGTTCCAGTCGCTGGGCGAGATGGTGGCCACGCCGCCGACGGAGGAACCGGTCGACGAGAAGACGCGACTCCGGCGCGCGGAGCAGACCCTGCTCCCCAGTCAGCCGCCCGCGGCGGGAGCGGCGGAGGCAGAAGATGCGGGCGTGGGGCCCTCGTCCGCGCCGGACGCGGCTACGCCCACGGCGCCGGTGCTCGAGGACGACGACCGCTCCATCCACGGCTACCAGCATCTACCGTCTCCCGCGGTGGACGGCAGCGGCAGCCGATCCGCTCTCCCGTCGGCGGACTCAGACCAGACGGTGGTCCCGGGCGGGCCGCACGTGGACGACAAGCAGGAGCTGGAACGACGGCGCCTGCTGATGGAGGCCAGCGCGCCAGGGGACCACGATTCTCCTGTCGCGGACGGGCCCAGTGCCCCTTTATTCCACGAGGACGATGACACCCCGCTGGTCGGGCGTACGGCCCCCGCGGATGAGACTCTACCTCGCTATCAGCGATAATATCGGCTAGATCCTACTCCGACGACTTTGCGATGGGCGGACGGAAGTGGCTGACCGACGGTGAAAGCCCGGAAGCACATCCCCCGGGGATGGGGCGGGTGTGTCTGCATGGAATGTTTGCATTGTTTTTTGTTGCCCTTCGGGTTCCCGGGAGATACCATCTTGTTGGCGCTGGCTCACTTGTTTCTTCTTCTTTTTCTTTTTTTTTTTTTTTTTTTTTTTTGATTGATTCCCTGCGGCCCAGTGATGACCATCCCACTGGGGGATGAGGGCGTTTTGGGTGGTGTTTGGAGGACGGATCTGGGATGGCTGGCCGACCCGCCAGTTCTTTGTTTGTGTCTGCATGGTTTGATAGCCTGTTGGGGAGTGAATCTCCCCGGTGTACATAATGAATGGGGGTGTGATTGCACACCGGTCAATGAATGATTGCTGAGTGATCTGCTTTGTAGACTGGTGTATATCTAGGGGCTATTTCCTCTTCTTCCTTCTCTTCTCCCCCCCTCCTCTCAATCCTCTTCTCTTCCTTCATACACTATATCAAATGAACCCATCTTCCCGCGCAACATATTTCTCTCCACCTGATATCTATTCAGAGATATGTCCTCAAGCCTCATGAGTCCATATAATATGATGAAAACAGGACAAGTTCGAACCTGATCCGTTCAGAAGGCCCTCTTCGCCTTCGATACCCTTCGGCGACCCAAAGGCACCACCACAACTACAACCACCACCGCGCTCAGAGACGCTGTTCTAGCTGGTACGGCATAGGACTGCAGAGTCTACCGTCGTATCCATTCTGATATATCACACCATACCGAGGCTTTTTGCAGACCCTAAGTGTCATGGCATCTTTTATAGTCGGTTGGACAACTGCAATCAATATGCTTGCACACAGTTACAACAAAATCAGACTGTGTCGGCCGTGCACTTCCCGCACTTCTGTCTGCGAACAGGTACGTTTGGACAAACTCAACATCCTTTGATTATAGCTGATGAACTTGACAGGCAGCAACAGGGATGCTGGGTGACTCCTACGATCTCGCCTGAATATCCAGTGGGCTAGACAACGGTCTTGTGCCCGCATGATTTCACCAAACGGGTCAAAGCGATAACCCCCAGAACAAGATGAGCCATAGCCGAGTTGGAAAGGCTCGTTCTTTGACCTCACGCTTGAAAATCGGCGGTTGGGGAGTCCTGCGAGGTATCGTTTCCGATTATATCAATCAATCGACATATACCTCCTATGTGGGCTATCAAACTTATAGATACCCAGAATAGACCAACAAAATGGTTATATTTATCAATCGGTCTGTCTGGGCCTAGAAACAATCAGGGCAACTGATCACAGGTTCCTCCCCAGGCAAGTACTGCCAACGAGGTGCCGGATAATTATGAACTCGGGTACCAGATGGGCAGATCACTCTAAGAGAGAGAGAGAGAGAGATATACATACCTCTCCAACCTAGCTTCGCCAATCAACAACGATGTGCAACTTGTCTTCATTGAGAGGTGATATGACAGCTCATAATACCCATATATGCATTATGCCGTACCATGTATATACCAGTGGTATAACGCTCTGCCGCCAGTCGAGACGCACCCCAGAGATTACCTTCTCGAGTACACCTTCGGTAATTTACCATGCCGGGTGCTGTGGAAGGAGTACACTTGAAGGCATTGTTATGAGAAGGCATGTATAGCGTGGGAGATATGCCATATATATATATCGACTATGGTGACAACAAGCAATCTCTAGCCAAAAGGGGAGAGCTGCACGGGATGTTATACTTACATCATATCAGACATTCTCCTCACGCCATGGGCCTGCAGTGGCCAAAGAATATTGTCGAAAACAGAAGCTGCCGTGGAATGACACCCAATGATCAGTCCCATGCTATAATTGGTAGCATGTCGTTGTGTTCGTTCGTGTCAATCACGTACTATCCACCACCAGATTGAGAACATTCAAATCCATCTTGTGACGCTGAAGAGAAAAGACCTCGGTGACATAATGCGTTATCCAACAACATACAAGACCGAGAACATTCATTTACATCTTGCGACGCTGAACGGCAGAAGTACCTTAAGCGGTCGCTCATGTCACGGCTCTATGCAGCAGGTTGTCCTGTTACCACGCTGAATGGAAACTACCGGAATCATAGCCAGATCCTGGAAATCTTCAACCGTGGCGTGTATGGTGGGGAAATATTGCCTACCCCGAGTTAGCAATGCGCCTGACAGGGTCTCGGTGATGTGTTGCGGTTTTCAACAGAATATAAGATCGACCAATCGATGAGACTCAAACGATACGAGGTGTGAAGGAAAGAAACGGACGCATGTTCAATCTCGTCTCCGACACTGTTTGTGCCTCTGGCTGGGGTCTCACTCGTCGAGCAGGAAAGATTATTGAGATACTGACGATATTCGGGTTTGAAAGGCAGATATTGCTCAGAAGAGGGCAAATTGTGGCGTGCATGTTTGACGTCCGATTGAGATATGGCCTGCTTTAACTATCACAAGTCGGTTTTCAGGCTGGGCCTGGAGTACAGTCCAGTGGTCTTTTATGATGAAGCTTAAGCCTGACATTTTCAAAAACTTGTTGGTTTATTACTTGATCAAGATAAGCTTGAGGTCAGAGGATGATATATGTTATATGCTGGAGTGAGTGGAAAGATGTTGTGAATAATATTGGAAGATTGTTCTATTCAGCGCTCTGTCATGACTCGTGTTTGACATGAAGAGCGAACCTTGCATGTACTATTATGTGGAATATAGAAAGGTTGTCTTGTGGGCTGAATTGGGCGAACAATTTGTCATAACTATATTGATAGTGCGGAGTATATGATGAAGCAAAGAGTATAAAGTGTTTCTCTTAAATAATTCATGGCCCACTATGACTTCAAAAGACCAGAAGGCTGCATTCCAGTCACTGCGGTATGTTGCACAGAATAGGCCGCCCACCAGCGGTCCTACTGCATGGAGATTTGGCCACCACTCAACTACCGGTGGATTCCTTAGATAGGGCTTGTAGGCCCTATGAATAGGATGGCCGTAATAGCAGTGCTAGACTTGGCCTGCCGCCTAGCCGTAAGACACCCCAGCGTCTAATGAATGGACGAGGGGCGTAGTTCACTCGTAACAATAATTGATCCCAATGAGTGAGTGGAACGAGGCTGAAAGGGCAAGACTAGCCGGATGATTGCCCAGTCTATAGACCGTGCAGTATCGGCAGGAAAGAAAGACAGGTGTACGACAGCGCCCATGTCTGCCCACCACTGTACCTCTGCAGACTGCAGTTCAATCACGGATTGCTGCAGGAATCTCTCCCAGCGAGGTGCCATCCGTGCGACCTTTCGATCCGCAGGGATTGTATGTAGGACCGCTCGGAGATTTAGCAAGGGCTAATTACTGTCCACTAGCGAGCGCTCGATGAAAATTGCTATTAATATTTCAGATGTGGATCTATTTTGGGTTCATCAATCACACCTATTTTCCTCTGTTAGTGTATATTTTTGATCAGAACCCCGCAGTTCTTGGACTGTTCTAAGAATATATATCCACCTAATGATGATCCGAAAGGCGCTTAATTTGGGGTGTTGGGTCAGATTGGTTGGACGAGCGATGCCGATGTGTGACCTCGGGACAATCCGTACAAAGGGGATGGTGACATGAGACACAGGGGTCTGTCTGGCAAAGAAGGACATTGATGGTGGAACCTGTCATCTTGGTAGGATCTGTTAGTTTTGATAGTAAATGAAGATGAAGTGATAGATCAGATGGATCAAAGAACGGTCTGCATGAAAACTTGGCGCATTTTGCCCATTTGCATCATTTGTCTCCTTTGTCTGCTTTGACCGATTTGTCTCCTCTTATCTTGATCTTATCTTCATTTTATCTCAACTTCATCTTCGTCTTCACCTTCATCTCTCATATCCTCATCTCTCCATATCTTACGTTCTCATGATCTTCATCTTAATATTGCCCCATCTCCATCCACACCGTTCCACTACCGTCTCTTAGTCTCAACCGCGACCATGACAAATTCAATATTTAGATTCTACCAACCGTGTGACAGGATGTGACTCGAGATCGAGACTGCAGGATTAGCGGCGAGCTAACCCATTCCCAATCAAAGGTCCTTAATTGACGCTCTGCAAGGCTAATTATGGAAGCCTTGCTTGCCCGAGTGAGCCAATTTACTGCATCCTGCTCCTGCAGCTAGAGCTCACTGTCACATCTGGCACGCAACATTCGATCATGAATGGTCCATGGTTGGCGGCGGGTTTCCCGTCCCTGCACCAACTCCCCGTCCGACTCAACCAATCCTGCAGTCAGATGGGAAAGCTTGGCTCCTGGCGCTACTCTAGTATCAATTGTGGGCTCCCCCGTATAGCGGTCTCCATCACCATCCCCGCTTCATTCTCGCCAACCTCGCTCCTCCGCCTCCCCCCCGGTCCATGCTCCGTGCTCAGTCCTCAACCATTACCCCTTTGGGACTATTGTTGGCTGGGTTTCCTAAATTAACACCCTCGTTTTGTTTGTTATTGGTCAAACATGTCCGGGTCCAAGCCTAATGTCTTCATGTCACAAGGTCACTTCGTTCCTCTCTCCAGTCTCCCACCCGATGGATATCCTCGGAGATGCTAGCTAGAACATGGGGATAGAATCTTACAAGACCACCTAGGGAGAGACGATACGATGGGAGATAAGGCCGTCCTATTGGGACAAATACCTCACAAGAGAGGAAAATAAAAATAAGTATTATATAAGATAAAAAAAGGAAGAAAGAAACCCACAGGTTGCAGTCGCACAGATCCCTCCCACGGGCAGACCTCATCCCAAGAACGAGAAGATCTCTCCTCAGCCAATCACCCCCTCCAAGAAGCTGAAGGATGCGGCATGGGCGCCAACGCTGGTGGAATGATCCCAAAATTATCCAAAATTAGCCTCAGTTCCCGGCCCGTGCATGATGTCCTCCCCTGCTAGCGGATCGTCCCTGCGATCAACCCTCTCCACCAATCGAGCCTGCGCGCCCACCACCGCAATTGGATCTCCCCTCCCCAAGGTTGGCGTTCGAAGGTTCCTGCGGCGTGTGCGATCAAAATAGAAACACCCCCGGTCCATGATCGGTCCATCATGTCTTTATTAAAGCTTGCAATTCCCGCCGTCTCCTCGGCCGGTCTGGTCTCTCACCTCCCAGCGTGTTGATTCGCCTCGCTTTCATTCTCTTAACCCGCGCGGTGTTGCTTGAATTGGTGTCTGCAAAGCCTGCTGGTTCAGCTTTGCCCTTAATCTTGCCCTCAGCTCGCCAGTCGACTGTGTTCCGGTCCTTTCCCTTGTCCGCATTCCCCTTTCGGATTGATTCCGAATTACGGTTCTATCGAATCTATACTTAATCAACCACGATGCCGGCCGCTCCGAAGAAGAAGTCGACCTCGACCAACGTGATGTCGACCAAGATGATCGAGTCGCAGTCATCGTCCGGGAGTGAGGAGGCCTCGGGGCTCATGGATAAGGCCTCTGCCAAGCTGCACAAACGGTCTCGTTCCGGTAAGCGTCACTCTGTTCTCTCCCAATCCTGGACAAGGGGCCTGGTTACTCAACGGACGCCGAGAAATTAGGATGCTTTACGTGCCGTCTGCGTCGGAAGAAGTGTGACGAGAAACACCCGTCTTGTGGAGCCTGCAACAACCTCAACGTGAAATGCGAATATAAGCGCCCCATCTGGTGGGGGAATGCCGAGCAGCGGAAGATCCAGAAGGAGCGCATCAAGAACAAGATCAAGCAGACCAAGATGAATGAACGCAATGGGACCATGACTGGTAGGTGTCTTCTTCACAAGTCTACCCTTTCCTAAAGGGATCCCCCCCTCCTCCCAACCCTCCTCTCGTCTGACCCAAGACAGTCGATGCGTCGGGCCACAGCCGCAGTATTACGGTCACATCGCCCACCGCAACCGAGTTCGAATTTGGCCGTCCCGTCTTCCCCGAACAGTACGACATCTTCTCTTCCTCCCATATGCCGACCCCCGTCATGTCCCAGGCCCTCTACCCGCAGTGCACCCCCTACGAGATTGACGTCAAGACCGAGCGACACACCTTCGTCAACGACGTGCCCCTGCGCCACGACTCATCGACCTCCACCTTCAGTTCTTTTGCGCCCCCGCAGTTGAATGCCCCCCTTCCCACGTTCCCCGGCGAGGAGTGGTTCCACGATGAGTACTTCGGCCAGGCACAGCCCGCCCTCCCGGGTATCGACCCGACCCTCTGCGACCCCAGCCTCGATCAGACGTACGCCCTCCTGCAAGCCAACATCCCCGTGTCCGACCACGACCGGCCCCTTCTCGACCACTTCATCCACAACGTCCTGCGCATGATCTTCCCGGTACTAGAGGCGCACCAGCGCGGACACCTGCGCGCGCAAGCCATCTTGCAGGCGCTGGAGACGAACCGGTGCTACCTGCACTGCTGCCTCAGTGTGGCCGCCATCCACCTCAAGACCACCGAGGGCATCGTCGGCGAGCAGATCGACCACGACATCATGCGCCACCGGTTCGAGGCGGTGTCGCAGCTGTGCCAGGCGCTCGGCGAGGACACCAATCACGAGGAGATCCTAGACGCCACGCTCGCCATGATCTTCTTCCACTGCTCCGTGGGACCCGCCGACGACAACCTGCCCGACATCCCCTGGTTCGACCACTTCCAGGCGGCATCTAACCTGGTGCAGCGGCTAGGTCTCTCCGGGGCCGTCGGCACGCCGTACATGCTGCCCCCCTTCAACATGACCCTAACCTCGTGGATCGACATCCTAGGCGCAACCATGCACGGCCGCACCCCCGAGTTCGCGCACACTTACCGCGCCAAGCACCTAAGCGGATCGTCGTCGGGCCTCCGCGAACTAATGGGCTGCGACGACCGGGTGATGTACCTAATCTCAGAGATCAGCTGCCTAGAGGCCCTTGCCGGCGAAGGCCGCATCGACCCGATGGGCGTCTGCTCGCACGTCTCAGCACTAGGCCGCCAGCTGGAGTTCACCGAGCCAGCCGACCAAACCCTGGAGAGCCCCTTCTCGCCCACGACAGGCATCCTACGACCCGAGATCCTAACCAAGAACATGACCGCCGTCTTCCGCATCGCCGCGCGCATCTACCTCTGCAGCCTGGTCCCCGGTTTTGACCGCCACCAGCACAGCAACCTCAACCTGGTCGCCGCGCTAGCCACAACCCTGCAGTACATCCCAGGCGGACCCGAGGGCTACGACCGCTCCCTGGTGTGGCCGCTTCTGATTGCGGGGGCCCACTCCGTCCCAGAAAGCCCGCTGCGTCTGGTCCTCGGCGAGCGCGTGGCCGCGCTGGGCGAGCACGCCGACCTAGGCAGCTTCGGTCGCATGTATCGCCTACTGCAGGAAGTGTGGCGCGTCAACGACGAGCCACCCGTGCCCTCCCTGGAGGAGAACCCGGGCCTATCGTCTGGATCAGCGCCGTCCAGCCCTGTGCTTAAGTTAGAGGAGGGGGTCGAGGGAGAGGTTGTGGGAGAAGTCGTGGAAGGCGTGGAGCGCGATTCGCACTCCCCCGACCAGAGTGTCGAGTGGGGTGTATCGTCTGAGATGAACAAACCGATGACGGTGCACTGGCGCGAGGTGATGCACCGCAATGGATGGAACTACCTTTTGCTGTGATTCTGGCTTGATTTTATTTTCTTCTTCTTTTTTTCTTGTTTACAAGAATCGGTGGTCACTGTTACGAGAATCAGCCACTCCCCGATCCCTCCCTCAGCCCTCCCTCGAGAGGGGAGCTAGCGGGTCTGGCACGGGAGAGCAGTCATTCCGAATCAAGACGGGAGAGTCGACTCCAAACCCCACACCACATTCCCAGGGAATCGTCCCGACCCAGGGCTCGCCCAGAGCTCATCCACATGAGCCTTCAACACCCACCCTGGGTCACAGTTTTCCTCCATGGAATGTGGATCCCGTCTGAACGTCTGACATGCTGAAAAGGAAGTGGCTATCTCGAGTCACTCGTTTGGGACTCACGCGGGACGCATTGCGGGAACGATGCATGGACGGCGTTTTTGGCTTTTGGTGTTTGTGTTTGTGTGTGTATTTGAATGAGTGGGTGGATGGTTGAGTGAGTAAATGAGTGAATGGAGACGTGAGGTGGAGGATTACTTACGGGTCATGCTTTGGAACGATAATACCCTCTTTTGAGTACGAGTAGACATGGAATTATGTTATGTGTGGGACCTTATGGGAGTTATGTAGGAGATAGGCCTAAATATGAAGACTTTGTAGTGGAGAAGTTCTGATTCCATACAGTGTATACAATTCGTAGACTTCGGTATGTTCTCAAAAGGAGATATCTGCATGTACCATTACATATTCTCTGCCCCTTTCTATCCGTTAATGTGGATCATAATATCAACAGCAGCATGTCTTGTAAAATTCGAGACGAGAACCGTCAGAGAGATCTGATTGTCTGAAACAAAAGGATTGGGTATATATGTATACATGAAAATCGGCTAGCGCTCTGCCCCCCCTCCCCCCCCCGAGCTGTGCTGCGTTTGGGAAAGGCGCCCTAAAGTGAGTCAGTGTCTGCACTCATGAGTTGGTTGATGTCTCTATGATCCAAAATGGTCCTTACCTGCGACGGAGAAGAGTGCATCTATACCCATCTGTTCAAGCTCATCCCCTCCATTTGGATTGTAATATCCCTGACAAGACGGCCAAGATTAGCTGACTGCTTCCCAACAGGTCTGATAGAGAAACATGTTAAGTCGTAATATGAAACCTCACAAAGAAAATATATGCCATGTAGTCAAAATTTTGGTCTTCACGTATTCCCACTCACCGAACCGTCGAACGCCAATCCGCAAACTGAGTCGAAAACCGTGGAGTGGGCCACAGTCAAGATCCAGTATAACTACCGATCCAGGGACTCGTCCCACCACATGGTTACAGTTATGAGGCGAGTGTTGGTGTTGCACATCTGTTAGCAGCATCTAGACTTGGGGTTTACTTCTGACTCACCTTATTTCATTTCATTTTTCGAATTTTCTGTTTTGACCCGCCCACCATACCCGATATATTCACATAGTAGTGATACTGACCGGCCGACCTGCCAACGGTAGTAATAAACTCAAGGAAAGGAATGACTTCACATGTCTTGGAGATCAAGCTAGTGATCATCGATTTGACTACCTTCGCAATCGACACTGGCGATACCAGCGAGCCCCGTAGTGACTGCGTTGCTATCACCAGCACCTGCTCCGGCATCGGGCTGGGACGCCCGGCGACCTTCCTGCTGTCGTGGGATATTCTGGAGAGGGATAGAGTATTCACGCGAGTCATCCCCCAAGGGAGGTGTCGTGAACCGCTCTAGACTCTCGATATCCGAGGCATGATCAACATTGGACTGTCGGGTCCTCGTCCACGGTAACCGACGGATGATACTCGCTACCAGGCGCGTCAGACGCCAACGGCGGTCTGGGCTGGCCTCCGAGGCATTCGCCGAGTTTGTCGATGAGCTGCTCTTTGTCAATTTTAAGTTGGCAGACTGGGTTGTGCTTCAAGACTTACTCTTGCCGGTCCAGTCGATGCTGGACCTTGGATCGCACCCACCCTGCGAACTCGTCAATGACCACAGAGAAGGACTTGAAGACGAACCAGACGATGATCACCAGAATGATCATCCACATGTGACTGGGCTCTATATACCCCGGCATGGCGTCGAAAGGAAGGTGGGTTTGGGGTTATGAGCGAAAGAGAGTGGGGGATAATGAAGTTGTTTGAAGTGAATGGATTACTTTAATATATAAAGTAAAAGAGTGTGTATCTGGAAGCTTGCTAGAAAAAGAAGAAGAAGAAGAAGAAGAAACAAAAACATTCGCACAGGCAGGGGATCTGTACCTCCCCTGAAGCAAATCAGACATCCAGAGGTGGAAGGCGCGGATGGGGGTGGTATCGCCCTCGGACGCGAATACAGCAAGGGCACTCGGCCGTGCAATGACCATAAACTCCAACGATCTTTCTGCTTTCCGCATCAAGCTGCTTCATGGGCTCCCTGTAGGTAATAAGTGGTTTCTCACAGCAGCCACAATCCCGTCCGCAGCAACCCCCCGTGCTCGCACATTCCAAACAGTCCAAGACCCAGGCATAGAGACGACCACCCGGATCATACCAGTTCCACACTGTCTTGACTTTCGCCATGATTTGTGACCGTACTATCTCCGAGTCCATGTCCCACAAGATTTGGCGCGTTTCCCAGTAACTTTCCAGTAGCTGCTGGATTTTTTGATCCATCCGAGCTGCTGTATCCTTGCAGGCGGTCTCATAGCTCGGTAGTTTCATGTCATCGGCCCCTACTCTTTTCGTAGGATGTCTCTGCAAAGCCGATCTAACGATTCCAATGACTGAGAAAGGACGCTGTCTAGTAGAAAGCTTTGCAGTACTGTATAAAGCGTCTCGCTCTTCAATCAAGCGACGTCGTCGCTGTAGGTAAGCGAAGCCACGCTCGCGGAGCAACAGATAGGGCACCGCCCAGTTCTTTCGGTCATTAGCTTCGACTTCCGGCGATGCCTCATAAGACTCCCATTGCTTTTTTACTTTCCGAGCATTCTCATCGAACGTCCCTTCACGTTTGAACAGCACGTTTTGCGTCATGTTGAGATTCTCGATTGCAACGAACAAGGATACGTAGTTCAAGTTGAAGTGGGCTGATAGAATGAAGGAATCTTTGATGAAGGCCGATTCCTTAGCCAGGTCAAAGGAAAGGAGCGGACTATTTATGGTGGTTCCGTTGATCTAGGAAATGACGATATTTGGTCGTCTCCCTGACGTATACTTTCCCCTTCGGCGAGTCACGCTGACGATGAACTTTTAACACGGACTATTGCGGAATAATAGATATACCATGGCACCCATGGAGTCAACCATGGCTTTGCAACAGTGTTATCGGAAAACATGGTGTTGTTTGACATTCGCATTGGCGTGCAGAGCTATGGTGTCAAGCTGTCTTGATGCTTTGGATGTAGATCTCCTGGGGTCAATTAGTCCTCGATCATCCATTAATTGTCTATCTCCAAAGATCAGCCTCTCGGTCTCTGCCCATAAGTCTTCTCACATGGTATCATTGATATCACACACGACATGATATAGAGTATTATGTAGATAGGAGTCTCCGAGAGTCCAGGCCACCGCTAACCGAGACGCCAATAAGCGGGGTCTTGGCGCCACCTCGCCCGATCGATTCCTGAGGAACCAACATGACCTTCTCTCTCTCATGTTTCCCTTTCGTCTCTCACCTCAACAACCTCACCTTTCTCTCTCTGTCTATCTCACCCCCCAAACCAGGTCACAATGGCCATCCGCAACGGGTCGTTCGCGACCTTCCTCATCGTCTGCCGTACGTCCATCCCTCCCCCCACCCCCATATAGCGAAACTAACAGCCAGACCCCAGCAACGAGCTTCTTCCTCGGAATCATCTTCTCCCTCTTCCCCTACGACTACCCAATCCTCTGGTCGCCAACCCCGACCCCCGCAACACACTATGACTACTTCGAAGCGCACCTCAGATTCCTGCACGCGTCGCCGCCCCTCATCCCGCGCATGCTCCACATCGTCATGTTCCTCGGTCTAGCCGGCATCCTCGCGAAGCTGTACCGCCCCTCGGAATCAAACATGCTCTTCGACGGCGCCTCCCTCGTCCTCTACATGTGCGGCATCACCGTCTACATCGCCAACACCGTCAAGGGTCTGCGTCTGGTTTCGGGCGGCCGCTACGGCGTGGAATTGGTGACTGGCCATGGTGGGGGCGAGGAGTTGGCTGAGGGGGAGCAGATCCTTGGTCGGGAGGATTCGCTCAAGGTGTTGGCTGCTAGTAACACTATCCTTGCGCTGGTGCTGGTCGGTGTGTTGGTGTTGCAGGCGGGGCAGTGGTATGCGGAGAGGAAGAATGAGCAGGAGTATGAGTCGCTTTCTGGCGCGAAGGGTGAGAAGGGCGAGAAGGGCGAGAAGGAGAAGGCGGGGAAGAAGAATCGGTAATTTTTTTTACCCTTTCTTTCTTTCTTTGTTTGTTTGGGTTACATGGCCTTGTTCCCGGCTTTGGTGTGGTTAAGGGGTTGTTTCTTGTCATTGTATCTACTATGTACAATCACTTCTACTCTCCTGACCCCACCCCACGTGGTGATATGTGACGATCTATATACAACCCATCCATACATAGTCCATACGTACATCAATCATCATCGTAATAGCAACAACCTAGGTCAACATAATAGGCAAATCACGTTCCAGAGTCAATATAAATAAACAAATAATTGCAGCAGGGGAATCATAGGAAAAAAAGAGACAGGTACTACGGCACAAGGAGGTGTTTTTTTCTTTACAAATCCAACGAACGGAAAGAACAAAAGGTAAAGGGGAAAATCAAACCAACCTCTCCGGCGCAAACGAGAACGGACTCCGGGGGAGGTCAGGCGTGCGCGGACTCAATGCCTTGGCAAAGAGTTCGTCGTCGCCGCCGGATGAGCGTCCCATGGTGCCCATTGTGCCCATAGCGGCGAAGCCGTGGGCGGGTTGCTGCGCCTGGATGGATTCCGGGGGGAGGACGGCTTTGATGTGGGGTTGGGTTTGCGGTTGAGTCTGGGATTGGGGCTGCGTCTGCCGGTGGAAGGAGTTGAAGGAGGAGACGGCTACGTCGGGGGATTCGGGGGAGAGGAGGTGGTGGGCTATATGTTGGATATGATTAGCATTGGGGGTGTGACGAGAAGAGATAGTGACAGAAGTTAGAAATAAAGGTAGGAGGTGTGAAGAGGAGACAAACCGTCCGATAGAGGCGACAATTGCCCATCCCCCGTCTGCAACTTCAGTCCCTTGAGTTTCTCGCCCAGTTTCCCTCCCGTCGTGGGCGACACGGGGGTCGTCGGTCCCATGGGATACGCGGGGTTCGCAGTAGAAGCAGCATCCTTCGTCTTGGACAGGTGGGAGTGCTGGTTGGAGACGCCGAAATTGGTCTCGATCCAGTCCTTCTCCTGCAGCGCCATGTGGAGGGCGACGCCCTCGACGTTACTCTCGCATTCCTGCTGGATCTCCTGGTCAAGGACGCGCAGGCGCTTCTTGGCCCAGATGGTGTGCAGGACGCCCTTGCGGCCGGCGGAGGAGCCCGTGGCGCCCAGCTCCGGGGGGAAGATGGCGGGGAGGGGGTTGAGCGAGAGGGGAGGGTCGGGACCGTCTCGTTGGTCCCGGGGCGCGTAGGCGAGGGAGATGACGGGCGGGATGGTAACGTGGGGTGGTAGGAGGAAGTAGAGGCGGCGGGTGTGGTCGTTGGCTTGTTCGTCGGCGGGGAGGACAGCCTGCTTGCCTTCCCAGGTGACGTGCCAGGAGCCGGAGGAGGGGCGGTGGTCTTGGTCCTCCCATTCGATCATCAAGACCTTGGTCCCATCGTTGGCCTTGCCAGCTTCGAATTCGAAGCGGGCTAAAGCGCTGATGGTAGTCAGCGGGGGCGGCGATTGAGGGGTCGGAATTTGGGGGTCTGAGGCCGGGGAGGTCGACATGGTGACTGGGTGATTTCAGTTAACCGCCCGGGAAGGAGGTGGATGCATGGAGGGGGGGGGCAGAAGATCGAGGGGATAGAAAGAGGGATGAAAGAAAGAATGACGCTGGCGATGGTGATTTGACAGATTGGAGGGGGCGTCGTGGGTTCTATTTTTAGGGGGTGGTGGTGTCTTGGCGCTCGGCATCTTTACATGGACTTCGGGACTTTCTGTCCTCATACTTAGGATACTGTACGGAGTACCTCGTTCATACCATGACCGGCAGCTACCAGGATACATCCCAAGTCATCAGACTGAAGGAAAGACTGCAGACGATCGACATGCAGACCCCATCCGACTGATCCTTCAGCCATCTCCCTGAAGACATCGCCTTATACAACCCCCCCAATTGGCCCATCCCAGGTGATGACCCTGCATCTCGTCACCCGGTGGGATAGCCGCCGGGACTTCTGTGACGGGAGGGGGCGATCGAGCGGGGTGTTGAGTATCAGGATGAATGGATACTGGGCACTGGATAGGCTGGGTAATTCAGTCGCCGCTGGAGAGGGGATGCACGGCTGGATATAACAGGATTGATCTACGGAACAGTATCGACCTCCTGCCTCCTGAGTACCTTTCCTACCTGGTACCTACTACCTAGTAGTATCCATGGCCCTGGCCCTGCAGAGCCAAAAATAACTGACCCAATCAGAATGTATCCACCGGGGTCCGTGATGAAAATAGAACATCAGACTGCAGCATGCGGGGTGACGGACAGTATCACAGAAGACACGGCGGCTGTCGTCCATTGACAGATCTTCAATCCCCATGAACTGAAACCAGTTTTCTAGTGTTTCCAGACACGTACCTAATGTATTGGTGCTACCTGTCAAGTAGGAGGTGGGCAGTACCAAGGGTAGGTACCTTCTGGTACCTCGAGATAACCGCCCACTACGTTCCCCGACTCCACGAGGGAAATCCCGCCGCCCCACCGATCCCCGAACCAGTCTAGCGCCGGCGCTTAAACTGGCTCCAAGACATCGGAGGCTGCGTCACTGATTGGTGAGGGAGGGACTCAGCTGGTGATGGGAGGAGGGAAGTAAAATCATATCAAATCAGATCAAGCCAAAATCAAAATTAAAGCCAGAAAAAAGGATGAAAGAGGGGAGGAAGGTTTGGTCCGATCCTATTTTACCAATACAGAGCTATACTTGAGATATACTTGTATAGATACAACCCCTTGAAACAGCTGCATTCTGCAGACGGGTTGAAACGCCCTGCGCGCGGTCGGATCCAATCATCCGCTGTATCGATGCCTCAGTCTCCGGTATCCTGTAATAAACCTGGTAATAGCCCTACCTGATACTTACACAGGTACCACTCGCCATCGACATGTATTATACAGACAAGCAGGCCTATCCAGGTTATCGTCAATCTCCATACTCCATGTGGACAGGCCGACCAAGCGAGGAGATGCATACGTTGGTCATGAGTATCTCGGAGTTTCAAAGATGAACGAATCGTCAAGGTCAGGATAGAAAAAAGAAAAGTGTCATTATTCATTGCAGATGATAGTCGTAACGAGAGTCCTTCCTCCACGCATCCCAGATACCAGGGAGAAAAGAGACCCCGTGTTTTCCAAAGAAACCACAGAAAAAGAAAATCAAGAGTGCTGCCAACGCCAGATACCATGCCAACTAACCAGCCAGCCGGTGATTCCCCTGCCAAACCCAGTCCAATCCATCCATCCATCAAGTAGTTAAAAGTGCTCCCAATGACAAAACAAACAAAAGAAAGATCCTAAGTCTCGGTGTTCGTAGCCTTCTCTTCCTTCGTCTCTCCCTTCTTCTCTTTCGGCTCCTTCTCTTTTGGCTCCTCCTTCTCCTTCTCTCCCGCCTCCTCATCCGCCTGGTCCTTCTCCTCCTTCTCTTTCGCCTTTTTCTTCTCTTTCTCTGCCTCCTTCTCTACTCCTTTCTTCCTTTCCGGGACACCCTCCGTCTCTGCCTCCGGATCAGTACGATCATCATCGTGACACTTCCTTCGCTTCCCCTTGGGCGGCGCATCCAGCTGGGTTCGCTTGTACGTCACCGTATGCGTCACCACATGCCGCACGCTGACCTTGCTGCTGGTCGTCGCGCTGCGCGGTCCCTCATAGTACCGCAGCTTCCAGTCCGCCGGCGAGTAAGGCGACCGCAGCATCGTCGCACTGTGCGGAGAGAAGGAGTAGTCCGCCGCCGACACGGGCGTCGTAGGCGAGTACCGTAGCGCGGGCGGGATGCGCAGACTACGCAAACTGCGGGGATCCCGTCGGACGGGGCCCGGTGGGGGAAGTTGCAGGTGGTGATAATTGGGGACCGGCGGCGCGGTGAAGGGGGTCGGTGGGGGTAAAGAAGCGTTGCAGCTCATGTTGCGGCCGCCTCGTTCGCCTTCTGCGTCTTCTGCCTCCTTGGCGGACTTCGGATGCTGGTCGGCTGCAGAAGAAGCCGACGAGCAGCTGGAGAATGAAACGCCTGGGAGGGCGCTGGCGGGCTGGGAGGTCGGCGAGTAGGCCGGGGGCCGATCAAAGCTCATACGGGAGAAGTTGACGTTGGCACTGGATGGACTGGAGAAGATCGGCGTGAAGGCCTTCAGGAACTCGGTGTAGGCTGCCGGCGGCGTGATCGGGGTTGACATGCCACCGTCTTCATGCTTGACGTTGTCCGACAGGCTGGACCCCGTGTCGGCGCGGAGTTCCGACGGGAAGGTCATGGTCTTGGGGGTCCTGAGAGGGGGGAGAGATGGTTTCGCTGACGGCATGGTGGTGGGTGTAGTGGTAGTATATAAGATTATATAGTTGTCGGTATAGATCGTATAGATTAGACGGAGGCAGAAGGCGTGTTCAACCTCTACTCCAGACCGGGGGAGACAACGAGAGAGACAGGCCCGAGTAAGAGATAAATATTGAACGAGAGATATGGGCCAGCTTGGTCTCGCGCAAGCAGGGAAGGAAGAAGAAGAAGAAGAGACGAAGAGAGAGAGAGAAAGGATGGAGGGAGATCGTTCTTTTATTTATCAGGTGCCCCGTACTGCCCCGTATGAGTGATACGGTACGGTACGATACGGTATGGCGGGACGATTCCTGAGGCAGCCGTCAGTCGCTTGTCTCCATCCACTCATCATCCACCATCTCCATCCATCATTCCAGGCTAGAGTCTCTTACCGTGTGCTGTGGATCAGTGCTTTGGTGGGCAGCGTTGGATCAAGCAAGGCCGTGGCAGTATGGGTCCAATGCCAATGCGCACCGAGATCAGATCATAATCATGAAGATTTCGATCCAGACATCAACAAATTCTCCAAGGGAATTGACCACTCTTATATATGGGTTCCAGTCAACTCTCATCTAACACCAACACTATCAAATCCCATCTTCTTGTCGCGCGCCATCAGAGACGCCCGGTGTAATACCCCCCCGGGCCGTCTCCTTAACGCGCACGGCCTCCTAGTGGCGGTTCGAGGCACTTCGGTTCCCAGCAGGTCGTTACCCTCAATCACCCCCGACCGCTCATGGCGGCCGCCGGTTGGATCCTTCAATTCCATTGTGTATCGAGCGGAGCGGCAGAGCTGACCAGCGACGCTGCTTGTTTTTCACCTTAATTTGGTCGAAGGAGTCGCCCGGCGCTTAACGCCCTCGGCACTTCCCCGTTCTGGTATGGCGGATGGGATGGCTGTGTTGGCCTGTTGGCCTGTTGGCCCGGGGTCAACTTCCCGGCATCTGTTGCTATGGAATTTTGTTTCTTGTTGGATTTTTCTCGTCTTGTTGGTTGGGGGGGTCATTCTTGGGTCCGTTCAGGTCGTCCAATTTGTCCGGGTCGTCGAGGATCGCCGGTGGTAGACTATAGACTCCCAATTGGAATATGGGTCGATTCAGATTCCGTCGAATGAGTCTATCGCTGCTTGTTGGGCCAAACTACTTACTCAACTCTGTTTCGCACGATCGAGGATGGTGATCAGATCGCTCCTCTGTCCACTGCATCCTTCCGGCTCTTGAATCCGACCCTACGCTACGCTTCTCACTCTTTGATAGACTTTTGATCCATCACAACTCTATAAGTGTCCGAACTGGCCGCTTAAGCGAGGTTCTACCTCAGCCGCGTGGTTGAGATACTTTGCTAGCTGCGATGGTAGGTTTCTAGTGCAGATGTTTCGAGCCTACTGCGATCCCATTCCTTATCTTCCATCATCAAAGCAGCGAAGTTGACCATTACGGTAACTTCGCTTAGAGCCCCATAAGCTTTAGCGCATAGAGTCCGATATTCCAACGCCTACAGGCATCTAATCCATCTAGGAATTCCACCGCAACCCCACATCCGGCTCCGTATCAGCACGGTGCGCGCAAGTCGAGGGAGACCACGCCAACGACGCCACCGGTGTCCCGTCGGTGCTTATGGTGACACGTTCACAGGCCGTCTTGTGCCGGCTCTTGCGGGTCATTACATGACTGGAGAAGAACAAGGCGGCTCGGAGGTCCTGGATCTTACATGCATTGCATGAGCATGTGCAGGTGGGTGATACCAATAGAGCATGTCTGTCACTGCTAGAATACTACCAATACAAAACTGCCTGCGAAGGGACCTCCAATGGGTAGATGACACAAAGGTAGGCGTTGAGATCACAAGGGCGTACCGGTCTATCGCGCAATATGAGCCAATCCCACTCCTGCAGTATCTAACAAAATGGGAATGGGTTTACTCCCCAGTCCGTGGATAAAATCCATCTAGCTGAGATATGGTACTTGTCGCTCCTGAATACTTCACCAATGCCACAGTCTTGCGGATACAAGTACCAGACAGACCTGGGTTTCCACCCCAGAGACACCACGTACAACGCTCGGATTAACCTTGTCTGAACGCCACTGTCGACCGCACTTATTAAACAGGCTTCTTAGCTATGTATTCGAATACAGGGCATGCTAAGCAGTACGGTATATGATACCTGATTAGTACTAATATATCTTGCAATTGACATTACGAGTGGGAACTCATCTACAAATATACCTCTTCATCATAATGTCTTGTAGTGCGCATATGAAGGACGAACATGACTCGCTTGATGCCAGACTACTCGTTAGGTTATAGGGGCGATCGTCCCTACTAAGCACTCAGGAAACACAAAACGTCGAAACCAGAACCCTTCCAGCACGTTAGACAGACTGATCACCTCGTTCGCAGAGGACCGGATGCCCGCACTGACGATCGATCCCCAACCTCACAGAACAACTGCGCGTCATTATCATCCTGTGACATACTATCAGTAAGCAAAGATTGAAAGTCCTTACAGAGCAACGGCACGCAGCAACAATCATATCTATTGCATCTCAGCCGTGCGCAACCTTGACCAGTGAGTCACTGAAAGCAGACTGGCAGGGACCCACGTCCTGACAGCAAGAACGCCAGCTATATTTTGATAGAGAAGTCCAGCGGATGGGAGACTTACTCTTGATAGGATAATAGTTCTCTCGCAACCAAGCGACCATGTAGGCGACAAGCGGTGGTGAGAAAGGTCATTCTGACGTGGTGAGTACCTGAGCTACGGCTGGTGCAAGCCATTTAGTGCTGTATCTTTTTTTGGAGCTAGAGATCCTGGATCATGCGATCCATCTCTGTCGATATATACACATCAATTTGGATTGTTTGGACGCGATTCTTCAACATATCGGCAATCGTAGCACAAACCCAACATTGTCACGCTCAAATGATGAATTTTCATTTTACAAATCTCCCAAACAATACATAATCTATGGTGTTGTGGATCTATCAAAGAATAAAGTATGGTCCCGTCCGATCGAGATCTCCCGTCCCGGCAAGCGTTACGATCTCCGCTCCGCGAACCCAATCAAAATCAAAACTTACCAACCAACCTTCAATCTTTAACCTTCGATCCACCCTCCCCCACACTCTTCAATCGGCTTGACAGGTATTAACATGCCAAAGAGTCGACCATGTTTCGCCCTTCTATAACCAAACCGCTGGTCCGCCAAGCCCCCTTATCCTTCTTCACGCCCTCCGCGTTCCTCCCCGCGTGTCCTCCGCCCGCAACCTCGCCGTTCTCCTTCTCTCGCGCCCTCTCGACTTCTGCTCCCTCTAGATTTTTTCGGTCTTCGAATCGCCCCTTCCAGTCCCTCTCACAAACATTGCATCGTGGTCATCGCCGACCGTTCTCCAGCGCCGGCCCGCGATGGAATAGATACCAGCGGTTCGGCGACGGTCAGCGCCCCCTCGTTATCGAGGATCATAATGCAGGGAGAAAGGTGATCATAGTAGTCTGCATAGCCGGCGGATTCTATGCATACAACCTAGAAGATGTGGAGGTGCGTCTCGGCTGCTTTGCGTGGCGTGTACCTGAATAGTCACCACGATGAAACAGTCTTCGTTTCGTTGCGGCTAGGACTCACCCGGGGTGACTTGCGGATCATCGTCACCGGCCGGGGGGAGAAAGGGAAGGAGATGGCTAACGCATTGTAATTAGATGACCGGTCGCCGGCGTTTCAACTGCTTCTCCCACGCGCAGGAGCTCAAGGTGGGTATGCAGAGCTACGAGGAATTGCTGGAGGAGAACCACGGCCATATCCTTCCCTACGACCATCCGCTCTCCCAAAAGGTCGACGCCGTTTTGCAACGGTTGATTCCAGTGGCGCCGCTTGAGGGTGCTAGTTGGAGGGTTCATGTCATTGACGATATCAACACCCCCAATGCCTTCGTGCTTCCTGGGTATGGAAAACCTTCAAGCCGTCTGGTCTTTGACCAAGCGAGGGTTGATGTGTGAGCTGGCTAACGGTTTTTCTACAGCGGCAAGGTCTTTGTCTACACGGGAATCTTACCCTACTGCCAGAATGAGGACGGGTTGGCGGCGGTGCTCGGCCACGAGATTGCCCACGTGCTGGCCCACCACCCCGCTGAGCGTATGAGTAACAGTTTGATTGCCATGGTGGCCGCCACGGGCGTTTCGTTCCTGTTCGACATCTCGGGACAGATTCCGGCCATGATGCTGAGTTTGGTGTATCGCCTGCCGAACTCACGGGTCCAGGAGGTGAGACTCTACCGAGGCCTAGTGAATTGACTGTTTGATTGACGCAAAAATTTCCCCAGGCCGAAGCCGACAGCATCGGGCTGAGTATGTCAATCCCCCCACAGCTCACGGTGGATCTTGCTAACATTGCGATTAGCGTTAATGGCCAAAGCCTGCTTCAATCCGGAGGAGGCCTATAGCCTGTAAGTTTCTGTATTTTCTCGATACTGGGTGACGTCGGGTGGGCTGACCTTTTGTTTCTAGTTGGTCCCGCATGGAGCAACGAGGGGCCTCGGAACCCCCGCAATTCCTGTCCACGCATCCGTCGGTAGGTTGCCTGTCGACTTGACCCGAATCGACCGTACGTTGCTGACCTTCCAGAATTACAACCGGATGGAGTCCATCCGTGAACAGTAAGTGCCTGCACTGCCGAGACGCAACGAGACGTCGGAGGGCGGAGCTGACCATATGTAGATTGTTCAAAGCGCAGTCCATATACGAAGACAGCGGTTGCCAAATCCTCGGTGGATTCGGTAAGGACCATCTGTTCTATATGTTGGATGGGAACGAAGAGAATGCTGACGTACTCTTACACAGTGCCGGATTTTGAAGAGGCTTACAGCCAGATGAGTTAGCAGAATGAATGTACAGATCGCCATCTCGTGTATCATAAAATATGCCGTCGATGCAAGAGCGAGAGCAGTATTGGAAGCATGCACTTGGCACTGTAAGATACTAAGTATAGCTGATGTTGGGATTGTACGTATTATACTCGACACGACGGTCTCGTTTGCGCTCACTTGAGGTATATTGCAAAATTGTGGATAGTCAAATGTTCAAGATTTTCGGCTGGTCAGTCATATCCAGCTCGATGTCTCTATCATTGTGTCTGAGGATCTGTTTCATTCGGATCGTGACCTGTGACGGTGTTTGCAGATAGGGGTCTACGTGGGCATACGGGTAGGATTGAAAATTTCGTAGGCGATGTGTCGACACTCAAACGTTGAACAAGAAATGCCCAGTAAACCACAATCTGCAATTCAACGACATTATTATAATTTCAAATCCATCTAATCTACAGGTGAGCACCACGACGAGTATTGAAGCCATACTCCGTATACTTAAAGCGACGAGCCCCTCGGTGCAAACAGCACAAACACTGCAAACACCGTCCCCCCCCGACTCGATTATTATCAAAAGCTCCGTCAAAATTCCCCCAACTTCCTCTCCAACAGCTGTTCACCCCCCTACCCCTTTTCTTCCCTCCCAATTTCATCTTGTCTCTTCATCTTAGAGGCAACTTTCTCTCGTCATGTCATTGTCGATGCCGGGTCCCTCTCAGGGGGGCCTCTTCAAACCCGGTTACCAGACGTAAGTTCGACACCGGCACAACGGGAATGCTGTCCCGCCCCTCAGTCCGCTTGCTCTTTTGTGGTCGACCCGAAATGATACCATAGACAACGAAAGGAAACCCACGCAATTTACTAACTGATATTAAAAAGTCACGATGCCGAAGACGGCGCCGTCATCCGGAATATCGAGGCTTGCCAGGCCATCGCCAAAACCGTCCTGACCTCGCTGGGTCCCTACGGCCGCAACAAGATCGTCATCAACCACCTGCAGAAGCTGGTCCTCACGTCCGACGCTGCGTCTATCCTGCGCGAGCTGGAAGTCGTTCACCCGGCTGCGAAGCTTCTCGTCATGTCTAGTCAGCAGCAGGATGCGGAGATGGGTGATGGAACCAACCTTGTGATCATCTTGGCGGGTGAACTCCTCAAGAAGGCGGAGGAATTGCTTCGTCTGGGTCTGAAGACTAGCGATATTGCGCTGGGTTACGAGAAGGCGCAGAATTTTGCCCTGAAGGTATTAGAAGGTGAGTGCTTGATCGTTGATCGTTTATACATTTCCCCCGCTCCTACCCCTCCGTTTTAGTCTGTCATTTTCCAGCTTCACATCACTAATAGATGTCAAGATCTCGAGGTCGACCGCCTGCAGTCTCTCCGATCCCTGACCGAACTGACCAAGGCCCTCCGCACCGTGGTCGCGAGCAAGCAGTCCGGCATGGAGGATCTGCTGGCGTCGCTGGTGGCCGAGGCCGTGCTGGCCGTGTTGCCCAAGAACCCGATCAACTTCAACGTGGATAATGTTCGTGTGGTGAAGATCATGGGTGGCAGTTTGGAGCAGTCGCGCGTGATCAAGGGTATGGTCTTTGGCCGGGAGCCCGATGGAATCATCAAGAAGGCCCAGAGGGCCAAGGTCGGCGTGTTCAGCTGCCCGATCGATATCTCCCAGACCGAGACCAAGGGCACCGTTCTCCTGAAGAACGCCGAGGAGATGCTCAACTTCACCAAGGGCGAGGAGGAGCGCCTGGAGGCTGCCGTCAAGGAGCTGTACGACTCCGGCGTCCGCGTCGTCGTCTGCGGCTCCACCGTCGGTGACCTCGCCATGCACTACCTCAACCGCTTCAACATCCTCGTGGTCAAGATCCTCTCGAAATTCGAGCTCCGCCGACTCTGCCGCGTTGTGGGTGCCACCCCGCTGGCCCGTCTGGGCGCCCCCATGCCTGACGAGATGGGCTCCATCGACGTGGTCGAGACCACCGAGATCGGTGGTGACCGCGTGACGGTCTTCCGCCAGGAGGACCCCAGCGCCGTCACCCGCACGGCGACCATCGTCCTGCGGGGCGCCACGCAGAACCACCTGGACGACGTGGAGCGGGCCATCGATGACGGCGTCAACGCCGTCAAAGCCGTCACCAAGGACCCCCGCCTGGTGCCCGGTGCCGGAGCGACCGAGATCCAGCTGGTCGAGCGGATCACCGCCTTCGCCGACCGGACGCCCGGCCTGCCGCAGTATGCCATCCGCAAGTACGCCGAAGCCTTCGAGGTGATCCCGCGCACGCTGGCGGAATCCGCGGGTCTCGACGCCACCGAGGTTCTCTCCCGGCTCTACACCGCGCACCAGCGCAAGAACGGCGACGCCGCGGCGGAGGGCAGCTCCGACAGCGACGAGCCGTACTGGACGACCGGTGTCGACCTGGAGTCGTCCACGTCGGCGGGCACCCTCGACACGGTGGAAGAGGGCATCCTCGACCTGCTGGCCTCCAAGAGCTGGGCGATCCGTCTGGCCAGCGAGGCGGCCCGCACGGTGCTCAGCGTGGATCAGATCATCGTGGCCCGTCAAGCGGGCGGACCCAAGCCGCCCGGTCCCAACCCCAACTGGGATGAGGATTAGGCGTGAGGTTGCAAGGACCCGACGGGGACTGGGTCGTATGTGTCTATGGAGGGAGGAAATACATAGTATGTGATAGAGATACGATCTTCATGAAAAAGTTCTTGACACTACGAATGGTGGAGGAGGGGTTATCCGTATGGTGTAGTCACAATAATCTTAATGTCGTTTCTCTTCGTGTCTGTGGTTGTCCAATTCATTCTGAACATCTCCATGTATGGTGTATTGTATATCGGGTGGGTGATCACGTGACGGACGTAGATTTTCCGAGCCGGCCCCGTTCGATTCTTTATTCTTTTTCGATCCGGCCGCGCATCGCTTCAACTTCCTCTCCAGACTTCCCCATTCTCGTCCACCCGCCAGTCCCTCACGCCTCCTCTTCGTGTCGCCCTATTCTTCCGTGCGCGCCCCTCCTGTTCATCATGTCCTTCGCCTCCCAGACCGCCGCCCGGTGCTGCCGCCAGCTGGTGCGCCCGACCGCGACCCGCCTTTCGTCCCCGGCGTACCTGGCCCCGAGCCGGAGATGGCAATCCACCGAGGCTGAGGCCCCTGCTGCGCCTGCCAGCCCCAAGATCTCGCAGATTGTCGACCAGATCAGCCAATTGACGCTGTTGGAGACGGCCGACCTGGTGTCGACGCTGAAGGTGCGTACCTGAGCTATTGTTTTGGAGGGGGGAGTCGGAGCGATCCCGGAAGCTGCTAGGATTATGGGACAACCCGAATGAACACCACCATTGAGCAATTGTCTAATTGGAAACTTTTCTGTCTTATAGTCCCGCCTGAACATCCCCGACCTGCCGATGGGTGGATTCGCCATGGCTCCTGGTGCCGGACAGGCCGCCGCGCCCGCTGAGGAGGAGGATGCTGCGCCCGTGCAGCAGGAGAAGACCCTCTTCAACCTGAAGCTGGAGTCCGTGGACCCAACCTCCAAGGCCAAGGTCATCAAGGAGGTCAAGACCATGCTGGGTCTGTCTCTGGTGGACAGCAAGAAGTTCGTCGAGTCGGCTCCCAAGGTGCTGAAGGAGTCGGTCCCCAAGGATGATGCCGAGAAGATCATCGAGACCCTCAAGGCGGTGGGTGCCAAGGCTATCATGGAATAAATGCGGTTTACGAGGGTGTCTTTCTTTCTCTCTCTCTCTCTCTCCATGTCTTGGGTAATTGGGTTAGATCGACTGATTGGGACGACGTGTGATTGAACTGCATCTACCAGCTGGAGTTTTGTCTCTCGCCTTTTTCTTTTTCTTTTTTTATCTGACGCTGTCTACTGTGTTATATCTGGCTCTGTATTTCTTTTTTATTATCTTTTTTCTTTTTTTCCTGTTATTTTTCTTTCCCCGTGGTATATCATATTGAGTGTCATATCCTATAGCCGGAAGCGGGGAAACAAAAGGCGGCCAATGTACATTATTGTGAAGGTATTCCTGTCATCTTCTCGTCCATTACCTGTAGATCTCCGTCCTTTACGTGTCAATTGATCGAGAACGTCATGGTCTTCGTAGGATGTTGAGGCGCGAGTGCGGACTGGCATATTTTCTGCCGACCCGATCTCTCCGCCGCATCCACTCTTTTCCCTCTACACTTCCAGCTTCACTTCCTCTCTCCAGCTCCAATCACACACACACCCACCATGTACCTCTCACGCCCTCCCCTCCGACAACCCTCTCGACTCTTTCGACTCTCCACTCGCAATGCCCCCCTCTCCCGCTCCTTCCACCCGTCCAGACCCTCCCACGCCTTCCGCACCCCCACCACCCGTCGCAAAAACAGCCCCGGCTCCAAGTCCATGCTTCGACGGCCGCCTTTCGAGTCGGAGCGGGAATACCTCAAGCTACATGGCACAAACATTTGGACCCAAGCGAGGGAGGACAGAATCCTGGAGCGTACGCTCCCCAAGGAGCGATTTTTGAACGTCGCGGAGCGTCTGTTCCAGGCTGCGGAAGAATCCGAGTTCCAGGTCAACGCAGCCGCTATACAGGACATCGGTCCAGGTGAGAGCAGCACAATTGCCCTTCACCAGCACAAGAAGAGACAGCACAACAGACGGAAAAGTCACTAACACCGCCCTCCCACAACAGACACCAACCAGACCTTCCACATCGGCAACATCGTCGGCCCCAGAAAAGGACCCTTCCCCGCATGGCACCTCGCATCCTGCGCAGCTGCCGGCGCCAACCACGCCATCTACGCGATGTGTCTATCAACGACCGCATCACAACCTTTACCACTCTCTTTCAAACCCGCAATGCAAATTGTCCGCACGCAGCTCGACGCCCTCGCGACCCAAGCCCGCGACCCCCGCGCCATGATCGTGCGCGCCTACCTACTCGCCCACAACAACCAGCACCAAGAAGCCCGCGCCCAGTTTGACGAAGCCCTCCCCCTCATGAAACCCAACCAGCGCGTCGTCTCCCTCCCCAACGGCACCCGCCTACCCCCCATGCCCCAACTCAAGTCCCCCTGGCCTCTCTACGCCTCCCTGCTCGACAAAACAGACCCCGACCCCGCCACCGCCCGCGAACACTTCCTCACCTCCATCGCCCGTGACTACCACGACCCCGCCGCGCTGGTCGTCCACGCCGCCTCCTTCCTCCGCCGCGATCCCCCCGACTTCGACGCCTACGAGGAAGCTATGAGCCAAGCTGCCAGCGCAGGAAACGCAGAAGCCTGCCGCCGCCTCGCCTGCTTCTACTACTCCACCTACCAAGGCACCTACCCGCCGCGCGGACACGACTCCGCCCTCGTCCCTGAACAAGACAGCGACCGCAACAACAGCAGCAGCAGCAGCGACTGGCTCACAAAATTAAAAACCTTCATCCAATCCCTCCGCGGACCCCTCCCCCGCTCCAAATTCCGCCCACTAGCAATAGAGTGGTTCGAGCTTGCCGCGCTACAAGGCGACGCCAAAGCGGCGCTCTCGCTTGCGGTGCTGGTCCGCGAGGACGGCGACGCCGAGCGCGGAATGGAGCTGCTGCTGCAGAGCGGTGGTGTGTCGGGCTTTGCGAGGTCTTTGCGGTTGAATTGGGAGAGGGAGGATTATAGGCCGGGGATTCCGGCGGAGTTGTTGGTTTGTTAGATTCTTTTTTTTCTTTTTTTCTCTTGCTTTTATTTTGTATTATATAGATAGTGGTGGTGATGGTGGTGATTGATACCCAATGTATATTATCCGTGGGATTTATTTTTCTCTTCTTATGTCAATTCGCATGTGGTTGTAAAGGAAAGGGTCGATTTTAGAAGGCTGGTGTGAGTGAGCCGGATGTATGCTAATCAGCACCTGCCATGCATTTAATTAGCGCTCCTCGTATATGTAGAGCAGATATAAATCCTAGTACGAAAGTAATATGACTGAAAAGAGAAACCAAATAAAACCAAAGACAAGTAAAAGTAAGAGAAAGAAAGAGAGAAACGCGAAACACCTCACATCCCACTTCTCACCACCCACTCATCTCATCTCATCTCATCTCATCTCATCCCAATCAAAATTTCCAAGAAACCAAATAACATGTAACCCCGCCAAACCAGCAACCGTCAATCAGCAAATAAGTACCGCAAAACCACCCAGTCACTTCCGCCTCCCCTGCCCCGTCCCCTTCCCGCGAGTCTTAAGCTCCGCAAAGCCCATCCCCTTCAACCCCCGCGTAAGCGGCGACGAGTCGCGCATCCCCGGGAAGTCCTTAGCCGGGTACACGCGGAAAGGGTCGGACCAGGCCTCGGCGAGGATAGGCATCGAGATGCCCGTGTCTTCGACGCTGCCCCAGTTCATGAGGCGGAATTGGAGGCGGTACAGGCCGGCTGTGCGCACTGATAGGTCGGAGAAGATGAAGAAGGTTGCGGGGTGGGTGGGGGGTTCTCCTTCTCCGGGGGGTGTCTGGTGCCTGGAGGGTGATGGTGGTTGTTGATGATGTCGTTGGTTGTGGGGGTGGGAGGTGCGGTGGCTGGGTCGGGGTCGGCGTCGACGAAGAAGGGCGATACGAAGGATTTGCCTGAGAGGAGGGGTGTTGATTGGCCCGGGGCTGACTCCGGTGTGGAAGGGATGGGGCAGAGGAGGCAGCCCACGGCGAAGCGGGGGTCTTGGAGGATGTCTAGGTCGTTGGTGGAGCGCGGGTCGAAGTCGGTGATTAGCATTTGGAGGATCGGGGGAGGATCGACGGGTCGTCGATCGCGGTCGACGGCTCCGCAGGCTCGTGCGGCGATGGGCTGCTGGCGGATGTGGAGGTGGTAGCGGGGTGTCGAGGAGGTGCGTCGTGGCGGCGGCGACGGCGTCGGCGAATGGTGGATGAGGTTGCCCAGGCTCATGGGGGAATTGGAGGATGTGGAATACCGGGGTTGTGGTTGGGCGAGGGGAGCAAGGCTGCGGGTGTATGCGGCGGCGCCATTGTCTGAGGGTACTGGGCTGCTACTGTATCTGGATCCATGGGATGAGTTGGGTCTGTCGGATATCAACACCTCGCGGGATGTCGAAGGCACCGGGGGTGAGGGGGCAGTCACATACTGAGAGTCGATGTCAGTCATTCGCCCAGTCGAGCTGATCGAGGCTCGAGCGTAATTGGCCGTGTCGTAGTGGGGACTCGAAGGCCCTGTATACTCCATCCCCGACAGGCTTGGTCGCTGTGTCCCGTATGGAGCCAGGGGACCTCCAGGATCTGGCGAGATGCCATAACTAGGACCTCCACTATAACTGGGACCTCCACCATCCCCGGGTCTTCCGTGGACGGGCGGCCTGTACTGGGACAAGGCCATAGGGGTTGAACCCGAGCTCTGGCGGCGCGGATGCAAAAAGCTCGGAGGCTCTTGTTCGTATGGCGGGACGGCCCTCACGCTCAAAGCCTCACCGTCGGAGACTAGATGGTGGCCGGTGGATGGGGGATGCCGCCATTGTTGCAGGGGCGGTCTTGACATCTATGCGGATTGCTGGACGCCTCACTTTTTTTCCTTTTCCTTTCTTCCTTGGGTTTTATTTAATATGGAACAAAACACGAGGATCGACTCCCCGCTTAGGGCTGGCACTCGTCAAAGGCGTGTAGGAAGCGGTCAAATTAAGATGCATGCGACGCCAGGCACTGTTGGGCATCCCCCCCTCCCCCGGTGCCCCCGAAATGGTGCAGGCGACGGACAGGGTGGTGATTGGCAACAGCGGGGATAGTTCTATGCTACATAGAAAGATCTAATGGGTCCTGGTGATAGGGCGGTGGTAGCACAAATGATTTAACCGCCGAAATCGTCCGCTTCTAAACGCCCGGGGGGGTGAAAGAATGGTACCCACAGTGGGTAGAATCTCCAGGTTGCTGAGGTCAATCGACAAATCGAGAGATATGCATGAGTTAGTTCCAAACGACCACCGGCACTATCCCAGGAAAAGGAGGCGTAGAGCAAGAGTGAGAGGGAAACTGATCGAGGGTAAATACCAGCCAGTCACCCCAGTTGTATTGGCCGTGAAATGCCCTAAAATAGCGACAAAGCATGGGAGGAATCAAATCGATATATCAGACCTGTCAATTCTCATTAGTCTCCCTAGTTGTCATAGGGTAGTTTGCCTGATCCATGAATCGGTCGTTGCCTTTTCTTTCTCGCACACACATACATATACATATATGTTCTGGTTTTTGTGTGGAAGAGACAAAGAAGGAATGAGCGACAGGTACCTCGTACGAACTTAAGGTAAAACCATGGGTTCAGATATGTCACGATCCAGACAATTCGTCCTCGGTGGCTCTTGTGGCCGTGCAACCAAGGGTGGCGCCAGGAACGAAATGGTCCCGAGCTGAAACGATGGTTCGCTGGCGTGATGTGACACCAACGGGCGAGAGAAAGTGTGGACGACTCGATGGGGGATCGTCGGTCATGAGTTAGTGGGGGAAACAAAGAAGCGGTTCGTCCATGACAGGGCGATATCCAGTATATCCCCGAATCTCCCCGCTGCAACACGCGTGTTTCGATTGTCCCGAGCAATGATTAGGATGCGGCCATTTAATGTGCCAATTCAATGTTGAGGATGAGAAATGTATGCGAGAACAGCTAATCAAAAGGGGGAAATAAAAAGATATAATAAATAAATATAAGAAATAGAAATACACGCAAAATAAAACAAACACATTAATGAGACAGAGTATACTAGCTTTTTTTTTTTTTTTTTTTTATAAAAAAAAAAAAAAAAAAAAAAAGCTAGGAAAGGAAAAGTAAAAATAAAAAAAGAAAGAGAGGTAATAATACGGACGATCAGAAGAGACAGGTATGGGAGTCTAACGAACGGCTGAGGTAGCGGCCAGTCCACTGTGAGTCTAGAGATCTAAAGGGTGAGAAGGTGTGTTGTAATGTCTATGGCCGAATCCGCCCGGAATTTGGAAGGTCAGATCGAGTCCAAACTCTTCGAAAAGTAAACCCGACATAGACACGATCGTGGACCTAGAGGGGTCAGCGTGTTGGAAATCATGGTCAACCAACAGCTCGCTCGCCAACTAGTCAATGAGGTTAACCTTGCAACTATGGTGTTAGAGAGCATGCCCTCGTTTTTGGCTCGCATTTCAGCGATGCACAAGGTGGGCCTGTCCGGATAGGGTCATGGAGCCCATAACTGCTCTCCCGCCGGGAGGATTTCTCGTCGATGGACCAGGGTAGGAATTGTCGGCGTGCTTGATGGATACACGGGCTGATCACCACCTGGAAGAAGCACCAAGCACCATGTCGGCGATGGCCGAAGAGGAAGCTGCATGGGGAGGGGGAGCTCCCCGTTCACGTCGACCATCCCGGGCTGTTTAATCCAGGCGTTGGCCGACTGCGGAGATCCCGTTCGTGTGCTCCATCGCAAACCTTATCCGCCCTAGCCAATGTCTGGATCCGGGACATCGGGTGAGCTCGGTTGAGTTGGGATATCGCTCGGGGTAAAGATTGTACGCGCTGGTGCTGCAGGTGAGTGGCAAAGGGGAGGCTGCTTTCTATGCAGTTCTCTATCATTCTCGACGGTCATTCGCAGGATCATCGTCGCACGAGCCATAGCGAACCCAGTTATCACCCAGTTACCTGCCTACCGAACAACACTAGTCGGTAAGGGGTTAGACCATGGATCAGCGGTTTGGTCCGTTCGGTCAACCAGCTGTTGGTGACAATCTTGTCATTTGGGAAAAAGTCCTCATGCTGTTGCTCCACTTGCTGACCGGATGAGGAAAGTCTTCTAATGGCGGTGCTCCACAACCCAGACACCAATAGAGGGAACATAGAACGACTTGGGCCTCGCTTCGACGGACAAAAAACAATGCCAGAGGAGCTCGGATCAGCTATAATTCTCATTCCTGATCCACATTTTTGACGGCAGATACCCACAATTAAGATGAAGAGTTCTGCCGGTGTCGATCAACCAACTAGTACACTGTAGTATCAATTCGTGAGTGGTAGACTACCTCCAAACAATGCTCACCTACGGCGCTATGAGCGCATCGGACCCGGCTCGGTCGCTGCAATTCAAACAATTATGTAAACGCACTCCCAGTCGGGTTTGGACGTCCTTCTCCAGCTGCGAACCTATGAGCGTGCATCCGTAGCGTAACAAGATAACAACTGTCTCCATGTCGCTTAGCGATGTGGGTCCTGCGCGTTCAGTGATGCCTCCAGCAAGAGGAACACACCGTCTCTCGATGGCCTCTATCGCGGTCCGCCTTTGGCAGATAAGCAATGGTGAACGGTGTCCATAATTTGGGCAAGATTTAGCTGCGTCCTGTTGGTGGGGGGTTAGGTGTATTGATATGCAGAGGCAAACCACCGCTTTGGTTTCTATTTGGGGACATAGAATGAAAATCAAGCTGAATAAACAGCTCCTTATCAAGACCGTGAGAGATCATAGAGATAATGCCTCGGAAGATCCATACCCCACTTGTGTTTCAAAAAGAGACAAGGACAGCCACAATGGAAGAGGGGTGTCTCATATCCTTGTCTTTGCCGGGGTGGAGAGCTAAGCGGGCCAAGGGTGTCTGCCACGACCGGGTTTCTGATCCTATTGGGTCCATATAGTCCATGGCAATATCTTAGCCTTGCCATTCATAATCGTCTGTCATCTGCAAAGGGCAGCCTCCCATTGAACCCGATCGACAAGCTTGGTCAAGTCAGTAGTCAGTATAGGGGCATTGGCAAATCCTGACCAGTTCACCTACTTACGACATTGAACGGAAGGATCCGTACCCGCAACGGAGTTACACTTCCCAAAAACTCAATTGACGTCCGTGGTGCTCCGTCCAAAATGAGAGTTAGTCCGAGCGGATTTGCTGTATCACATGGAAGTCTGACCCGGCCACTGGCGCAGATACTAGGACATCAGAGGCGCGGAACCGGATCAGGCCCCGAATGGTGGAGCCCCGTCGCGAGTGGACGGTAGAAAAATCCCTAAGAGTAGGACAGTAGTCGCCTACAAGGTCGGACATTCAGTCGGTGTGCATGTTGGAGTGGTATTTATGTACATTCATATTGGCCGTTGCTAAACGGTATAGACGAGGGGAAGGTCCCACTTAAGCCATTAGATCGAGCCCAGGGTCCGCTTCAAATTGGCATTTGATCCTGCTATTGTCGACCTGCCCAAGGGACTTCAACATGCATTTGTGTTCTCGCAGTCCGTTGTCCATGGGATAGATAGCGCGGATAGTGGCGAGACTGGACTGCGGGGGTGAAGCCTTGAGCAACTGGCTAGCTCCAGCAATTCTACGACCCTCGTCAGGATGGACCATGAGGAATTGACCGGAAACACGGTCCCAGGCAATGATATGACCGGTTTCCTTCCACGGAGGACTGTCTCCAGGCGGTGCTCTCTTGGGTCGCGCGGCCAAGTAGCCCAGCTGCATCAGATAAAGAAAGCGCTCCTTGGCTAGAGGGGGGCCGCTGCTGCTTAATCGAGCTCGCACAAGCCCTAGAGTCAATGGTGACCAAGGCCGAGAGATGTCCATACTGTGAGGGAGCGACTGCGAGGACCATTCGACCGGAGACCGTTGCGGGAACCAGCAAAACTCTAGAGGGTGACCATCCTCGCATGGCAAGCAAACAGGAATGGGATCCCCGTCGTGCTCATCCAGCAAAGTGGCAATTGTACCCAGATCTGCCGTTGATTTGGAGCATCCGAAGGCATAGATTTCCGCGATCAAACGCTGGGTGCTCTCATAGCCAGAGCTCTCGCCGTCTATGGTTAGGAGGGGTTGATTGGTGAAGATGGTAGACGGGTCGGAAATATCAGTGTGATGCGACTTTTCAGGCCGCCAGCGGATGCCTAGTCGGCTTTCCATATCTCCAATTTGAGTTTCTAGCATCCGTATATATTCATCGGGGCCTGCAAGCTCAGGCAAGTCTTGAAGAACGTCCCTATCCGCTAGGAGACCACTGAGCCCATGGAACTTCGAAATATCTGGCAATGCACCATTGGAGCTTTCTGATATTTGGCGCAAGTATGTGATCGCGTCCTGTGGCTTTCCCGTGTCAACAAAGGTCTTAACAAAACCATAAGTAGATTCAAAACCGGGGAAGGAAGAAGCGGTCATTTTCTCTAGGGTTTGTTTCCATATTAGGCGTAGCAGTGAGTCACTCCGGAGCCTCGCGAGTAAGGTAAGATAGAGGCCAATGTCTTCAGAACCGTTTTCTAGACCGTCCCAGCACAAGATACCATGCAATGTTTGCCGTGGTAACGGCGCGGAGCCACTCTCCCCAGTCACCACACTGAGCATGGCACCGGCGTCGAAATTTGGACGCTGAAAACCCAAACCCTGAAGGGTGGCATCCAAAGCCCTTACTAGAAGGACGCTCTTCTTAGGAGCCAAGCGCCGAGAACAACCGCGACCAAAGTTATCCAGGTGATGCTTGAGAGCCGGTGCTGAGAAGGCCAGACAAGCATAGTACATTCCCAAGAAGCGTAGATCCTCTGAAACTGGCGCCCGCAGCCTTTCAATCCGATCGATCGCTGCATTCATGAACATCAAAATCTCTCCATAAGAATTGTGTTCCTGACATAGCGATAATGCCCGCATCAAGGGTTTACACTGATCATTTTGCAGTAGAGCACACTGTCTTCGATCATTGACGTTTTTTTCGATGTAACTCTGGAGATGTCGAAGAAGCTCTGCGTCGCCTTTTGGATCTCCAGGCATGCCATCGTTTTCAGCAGCTTCGGTCTTCCCTTGAATCACAGATCCCAAAGACGCTCGTGAATTGGCAGGGAAGGGCCACTCCTCCAAAAATAACTCATTAAACCACTGATCTCGGTTCAGTCCCGGTCTACCATCCTTAACAGGTGGCTTACTCCCAGTTAGAGCGAATTGTAGTAGTTGGGACTGGGTGACCCTGAGAGATGCTGAGCTCGCCAGACTGCTTGAAGAAGCACGGCGCAGCAATTGCAATGGTCGTATATAGCGTGGTGAGTTCCACCGAAGATATCTAGATGGATTCACCGCCATCATCCAGCGTTGGCAAGCTGACATCGAAAGATGAAATCGACAACAATCCGAAATGCTGGCTTACCCCATGGGGTCGAATGTTGATCCACTCCTGTCCGAACGGGCGACTCCATCCGCAGAGAGAAGAAGGCGGTGAGGCGGGCGGTGACTGACGTTGGACCACCCGAGAGTTTGAGTCTGCTTATCGTTCTTTCTTCAGCTTCATCATCACCCTATCTGCAACCACCACCCACATTGATCATATCACCAGCCATCGGTGCTATCTACTTGAGTGAAACTTTATCAAAGATGCCTCCGAACCAAGAGGCCAAATTAGCAGAGACGAGTCCTTCCGACGGCCAGGACGCGCACGCCACGCAAAACTCGCAGGCTGACTCCACCGATGTGTCCCCGGCACCAAAAGACTCCTCGGGAGAGCCGGCCGAGAGCAGTGACGCAGCTTCCAAAGCTCGTCAAAGGCGGGACAGATTTAAGGCTCTGCAGGCCCGTGCTGTGAGTAGATACCAATGAACAGCCCCTCTTGATTCCAGTCTCTCGGTCTCCACGCCGATATGGCTGGTGTTTCGCTGCCGTTCCCAGACCGCGTATCTAACCCAACTCCAGAAATCTTCGGCAGAGCGTAATTTGAAAGAAACTGCCGCGGAAACCCAACGCTTAGCGACCGATCCGGCTCTCGTCTCGTCGTTATCACGCAAACATGCATTCGCATCCCACAACCTGCTCAAGGCCGACACGGAGGCTGCCGGCGAGGATTTCGAACGCAAGCGTGCTTGGGATTGGACGGTGGATGAATCAGAGAAATGGGACAAACGGATGGACAAAAAACAACGCCACCGAGACGACGTTGCGTTCCAGGATTACACCCAGGATGCAAGGAAGGTTTATAAACGACAACTACGGGAGATGGCGCCGAACCTTGAAGGATACGAACGTGATAAGATGGCATCGATCGAGAAAGCTGCAGCTAATGGCGACCTGGAGATCGTTGAAACCAACGACGGGGAGTTGATCGCAGTGGATAAAAACGGCTCTTTCTACTCCACAGCTGACAGCGTCGGGTTTACCGACAATAAGCCTGATCGAGCCGCTGTCGACAGGCTAGTGTCGGATCTAAAGAAGGCCGAAGAGGTTCGTCTCAAGAAGAGGAGGGACCGTCGTGGGGATGATGAGGGAGATGTCACGTACATCAACGAGAAGAACAAGCAGTTCAACCAGAAGTTGTCGCGCTTCTACAACAAGGTAAGAGCCTTTATACTTTATTTGATGGATCAGTTGGCTAACGTTTCCGCAGTACACCACGGAGATCCGGGATAGTTTTGAGCGTGGTACTATGATATGATTTTCAAATCATCCTTTTTACTATTGTACAGTTTTGAACTGGTATCATCCAACCAGTAGGGGGGTTTGAAACAGCAGAGGCCCTGAAGTCGTCATGTAGAAGAACACATGGTTTCTCTGGCCTGAGGGACTGATGCACACGGCCGTCGACTCTTGATCATCTCCACCTTCATCGACTTCAAAGCATGCTTTTCCGCCAAGCCCTCGTGGACAGAGCGTCTATCTTCCTGCTATTGACTGCACCGTGCACGGACTCATCTTCCATTGCTTCAAGCGTGGCCTCCCCTACAAGGTCCACTTGGAAGGGCTTATCAACCATCGTCCCGAGGAAGCTGAGTCTGTCACCTAAAAGCGCATTGACTTGCGATCCGATAAAGCCACCAAGAGCGATGGGCAATGTGAACTTTCTGCTTGCGTCATACATGAACGGAGGCCGCATGAAGATACTCCTTAGTTCGGGGAGTTGCGATGCAATAGCTGATTCGGCTTCGCGCTTGGTCGTGATGTATCTGCTCGGGAGAACCGGTGCTCCAGAGGCAGCTGAGATGAACACAAACGTGGGGACTTTCTCGTGGGAGGTCTCTTGTGCTAAAGCGATAGCTGCCGTTCACCCACCGGTTCGTTAGTTTTAATTTTGCTCGTGCCCAGAAATAAAAGGTGTATACGAACCCGAGTCCCTATTCATAAGCTCATATGTCAATTGCCCGTTCCCCTCCTGGGGCTTCAATGGCTCCCCTTCTCTCCGTTGTAAAGGGTTTTGGCTTCCCGATTTCGACGAGCAAAACGCTCTTTGTAGGCCGCTGATGATCGGTTCTCTCCCCTGCACCACACCTTTATAATCCGCTTCGAGAAGGATCCCCATGCTGTGAACGACAGCCGTAGCTCCGCTGAGAAAAGATTTGTAGGTCTCCGGTCGAAGCATGTCCGCCTTGGCCCATTCCACGGATTCGGCCCAGCTCGGGCGTACGGGGGACTCCGTGACCGCATCCCATCGAGGTTCTCCGGACCGACTAACACGAGTAGTTGAGTATAGCGCATGCACTCCGATGCATCAGACTAGATCGTACCTCAAAGACGTGACCGACCAGCCACGCGCGACGGCAGACTTGCAAATTCTAGATCCTACAAGTAAACAATTGACAGTCAGCCATCATAAACGTCATAGCTAGCAGTGTACTTTGTAGACGGCTGTACACACCCAGGAATCCATTCCCGCCGGCAACAACCACGCGCCTCGTCGCCATTGTCGAGTATTGATCGGCCTGCGAGACTGCGCGACCAAGAAAGCAAGATAAATCAATAGCCACAACCAAAAGAAGAAGCTCCAAAGTCAAGGTAAGAACGGCTCGTCATGATCAACGAGAGCTCTGTTCCGAACGGAATGCCCGCTTCCGGAGGCACCTTATCGCGATGTCACGTGCTTTCCCAAGATCTGCGCTGGTTCATCGATCGCGACAGGACCGCATCCTTCTTATGCTCTGGCATTCAACCAACGACGTCAGGTACGGAGAACACGGACTTCGGAAATCTCCAGCATGCCTTCCGCGGCAGGTACAAAACGGGTTCGCGTGAGTAAGCCCCAAAATCACATCTAGGAGTTGATTGCAGGAAAAGCTCACAGCTCTTTGATAGGGAACCTCAATCTTCCGACCATTCAGTATGGATCCCTCCACATCTATAGCGCCATAACAATATTTTATCGAAAAAAATATATCAAGTTTGTCATAGAAGAAAATCGTTAACAGCCACAGTCTTCGGCAGCGAAGCCCAACCCTTCGATCCCGCAAAGAAACCGTCGAACGTCCCCGCAGACCACACACACCAGTGGCGCGTATTCGTGAAAGGCGTCAACGGCGAAGACATCTCCTACTGGCTGAAGAAAGTGCAGTTCAAGCTACACGAGACCTACGCGCAGAACGTGCGGACAGTCGAGCAGCCGCCCTTCGAAGTAACAGAGACCGGGTGGGGCGAATTCGAGATCCAGATCAAACTGTACTTCGTGCCGGAGTCGACCGAGAAACCGCAGACACTCTGGCACAGTTTGAAGCTGCACCCGTACGGGCCTGACGCGGAGGCCCGCAAGGAGCGCCGCGATGCCGTCATCAGCCAGAACTACGAGGAGGTCGTCTTCAACGAGCCCGTCGAGCAGTTCTACGATCTCCTGACGGGGGGCCCGGCCTCGGCGCAGCCCCAGAAAGGCAAGAGCGGGAAGAATACCAAGCAAGCGCAGCAGCCACAGCGTGGGGGACGCACGGCTGAAATCCCGCTGCACGAGACCAATGAGAATCCCTACAGCAGGGATACGGAGCGCAAGGAGATGGATCGGCTGGGGGATGCCACTCGCACGGTCGAGCAGATGATCAAGGAGGAGAAGCAGCGGTTGGTTGAGCGCGAAAAGAGGCTAGCTGAGTTGCGCGAAAGCGAGGGCGTTCCGGCCCACACAAAGAAGAGATAGTGGCTACTGTGGACGCCCTTGTTGCGTATTTCTGGCCGTCACGAACCCGAATGCGCGCTTCTCTCCCCCCTCCTTCCTCCTCCCGACTGCTGCCATATATACCCGTGCTACCCATCACCGGCGCACTCCAACCCCGAGGGATCTTCGTTCCCAGGAACCCAGCGCGCAAAATGCGTGAGCATTCCACATACTACAATCGCTAGGAAGCCGGTCTTCCCAACAACCACGAGAACATCTTCTCCAAGCAGTTTGTGTCTCTCCCATGATACCACTGTCCCGGCATCTTTTGGGAACCGTTCCACGCAAGGAGCGCGAGAATCAATCACCTGCCATGCCCTCTGTGGCACCAATGTCGATCAACAAATACGATTTGCCATAGACCATGCAGGATCATTCATAGTTTCGCTCGGAAACCTAGAATACGAAAATACACATATCATCCTTATAATCTTTAGAATAATAACCAATCAATCGTATACTCGTAGCCGACTGTATCCGTGAGATAGATTGTGTTGATGTTTCTTCCGTATCCGCTTCCGCTTCCGTTTCCTCTCCGTTACTAGCCGGCCACGAGCTCCACGCTTGAATTGGATCTAGTATTTTTTGGACGAAAAAGTGAAACAGAAGGAAAGGAAGAAACCCCTATCGCAATATTTGATTATCCTAATATGGTGTATTGTTTGACATTGCCTATCGAGGAACAGAACAACTAGGTCAACCGGAATGTTCCATGCATTTGTCGTGTATTAGGTTGGAAACAGGATATCATCGAAGCCCAAAGTCTATTCAGTGGCTCTAGTCAAAATGCTAGTGATATGTACAATGTAACAATGCATCATCAAGCTTGTATGAAAGAGAAAAAAAAACCATGCTCGCTAAAGCAAAAACATCATAAAACCACAAAATTCACCCCACGCTCAATCAGCATAACTAGCCGTCGCCTTCGTGGTATCACGAGTCTGTTTCAGGAAAGGAATCAAGTCGGTTCCCCCTGTGCCGTGGATCCCGCTAGTCGCATCACCAACATGGTGGCTCATCTGGGAGGTGGTCGTGGTCGCCAGGTTCATCTGCGCCGGCATGCCAGCTGGAGCCTTCGTCTTCGCTGGCATTATGATGTACCGGGTGACCATGCGGATGTGTCTGTCACGGAAGGCGCCGAGCGACATAACGGCTGCGTTGAAGGCATCCCTGACGGGGGAGTCGGCTTTGTGGCTCATGGCGTACTCGCGGATGTTGGAGACGCGAGTCAGCATCTCCAGGAATCGTCTGTGTGGGCCTGGCATGTAATTTCGCATTCCCTAGTGAGAAAGATGAATTAGTATATGGAGTAGTCGTGCAGAAGTTGCAGGAGTAAATTGGGCTGGTCTTACCTGTATGTAGCTATTCTTGGATGGAGACGTGGTGGACTTTGGGTCCCCAGTGGCAGAGTGTTCCACTCCCAGGAAGATATCGAAAGCCTGAATGAGGGAGCTCTGTGCGTTGCTTCCTCCGCTGTATTGGTGCCAGCTTCCCTTGCCGTCGCCCAGGTCATAGAATACACCATTTGGTAACCCAGCCGAGGCCATGTTCTTGCTTCCGGCTAAGTATGGACGCAGCTGGTGGTAGAACACGTTTGGGTCGCACTTTTCGTACATCCGCTCTAACAGCACACCAAGGTCCTGCAGCCCTGTGTTGAATTGGTCAAGGAGAATCCTCACTCGGTGAGCATCGTCAACAGCCGCGGCATGGATTGCATCGAGCATGGAAAGAATCAATGGTGCGCCTCTGGCTTCGATGGCATCTGACACCATAAAGAACCATTCTTCATCTTTGGTCCCGGTGAGTGATGCGGTGACGGATAGGTTATCTGGATCCGTGAGATCGGTATCAGGGCTTGGGGTCGCGAAGTTCCAGAGGTTCAGAGCAGCGTAAGTGGCACATGGCGGGAGTTCGAGGTGATTCGAGACGTCTATAAACGGACATGCGATAGAAGGTGGTAGTCGCTGGGTAATCGTCAGTATCTATGATCCTAAGATTCAGAAAAAAGCCATACCTCTTTTGGCTTTTCGCCTCCCCAGATGTAGGCATGAGTAAGATAAGCGAGTAATACATATGCCCTCCGCCATTCAGGCTCACTCTGGAGATGCGATGTCGAAAGAACCGGGAGTTTGTCAATGGCCTCCCTTGCAGTCCCACTTCGAATATGCGTGGGTAATTCACCCACGATCTGCTCCCACGGCGAGAAGTAAGAGCAACTTAACTTGCGTAGTGGAACTGTATCCGGGAGGAACCCATTCCGCAGAGAGATGTGATATTTGTCGAGGATGATCTCAGGCGTGGATAACATGGTTACAATGGTCAACAATGTCTTGGTCAAAATGAAAGAATGATAGAGATTGTACGACGGTACTAACCCCCGGTGGTCTCTTATACAGGAGGCGCTACATCAAGCCGAAGCAAGCCGGATCCATCCCGTGTTTCGGCCGGATGTCATGACCAGGAGACCGGACGGTAACATCATACCACGGGAAAATAAGATCCGGTGTGGAGAATATCTCGCACTGTCAATAGGATTGTTGAGTGTAAACCAAGGATTAGGCTTCGTGCAAGTGGGGACGGAACTGGGGGCGAGGGAGAAAGAGCTCGGCCATGGAGTCCCTTCCATGATGGAGACACGGATCCTGGAGACGGAAGCGGGTGAGCGATCCGGATCCGCCACCACCGACGCCGGCCTGAAGCGGATCGGCCCCTCTCCATAACGGTGCTACTTAAGTCAGCTTACCAGTAGAGAGTGTTTCCAGACATCCAACCGAACTGATTGCTTGCTTCCAAGGAATTCACGAACCACTTCACAATGTCGAAACCGGTGTTTCCAGCTGAGGCAGGCACGAAGGAATATGCTGCCGCTCTCGACGCCGCTGACCAGCTTGCGGGGTTCCGGGATAAGTTCATTATACCCTCGAAGGCTAACATCGCTACTAAAAGGCTAGCGAAGCCTGGTGAGAATTATCTCCAGGAATCTACCTACTTGACCTTTGTTCTAATCAAATTCAGGCCTCTCACCCGAGCCATGCATCTACTTTTGCGGCAACTCCCTGGGTATCCAACCCAAGGCCGTGGCAAAGTATCTGGAGGCACAGCTAGATACATGGGCATCCATTGGAGTGGGTGGTCACTTCACTGACATCGAGGATTCCCCGTTGAAGCCATGGCAATTGCTGTCAGAGCAAGCGGCGGAGTCGATGTGTAAAATCGTCGGCGCACAGCCGGAAGAAGTCACGGCCATGGGAACCCTGACGGCAAACTTACACATGTTGCTCGCCAGTTTCTATAAGCCGACTGCGACTAAGCATAAGATCCTCTTGGATTGGAAGGCTTTCCCCAGTGACCATGTATGTTTTTATCACGCAAATCATCGGTTCGTGCAGCCGCTAATCTTCCGCAGTATGCAATTGAGTCTCATATCGCCTGGCACGGCCTCGATCCCAAGGACTCTATGGTGCTCGTTGGGCCCGAAGAGGGCGAGTATGAGGTTCCCACAGACAGAATCTTGTCTTATATCGACCAGCATGCTGCAGACGCTGCCCTCATCCTCCTTCCTGGAATTCAGTACTACACGGGGCAGTTCTTCGACATGCCGAAAATCACGGAATACGCTCACTCGCGAGGCCTTGTAGTAGGCTGGGACCTGGCCCATGCGTACGGCAACGTCATTCTTAAACTACACGACTGGGATGTGGATTTCGCAGCCTGGTGCACTTACAAATACGGAAATGCTGGACCAGGCGCCATCGGCGGTCTATTCGTTCACGAAAAGCACGGCCGCGTTGATTACAGCGAGGGAGAGGATGCCCCCAAGTTCCGGCATCGTCTGACGGGATGGTATGGTGGAGATAGGTCCGTGAGGTTCAAGATGGATAATAGTAGGTCTCCCCCATTTTGGAACAGTGTCTGCTGCACAACCGCTTACACCTTTCAAGAGTTCAAGCCAATCCCCGGGGCAGGAGGTTTCCAACTGTCCAATCCGTCTGCAATCGACCTTTCGGCGCTTTGCGCATCACTTTCCGTTTTCGACGAGACGTCCATGACAGAGCTTCGAAAGAAATCAGTCTTGTTGACGGCGTATCTCGAGTACCTGTTACTAAAGGACACAACGGACGACACTCGTCAATTCCGCATCATCACACCCGCCGATCCCGAGGCTCGGGGCGCCCAGCTCTGCCTCTTGCTCAAGCCAGGCCTGCTGCAAGGTGTCGCGGAGAAATTGCAAGACGCGAGCGTAATATGCGACAAGCGAGAGCCTGGTGTGGTGCGCGTTGCCCCTACTCCACTATACAATACGTTTACCGAGGTATGGACGTTTGTGAAGATATTCCGGGATGCCCTGGAGCAATGATGTACTACGCCTAGAGCCTTTGCCGGCTGAGGCAGCGCACCACCATTCACTCGCAGGAGGCAGGTTTCTTGGCCCTTGTTTATGTGTATATAATATGTCTTAGAAATTCCCAAAGCCCTCGCGGTTGTCGCCTGTCCGTAGGAACTCCTGGCCTTGAGAGAAAAAGCTCGTAGCAAGGATCGAGAATTCGTCAGCCAGCAGGTCGGTAGGGCGAGGCGAGCCCATCGATGCTGTTGTGCCCTGTGGCCCGGCAAGAAAAGGGACCTGCAGTTCGTAGTTTGAGCTAGGAGTATGCATCACTCCCTGCTCCGAGTTGATGCGAGTGGGCTCGGGTAGTGGCGACGTCTGCGATACCTCAGCAGTGAAGGCAGGCGGTTCGCAGTATAGCGAGTCACCAAACATGCGCCGTGCCGAGTCCTCATCACTGTTCGAGGAATATTCGAGGATCTCCCAAAAGCGGGAGAGGTCTATCAGTAAGCTCTTGTTTTGGGTTCCGGACTCAGGTTGGTAGGATGCAGATACGGCGCCTTCTAGCATCTGCAGCCTGTCTGCCTGTTAGGTTTGACGACTAAATTAGCGACGGCTATTGGATTGTGAAAAGGGCTTCGCCTTACCAATTTTGCCATGTGTGGCCATTTTTGTCCGAGTGTCTGTACAAATCTGACGCACTTTGAAAACCGCTCGCGCTTTTCTTCGCGGATATTGATTTTCTCGGTGAAACTCAGCTGCAGTTCAATGGTAGCTACCACTGCTGCACTGTATCCCAGAAGTGGGTCCGAAACAACGAAGGACTTCTCCTCGAAGTAATTGATAAAGTGGATAATCCAGGTGGTGTGTGATGAGATCAGATCAGACGTATGCTGTAGGAAGATCTCGGGTATTGAGCTTCGAAAATTTCTGAGACTCAGGGATAACAGGAGTGGATGGTTCAGTAGGCATAGGTTCGTATGGTAGAGGAACTGGTTCAAAAAAAAGGGACCCCAGTAGGCCCTATTGTCATGAAGTTCCTCGGGAGTTCTGTCGCTCAAATTCACAGACTTGAAGCGGTGGATATATGGCATGTGCGTCTCCAGGTCCATCTGAAGCGTTATAATTTTGGAATATTCCGACTGGGCTGACCAGGGTGGTATCTGGCTTGGTTTCCCATGACGACTGACATAGCGCGCAGTCTTCGCAAATACTTCGCTGAGTATTATGACATAGGCTATTATGCCTTGGTCTTGTAGATCCGTTGACCGGCTAGCATCGGGGGCGTTATTCGACGGACTGATCAGGGGCGGCACGCTGGGACTCTCTGGGAACGGAGGGAAACTACTATCTCGACTATCGGCATAGTCAAACTCGGTGCCGTGGAGACGTTTCAAAAGACAGATACTCCAAAAGCAACGTCGACGCTCTTCGCGTGTCACGGAGGAAATATTAGCATTAGATTCCAGGCCTAGATTAGCACACTGTGCCAGATTCATAGCAAGACTGCTGTGGATGTTTGAGCGATGCGTATCGCCACCTAAGTATAAAGGTTAGAGCTCTTGGTCTATACCACTGAGTGCATAACCTTACTTGTAAAATCCACGAGACTCAAGAGGCACAAGGTCTGCAATGTCGAAAGTTCAACCGGGCCTTCGGAGACTCTTTTCATGACCAAGCTTCTAGCTACCTCAGTATAGCCATTGATTCGTGCAATGAGATCATTCACGTCTAGATACTGATCTTCAGCAAACCGGATACTTAGGGCTAGTATAGCGTAGATTATCTCAGGATCGCGGGTCCCAAGACTCTCGAGGAAGCTACCCCGATGGAAAAGAGGAAGCGGCTGGGATTCACAATACGACAAGTAGAGTTCCGCTATAGAGACTACTTTCGCCCACGCAGGCAGAGGCGTCAGCGAGTTGAGTCGTGAGGATGTTGTCGAGCCACCTATAACGGGTGGCAGGAAAGGATCTGGCGCTGCAAGGTTCTGTCCTTGTGGTCCATGATTCTGTTTGCTGCACACGAATAAGTAGTGCCCTAACGAACATGGAAACGGGAAAGCATGGATACCCTAACGCATCAAGCAGTTTGCCCATTTTGGACTCAATGCTTCCTAGTCGATGTTCCTATGCAACAAGCAGTAAGCTAATATGGACTACAACGGAGCTGCCACCATACTTCTATGATGAGTCTTACCAGGAGATGAGAAGCCCCCAACTCGGCCGGGAACGCCGCGGTCGGGTCTTCCAAAGAAGCGACATGATTGACTGATGATCTCCTTCTCTCCCCTGCATACTCGCATTGTTGACGTAGACGTGCGCAGAGGGAGCAAATCGGCTGCTCTCCAGGGCACTTTGCTTTTTTACGTCTTTCGGGCATTAGCAATGCTCTACGCGGGTAAATGTTGGGGTAACTGACCTGCAGGGTTCGCAAGCCTGTCGCACTCTTTTCGCTGGCCTTTCACTGGTTTCACGATCCATACTCTTCAAGGCCACTTGGACAGGTTCTTGTGGAATACCTGTTCGAATGATCCAGGTACATATAGCCGAGTCGCGTACCGAGGTGTGCAAGACGAAGCGAGAGGCTCGGGACACAACGGTACCCTTATGTATTAGATATGCTATCATGTAGAATCCCTCCCATCATATCACGGTTTCAATAATATCGCCAAGGATGACTCCTCTCTGAGGTGAGGAAAGTACTTCGAAGGATGCACCAAAGGAAAAGGTACATTGGCAGCAGCATAAGACATGGAAACGAATGATATATGACTAAGCAGATGAATTGAGTGAGCCAATCAGAGCGACGAAAGAGGGAATTATTTCCATTTATTACGGATAACCAATCGTGTATAATTCATGGTAGATAGCTGGGAGACTTTATAGTAGTTTGCAGTGATATATCCATGTTACTCAATTTATTGAACCTATCAATGGACTTTTTGAGAGGATCGTCCTGGTAGAAATGCTTTTCCGAACTGCTCTGTTCCATGCCCAATAGGCGTTACGGAAAACTTGATGACATCAGAAAATTCATCCAGGATCAGACCATAATCAGCCCATTTCTCAGGTTACGGAACAGAGCTTAGGGGTGACTTTAGAGGTCTGGCAAAGCAAAGTAGGGATAAGGAGTAAAGCGAGGGAAACAATTCACGTATTGATTCCTAGCGTATCTTATGTACAACGTTGGAATTCTCCCTCGTAACTGAACGACCAGAAATCCTAGAGATACACCGCCAATTAATCTTGAACATGCTGTTTTGTATGGTGGAACAGATATAAATTAGGCGAGGCTATCTAATCCTTGCCGAACCAGGTCTTGTGGCCCTATTCCTAGCGTTAGCATGGGAGGCTCTGGAGCGGGCGCATGGGCACATTGGTCCCCAATGCGGCCGTTCAAGCTTATATCAGTACTTACGAAAACCATGCGGCCCATAGCGTAGGTGGTGGCTAGAGCAAATTAGTCCCAGGTATACCGCGAGAGGATTCTATCAAGAACTCACCAATTCCCAGGCCATAGACGGAGATGAGGTAGGGGTACATGACGAACTTGCTGCGCGAGGTCTGCATGGTGTGAGTATATTGTCCTTTGGCAAGCTCCGTCGCCCCAGCGAGGAGGGCGTCCGAGTTCGATCAACTGACCTTCCACCACTGGCGCTTGCCGTCGTGATGCTGGAAAAGGCGCTGGTAGTGGGGGACACGGTTCTCACGGAACATGAACCTAAAGCAGGCAGAGCCCATATGTCAGCAATTGACTGAGAATGATAGTGTCGAAACCACGCAATGGACTCAATTGAGCGAGCAATCAAGCCATGGACCGGGGGTCCTGCCATTTCCCGAGGGGGCCACGCAGACCCGGTGGAGGGACAATTGGGAGGTGATCCAGGAAGTGAACATACCCAGCGAGGCGGGGAGCGGTGCGGAACATTTTGACGGTGTCAAACTGCGACTGAAAGAAGCTGTTGGGAAGCAAAGGCGACGGTGACGGTGGAAAGACCAGGAGCAATGCTGAATCGATGTCGTGAAGTGTGGACCCGCCGGAACTCGAGGATCACGTGAGATCCCTCATGCTTCCGCCTTGAGATGGCTTAGTCACTAATGTGTCGATCTAACCGGATCCGGCTTAGTGTCCAGGCGGTGTCGTGAAGAGTCCGCGGGATCAATAATATCATGAATCCATCCAGGTACGAATAGACAGAATTGACATTCCCCCTTCCACTCTTTATGATTCTCCTTCCTATACGTCCATGCATTTTCTCGGATAGGGTGCTAGGGGAGAAGGATGATTAACTGTCCTTTGACACTCTTGCTTCTCTCGTTTCAACACCCATGCGACCGGCTCTTCTTCGACTCTTGAAGAGGCCTTCAGCTCTCCCGGTTCTCGACTCCCTGATTTCGAGCCCTGTTGGAATTGAACGTTTGGACTCGGGGCTTCGGTTTGAATGCCTTCGGTGTCATTCGCGGAACGAGCGCCCAAGTAATGACACCCAAAATGGGGGGCCGAACGACCCCGTCCACAGCAGACTCCGTCCACGATCGACGAAACCACCCCCGAGCTTTCGCGTCTATGAAATCCAGTCGGCGCAGAAGGAGCCGGCCCGATCGATCGAACTGAATGATTCGGCTGCTACACATAACACCGACCATGCGCGGGTTCCCATCGGATTGCTACCGGAAAGGCTGGACTACGAGTCAGACATTGGCCATACAGATGACATGGGAACACGAATGGTCGACGACCAGGCGCATAAGAATAACTTTCTACTCTGGGAAGAATTGCTTCGGTACAGGCAACGGCACTATGGGGATAAGGGCACGTTGGATATATGGGAGGGTTTGATGGCCCGCGTGGGTGATGTTGAACTGCCGGTGGTCGGCGAAAGGGCCGACCTCTTCTGGCAGAGTTTCGTGGATGTGGGCCTGAAGCGAGAGCCAATGTTAAGGGAGCTGGTCTCTTATTCTCTGGCACTATTCGAGAAAACGGGCAGGCGGTGGCGCAAACTTTATGAAAGTGTCGTTGGAGGATTCATCAAACGAGGGATGACGCAGCAAGCTCTGCACTGGCACAAGAAGCTTCAAGCCCCCCATCTAGATGGCCCCGACGATGTTCTGCAGGTTCTCGAACCCGCAATTGCTCTTTCTAGCCAACATAAACACCAAAGTGTTACTCCAGGAAAAATGAAACGGGGCGCTCTGTCTCCCGGGTTCTGGGCGTTCCGAAGTATTTGCAGTACGACCGACGGCCATCAAATTTACGGACGTGTCATATCTGCGCTATTGCGGCATGGACTTTTCGAGGATGCGCTGTCGATGCATAAATTCCTTATCCAGAGGGACGATCATCCGCAAGACTACGAAGAACTCCAGCCACTGCTGATTTACGCCAAGGAAAACGGGCCATGGACATTTTCCGAGAAACTTCACAGTTACGCAGCGAACCGTTTCCCTGAACAGAGCGAACCGGCAGAAGAGTCTCCGGGTGTTAGCGTCGAGGCTGGACCCGAGGATAAGCCACTCAAGGATGACTTTGGCGCGCGACTTTTCGCTACGGGAGCACTGGCTTTTGAGACGATCGTCTCAGGCCTGCAGATGTTCGGCGTCTCAGCCATCGGCCCTCACTCCCTTCGAGAGATGGCCGTCAGAGCTCACGGCAGCCAAGACATACTCGAGAAGCTTCGCCAGCTGCAGAATGCAGGAATCTCCCTTGGAGACTCGGTCTTTGCCCGTCTTCTCCGCAGGCTGGCCACTGAGAATCGGGAGATTCTCTTATCCGACCTGATCCACAGCGACCAACACCCCGACGTGCTCGAAGATGCACACGTGCAAGAATCGCTGTTGATCTCCTCCTATATGGCCCGCGAATGGCGCTTGTACCACCTGACGTTGGCGGTTTTGGGCGAGATCCCCGACGTCCGGTCTGACCTGCCCAGTCTCCATTTCCGCAAATACATCACCGCCGGCGAATGGTCTCAGGCGTTGAAACTCGTCGACGAACTGACGTTGCGTGGCCAGACGCTGAGCCAAGAAAGCATCGATTTCTTGGTAGCGCAGGTGCTTACCCCACGCAAACCAGGGGCTCGACCCCCTCAATCGACGGATTTCCCATCTGACCAGGAAGTGACCTTGGTCTCCCGCATCCTCCAGCGCGTCGCCTCTACGGGTGTGTCTATCCCCACCGACCTGTGGGTTGAGATCCTGAAACGGTACGGGATGACCAACCATTGGGACGAGCTCCACGACTGCTGCCTCTGGTTAGCTCGCCACTACTCCTGTCGCTCTCCGCACGTGGATACCGCCCGGGTCCCGATGCTCCCCGAGAAGTCACACGCCGGGGTCCACGCAGGGTCCGGAGTCCACGCAGGGTCCCGGGTCCAGAGCATCCGACAGCTGCAGGACATCTTCGACCGACACATGCAGGCGGCCATCGTCGCATGGGGGTTCCGGATGCGGATCTCCACCCAGTCCAAGAAGACCTATAATCCGTCGGGCACTCCCGAAGGGGACCTTGTGCCCTGGGTCCGCGGCGTCGTGCTCCTGCGAGAGCTAGGGGAGAATGGCGTGGAGCTTCGCCCCGGCTGGATCCTCCGGGCGTGCCGGCAGCGTCTGGCGGTCCTCTACGGAGGACCCCGTCATTCCGGCCGGCGCATGAATCGGATGCTCCGGCGCGAGAACCCATACAGCGTCGAGCGGGTGGTGAGCGATCTCAACCGGGCGTGGGGGGAACCGGCCTTGATCCAGCATCGGGGTGGAAAATCACTACAGGAACTGGTGAATCCACCATTGTCGAATGTGTCCCTACACCGGACCCATCGCACCATGTTGAACCACGCGCGATACCGTGAGCCGGCGTCTGTCCATCTCAGATGAGGAATCTGTATATAATGTACCATATTAGTTAGGGATATAGTGTATGAATATGTATGTGTAATTCTCATTAGTCCGAAGATGAATGTAATGAAGTCTATTCGTCTCTCCTCCCTGTCTGACAGGGTAGAATATCAGCAGAGGCTGATATACCAGAATAAATAGATCAGACTGGAGAAACAGTCTAGCTGATAAACCAATCAGGTTTATTCTTCTACAAAATCATGTATAGTAAGTAGACTTATAGAAAAGAACAGGGAAATGAATGTCATATCGCGGGCCATTAGAGTAGAAGTAGCGGTAGGGGTATGTTTATACGCTTACAATGCTATGGTTCTGACTGCTAATTATTTTTGAGATCTGGGACGTTAAAAAAAACCACCTGCACAGTCGTGTCGTCTCGTAGACGCCGGGAGGATGGAGAGCTGAAGGCAAGTCGGCCTGCTATCAACTCGTGATGATTTCCACCAAGGGAATTACGCACCAGATGCACAGCGACGTTGTCATCTTGGACTGTTGTTCTCTCCTCCACAAACTTCCAACTCACCCCGTTCCAAAATTGGCCAAAGTCGAATGGTTCATAAGTTGGCTCCAGGTTGCTGTTTCTCTTCTCGGCTGCTTCCGATTCTAACCATTTCCCTACTAGATCGACTGCCTGATGGTTGGAGAGCATATCCCATAGGCCGTCTGTTGCCATAATCAGAAAAGAAGGTTGCCCAGGGTCGATTTTGGTGCTTGTCACAACCGGTTCAGCCGTCAGATATGGTGGCGTTCGGATGTCGTAGTGTGGTGTCAGAGGTGATGGACCGTAAAATCTCCGCTGCATATCCTGCTGGAACTCTAGAGGCCATTTCCACTGACAATCGCCAAAAGCTCGCGAGACCATAATCCCTAGCACTCGTCCATTTTTGACGATGTCTTCTTCACCAGGGTGCTCCTTATGGAGCCTGGCGATCTCTTCTTTGTTTGTGCCAGTCTGGTCTACCGACAATGGAATTGCTTCCCATGTGCCGTCCGGCCTTTTCTGCCCTAAAACTGCTCTCGAATCGCCGGTACACGCCACATGCAGTGTGCTTGTGATAGAATCGTATATAGATAGCAAAGCGCATGAGCCGGCATAAGCGGGGGCTAATTTCTTTACCTTCTGTTGCAACGGTTCTTCGCTCTGGGACGTATCCAGGGCTGCTTTGATAATGGAATCGTCGAGGCTCACGAACCCCTTTATGGTAGCGCGCTGCACTGATTTCTCGGATAGAGACTCTTCGTTGAAGGGTGGTTTGACTTGCCTCAAGCTGTGTAGGACGAAAGGCAGGAGCTGCTTCTTCAGCAACTCTGCTGTTTGCCAGCCTGAATGACCGTCAAAAACAGCCCAGGCCATCCACGGATTACCTTCGTTCCATGGTGAAGGAAGTTTTCCATGGGTGAACCGGTCCTCGCATGGGCTATTGGAAGCTAATTGGGCACCATCGTATCTGCTGACGCCGGCGACGTTTCTGACCGGAAATGAATATGCTCCTTGCGATAGGATACGTGTCACTTGGTCTTTAGAAGGACCTGGCTCAACGCCCCAGTACTCAGCTGGAGGACTCTCAAGATGTGGCGCATCGTCGCGGGCCGCATCGTCGCGGGTAGATACCAACCACCAAAGACCTGGTGTACTGACCACACTGGCAATCGCAATGTACCTCATCAAGTTCGAGGATGAGCCAGAGCCAGAGCCTGAGCCCTTGGTTGAATAGGAACTCTTGGCCCGAGTTCGTAAGATTGATGTTGTGGTCACGCGGAGACGCGTTCGAGTCACACCCAAGAACAGCATTGTGGCTAGGGTGCGACTGAAGAGGGGAGGGGGCAATAGAGCAAAGAGCACAGACGAAGCTCGAAGAATCGTATTCCCAGTGTAATTATGGGAGAAATCGAGACCACATGATTGTCCTGTTCGCTCGAACAGGAAAAACGGATTGCGTACGTTGTCACGTTCCTTTAACAAGCATAAATAAACAGTCCGACTCTCCTATTGTCTTCAGGTATCACGTGCTCTTTACGATCATCAAAAGAATTATTCTGACCTCAGGAACAACAAAAGTTATATTCTCTATAGAAGTAGTACTCTAGGTTAAGTCCTAGTATTAGTGGACTAGAGTTAGACTATGTCGCAGTATCAGATTGGCTATATAAGAGGATCCACAGAGCTCAGAAGTGTCTAGATATCTTTTGTAGCCGAGTGGTATTCTTTGCCAGAGACTATAAAAAATTGGATAACTATACTTCTAATAGAAAACCCCCTCATGAACCTAGTGATAGCGGTAAGTCATATAGAAGATACCTATATCTAGAGTGTTCTTGTCCTTGTTTGTTGGGCGATCTTACGCTCAGCTAGGAAACCCTACTTGAGAAACTATCATCTTGATTAGTCTATCACCTATAAGAATAAAGGAAGCACCTGTGCTTATCCCATCTATTCACGAACTTTGTTATCAACACCTCGACGGGCGAGTAGCTCAAAGTATACATAAAGGCAACCCTAGTATTCATTATCCAACTCAACATATGTATGTTTAGTATAACACCACATGAGCATGACCCCTCAAACTATACACGACCGTTGAATCAGGCGATGCAAGAGATACGTCAGCTGCAGGTGTCAGCAATAATCACCACCTCAGTCTGCGGTACGTGTCAGTAACTACCCAAGTATACTAAGTAATAGGTATCCATATTCCATTGATGTGGTGAGGATGGGAGCCTGGGGCAACGGGCGGTAAGCAGCCGCGGTAACCATACGCCACCTGGTAATCAGACCGTAATAAGACACCCGCTGAGGCAGGGATCGACCGTTAATGCATGACTCCGGGGTCCTTCTTGTTGTTCTACACTGGTAAGAATACGTTCTAAGAATAAGTCCAGGCAACGCGGCCCAGACTCCACCTCGGATGCAGCCACAAATCCCATTCCTCCACCGTCCGATCGACGCGGTCTCCAACCTATCTCATCCTCTGATCCTCATGGTCGATCGTGTTGGGTTGCCTGGGAATTTCATAATTCAGACAAATGCCAATAAAAATAACAATAATGACTCCAATGAGTGGGGTTTGTTTCTGAACCTCTGGGCTGTGTTTTTCGCTGACGTGAATGGATTGTTTTCTTTGATTTCCTTCTTTGTTTTTATATCAGGTCGTTCTTGATTCTTCCTGTGACACTTCATTGCTATTCTTATTATTATTACTCTCTCTGAAACATCTGGTGTCTTTGGTTCCTCTCCTTTGGACCCATACTTTCTCCCCACGAGGGTCCAGCCAACCTGACAAGTACCCTTGCTCTTCATCTTCCTCTCCCCATCGCCGCTTCATTTCCTTTTCTTTGATTTCACATCTCTCGTGCATCCTGCAATAGATCGATCTTGTTCACAATAGAGTATCATATCAAAACGATCCACTCACCATGCTCGGACTCGGCGTCTTAGCCCTCCTCCCCTTCGCGGCATCAAAGGCCATCTTCTCGCGCCAGACGGCCTGCAACAATTCTCCCGACCTGTGCGCCAAATCCTACGGCGAGATCACCCACCTGGGTGCGCATGATAGCCCGTTCGTGCGGGATGCCTCGACGAGCTACTCGACGTTTGGGAATCAGTGAGTTACGGACATAGTCGCCTCAACCGTTTGATATGTATTGACCGTCTCAGGTACTTCGACACGATCGTCCAACTCGACGCTGGCGTCCGGATGGTCACGGCCCAGGTTCATAAAGAAGACGGAGAGTGGCACCTATGTCATTCGCTATGTGAAACCATGGACGCGGGGAAACTGAGCTCGTGGCTGGGCAAGATCAAGAAATGGCTGGATGATAATCCCAACGAGGGTATGTACTGGCTGGACCCTACCTTCCACTGGGTGGAAATGAATTATGCTGACTTTCGGTGACAGTGGTGACAATCTTACTGGTCAACTCGGACGACGCAACGGCAAGCGACCTGAACTCGGAATTCGACCAAGCCGGCATCGTCAAGTACGCCTACAAGCCGGCGTCGACAGCCGCCCCCAGCTCGTGGCCCACGCTGCAGAAAATGATCGACGACGGAACACGACTAGTGACGTTCATCTCGTCGTTGGACAACAACGCCGGTGCGCCGTACCTGATGAACGAAGGAGACTACATCTGGGAAAATGACTACGACGTCAAGTCGCCGTCTCAATTCTCGTGCACGCCCAAGCGACCCACGGAAGTCGCCAACAACGCCGCGACCGCTAAAGCCTCGAACCGTCTTCCCATGCTCAACCACTTCCTGTACGCCGGATCCTCAGGCGTCATCGACATCGAATACCCGAACGCGACCTACGTCTCGACGACGAACGCCCCGAGCGGCGGCGAGGGAAACCTCGGCGACGCCGCGAAGAAGTGCAAGGGCGAGTGGGGCCAGTCGCCGTCCTTCATCCTGGTGGATTTCTTCAACAAGGGCCCCGCCATCGACACGGTGGACGACCTCAACGGCGTGAGCAACGCCGTCGGCCGCAAGGACCTCAAAGACGCGGAGAAGACCAGCGACGCGTCGACGTACCACAATGTGTTCAAGGGTCTGGTCGCGGTGGTCCAGAAAGCCAAGACGGGAGCCCATCCCAGCATGGGCGAATGGGTCTGGGCGGGTGGAGATTGGGGGAGCCTCGGCGGGGGGATTGCCGTATAGACTTTTCTTTTCTTTTCTTTTCTTTGTTCTTTGTCAAAGCGGGATGCTTGATTGATTTCGGTGGCAAGGAATATAGCGTTGCAAGAGGCTTTCCTTTCGTGTATGCTTTTGATTTGGTTTGTTTTATTTTGATTACCTTGTGATACATATACATGGCAGGGACAGACAGCATCGGACCGGCGTTGCAGGGTTCGTGATGATTTACGGACGACATGACGATTTGTTTAGTGTATAGTTGAATGAGATTAGTTATCTACTCCTCCCGACCCAGTAACTCACGCACTTTGTCCACCTTATCCTGGAAGGACTGTTCCTTGTCGATTCTAGGTAGATCAGATCTAGTCAGCAAATGTACCAAGCGTAGTAAACACAAAACGATCAAGGTAAACCAAAATAAAAAATGACAAGAAACTAAAAGAAAAGAGAAAGATACCTCGACCCAACCCGAATATCCGTCTGAATGCGCACAATCCCCTGCTGATGCAGGATGGTATGTGCCTGGCCGATAACCTGGAGAACGCGATCCCAGGTTCCTTCTATATTATATTAATGACAAATTAGATTAAGGGTCAGCTTACTGTCATCCCACGGAAACACATCCAATACATAGGTATATAAACATATAGACCAATGAAAATGACAAGAGAAGAGAAAGGTGGAAGGGAGGAAGGGAGGGAAGGATAGTACCGATAGTGGTTCCGGCAGAGTGCATGACGTATTTCACACCGGAGGACTCGATCAGTCGCTGGACGTCGGCGATCTGGGCGGAGACGGAGGGGGAGGAGGTTCCGATCTGTTGTTATTAGTTATATTACTAGGTAGGGATTTTGAACGGAATTGGAATTGTGGGAGACAGACTGGGATGAGGCAGAAGTCTGCGACGCAGTGGGTGGGGGTCGGGATGGATGTCATTTTGTGTATAGAAAGGTAGTTGGACGAGTGTGATAAGAAGGTGGAATGGTGGAAGTTGGAGGATTGACGGGAAGGGAAGTGGCATGTGGTGGAGATGGAGTGGAGTGGAGTGAGTGAGTGTGAGTGAGTGTGGGGTGTCCGACGGGTTTGTTATCGGCCTACTCTGTATGGAGTAGTACGGAGTATATAAGAGGAGATATGGAGTATCAAACATTGTCTATCAAAGTACCTAGGTACTTATATATAACAGTAGTACATAGTAGTACTGGCAGTATAGGATATATGATGTTCTCAACTCAAGTACAGATACAATAGGCAGAAATCAAGAGATCAGTATTGTTCGCTTCACCCGCTGATATTCCCATCGTGGTCTCATGGCATCATGGCATCTAATCCTTAGCCCACATCTACAATCAACAGAACAATACAATTGATAAGAACATACATACCAAGCTCGTCTCTGCTGATATCCCTGCCCAGCATATCGCGCCTGCGGAAACGTATACTGATCCGACAGATCATCCGGATCACGCGCGGGCATCAACAAAGCACAGTCAGACCACCATTCTCGGAGATATTGACAGATCTGGTGGAGTCGGGACATGTCTGGGAATATCTTCAGCGGAGAGGGAAAGATATGGAGTGGTGGTGGTTTGGAATCTGATAAGATGGGTGGTGGTGATGACGTGAGAATGAAGTCATGTCCACTGGGGATCTGGAACTGGTTCTAGGGTTCTATAGATGCATATTACTAGGATAAGCCTTAAAGTGGAGCTATATATCATGTTGCACTGTGAACCATGATAGATAGATCATGTTTGGGCTAGATGGTAGCTAAATGATAGACCGCGTGTGTCAGTTAGGGCTTGAAACGTGTACGACCTCCTAAAATCTACTTCGATACAGAAGGAAGGACTGGAATTAACAACATCGATCTTTCCTCTTCCCTCCTATCCTATCTAGAATATAAAATAGAAGCTCTACTCCAGACATCATGAAGCCTCTCAACCCAACACACTCTTTACCCTCACACTCTTTAACTTAATATACCAACATCCTTACCCACAGTCTTTACCATCCTTAACAGGAACAAACCACAATGTTCACTCATTTCAAACCCATCACCCTGGCGGTCTCCCTCCTCACAACCCTAACAACAGCCTACTGCATCCCCATCAACTCCGGCAGCACCATCCACACCAAGATTTTCCCCACCCCCAGCAGCACCGTCCACCCCAGCACCAACGTCCGCCCCAGCACCATCGTCCGCCCAAGCACCGTCCCCACCACCAGCGGCACTGTCCGCCCCAGCTCAGCCCCCACCACCAGCAGCTCCGTGCCCTACGGCGTCATGATCCAGAAGTGCACCCAGCCGGGCGTCGTCGCCCTCACCTTCGACGACGGGCCCTTCACCTACACGCCCGCGCTGCTCGACGTCCTCGCCGAGTTCAATGCGCACGCTACCTTCTTCGTTAACGGAGAGGGTACGAACTTTGTGTATGCCGACTACGCGGCGGTCATGAAGCGTATCGTGGATGAGGGACATCAGATTGGTTCTCATACGTATGTCTCTCTTTCTACATTACCCTCCCTTCTCAACATATCACCATCACGACCACGACGAAAGAAAGAAAGAAAGAAAGAAAGAAAGAAACTAACAAACCCAGCTTCTCCCACGCCCACCTCACCTGGATATCCCCCGACGCCGTAACCGAAGAAATGACCACCCTCGAATCCACCTTCCAGACCAACATCGGCCGCATCCCAACCTACATGCGCCCGCCCTTCCTCGAAGTCGACGACAGCGTGCTGTCCACCCTGACGGGCCTGGGCTACCACGTCATCGGCACGGACCTCGACACCAAGGACTACGCGAATACCAGCCCGAGCACGATCCACAACAGTGTGGAGTATTTTCGCCAGGGCCTGGACGCGGGCGGGTCGATTGTGCTGGCGCATGATGTGCATGAGCAGACGGTTGAGGTGTTGGCTAGGGAGATGTTGACGATGATTCAAGAGAGGGGGTTGACTGGTTAGTTCTCTTTTCTTTTCCCTTTCTTCTGTCTTTTGCAAATGAAGACGGTGTGCTAATGTTAATCATGTTGCAGCTGTCCCTGTTGGTGAGTGCCTGGGTGATCCGGAGGGGTCGTGGTATAAATAGATGCGGGATAGATGTGTTGATTGGGTTCGTGTGTAGGTGAGGTACCTTTGATAGGTACCTCTATTGTTACATTATTCTTCTTCTTCCTGGAACCTTTATATATTCTTATTGCATTACTTTGAAGTCACCCCTTCTGCTTCTGTTCCTTCATTAACAACTGAGATGTAATTAACAGATCCTCGCCAGAGGACAGTAGCAATACAGTATACACGAATGGTAAAATCAATCAATCATCATACACACCTGTCATAGCCTTCCTTTCCTTCTTTTTCCTTTCTTTCCGTTCCCCTTCCTCCCATGTCCGAACCTCTTCCATACATCACCCCATTAAAATAAATAAACAAACAGAAAGAAACACAAGATATTAAACCTCCACCACCAACCAGACCCAACCAACCCAATCAAACAAAACCAACTACTGCCTCCGCGTACTCTTCTTCATCGACTTCCTCTGCGTCTTCTCGCGCTCCCTGTCCAAAAACTTCCTCTGCTCATCAGCCGACAGGCCCCTCAGGATGCGCTCGCGCTCCTCCTTCTTGACCTTCTCCGCGGCGAGACGGCGCTCCTCGGCCTTTTCTTCTTCGTCCGCGCGGCGCAGACGCCGGATCTCTTCCTCGCGCGCGTTGCGCACTTTGCGCGTCACTTCGGTGCGGAAGTGTGCGGACGAGACGAGTTTGTCGGGCAGGCGCAGGTATTGCGTGAAGAGGGGGAGGGTGTCGGTGTAGCCGGTGCTGCTGGAGGGGAGGGTCATGGAGAGTTGGATGCGTTTGCGGGGGATGGTTTCGTCGATTCTGGATTGTTATTAGTATGATTTTGTATGTGCAAGGAAGGAGGGAAAGGGCTCACTTCTGAGGCTTGTCAATCGGCTGGTCCGTCACAATCAGATACTGGAAGTTCTCGCCCGCCTTCTCAACAGCGGAGATCAGCTCCGGGGTGAGCAGGGCGTCGGTGATTTCGGCACTCTCGGTCATGATAGTCACCCAGGGGGGCAGCTTCGCGTGGTCACGGGTGAAAGTCATCGAGGCGTCGTAGCGGTCCTGACGGAACTGCTTCATGTAGTTCTTGTGCACAACGGCCCAGATGAAGGGATCGTAAGTCGAGTTGTTAACCTTGAGCGGGGTGGCGTCCTTAGCAGGCACAGGGACGAGGTCCTTCTCCTTGCCGTCGAAGGTATAAGCCACAGCCTCGCACGTCTCCGTGGGGATCGACCATCCATCGAACAGGAATCCGAGCACGTGGTCCATGATGTAGGTAACCGGGTTAGAGCGCTTCGGCAGCTTGATCGTCACGTCGACAAAGGCCACGTTCTGGCGGCCCGTCCCGTACGCGACGAACTCCTGCGTCGAGCGCTCCTTCAGCAGCGACTCGGGCGACGCCTGCTGCTGCGCGGGAGCCTGCTCGCTGTTGTCCTCGCTGTCGCTCGGAGCGGGCCGCCGGATGCCGTCGAAGCCGACGACTGCGAACTCGCTCTGCATGGCCGGCGTGTGGGCCTGCGCCCACTGCTTCGCGCGCCGGCGGTTCTTGCGGGTGCCCCAGACGTGGAAGATGACGACTAGGATGATGAATGGGAGGACCATTGCTTCCTGCATGAAGTCCTTGGGCGAGGTCCGCTCCCACACGCGGTACCATTTGGTGTAGGGGACGGAGCTCTCGACTCCGGCTCCGAAGGAGGGCACTGCCGATGATGCCGCGGGGATGATGGATGCTGGGGATGGGTCGGGAGCCCCTACGAAGTCGGCGAAGCCTGATGAAGAGAAGAGTAGATAGTTAGTGGGTGTTGTGGTGTTGGGCCAGGGGTACGGCGATGATTGAGGACATCTAACTTACCATCGTCAACTGTGGGTGACTCTGATGGCTGACCACCAAAGATATTCTTCAACACGCCCGCCATGGTGACAATTGATGGGGGGGAAGGAAGAAGAAGAAGGGGGAGGAAGAAGAGAGGGAAAAGGCGGAGAGGTGGAGGAAAGGTGGAAGAGAAGTTCGAGGTGGCTCGAATTGACGTCGGGGTGAGGTTAAACTCAACGCAGTTAGTGCGCCAAGACCTGCGATAGCACGTTCCACGACTCAACGGCGAACCATGTCTTCGTCTTTTCCCCAGAATTTGTAAACCCAAGTACGGAGTAATAAAAGTGATATGGTAACGATCAATTTATACTATGTAATCAGACCCAGCGCTCCGTTCCATCCACCCGTCCCAACCTAGAAAAAGAGCGAAGAAGTGGTATCCTATGTAACAATGCAAAATCAAGAACGCCGCTAGGTCTAATCCAATCCAAAACATAATACAGCTCTAAACGCTCCAAGAAAAAAGAAAGAAAGTCCAGAGAATTAAAACCAGGTCATATCAGTCGTCAAGAACCGGGTGCGGCACCCGAATTCGTAAAAAGAATGTAAGCCACAAAAGAAAGGTAGAAGGAGTGGATGAACGGTCAACCGTGGTCAACCATCCAGGACGAGATAGGAGATTGACTTTTTCACTTTTCGTTCACTTTTTTGTTTTTACTGCCCATATGCCGGCGGTGGAGTTTCCTCGGGAGAGCTCGTGCGACCCCAGAAGGCACCACCACAGGTGCCCGACGTCGGCAGCAGATTCTCGTCGCGCATGCGACGTGCAATTTCACCCGCCAGCTTCTCGACCAAGGCAGGATCCACCGAGCTGGACGCGGGTTTTTCTTCGGTAAAGGGGAGGGCGGCCGAAGGAAGGTCCCGCAACGGACCGGAGTCCCGTTTTTCGCTGTCGCGGCGACGGTTCAAAGCGTGGGTGGTCGCGCGGGGAGTGACGTCAACGTCGCCCGGGCGCGGCTGCGACGCAGACGAAACTCCGTCCGTCTCGCGCAGCATGTCCGCGGTGATGTCCCGCCGCGGGGCGGGGTGGGAGAGGCTGTTCCGATGGCGCTCCGGGATCACGGGGAGCAGTCGGTCACTCTCGGGAGACAAAGGCGGCGTTACCGGATCATCGGCCTGCTCGCGCACTGCCGGCAGAGGAGCGGAGCAGACAGACGGGGTGCTGGTGAGCTCGCTGTATGCACTGTCGTCGCTCGTGCTGACAGTGTCCTCGGGATTCTTGGGGCGACGGAGATCCACCACCCGCTTCTTGCGCTTCCGGGCGTGTGATTTCGAATGGCGACCCGCCCCCAGGTTCAATCCGTAGCTGCTAAAGGCGTGGGTAGAGGCCGACGATCGCGTGTGGGCCGACGCGACGCTGGCGTTATCCTGGAGGGAGGAAAAGCCGCCGACCTGGGACTGCGCCCGGGAGAGGCCGGGGCTCATGGGCGACAACACGCCGCCGCCAACCAGGTCGGCCTGGTCGGACGGGGAAGTCCACGCGCGATACACGACTTCGTGGATCGTCGGGGTGAAGAGCGACAGGGTCCGCTGCGAATCGGTCAAGGCGCCGAGTCGTAGCAGGTTCTTCTGGGAGAACAGGGAATGGGTTTCGACGGAGGAGTCGAGCGACAACGATGCGATTTGCGATTCGCTCAGCACGTTGCCCATAGAATCGACCGGATCCTGCGGAGGACTGGCCAAGGGATCCGAACCGGGGCCTTCGACCGCGGTCACGTGAGCGGCCTGGTTCTGGATCTCCTCGCCCGCCCGGTACTCCGGGACCCAGAGTCGCAGGGATAGGCGATGGATGATGGCGGGAAGCTCATCCATGAAGAGGATGCGAAGCTGGGCCTCGATCTCGCGTTGTAAGAAGTCACGGACGAAAGGGATGGAATCGAAGGTCGACGAGACCTTGAGCGACTCGAGGGGGTCATTCCGGAAGACGACGGTGATGCCTTTCTGTTTCGAAAAGACGAGGATCACAAAGCCGGAGAGTTTGAAGTCGGAGAGAGTGATTTGTAGGGGGATAGTAAGTGGTGTTCTAGAGAGCCGACCGGTTAGCTGGGACTGGACTAGATGGCTCGCTTCTGATGTATAGACCGGGGGATCACTTACGCCGCTGCCAAGGGCAAGGGAGAGGCAAAGGACGGTCGTGTGACGAGGTAGGTATTTAATGGATTTGCCTGGACGCGTGTTTTGAGTGTGAGAAAGGCATCGCCCGAGTAGGACATCTTAAAGATGCCGCGAAAGCGATCCTCCGCGAGATCGCCGATCTCCAGGATTTCCAAATCGGGCGGAACGGAGCCCAGATTCAACTCGGTGACGAGGATATCATCGACGATGATGGGGGGTTTAGGAGATTTATTGAGAGCGGCCGTCAATAGCTCCTGGGCGCGTGTGTAGAAACCCGCGTCGGCCATTAAAGGCGACCAGTTGAAGTTGAACGCCATAGCCGCTCATTGAGAGAGGGATGGGATGGAGAGATCCCAGCGACCCGGATAGAAAGGCAAATGGGGGATTTGGAGAAGGGTGTGATCAATCGAAAGAAGTCGCATATACCATGAAAAATGAAAATATGGGGAAGAGAGGATCAAACGGATAAGTGAAGATGGGTGGAGGAGGCGAGAAGAGAGAGCGAGCGAGACTAGAGCGGGTTAAAGAGCGAAAAGCGGGAGAAAAAGGGAAGAAAAAAAAAATGACTTGGCGAGCTTCCAGCCTTAACCCCGAGGCTGCCAGGCCGGACCGAGTTTGATTAATCTTACTCGTGTGATCACTTTCTGAGTATGATACTCCTTTATTAAAGTTTTCCTATCTCATTTATTCTATTTATATTGATATTTATCTTTGATCTTTTCTTTCTATCATATTGTCTTCTATTCAATAAACCTGGTGGTGTGCCTGTCACGGGATTCGACCAAAAAGGAATCAATTGCGACATGAAAAACCAGACACAAATTGGAGAAAAATACGTCACTGCCCAGGCCTCTAGTCCAACGTTACTATCCACTTCCTTTCTTCCGATCCCCTCCGAAATGGCTGATCAATGATGTACAACCCCATGATTCGGTAGTTAACGAGGAGATTTTTATTTAATTTTAACACAAATATCATTCCTTACCGGAGTGCACGGAATACTCCATCTCTATAAATTCTCCCCATTCTTGACAGAGCGGGACCTGGCGACCACATTCCTATCTGGGTCAACCTGTTAATGACTTTGCCCGTGCCCACGGGCTGGAAGAAGTAGCGTCCGTGTCGATCCCTGCACGTCAATCTTTTGTTTTCTTTCTATCCTGGAGGGCAAAGACGTTGTGCCTGCAGGCTTAAGGGGTTGTCTGGTGGAGACTGTTCCTTAATATCACTGGATCTAATGTTGTTGAAAGTACTAACGTTACAGTACAACTCCTGTGGCTGTGTTGATGACTCGATAACTACCTATTTATTGCCAAGAAGGACGTGACCTCCGTTGTCGCGAACCAAGTCATCCATTTGTAATGAGTACCGTTGGCGATCCCCCGACCGTCATGCCTTGAAAAAATGGTTCTGAACACACGGGAGGAAGCGGCAGAGACTGTCTACTCGGCTCCGCTCAAAAACATCATCCAACACTAACAGAATTCTCTAATCGCATGTTGAGCCCTAAATCGCACCATTGTGGGATGATTTGATGTTCCTTTGACTCATTCTGGATGGCTGCACAGTATGGAAGGATAACTACGTTCCTTCAAGGATATGCAAGCTTGATGCCCCTTGCTACTAGGTTCGTCTGTTGATGGAACAGGGGGGTATGCCGTAACAGCCGGTTGTCTGACTGGGGAGGAGAGCTCCACTGCATGATGGTACTTCTGTATGCAGGGAGATGAGCATAATCAAAGGTAGTACTCCGTACATGTTCATGGGATGGAATTGCTGTAGTAACCTTGTTTAACTCCTTGCGTTGGTCAATATATCTATACTTGGTAACGACCGATCATGAGTGCTCAGCATTAATCGATGATGTTAATTACAGGTATATACTATACTCACTCTCTCTAATTAGTAGGACAAGCTAGACAGGCCCTCTAGTCAACAAACATCAAAAGATCACTACATCTCGCTACCAGTAGCCAGACACCGAGACACTTTAAAGCATCGCGCACTGGTCATGCAAAGACACGTGCCTAACAATAGGTTAATAATACTACTCATTATCCCCACAAGGGTCTGCTACATCTTCTCACAGGGTAATCCAACCAGTGGTAGCGTTGACGCCTATCATATATGCAAACATATCAGGTCCAACAACCCGCTTGCTTATCTACCATCCTCTCAACCTCTACATGTCGACACTGAAACAATGTACAACCCGCAGCGGCTAGTGCTGATCTGATTTACACTACAGTCAGATGTTCCAGTTTCGCATCCCAGGAATTTAAATTGCTCACAGAATACGAGACGCGTACACGCTCGGGTACCTGCTTCTTGACTGCTTCGTGATCGTATCTATACTCATGATAGTGATGCGCGAGACACTGCTTAGTTAACCAAATAGGATCTCAGCAATAGAGAAACCTGCATGACAGCAGGCCTGATTCGTCGTAGCAGTATAGTACTGTAGATATCTAATATAATCGGCAGAAATATATTCAACCCACCGTCCCAGCAATAACCATCTGCCCCCAAAAATAAAGCGCATAACCCACCAAGATCCTCCCCCACCCCCTCTTCCCCTTACCCCTCCCAAACGCCTCCAGCGCCACAAACAAATCACTCACGACAAACATCCCGGCTCCCAAAACCCGCTGATACGGCCACGGCGTCTGAAACTCCCCGGGAACAGTCGCTGCCGCCGCCGCCAACATCGCGCTGATAATCGCCGCGTACACAGACACCAGCGGGCGCATCTCGCCCGTCACCTCTAGATTGAGCACGTTCGTCGCGCCGGACGAGCGCGCAGGGGGATAAATCACGCCGAGCCATTTAGCGAGGGCCATTGTAGCGAGGAAGGTCGTTGCCAGGATGGGGTTGGAGGTGTGTTGTGAGTCGCGGAGGAAGGCCGCGATGTAAGCTATGTGGGCGGCGGCGAAGGCGACGACGCCGAGCTGGAAGGACGCTGTTGGCTGTTTCTTTTTCTCTTTTTTGGAGGCGTAGAAGTCCCGTGCGGAGGGGATGAGGAAGAAGTCGCCGATTGTGGAGAGGAGGAGGCCTGTGGTTATGTATTGGCGGTAGGGGACCCATTCGGTGGTGGTCAGGAGTGCAGGGCCCGTGACGAACGCGACCGATGAGAGCATCTTGAAGAGGCCGGTTCCTGCGTGCGATCTGGAGTTGGACTCCGAGAGGACTAGGAGGGGGAGGGTTCCGAGGAGGAGGTAGGGTGCTGGTTGGGGGGGAGTAAGACTGATAGCGACATTTTGATATATTATTAGGGGGTATTGTATTAGGAGGTAGTAGAGAGTAGATTAAGGAAGATGTGAAGGCAAAGAGCGGGGTGATGCTATTTTATAGTTCGCTCTGCAGGCTGACCCTAATCCACTTGGCGAATACTTCCAGTTAGTCGCATTCTCCCCACATTTGAAAGTGGAGAACGTAGTATTGTACCTGGTGAACAACTATAAGCGAGTTTTGACTTAGTACTGTACTATACAATTTCATTTGCTTGAGCCTTCAGCCAGAGTCGATCAACCGAAACTATATACATTATCCAGCAAGATGTTTTGAACCCGAAAAGTATACTATATAGATAATAAATCTAAATACAAAGAAACACGAAAATGGTTAAACTCCCGAATCCTCCTGCTCAATATCAAAATGCTCATCATATCTCACCCACGCACGGCAAGTATCCTCCAGCTCTCTCAAATTTGCATCAATCAACGGCTGGATCTCCCTCTCCCTCTCAATAAACTGCAGCGCAAACCCTTCCGAGGTATGCCACCCAACGTGGCAATGCATAAGCCAAGCCCCGGGGTTATCCGTCCGGAACGCGATCACCAGGTACCCCATGGCGTCCAGCATAGCGGTGTCCCTGCGTGGGGGGTTATTCGTATTAACAACTCCGTCCCACGGGTTGACGCCCTGCGCAAGGATATAGAAGTCATGACCGTGGAGGTGGATAGGATGCCAGACGGGGTACGTTGTGTTGATGATCAGGTAGATCCACTCGTCGGGGTCGGGGAGGGAGATAACGGCGCTGGAGTTCGGGAACACTGTCTGCCCGTTATGCAGCTGCTGCAGCGTGGGGTTCTCCCAGAGGACTTCCATCGTCGTGCTGTTGAGGTACCAGCGGACGAGGTTGTTCGCGTTGAAGCCGAAGTCCACGTCTGTCACGTTGCGCCAGTCTGCTTCTGCGACGGTCTTTGCGACTACTGGCTCTAGGGTGTCCATGGGCATGTCTTCGCAGGAGTCGACGAAATCCCATGCTTCTGTTGTTGGTTCGGTTGGTTCGGCTCCGTAGTGGAGGATGCCTTTGATGTTTTCGACGTTGTCGTTTTCGGAGCATGCTTCTTGCGGGATGGAGCGAATCCAGAAGGAGTCGGAGCCTGTGCCTTGGTTTGCTGTGACGACGATGTCGTATCGTTGGCCTGTTCTCGTCAGTCACTGTTTTCCTTCGAGGTGATCATCGAAATATATGCTCTAAGGATAGGAAAGGGGAACAAACCCATGCCGATGCTGACGGCGTTAGTCTGAAACGGCCGAATGGGAACCAAGTCCATCCCAATGACAGTCAAATTATGACCATCAATCATGAACCGAAAATGAGTATCGATCGCCGAATTGACAAGTCTTAGTCGATACGACCTGCCACGGTCCACCTTCAACTTGAACCGCTCCCCAACCTCCCCATCATCAGTCTCATAAACATTCGTTCCGTTAATGAGACCATTATCTAACGTCGGCGGTCCCTCCGTCTGCGCATAATTGAAGAGCTCATCCGACGTCTGATGCGACCAGTCACTGAGAAACACCATCCCCTTATCAACATCATAGTTCGCAGACGCAGGCCCATTGATAAGGATACCCCCAAAGACACCATTCCAAGCCTGGAGGCCAATATGCGAGTGCCACCAAGACGACCCGTACTGGACAGCACGCCACTTGTACGTGGTCGTCGACCCCGGAGCCGTGGGGCACTGCGTGATGGAGACGACCCCGTCGTGCGGGTTGGTGTAGTTCTGGCGGATGCCGTGCCAGTGGATGCTGGAGCCGTTCTGGGCCTGGTCCAGGCGGTTCGTGACGTGGATGATGAAGTGGTCGCCCCAGTTGCCGATGATGGTCGGGCCCGGGATCGAGCCGTTGACGGCCATGACCTGGCGGGGTACGCCGTCCGGCGCCATCTCCATCTCGTCGATCGTGAACCAGTACTCGCGCGTGACGCCGGTGTTGGGTACTATGTTGTGGTAGTCCGTGTTGATGTCGTAGTTGCACCATCTGGCGCGGTCCCTGGGTAGGTTGCCTGGACAGGGTAGACCTCGGGGTGGACGGGTCGGTAGGCCGGGGAGTGTGGGTATGATGCCGGCGGGTGTGGGGATGATGTCGGGGAGGCATCCTTCTTGATCTCGTCCGCAGAGGGTTGCGCTGGATGCTGTGCTAGGTTGTGGCTGCTGGTTGTCTTCGACAGGCTCTTCGGCAGCGGAGACCGAGCTAACATTGGTTCTGGAGAGGGAGTCTCGTTTCATGAAAGGGTTAGGGCTGCCGAAGTATACAGCAGCCGCGCACCAGGCATACGTCAGGAGGAGGAGACGCATGATAACAAGTCCTGAATATGACGCAAGGATCACAAAATTTGTATATACAACTGGGTATCCGCTTTGATAATAACAATAGATGCGACATGGACCATTGACCGGACAATAACCGGCTCTTATACATGCTTCCGTCCGCCGCCCTCCATATCAAATAAGTATCGACCAAAATATCTCGAGGAAAAGTATAGGGAAAAACAAAATACAACCAGACTCCAAAAAAAGCGCACATCTTACAAGCAGCAAGCCGAAGGGAGCATCGTCGCGTGCTCCAGCTGAGCCTCGTGGTCCCTGTTCGTCGCCATCCAAGTATACGCATCCATGCAAGCAATTCAACCTCACGCCGACGAACCATCTCAATCAGGCCAACACTAGCGAAGTAGATAATAATTATCTCGTGATCTCAGCCGCTCCATCGCTATCGTGTACCAATCAGACATGCAAAGCAGGAGGTAATAGCAGGCGTTGTATGGCGTCGTGACTCACATGTTTCGCATGAGAACAAGCGTGATCCCGCCAGATGATAAGATACTACTCCGAAAAACAAAGAAAAGTCTAGGCCTGAAGACCAGGATATAGCTCGTCAGAAGGAAGGGGAGGGAAAAACAAAACATCAGATACCTTGTGCCCTGTGGCCGTATGCTGTCTCACTCGGCGAGAGGAGAAGCGACAGGATACGAGAGTGATGTAGAGGGCTTGAACCGGCTGCATCCCGGATCGGCAATCGTATCCAGATCAGCCCGACCTAGGCAGTGATGGCAACATCCCAGACGACGTGGAGAAGGGATTCGTGGTCTGGCGTTGCCTGTACTGGCTGAGTGGCCAAGCGGGTGGATATATGACAGCGATGGGCCTCTTCAGTTCGTCTCCGTCCATCACGTTGCTTGATAGCGTTATACCAGCAATAACATTGTCTACACAATCTGTTTCAACATCTCTAACTTTCTGAACTCCGTGACCCTCAAGATGCTCCGTCTAATTCCGCTTCTTTGCCTCAGTCTGATATGGTTGGGGATGCTGGGCTCTGCAGCCCCGCTGTGGAAACGACAGACACCGGCCACAGACGGAGACTTCAACATATACGCGTACGGCGAGAACATCAGTGGACTTCCTCTCTATAGCGCAGATGGTAAGAAAAACACCCATTCCAGTCCCTTAGCAAACACCGCAGAGTCGACGCTGACGCGCAATGAACCAGGCCATGCCCATATCGGCGACCCAGCTGCCTCCGACGCAAACCAGAAGGGAAAAGTCCACTGTAAGCACTAATCCATAATATGCATTATCCAACCCTACTAACACCAGCAGTCTCCAAATCTTCACAATCTTCACAAAAGTGGGTGGCTCACACCGACAACACCACATCCGACCAAGGGGAATCCACCGCCGCCAGCACCAGCACCAGCACTCTGTCGCTGAACGACGACGGAACAGTAGGCTTCACGGACTCCGACGACTCCGACAACTTCTCCGCTTATGGCAATTACGTTATGATTCAAAACCGGGAAAACGTCTATTACTATGCTCTCCCAACCGGCAAGGCCGGGCAGTACTCGCTCAGGTGGAGCGAGAGCGCACAGCCCAGTGACTCGGGCAGGGTCCCTGTCGTGCTGAGAACCACTCCACCGGCGACGGACGTCATCTTGCGTAAGACGTCATAGTCGTCGGGGAAGTTCGTGGTAGTATTGAGGCCAGGCGTGTGTTTTGTTACGGGGTGGGGTTCGGGATGGGTCGTGTGTATCGGTTGGGAAGGGAATGGATTGGGGATATGCGGTGATGCATCCTGGAAATAGTTCCTGTTCGTGTGATGTCGTTTTCAATGTAAGGTGGGAATCTCACGAGGTGGCTTGTTGTCAACCCAACTGTCTGGATCCCGGTGCGTTCGTCTTGAACCCAAGAATGTATCTTCCCTTCTCCCTGCATGGTCCGGTGTCACGTCCGGGACATCGACGTAGGACGGACTTTACGTGGCATAGTGGAGGCCGAAGAGAGAGACACCTGCAAGCCACGGTAGGTTCCAGCGGCGGCTGATAGCTATAACTAGTTAATGGAAGATTATATGAGAAGTCGGTATAGTCCCCGATCTACAAACCTTGTATGCACCAAAACTCCGGGTCATCTCTTCCTAGGGCTTGGCCCGCCCCGTGCCCTCTATGTGTTGGTCTATATATCTCACCCCGTAGCAAATGAGCGTACGTAATTTGTCTGGTCAGCTCAAGGTCTGTTTCTCAGCTGATGGTTCTAGTCTTTCGGTCGTCCCCGATCAAACTCAAAGGATCGGCCTCTCTCGATCGATCCGGGGACATCCCAGTCAATTTTAGGCGACCACGCCAAGAGATGATTCCATCCTGCATAAGGGTCTGGTCTCGGGATTCCAATCGGGCTTTTGGCTGTCTATGTTTGGCAATACGAGAAGCGGCCAATATAAACCAGTAGGATTCGTTTCGGAGTAATGTTAATTACGGATCTTTTAGGATTCGCTAAAAATACCCAGGGGACTGGCCTGGTCAAGCTGACCAATATATGAAACAGGTAATCTGCCTGGATCTTACAGGGTTGCCCTCTATATTTAAGCTACTATTAGTAACGTGCACAGCAGAGGGGCTGATGGCCACCGCCGCCCGCGAGATTTGAGCCAGGCCTGCTCCATCCTACGTGATCAACTAGTTTCCCTTCTCTAGTTGATTTATCAACATGATGACCTGTCTGTAGACGGAGTGATTTCTGTTCAGAGAAACACCAAACCCCAGGGAAAAGGTGAGTCCCCATTAGCCCTAATATGTAGATGTACGCTGGCACTGACAGCGGTCCACCATTTAAGGTTGCGAAAGTATAATCACACCCTTACATCAAATGCTAAATTGAGTTCAGCATCCAACCCCGAGCATGAAGGTCAATTGTGTAAACACACAACGTACCTGGCAGTTTGAAAACTGCTCCGATGCGGTTGACATGCCGCTTTGTGACAGATGCGTCGGCGTCGGTCGGCGTCGGTCGGCGTCCCCGTTGGCGTCGACAGATAGACACCACGTCCTGCCTTTCAAACAAACCTGCTGTTCATAGACACAACCCGCGCTTTAAGGTTTTGCTGAAGTAGGTCACCCTGCCGGCTCTGCATACCCATCGGTTGGAAATGGCCGAACTGTGCTGCTCCTTTAGGGGATGGACGCAGGGCCAGGGAATCCGTTGGTGTTGCAAAATGGTCAGGCTGCATTTATGCTGCGTTGGGCAGCATTTGGACGTGATGCTGCGAGACTGTTGCACAGCAGCTTGTCAATGTCAACGACTCAACAGCGTGGCCACGGCGGAGAATCGGAAGCCGTTATATGCGGTTGTGACAAGGACTATGGATATCCAGATGGTGAAACTCTATTTGGACCCACGGATGGTCTTGTAGCTCGTCAAACTTTATTAAAGAATGGTGGGTGGTCTTTCAAGGCTGTGGTAGGTTTAGATGGAACTATGCTTGTGGGAAAAGCTTTGGTCAAGTCACTCAAGGGAGCAAATGGTAACGCGGGAGAAACTCCCTTCGTCAAGGGCAGTCAAATTGGCTGTCTCGCCATCACTTGAGTTTGTGGTGCCTTACCCGGGATATTGACCACGCGCCGCTGGTGTTTCATCCTAATCAGCGCAGCTCGTACGACTCAAAGTCATCTTCAGGCTAAGAAAACCTCCCAAGACGACCTCGGGGAGTGATTCTTGTATAAGCCAGGGACTTGAAACACATATCCTTGCTGCTCTTGTTGTTGTTGTTCTAAGAGTGAATAGATTGCCATATCACCTACTCTAAGCCACGTACTAATTTTCATAAAGTCGAGATAGTTGAAGTGGATAGAGCTTTCCTATGCGTCACCTGGGATAATAGTGAGCTTCTTCAAAAGGTCATTTGATTATGATTCTGTCTACAAAACCAATAGTCTATAAAATTGGATCCCTTCTGTCTCTTATTACAATCTCGGCATATGATGGTGCATATATCTTCCTGCATATGTCTCATTCATCCAAATCGAATGTCCATGGCTTCTGTCTTCTAATCAGTCTCCAAGTCGCTTATCATGACATATAGTAATAGCTTGCTTGTATAAAGGAATAATATAGAGTATTTGTGTATTTGATTTACAAAACAAACGGGGTATATGCAATCTGCCAAACCATATCTTCAACGTGAACAGACCAAAACAACTCAAACAATCAAATCCCCCGAAGAGCCTTCCCACACTTCCTCAGCTGCTTATAGACAAGCTCCTTGGTCAGGTAATTCTGCGTCTCGTCAACAATCGTGCTAATCTCCCCGACCCCATCCTGCTTGATATCCGCCAATCCATTGGGGACATCAAACCGGAACAGCCGGCCGTCATCATCCAGCTCGCTATGTTCCTGGATAAACTTGTTCATCTCAGCCTCAGTGTTTGCCGCATCACCGGACACCTTCTTCTTCATCCCGAACGAGCCACGTCCCGTCGACCGCTTGATCGACGGCGTCCCCGCCCCGATGGAAACCATGCACCGCAGCTGCCGTTCCAGGGTCCCCGACGGCCAAACGCCCTTGGCTTCGATCCAGACCTCGCGGATCGGGTTCCCGGCCTCTTTGGTGCTGTCGTGGAACTTGCGACTGCTAGGACCGATGGTCACGGGCTCGAAGAGCGCCGTGTGCGCAAAGGTCGCTTGGGTGGCTTCCCACACCCGCGCGCTCTTGAAGAGCTCATTCGAGCTGTACTTGCTTGGGTAGCTGGTCAGCGACAGCAGTTTCTCGGAACTGTCGTCGGTGACGCAGACGAATCTGGAGTCGTCATATTCATGATTAGCTATGTATTGTGTTGAGGTTGTGGTCTTCCCGCGGTACTTACACCCTGCATGTAATATCGGCGTCTCGCAGCAGTGCATCCTTCTCGTACCCCAGTTCTTTCAGGATAGTCTTGAGTGCTGACTCCAGTCGTCGGCTGTCGTATTTCGCCTTCGATCCGAGTCCTGTCCCCAGAGAGAGGCGCTTCCGCGTAAAGACATGCTGCATCAGTCTTTTGTAGGCGTGGATGCACTGGTAAATGTCCATCTTCAGTCGACCAAGCATGATCGCTATCAACCTAATAAATTATCAGCATCGTCTCGCCGACACGACTCTGTGATAGTGGGTATGTGTGTGGCTTCACCTACCCTCCCGATCCAGTTCCCCCGATCATGTCAAAATAGTCGCATGGTTTGGGCGGATCCTCCGGGTTGATACATTCCATCAAGTGCTTGAGAATATGCAGCGAGGAGAGACCGCGGATGCCGCCGCCGTCCAGGCTGAGAAGGCTGAGTGTTCGATCGGCCATTTTGGCTTGCGAGTGGATTCCACTCTATTCCTTCGATAAGAAATAGTTCTGATCTTATCTGCAATGCAAGACAGCTGCAGGGGCAATAATTTATACTAGTCTGGGTATGAGGAGTAGTGTGGTCTATGCGACGATGGTATCAACTCTTTGGGCTGGACTAGCGACAGCCCCGCCACGTGTAGAGGCCAGGCACAAATGAGTCAGTTCCTAGTGGTAACTTAGTCTGTTGGGATCTACTAGGTGCTAAGGTAGATGCTCGTCGGTGGCGAGTGTGCAGCTTGGACCGCTGGGAGAACCTCGGCGTGGCTCGTAGAACGAAGCGCCCAAGCCGTTCTGCTGTCGATAGAGCGCACATGGGGGAGATCGGGCAACGTTGAGACGAGCGATGTTCGATGATGACGCCCCGCTCTTTCTGACCGATGAGGCCATTGGAGGACCTGGCAGGTGATTCTCAGGCAATGCGGTTGGACATCATCGGGGAGACACGTAGCGGTCAACAAATCCCGCAGGCAGTGTCTCCGTGCCCAGTCAAACCGCGAGAAAGGTCAAACCTAAAAAAGAAAATAGGAAAAAAAGCGGACTCTGACATTTCGATCTAGTGTCAGAATCCAATTGGCGAGTGAGAGAGAGAGAAGAAACAACAGGGCGGGAAATCGACATGGCTGATTGGAGATTTTTGCCCTAACTTGATGACCCAAAATAACTCCGACACAGCCACAACTGTCTGATTGGCACGTCTTTCCTCCTCGGGTCGCTACATGGAATCGTACATGGAGTGACATCATTCTGGCCTGGCAATTGGTTCAAAAACTTACAATTAAAGAATCGCCTTGGTTTGATTATTTGTGACAGCGGAGATGGTGCTGGAGTGGAGTGATCGATAATAAGGTACAGAGTAGATCAGCAGATTGGCTGCATTGCCCATTAAGCCTTCAACGCATCGTGGCCCCAGTTTTTCAGCGATCGATAGCTCCGACTGTCCGTGTTCTGCTTCGCCTTCTCTTCCTGCGCGAGATGTCGCTTACAATATGACACCACTCGTCGCATATGATCGACGTCCCCGTCTGTATACTCCGACGGGTCCTTGTCTGGGTTATGCTCAAGGATATCGACGATCTTGCGACCGCTAGATATCAACTCAATTCAGTCTTGCTCAAATGCACAAAAGGTTAGACGAGGAGCGATGTGACTAACCTCTCATGACCGATCGTCTCGCCAGACTCGTTGCTCCATCCCGAAGACTGCGATTGCTCCTCCTTCAGCCAGTCGCGGAGCTCGTTGGGCGTCATGTTGACGATGTCATTGAATTCTCTGGTCGGTCTGTTAGGACTATCATGATGGATACCAGAGTATTAGTGGAAAGGTCTCACTCAATGACGGTAGATTTGTCCTTGACCATCGTGATGAGGTTGATGAGATTGATGACAATTGATGGGATAGGTAAATAAGTGCAAGGTTGATGGGCATACAATACACATTCAACACAAAGGCTTATATTGTATAGCTCACATAGGGCTGTGTCCTTATTGTCTTTGACGTCATATGATGAAGGACAAAGTCTCTTTCAGAGATGGCGGTTGTGGGTCGAGATGTTCTCGAATCTGTCATTGTCTGGTACAGTTGATGCTGCCGCCATGGAAAAGGTTATTAATATGACTTTCCTGTTTATTTGGAGAATCCAAATTTGATTGCTCGGTATCTCCGAAGGCAGCTTTCGAACTATAGCTTGGTGTATACTTACAAGTAGCCAATAGACCAACAGGATTTCTGAGATACAAACACCACGTCTATGGCCAGATTTGCTTCTAGAGGTCAGGCAATGTTGGGTTCAGCTACGGCCTCCCACTCCGCTGCACTGCTCATCGCAAGCGCGGGTCACGTCAGGGAACAACGAATCCTCCTGCACGATCCTCCGGCGAGAAATGGACGATGGGGTTTCGTGCATTTCCACTGATATAGTTTAGGCAGTTTGTGACGACTATTCAAGTATTGATATGTCGCCAGTGAGGGGTCGCGGCACGCAAGCGATGCAAAGTAGCATTCAATATGCAGTTTGCGACACCGTCTATTTAATATTCGAAACACCGCTACTATGATATCAAATCGTTGACCGCAAGATCCTGCGTACCAGGACATTCTTCTTTTCTGTGTCTATGTCGTTCCCCCTGTCAGTCTCAGTCAGCTTCAACTTTTGACATTCCCAAACCCCTCTCGTACACCACAATGGCTCGGTATCCTCGCGTAGCGGTGGTGGGCACTGGACCATCAGGCATATCGGCTGTCAAAGCTCTCCATGAAGAAAAGGCCTTCGATACAATCCGCGTGTTTGAGCGCCGGAATCGGCCAGGGGGTGTGTGGCATCTTGACTCTATCCCCGACGTCTTTCCTGCCCGCGGAGACCCATACAATGCCCAAAACCAGATCCCCTCAACGCTGCCACAATTCACAGCCCCAGCCCCCGAAGACACCACAGCACGCACGGGCGTCTATGAGTCGCTCGACAGCAATGTCGGGATCAGGGCAATGGAGTTTACTCACACGCCGTTCCCGGTTATCAACTCGGCGCTCTCCGTTGAGCGGTATGGGCACTCAAATCCGACTCGGCCTTGGCAGGTAGTATCCCACTACCTCGATAACCTTGCCAAAGACTACTTGCACCTGATTTCCTTCAACACAACGGTTGAACGGGTCGAGAAAATTGACGGAAAGTGGACGGTGACTCTCCGACGCACAGATCTAACGCACCATGGCCAGCCAGCTGATTACTGGTGGCAAGAGCATTTCGATGCAGTCATTGTCGCTTCGGGGCATTACAACGTCCCTCTAGTCCCGGGCGTGGAGGGCCTGGACGTCGCGTTCAAAGCCCATCCCACCAAGTTCGAGCACGCAAAATCATTCCGTTCTTCAAATGACTACGTCGATAAGAAGGTTGTCGTAGTCGGAGGCAATGTCTCCTCCGCTGACCTAGTCACCGACCTCCACGCCATCGTCAAGGGTCCTCTGTACGTGTCCCAGCGAGGCAGGAACGACGCTTTCCGCTTCGCATGGGAGCTTCCCAACGTCGAGCTCAAGCCAACACTCCAGTCCATCAAATCAACCGACACAGGAACCAGCATAACTTTCACCGACAACACAAAAGTCGAAAACATCGACAAGCTCATCTTCGCAACCGGATACCGCCTATCCTACCCCTTCCTCAACCCCGACCCCGTCACGCCCAACAACCGCGTAGCCGGGTTCTACCAGCACATCTTCAAGATCGGCGATCCGTCCCTCGCCCTCGTGGGCCAAGTCCGCGCAGCGATCAGTTTCCGCGTATACGAGTACCAGGCCGTCGCCGTGGCTAGGTATTTTGCCGGCCACAACGCGAAGCCCTTGCCCAGTCCCCCGGAGCAGGATCTCTGGGAATTTGAAAGGCTGAAGTACCGCGGCCCCACAACTGACTTTCACACTCTCAGGCCGGACTTTAAGGAATATTTTGACTTCCTCCGGGATTTGGCTGGTCCCCCTGCTGTTGGAACTGACGGTTACGAACTGCCGTCTTGGGATGATAAGTGGGCGGAGTGGGCGTGGGAGATTCCGGCGCTGAAAGAGCGGTACTGGAGATCTCGTCGCCAGGATAACGCAATCAACAATGCCGTAAGGGCAAACCTATGATTACAGCTGTTTCTTTTCGCATTTTGGAATATAGTACTAGACTTGTTGGGAGACAACGCCGTTGTTATTTGATTGATGAGGTCTGTTTTTGTTAGCAGACATACTACACATAGAATTCAAATCGGTTGATTGATGCTCAAACAGTGAATACTCCCAAGATATTGAACTACTCTGTATGTCCTCAGTGAACTTGTAAAGAACAACGGATGAAAGTGATAGACGTCATGACATATGATTGGCCCAAATGCATATGTGTTTATATAATAGCTTTTTTACCACAGCAACGAAGACGCTAGGCCGTTTCCGGGAAAGCATCAATAAAGCCTCAGGCCCCGGAGCTGCCAACTTCTCCGGGGTTTCTCCTCACGTCGAATCTCTGCCGATCGCAGCTGTCAGGAAAACCGCAATATAACGAGTATAAGCCGATAAATCTACCCTTGAGGGCCTGGGCTCAGCGTACAATGTCTATGCTCTCATCACCCGTCGCCATGGGTGACACGACTCCGCTACAACGGAAAGCGAAGCCGCCGTCGAAGCCACGCCAGACAACACAACGAAGAGTCTACGGGAAGCGGAGAGCAGATGCTGCCAGGGCGGTGTTTGATCAGAGAAGTCCTGCGAAGGAAGTGGAAAAGGCAAAGAAGATTATCGTCCAGGATGCGATCGAGAATATCCAGGTCAAGTTAGCGGAGGTCCAGTTGGACGAGACACCGGTTCCGGAGGAGACAATGTCAGAGAAGGAGACAGCACCAGAGCAGTGCCTAGAGACAGATGCGACTCCATCTTCCAATGATGAAACTCCCGTACCGACCGTCGAAGTGCAAGACGAGCCGGTCCCTGTCGAATCGTCGCCCCCGAAGACGTCTCCTATAGCAGCACCGAAGCGATACGAGAGGATGGTGGAAGTCAGAATCAGTACACGAACGTCCCTCGAGAAAACATTGGAGCCAGAGACGCAGGATCAGCCTACAACAACAAGTGATAAGGAACCCATCGAGAAGACACCCGCACCGGAGGAAGGCCCCCAATCTACAACAGCAAGTGAGGCCCTATCTGCAACGGCAAGTGAAAAGAGATCGACGCGGAGAAAAAATCCCTCCCCAAGGGTGTCCTCTGGCTACGTCATGGATGCAAAAGCGAATACCTACGTCCAGCCTATTCTGGATGAGGCACTATCCCCGGTCGCGGCAGGGAGCGTCCAAAAGTTCAGTTCGTGGGCGGCTCGTGGCGGAAATATGCTGCAGGTTGTCAAGATTGCGGAAGGCTCATACGGTGAGGTGTATAAGCTTCGTCTGCGCGAAGAGGTCTGCGAGAAGGAGATGTCTAAGTCGAAACTTGCGCGTCTCAGGGCGTATGGCGACGGCGTATTCAAGATTGTTCCTCTGCGTGCAAAGAGCGGCCCGGGATCAAAAAAGCATACCACTATCAACGAAATTGTTTCCGAAGTGAGGATGCTCAAATATTTGGACCCGATTCCTGGGTTTGCTCGCTTCAGGGAAATCCATGTCGTCCAGGGCCGGTTCCCTGAATCTTTCCAAAATGCATGGGACTACTATAAAGAGACCAAGGATGACTGTCTCAATCCCAACCCATCAAACAAGAGAGCCTACCCCGATACCCAGTTGTGGGCGATCGTCGAGATGGATGATGCCGGGTGTGAGCTGGAGAAGTTTGCCTGGTCGTCTATCTTCCAAATATACGATATCTTCTGGGGCGTCGCCATGGCCCTTGCCCGTTCTGAAGAATATGCACAATTCGAGGTAAGATATTTACATCCTATAACATGGGACTCGAGAGCTAATTTATGAAAGCATCGCGATCTTCATCTTGGAAATGTCTGCATTCGGAGTACACGGCCGGACGGCTGTATGGACCCTCCAACAACCACGGATATCATGTCCCGGTCTTCTGCAAGTGGCTTTGGCCTCAGCACCTTAGAGACTACAATCATTGATTATTCGCTCTCGCGAGCGGAGCTGCGATCCGTTGAATCGGGCGAAATAGTGGATGTTGCCTCGTCGGATCTTGACAAGAAACAAATCTTCGACGCCGTCGGCCGTGACGAGGACGAGATCCTGTTAAGAGACACCTACAGACAGTGAGTTGCAATCATTCACTCCAAAAGACCCTATATACTAATATAATAACCAGCATGCGCGCAACTCTCTACACGGGAAATCCTAGCGAGGCCGAGAAGCCCGCTGATGTCCCAGGGATCTGGGCCGACTACGCCCCTCGAACAAATCTCGTCTGGCTTCTATTCCTGCTCAAATCTCTTCTCAAAAACAAAAAGCCTGAGCCTAACTCATTAAAACCAGCCAGGCAAGCCCTCGCTCCATGCACCCCGAACAAGACCATCAAACAAGCTGGGAAGTCGGGCAAGAAAGACAGCAAGAGTCGACCTGGCGTCCTTGCAGTAGGATCGCAGGACAAGGTCGTCTCAAAACTCGAAGACATGCTTGGAAAGAGACTCGATGCTGTCTTGGAGCTTCTGGATCTACAGAATGGTCATGAAGACATGTGCTGCGCGGCGGATTTAGTCGCCTACGCGATGGACTCGCAGTGGTTGGATGAGAGGGACTTTTTCTAAGACTTTGGTTGCATTTTAGCGGGGTTTTATTTGCGCGCCTTGCCTTTTTTTTTTTCTTTCTCTGTTATAGATACACCCGGTCAGCATGGTGTTGGTTATTACTCTGGTCGATGTTTTTGTTCGCATATATAGAGCGTGCAGGTGTTTACATATGGGCCTGATGTTAATTATATCCTTGTTTATTATATTGACATAATCAATACATGCTTCAAATTGTCAGATAATTTGATAATAAATATAGACAGGCTCTCATGGTTCCCTGAGACCAACAGATTATCAACTCCGGTCTCCCATATTTACAGTCATCCTCCTATTCAATCAAGTTCCGCAACATCACCACCCGGCTCTCCTACCTCCTCAATCCGGGACTCCTTGTTTTCAGCCTCGATCTCCTCAAGCTTCTTCCGGCCCTCTTCAGTGGTCGCATCGATAACGCCCTCCTCCAGACTGAGCATGCCACTATTTCCAAGCTTCTCCACCACGTCCTCGGCCTCCTCCACGCGCATCTTGCCCAGGACCTTGTTGACTTCGTCCAAAGACTCGGAGGCCAGGGCCGTTCGCAGGTCCTCGGGGAAGGATTCGTAGATCTTGCGAGCTTCAATCTCAACCGGTTCGTTGCTTTGCTCTGCCGGGATGTTGATGGTGATTTTGGTGTTCGGGTCAACGGCGTGCAGCTGGATCTGCTCGACGCCGGCGGGGTCGTTGCCGCCCTTGGCGAGCTCGGCAGCACGCGTCTTGATCTTGTTGTAGGTTTCATTAACGTCGTTGCGGAATAGCGTTCCGGCTTGGTGGTCCTTGGTGGTGATGCTACACATGGTTATTAGTGAATATTCTCGAGCATATGTTCGGGGTAAATGAGGGGCAACATACCGCTTGAAGAACAGACCGATACCGTCACGGCCCAGAGAACGGCAGTATTGCAGCAACAGCCCTTGGTGGACACATTGACGCGCAAAGTCCTCCTTCCCTTCCATCTGAGCGTTGAAGCCCTCTACCAAAAGACCGTCGGTTTCTTTCTCCGCCACGATCGTCGGGTTCTCGGAGATGAACTGGAGCAGGGCACGGTAGTCGTCGCGGGAGATTTTCGCAAATCGCCTGCCCAGTTCGCTGGCCCGCACACTCTCCATATCCTCCGCGTCGTCATCGTCGTCACCTGGCTTTTGCGACACCTCCTGCGGGGGCGCGTTCGGGTTCAGGAGCTCGACCGACTCCGACCCCTTAGGCTCTGAGGCCTTGGCTTTCTCTTCTTGAGCCTTAGCAACGTGCGAAGTATCGAATCCCATGTGGAGTCCGTCACTCGTGATCTTGCTCGTCTCCTCCTTTTCCAGCTCGGCGAGTCTCTCGTGGAGCTGCTTCTGTAGCCCCTGCACCTTATCCTTATGGCCCTGGACACCGGTGATATACTCTTGGAAAAGCTTGTCGCTGCTCGGGTCCTTCATTTCCTTCTTAACCTGGTCCACCAGAGCACCCATCATCTGCGAGTATTTCGGCTGTTCCTTCTCGTGGGTATACACGCCTTCCGGGGGCGGGGGGGCTTGGTCCTCCGAGGGGTTACCCGCGGACTCCATCAAAGCCTGGAAGACCAGCTCCTCCGGGTTTCCTGAAGACCCCTCATGCTGGCGAAGCGAGGAGAGTAACTTGTCGATGCGTGTGAGAAGCCCATCATTCACGATGCGCTCGTATTTGAGAGTCTCGATCTCATGGCGGCGCTGCTCCCGCTGCTGGTGGATCTGGGCCTGTTTGGCACGGATGAAGGACCGCTTGTCGACGTTGGGATGAACCTCGATGTCTGAATCATCGGACAGTTCCAAGGCATCCCACTTGCTGTAATCGAGAACCATTGTGGAGGGAGAGAGAAAGCCGACACTAAGCAGTGCGTATGGGGTTTGGTGACGCAAGTGGGGGTGGGGCAGAGAGCAAAGAGGATGAGCTCGCAGAAGAGGCGAGGGTCTGATCGGGGGGCGGGGAGTTAATCGAACTGATAGATAGAATACTATATGCAAGATCTGGAGAAAGTTCTCCGGCGACAGTGATGTTTGAGGGATGGAGTATCAAGCAAGCTCCAACTCCAGCTTGTCACGATTCTGGATCGTGGAAGATCCCCGGGCGGTGGATGGCGGCAGAAACGAGCCGATGAGCGTCCGAAACGGATCGAATCATGGGGATTGTCGGCATTCGGCCTGACGCTCTTACTCTTTCCAACCACCGCTAACCTGCTTTCTTCCTAACTCCTCTACCAGCACTCTCAGTCCTTCCATTCCACTGTGGTTGAGACGCTCGTGTCATGGTCATATTCGATCCTTCATAAGCCGACTAAGATATGGCATTGTGCTGTATTCCGTGACATCCGACACATTCGTCCGATTCCCGCATTTCGTTCTTTCCACAATGCGCGGAGTCAGGGTCCTGGCCTCTTGGGCCCCTGGAGTCACTGCCAGACACATTGCGAGCTCAAATGGAAGCATTTTAAACCACGTTCTCTCTCGGTCCCCTCACGCATCGCCTTTTGCGCCCGGTCTTGGTGGTGACTTCGCCCGCCGCTTCTCGGGAGCCTCCGGCTCAGTTTCCCGCCATCGCCTGTGTCAGCCGACTGGCCTTCAGTCCTTGCTTTCGGATAGCCCCTTAAGATCTGTGTTCCGGTCCCAATGGTCCCTGAATGCTCGCCACTTCACCTCGTCACGATCAAAATTACAAACAACCCCGGGTTCGCAGTCCACGAACGGTCAGAATGGGAAGAACAAGTCTAGCCAGGATATTGACGAGGAGGAGGCCGACAAAGGGTTTGAACTATCGGAAAAGGCAGCACAAGCGGCACAAGTGAATATGCAAGCAAAGCTCGCCAAAGACGGGGCCTCTGGGAAAAAATCGGGCTTCAGAGAGATATGGCGGCTTTTGTCCATTGCACGGCCCGAGTCAAAGAAGCTCGGTTTCGCGTTCTTGTTTCTGCTGGTCTCGTCATCAATCACAATGTCGATTCCGTTTTCTATTGGAAGGATCATGGATGCGGCTACCAAGTCCACCGAGAATGTTGGGACCGAGGTTTTCGGTTTGAGCCTTCCTATGTTCTACGGCGCTTTGGCGGGCATTCTCGCAGTGGGCGCCGCCGCGAATTACGGTCGAATCATCATCCTTCGGATTGTTGGCGAGCGCATCGTCGCCCGCCTGCGCTCCAAACTCTTCCGTCAGACCTTTATCCAGGATGCGGAGTTCTTTGATGCTAATCGCGTGGGTGACCTGATCTCTCGTCTGAGCTCCGACACGATCATCGTGGGCAAGAGCATCACGCAAAATCTTTCGGATGGACTGCGCGCGGCGGTGAGCGGAGCAGCCGGGTTCGGCTTGATGGCGTACGTTAGTCTCAAGCTGTCCAGCATTCTGGCGTTGCTGCTTCCTCCGATCGGTCTCGGAGCGTTCTTCTACGGAAGGGCGATCCGAAACCTGAGTCGCAAGATTCAACGGAACTTGGGGTCTTTGACCAAGATCGCGGAGGAGCGATTGGGCAATGTGAAAACTAGCCAGTCTTTCGCTGGGGAAGTTTGCGAAGTCAATCGGTACAACACCCAAGTCCGCAAGATTTTTGAGCTCGGCAAGCAGGAATCCCTTATCAGTGCCACCTTCTTTAGCTCGGTATGTACCCCTACGCAGCGAAAAGTGAGCGACATGGTCCTAATACGTTCTAGACCGGCTTAATGGGAAATATGACGATCTTAGCGCTCCTCTACGTCGGAGGTGGCATGGTCCAGTCCGGTGCCATCAGCATCGGAGAGCTCACCTCTTTCCTTATGTACACAGCTTATGCTGGCTCCAGCATGTTTGGCCTTTCCAGCTTCTACTCCGAGCTGATGAAGGGCGTTGGTGCCGCCAGCCGGCTATTTGAACTCCAGGATCGCCAGCCGACCATCTCCCCTACTAAGGGTGAAAAGGTTGTGTCTGCTCGTGGCCCCATCCGCTTCGACAACGTGTCTTTCAGTTACCCGACGCGCCCCGCAGTTCCCATCTTCAAGGATTTGAATTTCGAGATCCCGCAAGGGACCAACGTTGCTATTGTTGGGCCGTCCGGAGGCGGCAAATCCACCATCGCTTCTATCCTACTCCGGTTTTACAACCCCACCGCCGGCAAGATCCTTATTGACGGCAGGGATATTGGTAAAATGAATGCCAAGTCGCTCCGGCGGAAGATTGGTGTCGTCTCGCAGGAGCCTGTCCTCTTCTCTGGATCCATTGCCGAGAACATTGCCTATGGCAGCCCTCGCGCGACCCGTTCGGAAATCGTCACTGCGGCCCGCAAGGCCAATTGCCAGTTCATCAGTGATTTCGTAAGTTTATCTGGGGAAGGGAAACTCTATAGTTTCGAACCCTACTAACACCCCTCGCAGCCAGACGGACTTGACACCCAAGTAGGCGCACGAGGCGCACAGCTATCAGGCGGGCAGAAGCAACGCATCGCTATTGCCCGTGCCCTCATTAAGGAACCTGACATTCTCATTTTGGACGAAGCGACGTCCGCTCTCGACGCGGAGTCGGAGACGCTGGTCAACAGCGCTCTCGCAGCCCTCCTCCGGGGTAACAACACGACGATCAGCATCGCCCATCGCCTGTCGACGATCAAACGATCCGACACGATTGTCGTCTTAGGTCCGGATGGCAAGGTTGCTGAACATGGAACTTACGAAGAACTGAGCGCCCAACCGGACGGCGCGTTCACGAAGTTGATGGAATGGCAAATGAGCGGTGGAGAGGATTCGCCCGCGCCGACTGCCACCATCAGCCCGGCGACACAGGAGAAGCTGGAGGGACTGGCAGAGGAAGAAGTCGAGGATGTGGAGGAGACCAGCAGGAAGACCACCGAATGAGGATGAAGCGTACAGGTTTGCACATATAGTCCCTCCTTGGGACTTACCTTCTTTGTTTTTTTTTCATTGCTGTTATACTATTTTGGTGCTGTAGAGCATTCCCCACTTTGCTTTGTTGATCCCGATGTTATTTCATAGACGGGCTGATCGACACGATGTCACATGTATCTATACCTTCTGTTTTGTATACCTCTTTATCCTACATAGTATATGAATCTCTTTTCATAGAAGTAATATCATTAATTTTTGGCAAGATAGGAAACACCTTTAGCAGAATCCTCTCGGCTGTCAACTTCATTTCTTCAGCTCTACACCCCCCTCAAAAGCCGCACCTCCTGCCTGCGCATCCACCTGCATGCTCTCATCCAGCCCGCACACGCGGAACAGCATCTGCGGCGTCATCTCCTTACCAAGGTTCGGGATGCCATCGCGCTTCAGCCTCTCCATAGACTCCTGCATCGCCGCAACCGCAGGGCCCAGCCCCGCAAAAGGAAAGATGATAATCCGGAAGCCCAGTTCGCGGGCCTCCGCAGCCGAGATAGACGGCGTAGCCCCATGCTCAACCATATTCAACAAAACCGGCCACGGCGCCAGATCCTGAACAATCTGGCGCGCCATATCGCGCGACGTCAACCCCTCCAGGAAACCGACATCAGCGCCAGCGTCACGAGCCGCACGCAAGCGCGCCAAACTCTCCTCATACCCATGCACCTGCAGCGCATCCGTCCGCGCGATGATAACAATATCACTTCCGATCCGAAGCCGCGCCTGCACGGCGGCCCGGATGCGCGTCACGTAGGTGTCCTTGTCGACCAGGATCTTGCCGCCCAGGTGACCGCAGCGCTTGGTCTGCACCTGGTCCTCGAGGTGGAAGGCGGCGACTCCGGCGCGCGAGTAATGCTCCGTCGTGCGGGCTACCATGATCGGTCCGCCGTAGCCGGTGTCCGCGTCGGCGATGACGGGCGTCGAAGGGGACAGGTTCGCGATCATCTCTGCGTTGGCGCGCATGTCGTTTAGCGTGCAGATGCCTAGGTCGGCTTGGCCGTGTACTGAGGCTGCTGTGCCTGCGCCGGTCTGTGGGGGGTTTGTGAGCTACCTTCCTCTAGTAGTGGCGAGAGGTGAAACGTACCATGTATAGGGCGTCGAAGCCCACGTTGAGGGCGATACGCGCGGATAACCCATCGTATACGCCTGGGGCGGTGATGAACGATTTGGGGTCTTCGAGGGACCGGCGGAGAGTGGTTGCTGCGGTGGTCATGGGCATTGTGTGTGGTATTTCCGACTGGTGGTGGATGGACTATGACAGGCAGGAGTGGAGGAGTAGAGATCGAAGTAAATATAGTAAGTACTCTATATATTTCTAAGCCGTTTAGCCGTGGTCCGCGGCCGACATCGGGTGGCGATCATTCCTTTTGTATCGCGCATGCTTCAACCTGTTTATTTGAATATACTATTTTACTAGAGCAGTGGAGAACTATGTCATCTTGGTGATTTTACATCTACTAGTTCATCTAGTGTGTGTGAACTGCGCGTGTGAAAAATAAAACCCATGAAGGACGATTGACGGTTCCAGAGACCCGCCGATCCGGGCAATTTCTCCACCTCCGGCGTCTTTGCCTTCCACTTACTTTCCCATCTTCAATCTTCAATCTTCAATCTTTAATTCTTCCACTCTCAGTCTGTTTCCTGTCCTTCGATCTCTTTTTCCCCCAGAATGATCTCTGGGGTGTGTATATCCCAAAATTAACTTCCTTATCTCTCTTAACCATCCTACTCCTCCTCCATGGCCAAATCCGCCGTCGTTCAGGAATACGCCCCTCCGCCCTCCAATACCCTCTCTCTCGACCGCAAAGCCACCCACGAACGCCAATACCATGCGATTCCCCGACCGAAAGGCTATCGCGTCTCGTGGCATGCCAATCCAGCCGTGGAGCTGCACCATTTCGGGCAGTCGCATCCAATGAAGCCGTGGCGCCTCACGCTCACGAAGCAGCTGGTGATGGCGTACGGCATGCACCACGCGATGGATCTGTACTTCGCGCGCGAGGCGACCTACGAGGAGATGGCCGACTTCCACAAGACCGACTATCTAGACTTCCTGCAGCAGGTGCTCCCGGGCGACATGGAGAACGCGGATCAGAGCGAGAACGTCGTGCGGTTCAACTTCGGGGATGACTGTCCCATCTTCGACGGCCTGTACAACTACTGCTCGCTGTACGCGGGCGGCAGCATCGACGCGGCGCGCAAGCTGTGCAACAACCAGAGCGAGATCGCAGTCAACTGGTCGGGCGGGTTGCACCACGCGAAGAAGGCCGAGGCCAGCGGGTTCTGCTACGTCAACGACATCGTGCTGGGCACCCTGCAGCTGCTGCGTCTGCACCCGCGCGTCATGTACATCGACATCGACGTGCACCACGGCGACGGCGTCGAGCAAGCCTTCTGGTCGACCGACCGCGTGCTCACCGTCTCCTTCCACAAGTACGACAAGGACAACTTCTTCCCGGGCACGGGCGCCCGCGACAGCACCGGCCCCAGCCACCCGCTGAACCCGGGCGCGCACCACGCGATCAACGTCCCGCTGCACGACGGCATCGACGACGACTCCTACATCCAGCTCTTCCGCGACGTAGTCAGCTCCTGCGTCAACGTCTACCAGCCCGGCGCCATAGTCCTGCAATGCGGCGCCGACTCACTCGGCTGCGACCGCCTCGGCTGCTTCAACCTCAACGTTTCCGCGCACGGCGCCTGCGTCGCCTACGTCAAGACCTTCAACCTCCCCATGCTCGTCGTCGGCGGCGGCGGCTACACCCCGCGCAACGTGTCGCGCGCCTGGGCCCACGAGACCTCCATCCTCCTCGACGCCCAGAACCTCATCGACCCGCACATCCCGGACACCGTCAAATTCCGCAACCACTTCGGCCCGGACTACTCGCTCTTCCCGCCGCTGTCGGAGATGCGCAAGCTCGAGAACAAGAACCCCCGCTCCTACCTCGCCAACCTGTACGAGTCCGTCACCGAGCAGCTCCGCTACATCAAGGGCGCCCCGTCCGTGCAGATGAGCTTCATCCCGCCGGACATTCTGGGACTCCGCGAGGACACCGAGCACGAGATCGAGGAGGAGACCGCCCTGCGCGACGAGATGCGCGAGGAGCAGGACGGGAACGGCAGTTTGGCTAAGTTTAGTCGGCGGCGGGAGTTGGAGCGGGCGGCTGGTCAGCGCGATGAGCTTTATGCTTCGTGATTTTTTTTGACCTTTTTTTCTTTTCGAATTTGGGTGGAGCTGTATATACATTGGTTAAATTTTGGGCAGGGCGGTATTGGCGTTGTTTGCGGTGGCGTTTATCTATCTGCTATCTGATGTTTTAGACCTACCATTGGAAAAGAATACAGTCAGGAACAAAAAAACAAATATATGTATCAGCATAAGGTAGTAAAATAAGCACATGACCAAACAGCTCTCATGGACATGATTTAAATACATGAATAGTACCTGAATCCGAAAGTATAGTTATTATACCAGGTACACATACCATACATACAACCCATAAAAATATTTCGATTTTTTTTGGAAACAATGGTGGGAAGATGATAAATCTCAATTGTCGAGCAGAACCACATGCACAGGAGCAGTAACTCAGCGGTAGAGTGGTAGATTGCAATGGTGTAACAACTAGCAATTATCTATAGGTCCCGTGTTCGATCCACGGCTGTTCCTTTTTTTTCTTTTTCTTTTTCTTTCCATCTTATGGATACTTACTTCGTTCTCTTTTTCGTCCTCGTACTTGTTGATTATATTGAGTGGCTAAATTTTTGAATCATGTTCTGGAAGGATCCATCCGTATGTTCAATCAAGGTCTGGATCGGCCTTGAGTGGTGGGTAGGCTGTGATGAACCGTGGATATCTCAAGTTCATAAATTCGCTGATTGGCTGATTCTTCATAAACCAGTGGTTGATAGGATGGTCTTGATATGTGTATCCGTGTACACATATACTCCAGGCCATGACATGAATACTTGTTGAATACTTGTTGAATACCTAGAGATGCAGATGGTCTGTTACTGTCATGTCATGTTGAACACACCACCTCACATGCTTGCGTGACATAATCCCATGGAGATCAATGTCAAATATGCCTTATATAGATAATTAGGTCCCTCCTACATCCATACCCTACTCCTCCGTACCCCGTAGTCTATATCACATGATACACCTCTTATAACTTAATCAATTATGTATGTCCATTTTATAAATCCCCCCTATCAAACATACTACCCCCACACATGCTATAGTACTAAAAAAAGTTATAACGCATCAATCAAGCAATGGGTATCCAGTACGATGTGGGTGATTGGCCATGGCAGCGGTGTTGAAACCTGAGGGCCTTGCTCCAATATATGGTCTGAACCAAACCAAACCTTGCATGCGTGACCCTCTCCCAGCGCAGCGCAGAGCAGAGAGAGAGACAGGATCATGCTGGTCCATCTGTTGGTCGGTTGATGCCCTCTGCGCAGGTTAATTCATTGACCCCCGGTTTGGCCCATGCACCATGGTTCAGTGGCCGTTGCTACCCTTCCAGTTGTCGATCTGTGGTTTTATTATATGCCTTCTCATCTCCGTGTGCTTTAGGTAGAATGGGCCAGGCTTTCAGTCCGAGCGGGCTTCACGACCTCAAAGTATCCCATGTGCTGACGTCGGGTTCAGAACTTCCGCCGGGGGATCGGTGTGCGGTGCTGTCTCTGTAGTTTCGGTGTGCGCCTGCTCCGGAGCCGCCACCTGGCCGGCCGGGGGATGATGCGGAGGGATTTCCGGAATGGATGGCAGAGGCTGGCCCTCCAGAATCGGTGCGATGGCCAGGATCTGCTGGCGGGCATGCTCGGGGTTGTGCGGGTCGCTATCGCTTCTGCTTAGCCGGAGTACACCAAGAAACACCACTGGGAAAGAGGCTTACACGTTCGCATTGATGATCCAGTCCAGGTCTTCCTCGCCCTCGTCGGGCCCCCCCGGTCCTCCGTGGACCGGGCGGAAGAGGTGAGGGTGCCACTCCACGCCGTGCTCAGCCCGCTTGGCGGCCTCCTCACGTTGACGGTCCTCAATCTTCGTTTTCTCATCCGTTGCCACCTCGTGATCTCGCGCGATGATCGCCTTGACGGTATTTTCCCACAATCGCTGCGATTCACGCTCGCCTTGCTGCTCGATGGGCCGAGTGGTGGGTGGGGTGTGTTTGGCGTGGCTGGCGTCGAACAGCGTATCTTTGTGGTTGGACTGCGTTTGTGAGACCATGGCTTCAGTAAGGAGATCCAGGACAACATACGTGGACATCTCGGATTTGCATATCCCCGTTCCAAAAACCCGATAGCTCATATAAAACCTCGCCCGTCTTCTCGTTCTTGATGGTGCCCCCAATCGCGTTATAAGTGCCGGAGAAATACCCCTTCGTCTTGAATTCGATATCGGCGACGAGATTGTTCTCGGGGCATCGCACGTAGCTGTGATCTCCGAGCTCGTACTTCATCTTGCCGAAAAGGATGCCGCGCGCGTACATATTCGGTTGCGTCACGATGCTGCGGTCCGTCAGTTCCTGACATCCAGAGTCACCAAGCGGGAGACGTACTATCGTTCACCCTTTTCTTTATCCTCCCCGCGGTTCAACAACCGCACGATGGCGATCCCTTCCATCATACTGGCAGCCGAGTTGCCCAGGAATTTACTGTGCGGCTTCAGGGTGCCGTCGATGCGGATATTATGTTCGGGGGCCATGAAGAAGTAGCTGGATTTCGGCGGGTGGTGGGAGGTCTGTTCGGAGATATAGTACCCGCGGGTGCCATCGGGGTAGTCCCAGTAGCAGGTGAAAGTTTCTCCAAGGATGGGATTCAGCGGTTTCTTCACCCCTCTGTCCAACGGAACCGATTAGCTCGCGAGAAACGGCTGGCAGGTGGGAGGATATCGGACGTACGGAGGTTTGATGTGCCACCCACTCAGATAGAATTTGACCACGGATATGAAGCGTTCGAGCGGATCGTCAATAGTCGACATGGGCAGGAGCGTCTCCGGATGGGCCATGAAGCTAGAACAGAGGCAGTCAGCAACGGGCCCGCCGCCACAGAACGGGCCTAAGGAGAGTCCCTACTTAGTGATGCGCTCCAGCATAGACCGCGGCTCGAGAATGAAGGTAGGCAGCACCACCCGGCTTAGGTCTGCGCCCGGTCGGAGCTGGGAAATGATATGCGACAGGACTGGGAGGGTCAGCTCGAGCACCGACTTGATTTATGCGGTCGATCAAAACTCTCACGGTCAGCCCTTACCATTTCCTTGGTCGGGTTCTACCAGCTCATCATCCCCACTGGTATTTTCCACTTTATCCCTGGAGGGTTCATCGAGTGACGAGCGAGCGCCTGTGATGTTGAAAAAGGAGCCCCAGTCAGCGGACATGGTGTCGAAAAGGAGGGGCGGGGCGGGGTGTTCCGCGGCGGAAGATATGGCGGGGGGAAAGGAAAGAGGGAGGAAAGATGGAGTCAGGTATAGTGCTCAGCGTTGTCGAATGATATGAGAGAAGAAAAGGTAGAAAAGCCAGAGAGTAAAGGGGAAAGGGCTTGGAGGGTTGGTGGACGAAGGTTTGATTGATTACTGAGGGGGAGAGAGAAGTCGGGCCGAACATGGCAATGACGTGTGGGAGGGTCAACCACTGTTAAGAATGTTGGAACTTACTGGCACCACTGGCCAACGATGACCGTCGACGGATATGAGAGACGACCGTATGCATATTGAAAGGGATGAGAGGAAAAAGAAACAGGCAGTTTGTCTGTCACTTGGTTTTCGGAGGCGGATTTATTTTATATAATTTATTTTGTTGTTCTTGGTTAGTAGAGTGGATCACCTGATGCATCCATTCCCTGTATAGAACGACTCGATCGTGAGGGGAAATCTCGATATCAGTCGAAAAGAAGAGGAGAGGAAGGAGAAACAGAACAGTGGGAGGAGAAAGAAGGAAGAAATCAATCTAGAAAAATAAAAATCTTCCAAGTACCTCCAGACCTAGCCAACACCCAGTGTGTCTCCCATACGTAGATGATCCACCGCTACTTCATACTACTGATACTATAGGGATAGGTAGGATCCTAGCCCTGGTCCTCCCCCCACAAGAATCCATGAAGGTGTTGCTCGTCTTGGCTATGCTTGTCAGGATGTCGTCCTTCTTTTCACTCGGACTTATCGATCTTTTTCGTCTGAAAGGGATGCTAATCTGGCGCAGAGGATGATCTCGACAGCTGTGGATGTCTAGATGAGAGGGGAAAAAATAATAAATATATAGAAAAAGATCATAAAAAACACCAACGAATGAGACCTACAATCAGGATAACCCGGTACCTGGATCCAATGCCAAGCAAGCCCAACTCGGTCTCCATTCTCTAGTCTAGTGTCTTTAGGAGAATTTCCCGAAATGTGACGCCATCGCCCGAAACAACAACCAGTCAGTAATCGCCATTATACTTAGTAGCAAGGTATTAGTCTATGCACATCGTCTGCCGTAATGGGTCCCTTCCACGCTCTACTAGTTCACAGTCCACACCCCCAAGAATGACACCCCAATCCTGCTGTAGTGCCTCAAACCCGGTCGATCAGAGCAACATCTCCGCCCGTGATCTCCTGCAGGAATCCCGGATCGGGATGATGCAGCATAACATGGAAGTGCTCGACCGCGTGGACCGACTTGAGCGACTTCCAGTTCTTAAACCAGATGACCTACCAGCAGTACCCCGGTCAGTTAATTCCACCCAACGACCGAACTCAATCCCTACGGATAACGTACCTGGTCAGCCGGCACCCGCGAGCGAAACGTCTTGCCCACATAGTCGTCAATCTCCTGGCGTGCGCGTGGGGTCAAATCATCCGTCGCCGGGTCGTCTTCCAGCTCGAACTTGGTCCATACCACCAAGTGGACGATGCCGTCTTCAACCCCATACGGCCAGTCATTGAAAAGGATACGGATGTCCTCTGCACATGTTAGTGAACTGTCAGCCCAACCATGAACCCTCCGTCGATCATCCAGCCCAATCCACGGACATGACGAACCATCGTATTCGAAAGGCCGCCCTCGCGGTTTCAAGTCGTCGGCGCCCCCCTCCCCCCAGCGTAGCCGCTCCTTGACCACAAAGCGCATGATGGACCCATACTCGGCCACAATCCGCTCCTTGTACTCTAGGTATTTGCGCAGATCGCTGGGGAGTCGCTGGAACCGATCAATCCGGTTGGTTCCTATGCCTCTGTTAAGCGCGCTGCCTTCGTAGTCGAATGTGTCCGGTTCGACAGTCACTCACGGATGAACTCCTGCACCAGATCCCACCCCTGTTTCTTGTAGTGGTCGTCGGGGGTCGAGAGGATTTCGATATTCTTCGGAGGCTGACCTAGAAGGAAGTTCGGACACTCGGCCGGCCGCCTGTGGTGAGGAACGTTGACCAGCCAGTAGGGCAGGGATTCCGCCGATAGGTTCGACGAGGGGTCCAAGAGACTGGCTGCTGCTTTCACATCTGGCTCCTCCAGCTTCTCGTCGAGAGCGGTGAACGTCGCGGCCGGCGTCGACAGTTCAGGGGCGTGAGGCATGATGGCGATAGGAGGACGGGGAATCTAAACCACAGTTGTCCTACCCTGTATGCTATGTAGTGTTGGAAGCGGAATTCGTCCGGTATCAATCCCCAAACCGAAATCAATCAATCAATCAACGGTCGGGGCCCGATTGCGTAGCGACCGCCTGTCGGTCGAGCGATGGGTTGGGGATCGTCGATGCGGAGACCCACTGGGCTAGAAACGGTTCGAGAAAGGATTGTCCCATTTCGAGGTAGACCATCCTGCAGTCACACCGACTGGGGAGGGGGGTCCCTACATGGTGAAAGAAAATGCCACAATGAGAGAGGAATTCATGCACTATTGATGATCCATCGCAGCGAGGGTCATCCTTAAATTACTAGTTTGCGGTATGGGTTGCCACAATTCTTATATATTGCTTATGACAGATGTGGCGCAGCTTGCCGCATGCGACTTGGACAGTAAAGGCTGCATTGTTCATGCGCCAAGCAGACGTACGTCCTAACCCCTGCAATCAACGCCTTGATTTTCGGCGACGAACTGTATCGATATCGATTTAATTCTTTTTACTAAGACCTCCGATCTCAGGTCCATCGGATCGAATAATCGACACCCCTGCTGCCTCCAACTCCTTCCTAGCATCAGCCCACCCTTCATCGGGCGAAACACACCGTGTCGCATCCTCTACAAGATAACTCCGGAATCCTTCAAGCGCAGCATCGAGAGCCGTATACTTGACACAAAAGTCCCCCGCCAACCCCACCGAGAAGACGTCTGTGATCTTCTGGCCCGTCAGGAACTCCTTCAAATCCGCGCTCACAGATTGCGCATTGACAACCGGATCACGGTTCCCAAACGCATCGGAGAACACCGAGTACATTTCCACCCGCGGATTCATCCCTTTCTTCACGGTCAGATCGACCCGGCTGGTGTCGATTTCGGGAATGATTGCGGCGCCTTTGGTGCCCGCCACGCAGTGGACCGGCCACAGCCGCTGCGGCTTGACCTCGTCGTGCTTGCCCAGGGCCGGATTGTTCATCTGCACGTAGGACTCGAAGGGGCGGTTGTTTGGAGGCGGGTGGTTACTCGCGAAGGAGATGTGGGTTTCCGGGTGGTAGTCCTGCGAGACGATCCGGATGGCGAAGCCGGGGTTTGCTAGGAGTTTATTGATGGTTGGGGCTATATCGCGCGCACCTTGAACTGCGAGAGAGCCATTCTGTAATAGACATGTCAGCGGGGGTTTGTTCATATAGATCTATGTCAGTCTATCAGTCACGTACCGGAGGGCAAAAGTCCTCCTGCATGTCAACCACGATCAGAGCGGCTTTCATTGCGACAGATCGCCTGAAAGTGCGACGAACGATGTTCAATAGAAATGGTTGATGTAGTGAGAATGGTGTTCAACCCATAGAACACCCTGGTCCTTTGACACCTCAGTCTCCACCGGGGCAATATGCTTCAATGCCATGTTGCATCAACCGGAAACGGCGCTGACATGCGGGGAGCTTAACAGATCCACCTCCAGGCAAGAATCCGCGATAACTGATAAGCGCCACGTGACACATGCTGAGTCAGCGGGACACAAAAAACCAACAAAAACCTCGACTTCTTCGCTTCTTCTTCTTCTTCTTCTCTCTTTCTTCCTTCCTCACCGTTTCAGGGCTGAGGCCCTTGTCTCTCCTGCTAGAACTCTGTTTTTAATGATTATTCCCTGCAGAGGATGAGATTGTCTCAATTAAAGGTATGCTCATCCCCAATATCAATTGCATCAACCCTTTGTTTTTATGATGATCCCAATTATTGGAGCTGTCCGAGATACATCATGCGGATAAAATCTTTATACGCTTTTCATCTTTCTGATTATTTTCAAATCTTCTGTTTTGAAATACCACGTACCTGGTTGTGATCAATCGCTAACTCGCACAAGTCACCACTGCAGGAACCGAGTAAACATCTATTCCAGCCTCCTTGATTACCTTTTTCCTTCTTGGACCCTACCCCCCACATCACATAATAGCTTCTCTCCACACCTACCACCCCTACCCACCCCCCTATCATTGCCATAAATTCTACACTACACGCCACCATGGCACATGATCCTCGATTAGCTAGTGCAGGCACTGCAACCCCTGACCCCCCTCCCCCACCACCACCTCCTCCCGCTGAGGCCGCGATGTCGGTGGTGGCAGAGACCCGGGCAGCGGATGACGCGGTTGCCGCCCAGTCAGACTCCTACAAGCTTAGATTCTGCACAGTCTGTGCATCCAACCAGAACCGGTCGATGGAGGCTCATCTGCGGCTCTCGACGGCCCCTGCCCCGTTCCCTGTAATCTCATTCGGTACCGGCTCTCTGGTCAGGCTACCGGGCCCCTCCATCACCCAACCTAATGTCTACCACTTTAATTCGACCTCGTACGCCCAGATGTACGATGAACTGCTGGCCAAGGACGAGCGACTCTACCGTAATAACGGCCTCCTGACCATGCTGGAGCGCAACCGGAACCTGAAATGGGGGCCTGAGCGCTTCCAGGACTGGGTCCCGGGCATGCCCCGCATCGACCACGTCTCCAAGGGCGACAAGGGCGCCCTGGGCACCGAGGGTGGCGTCGTCGACGTCATCATCACCTGCGAGGAGCGGTGCTGGGACGCCGTCGTCGACGACCTCATGAACAAGGGCTCGACCCTGAACCGCCCCGTCCACGTGTTCAACGTCGACATCAAGGATAACCACGAGGAGGCCCTCGTCGGGGGGAAGGCCATCCTCGAGCTAGCCAATCGGCTCAACGCTGCTGCCGTCCAGGAACGTAAGACGAACGATCAGACCGGCTGGGAGAACGGCACGGGCGACGCCCGCAGGAGCTTCGATGAGAAGGTCCCCCAGATCCTGGGCGAGTGGCAGGAGAAGTGGCCTAATTTACCGGCCTTGTGGACTTTGGCTTGGCTATAGCCTGCCATAATAGCCTGAGGGCAATTCAATATACCTCGAATCAATGATACTCCATACTCGTTTGTTTAAGCATTCACTCAACATGTAGCTATACTCGATGTTTATACCGAAGTACAAAACTACTGACTTGATGAACCCTCCATGAAATACGCACGTTGCCATTTCATATATTATAATCTAAAGCTCGAAGGTCACATTATCCTACCATGCTATCACCTGTTTACCTCTCAATCTTCCCTAGTCATGCATATCACTCTCAAACCCCAACCAAACCCAACCCAACCCTATAACCACAAACATTCACAAATGGGTATATAAATACATACAAATCCACATAAAACCAAATCCAAATAACACCATCATAGCACATAGCACATAGCACATAACATATAGCACACACACCATAAAAATAGAATACAATCATATCAACTCTCAAGCAAAGCCTCCCTCCGCAACAGATACCACCTCTCCAAACAAGCCCTCCGCTGCGCCGGCGTCATCCCCTCCACAACAAGCGCAAACTCCGTCGCGCTGGGGAACCCAAACTCGCGCGCCATGCTGCAGAACTGCCGTTTCATGACGTCGCGAGGTGGGTGGTACCTGTATGGGATGGGGCCGTCGGCCTTCGTCGGGAGGGGGAGATGGCCGTCGCGGTGGTCGTCTGTTTGGGAATCTGCGGCGAAGACGGGGTCGTCCAGGTCGCGGGTGTGGTCTGCTTGTTGGGCGCGACGGCTGAGACGCTCTTCTTCCTTTGAGGAGCCGATGACTTCGTTGTTGAGGTGGGTGTATTCGACGCCGGCGCTGGCGAGGATCGCTTGGATGGGGTCGTGTTGGTGTTTTATGGGGGTTGTTGTGGTGGTTTTGTCGTCGTCGGCTTCTTCTTTTTCGCCGCGGATTATGGCGGCTAGGTGGTTCATTACTTCGTCGGAGTCGTCTGTGGTAGTAGTGGAGGCGGGTGCGGCATCGTGATGGTATTGATCGACTTCAATGCCCATAACGTGGACGCCAGCGCGGCTTTCAGCGACATTAGTCTTGTTGACGATATCACGGAGGACGACGTTATTGTCCTGGTACTCGAAGAGGTTCTTCAGTCCGAAGATCTCCCCCTTCTGGTCCTTCTTCTCCTGGACGCCTTTGAAGTACCGGCGCTCGGAGCTCGCGTTGTAGCCGATGTTGGCCTGCTGCTGCTTGTAGATCTGGCGCGCGTAGACGATTTCCTCGATCGTCCCGGCTGAGATGAGGCGGAAGACTTCGACGTCGCGGGACTGGCCGATGCGGTAGGCGCGGTCTTGCGCCTGGAGGTCGTGCGACGGGTTCCAGTTTGGGTCGACGACGACGACTTTGTTGGCGGAGGTGATGTTGAGGCCGACGCCGCCGGACCGTGTCGAGATCAGGAAGACGAATTGCCGCGGGTCCGAGTTGAACTCGGCTACTGCCTGGGCGCGCTCGTCGTAGTTCATGGAGCCGTCTAGATAGCTGACGTTGTAGCTGGTGTGGTTGAACAGCATGTGCAGCATCCGTAAGAGCCGGACGCTGTGGGAGAAGACTAGGACCTTGTCGCCGTTGGCGTGCCACCACTTGAGCAGTTGCTTGAGGACCTTCCACTTGCCGCAGAAATCGGAATTCGCGTAATTCAGGATGGAGTCCCGTTGGCGGTAGAGCTGCTCCCACTGACTGGGCACGGCAATCTCCAACCACTCTTTGTCCTTCTCCCGTTTTTCGTTGCTGTCCGCGCCTTGCGGGATCAGCGTGGCCAGGTGATTGCTCAGCTTCTGCAGAACAGCGATCGCGGGGAAGACGTGGGCGGCCCAGGGACCTTTCCCCGGGATGATCCTGCGACAGCACCAGCCCGCCTTCTTCCCCGACCGACAATCACACATGTCAGTGGAGTGCTTGATATATTCGATGACCTCGCTGTCCAGAATATTCTCGTAGGCGTCAGCCTGCGTGTCGGTGAGTGGACAGAAGACGACGCGGTCGATCTTCTTTGGCAGCTGGTCGGCAATAAGGGTTTTCATGCGGCGGAGAAAGAACTGGGGAAGCAGGTTTTCCACCAGCATCTTGGCCGTTTTACGAGCCCTACTCAGCTGATGGACGGTAGCGTCGTGCGACTGGCCAATCTTCAGCGGCTCGGAGACGCTTTTCTTCCATTCGAGCGCAGAGCCTAGTATCCCCGGGTTGGTCCAGTTCAGTAGCGTCCAGAGCTCTTCGTAGTTGTTTTGGATCGCAGTTCCGGTCAACCCGATCCGGCAGAGGGCGTTGACCCCATTCATTTCCTTGGTGGTCATCGAACTTTTCTGCTTGATAACGTGGCACTCGTCGGCGATCACACAGTCCCAGTCGACCATGTTGATCGCATCCTTGTTGTTGAGGTAGGTCCCATAGGTCGTGAGCAGGACCTCGATTCTCCCGGACCGCGCCGCCTGGAGCGCCAATTCCTTGCTGTCCCCGTGGTACAAGTCGACATGCCACCAGCCCCAGCGCTCAAACTCCGACCTCCAGTTCTGGAGCAAGGTACCGGGGCAGACAATGAGGGTTCGCGGGTACCAGCGGGGGTGATCGCTCCGGCGCATTTTCCGCATCCTCTTCGCGTCTCGTTCATCCCCGGTCTTCCCATACGCTGCGGTGAGGAAGGCAATCACCTGGACTGTTTTCCCCAGACCCATGTCATCGCCGAGGATCCCGCCTTTCTGATAGACGAAGAGCTCGTGCAGGAAGGCAACCCCATCGACCTGATACTGGCGCAGCCACTGCGCGACGGGGGCAGGGATCAAGCCCAGCGAGTATGGAAGGGTGATGTCTTTGTAGGGACTGCAGGGCGTCATGTTACTAAAGGTCGGCTTCTCCTTGAGGTCCTGGAGGCGCTCGTCATCCGAAAACTCGACCTCATCGTAGGTCGGAGGAAGTTTCAACCCCGACGTCTTCGACTCTTCCGTCGTGGCGTCAAACTCGGTCCGACGCTTTTGCAGGTAGTCCGGAAGCGAGTCATCGACCTCATCGTCGCTCGGAACGTCTTCACCAAAGGTCCTCATCGGCCGCACCGGCGCCTTCCGTTTGGACCGGGGGATTTTGCCGACCATGACGTCGGAGGTGGAGGTCACTCGGGGGGTGGGGGTATGGGTGATGCTCTTGCGCGGACCGGTCGACGCTCGTTTGCGTTTCAGGGATTTGCGTCTTTGAAAGGCCTTGTAGGCTGCCTCGGGGTCGTCAAAGTCCTCGTCTCCATCGCTCTGGTCGGATATCTCGACTTTGGGAAGGTCTGGGGTAATGAAGCGACGGGGTTCTTTTTTAGGGGGGTTGGGTTGACCTGTGTCTGATTACTTTGATTAGAGATGGGGAGAGGCGAATATGCGGGGAAGGAAACGTACTGTCGTCACACGCGGTTGGACGCGATCTCTGGAGAGGAGCGTCCAGATCGTCGTCGTCATCTTCACTGGCCGTTGCGGTCGCGTCCGTATCACCCATATCTACCATATGAAACCGCGTCGAATGAAGTGGGAGAGGGTAGTGTAGTGGTTGGTGTAAAGCGGATGGGGAAGAGAAAAGAAGATGCGGAGAGGAAGACGGAGGGAGTCTTGGCAGCAGCTGACCATATCAGATCATTGAAGCCCTAACTCGGGATCCTGGATGGGATAGGACATTGCTTTCAACAAGGCTGTCGACACACTTAGCTAGATTAAGAAGTATTCTAATGGTCATACTGAGACAATATGCTCAGGTATAATGTCTTAGGGTAGGCAGGTAAATATGCTCAATTCCGCGCACCCATCCACTATTGGACGCAACCCTAACTCAAGACAGGTCGTACGACTGATCCTTCGGTGATTTATTAGGTGAATATTTCTATTCAACTATTCTGTATGAGCTTATATGAGCACATATTTTAGTTCATATCACAGGGTATATCTAATAGTAGCCCGTGATCTGTACAGGTAGACAGCACTCTTAAAATCCTCTGGATCACTCCAATCCCTTCATCATCCTCTTACCTTACTTCTCTATCAAAATCCCCCCTATCCTCCCTATCATCACGACTCAGCATGGAACAACACGCCATGCACTCCATAACCACAACCGCCACCACAGCAATGTCCACAAGCAGCTCATCCCCCGAAATGGGCAAACACGCCGGCATGCACATGTCCAGCTGCAAGATCTCCGTATATCCTCCCTCCATCCATCCGTACCTTTCAACCCAAACAACAAATTCAACTAACATATTTATCCATCTTGACCAGATGCTATGGAATTGGAACACCATTGACTCCTGTTAGACATCCTCCCGATTCTTTTCCCCTTCTGCTACCCCCCACTAAACAAGAGAGAGAAAGGCTTCCTCTCCTCAACCTGGCACATCACCTCCAACAGCGAATTCGCCGGCTCCTGCATAGGTGTCATCTGTCTGGTTCTCGTTCTTGAACTTCTCCGCCGTATTGGGCGGGAATACGATGCTTTTATCATCCGTCGTGCAAGACTCGTCCAGCACAATCAGTACCTATCTCTATCTCTATCTCCCGCGGACACATCCACCACAGCTCAAGCTCCAGCTCCAGACACATGTATCCCATCCTCCTCCCGTCCCCCCTCGCCCCCTAACGGCCCCAAACCTGCCCTAGCCACTACAACAGAAGCAGCAGCAGGACCACCAACCATCCGCCCGACCCCAACCGAACAGCTCATCCGGGCCCTACTCCACACGCTGCAATTCGCAGTAGCGTACTTCATCATGCTGCTGGCGATGTACTTCAACGGGTACATCATTATCTGTATCTTTATAGGGGCGTTTCTGGGGGCGTTTATCTTCTCGTGGGAGGGGTTGAGTTTGGGGGGGGATAGGTATGTTTTTTTTCTATTTTCTATTATCTTTTGCTGTTGGCTGAGAGAGGTGGATGGATGGATGGATGGATTCATGAATTATTAGATGATGAGCTTGCTTGCTAACTGCATGATGTGTATCATCTAGGAATGATGCTACAGCTGTTACAAAATGCTGTGGATGATTGATTAATTGATTGATTGATCAATCAAGTTGTTCGCTTTGTCTGTCTACTACCTACTACCTACCACCTACCTACCGACATATCAACAGAATCACTAGTGATGCATCCTATCCTAGTCCACATTTATCTGCACACTCAGCCATCCATCCTTTACTTCATTGCATTGCATTGATTCATCCATCCACTCATTGTATTAATTTCCCAAGAAAGTCCTACGGCTTATGTCAGTGTACCTACCTGCCCACCTGTTCACTACCTCTATCTATCTCGTTTACGATCTAGATAGATGTGTACGTAGTATGTCAGCCATCTCAGTTTCTATCAAACATCATACATTATCCATACAGATACATACACATACCTACGTAGATGACAGATAGATAGATAGGTAGATAAATACACCATACCAATCCGTACCCCCAATACCGGCTACCATCGCGGTCTCCCAAACAACATGATGTAATCAATAACCTTCCGTACCAGGAAAAAACACCAGTGTATCGTCATGTGCAACATACCATGCAGACGAACAATCTAGAAATACTCAGCCCGTCTTGTTGGTCAGACACTGGTTGCATGCATATATGATATTAAGGGAAAAAACTGCTAGGGCTGCATTTGGAGCTGGGATTCTACGCCTCGTTGGCAATGACCCCGCTTCGGATGGCGGGGTCTTGGGGCTCCCCTCAATACGAGAGTTCAAAATATTAGATTACTAGACTACTGACTACTGACACTACGGTTTACGTTTACGATGGAAGAATGATGGTGAGATGCTAATATATCGGGAGACACTCTAGATTACACCACCCAAGGATACAGACCGACCGTCATCGCCAATGTCGCCTAGAAAATCGGGAAAATATTTCCAATCTCCCGAGCAACAAGGCAATGGATCAGAGACGCAAATCAATCTGACGAGAAAAAAAAATTCCTTTTCCGTTGGGCAATTTAAAGCTCACCGCAGTCCACGATGGTGGGCTTGACGTTCGAGCGGATAGCACCGCTGCTAGAGCCAAGAGCCTCGATCTCCTTGACGATCTGCATGGAAGCGTCGTCGGCAACCTCGCCGAAGACGACGTGCTTGCCGTCCAACCAGGAGGTCACGACGGTGGTGATGAAGAACTGGGAGCCGTTGCTGCAGGAATTCCCTCGTTAGTCAAGGATCCTTGACAGTTGGAGCAGTGAAGCAAGGAGACTTACGTGTTGGGACCAGCGTTGGCCATGGACAGGATACCGGGCTTGGTGTGCTTGTGGATGAAGTTCTCATCGGCGAACTTCTCACCATAGATGGAGCGACCACCGGTGCCCTACAGACCTCGTTAGAAGTATATCACGGGAAGAAACAGAACGGGGAAAGACACTCACGTTGTGGCGGGTGAAGTCACCACCCTGGAGCATGAACTGGGGGATGACACGGTGGAAGGTGGAGCCCTTGTAGCCCTCACCCTGAGGCTTCTTGCAAAGCTCACGGAAGTTGGCAGCGGTCCTGGGGACGTCCTTCTCGTAGAGGTTGAAGGCGATGCGGGCCGTCTTGGCTGTAAGATAACAAGCCAGTCAGTTTGAATTGAGCTGGAAGACAAGAAGAAGCGAAGCTCATCGACGAAGCATCACGAAAGAAAGCAACGAAAGCTCAACCCCTCTGCCCCACCACAGGTGCAAAAACCAGGAGAACAGCGTCGAAAAGAAAGGGGAGAAGAAAACTTACGGGCGCTGGAGCCCACAGGGGCGTACTGGACGTCGAAGAAAGCCTTGGTGTTTCCGGACATGTTGGAAGCTGTTTGATGGAATGGACGAAGAGAGAGGAAAGAGGACTGGTTGCAATTGAGGACGGAGGAGAGGGGACGAGAAGCGAAGGAGCAAGGTGGGGTTAAGCCCGTTGTTGACCTCAGGACGCTTCGGGAGAACATTGTTGCTGGAGGGGCAGACACGGGAGAATTCGGCCGCCGAGATGTTGCTGCTTCTGCTTCCGGTGGATGGGGGATGCGTCAGCCAGTGCGCGCCAAACATGCAGGTTGGCCTGAGGCTGCGGTGTGGTTGGTCCGAAGGGAAGGAAGGGTTGAAGTCACGGTTAGGTCCCAGCCTACCAGCCTACCAACCTCCCCAACCACCCCCAACCACTGATCCACAGCCAATTAGGCAGAAAAGAAGGGATTGATCATGGATACTTACAAGAAATTGGTGGTAAATTAGATAAAAGTGAAGAGTGAGGGCTAAAGTACAAGGGCTGGAAGACGTTGAATTGGTCAAGCTCGCACCAAGTGAAGGACAACAAGGAGCGGAAGAAAATTGTCACCAAACCTTCCCAAAGGGGCATGGCTTAGTTTGTAGTGATTAGGTAAGCACTTACTGATCCGGGTTTAATCTGGTTCGATCTCAAGTGGGGCGGTTACAGTCCAGAACATCCCAGAATCGCGGAGTCCAGGAGTCTTCTCCAGGTACATGAGACAATATAGATTAGATTGATGTATCTATTTGGATATCAAAAGCATAGACACCAAAAAGAAATGAAAAAAGAAAAACCATTGACCATAAGTAAAGAGGTAAATCATGGTCTTTGAAGAAGAGGGGAAGAAAAAAACGACAGGAGCCGGATTCGAACCGACGACCCCGAAGGGACAAGATGTCAGGGGAACTAGGTAGCACCTCATTCAAGTCTTGCGGATTAACCACTCTCCCACCCTGCCTACTGTGGAGACAATCTAGAAGAGTGGTTGATAAGGGGGAGACCTTCTCATTCACTACAGCCCAGCTTTTCTTTGGTTATCACTACCAGAAGGATGGCCCTTCCCAGCGGTACAGGATACAATATTCAAGAAATGCAATAATCCAATATATATCCGTATGTAAATAATATATATATATATAAAATGCCACAGAACAACCTGCCACGTATCTATCACAGAAAAAAGACTGCAAAGAAACCAACGCTAATCATGGGCAAGAAAGTAGGTAGGTAGGTAAACTGCGAATGGCAGAAAGAAGATCCAAGAATAGACAAAGAAGTGAAGAATATCGAGGCCAGTAAGAATACATAAAGTCCCTTCCTCGGCTGAGAAGGGGAGAAAGCGAAGAATCGAGTAAAACGCACAATGCGGAAGGGGGGCTGGGCTCAATTATGGCAGGGAAAGAAAAAAAGATGAAGAAAAAGAAGAAGGGGATAGAGCTCCGCCGGATACAACAATTCGTGCCACATGGGTTTTGATCATGGTCGTGCATGATGGCTGGGACTGCAAAAAAGGAGTAAAAAAGAAGTGTGTTACACCATTGTTCTCAAAAATAACAAGACAATCATGAAAAGAATCAGGTAGGTAGGATAGGATATGGCAAGAGAAGACGAACAAAACATTACAATTAAGTGTTAAAGACGAAGAAAGCAAAAATTGTCTGAAAAGCGTTCGCATCGTGAAGACCCTGACCCAAGTAGGTAAACTGGTAGACTATCGGAAATCGTCTTCGTCGTCGTCGTTGTGGTGGTGGTTGACGGGTTCTAACCGCTGCACCAGCTCCTTGGTTTCGCGGGCGATTTCAAAGGCAATGGGCGGCAGTCGGTTGGTGCATTCGCGCAGCTCCTCGGCACTGGATGGCGCTTCGCCCTGGGCGGCTGTCTCGATGAGACGACTCCGGTGGTACTCTAGGGTTTCGAGCATCGGGGCAGCGCGGTCCCGGAGGAGCGGGCTTGTTTCGGGCTTGTGGACGAAGTGCTGGGTGGAGGAGGTGACGTTGTTGACTACCGATGAGATGGCGGATACGTGGGTGCGAACTGCGGTGAGGTCGCCTTCTGAGCGGATGCTGGCGACGAGGGCTTGGATCGATTGGACGAGGCCGTCGGTTTGGTCTTCCACGTAGAGCTGATGGATATTAGCGGCAAAATCTCCACGATTTAGGTGAGTAATGGACTTACCTTGAGTTCCTGGAGCTCGTGGTCTCCGTTCGGCGCCCCGTAACTCAACTGCACAGCCGGCCCCAGTCCGTTAGGGTGGGCGTCCGTCGGGGTGCGGGAGCGGTTAGACGGAGGACTCAAGGCACTGTAGATAGAACCATTGCGGCTGAACCTGCTCTGGCTAGGCGCCACGCTGAAGTAGTCGGGGGACTTCATCTGGGTGAAATGCCCATCGTCGTCCTCGTCCTCATCGACAGGGCTCGGTCGGATCTTCACGAGCCGGATAAGCTCGATGACGGCAGTAGACATATGCGAAGCCGCAGCATCCAGGAGCGAAACGGGCGACAGGCCGCTCGAGCCCGCGAAGTTCTTGCACGCCGTGATCAAATTGTTCGCGGTGGCAGAGACCTTGCGGGTCGCCTTGGCCCGCAGCGCAGAGGTCCCATCGTCCACGCGATCGCCGACTTCGATGTCCCGGAGGATGTGGCGCACGGCGACGACCACGCCTTTAATCTGGTGCATGACAAAGTGATGCTCGTCGAACCGTGCCACGCGGATCAATTCGTCGATCGAGATCTGGAATTTGGTCACGTGCACGTCCTTCACCAGACCGTACTCCTGCAGCAGTTCGTTCTCTTTGGCGACGCTGCTGGCATCGGGGCGCAGCTCGGAGATGCCCGCCGAGGAGGCGCGCAAATGCCGCAATTGAGCCTTGGCCTTGGCGTAGCGAGACTTCCACTGCCTCAGTTCCTCCTCCAGTCGTTGCACCTCGCTGGACAGCCGCTCTTCGTGCTCCCATCGAGTGTGGCTCTGTTCCGACAAGGCCCTCATCTCCATCAAAAAGCCAGCGGCCTCCCGTCGGACCTCCTCGGTCACCTGCTGTTGGTGTTGCAGTTCGGTTTCCAAGCCCTGGTGCTTGATCTCCAGGTCCGCAAAGCGAGCTTGCATCTCCGGATCCCCGCCACCCTGGTGCGACGCTTCGGACATCTTCGATTGAAACTCGTTCTCCATGGCATCATGTTCCGCTCGCACGCGGTCCAGCTCGATGTGTAAAGAGCTGTTCAGTTCCTCGGCTTGCGATACCTTGCTTTCCAGCTCCATCTTCACCGCTTCCCACTCCTGTCGCTCGGTCGAGTTCGCCTGTTACGTTGTCAGCAAAAGATGGGCTAGAGATATAGTGTAGGGGTTCAATCTTACCTGGGACGTGTGCTCTTCTTGATACTTGGCGAGCTCCTCGCTTTTCGACTTGACCAACTCCTCAAGAGAGTCAACATGGGCTTGGTTGTCCCGGTATTTCAGCAGCTCCGCGTCCTTCGACTTCATCGACTCCTCCAGTCTGTGGACCTTCTCCTGCAACGCCGACACCTGCGCCTGCGAATCGGTCAACATCCTGCGCTCCCCGTCGCCTATCGTCGTGGTCGTGCCCCGTCGGCTGAGCACCGCATCAAGAGCAAAGGCATCGCTCCGGGCGTCATAGTCATCCTCGGTCCCAGCCATATCGTCATCGTCCTCCACCATGGTACTCTTGTTCGGAACAATCGTGTTACTCTGGAATGGTTTGGCCAACGGTGCATCCCCATTCACGGATCCGCTCACGCTCAAAGACGCTTGTCGCGGCGGGAAAGCACCCATCGGACTACCCGGAGACGATTGGGAGGGATATCCCCTGCCCATCCGAGACGGGGGACCCCGAGACTGTGACCGCCGACTACCGGGAGGCGGGGGGTATCCGGCGGGGCCGTAGCCGGGCGGGTAGGCGTTCGAGGGACGGCTGCGATAACTGGAGGCGGGGCTGGCGCGGCGGGATTCGCGGGAGGGAAACTGGGGGAAGCGTCGCTCGAGTTCACAGTAGACATCGGTGGCCAGATCGCGGAAGCGCTGATGCTGCAGCGAGGCGAGTTTCTGACGCGCCTGGTTGCGCTTCTCGTGGAATTCGGTACGCGGCGGGAGGGACGGCGGGATATCCATGCGCGGGGGTCGACTGGGCGAGGGCATGGCCTGCTGCCGGCGGAGCAATTCATCGTAGACGTCGGTGCTCAGCTCGTGGAACTGCGTGGGCGACAGGCGGAGCAATTTGTCCCGGGCCTTGCTGGGCTTCTGACCGAGGCGGTCGTTTTGGTACGGGGCGTGCAGGAAGCGTCGGAAGGCGACATAGTGTTGACCCAGAATCTCCTCCAGCTGTCTGTGTCGGCGACCGCGCTGGTCGGCCAGGGTGCCATCACTGGAGCGGCCGGTCACGGAGCTCGGGGGCGAGGGGTTGCCGGAGTCGCCCAGGTGGGAGGAGCCATTGGGGAGGGCGCCGTTGGAGCCGCTGGGGACGCCGGAGGTGGGAGGGGTCGCGAGATTGCTGCGGTTGGAAAAGGTTGGGGAGAAAGGTGGTTCGGACTTCTGGTACTGATTGATGCCAGACCAGTCGCTCCCGTCGACGGAGACAGGCGACATGGCCCCGGAACGACCGATCATCAGGGACCGCGACGGCGGCGGTCACGTTGCTCCTGGGCCTGTTTGCTGGAGGCAATACAGAATCTCCTCAGTGGATTCAAGTCGGGACTATTCATTCGAGGGTGCGAGGGATTCGCGACCGGGAGGACATGGACAGGGAGGTTTAAATTCCCGATGGGGTGTAAAATACGGGGGGGGTTGATGTGGGAGGGAGGGACAGGAATTCCGATCGTGGCGGACGGGTAAAGAACGGGGCCCGGGAGGGTTCTCAAGATGGTTCGGAGATTAATACCAGATCTAAGATGTAGATAGTCAGGGGAAACACAGCCTCACGAGAGAGGGTGTAGAAGGGAAGAAAAGACTGGCGAGAAGGAGAGACACCAAGCAACGTGTGGAGGGCAAGAAAGAGAGGGAGACCACACGGATAAAAGAGTGAGCGGGAAGAGAGAAAAAAAAAAAGGGTGTATGGGGATGGGGAGGGAGAAGGAAAAGAAAGGCCCCCAAGCCAAAGGTCCAGATCAAGTCCCAGGGGTGGAGAGGAAGCGCCTGGGACGAAATGGAAATGGAAATGGAAATGGAATCCAAGGTGAGAAGAGAAGAAGACTGAAGTGAGTGAGTGAGTGAGTGAGTGAGTGAACAGGAGACGGGAAATTGGGTGGAAATGGAGGATTCGTGGGGTATTCGTATTACATACAATACGGTATATTTACTCTTGCCTGACCTATTCTATCTTATGTCTAGAACGGAGTAGTAGTAATTAGCTTGATAAAACCTGCTGAGTTCTTCATTTGTAAAGCAAGATTATATACATGACTGTTACTACCTCCTCAACCAGAACAACCTGATATACTCCATACATACCGTATGTAAAATAACCAAACCATACCGGGGATCTCCACCCAAACCCACCAGGAACCGATCAGTAATCTCCAGTGTGGCGGTGCTCACAATCACCACCATCATATAATATTATTCTTACTCTTCCACTCTACCCCAAACAAAGGATCCTATATATAAATTCTACGGGGTACATAGTTAATGAACATCATAGACCCCTCTTCCATGATCCCAAAATACCTCATTCTTAAACAATACAATCCTAATGATCTTACCTTAGTACTAGTTAATCATTCACCGCTTAATCAGACTAAATACTAGCCAGTTAGTAGGTATAGGGGCGAGAACCAGGCTAGACCAGCCCAAGACCGGTTCGTTACCGCTACCTGGAGTAGCTGCTCCACATGCCTTACGGGCGTTACCTTACGGTTGGCGGGCTTGCTCAGGAGTTGGACTTGACCTGGACTTGGTACGTTTGTGTAGTTGTTTTGATCTAGTACTTTTTGAGTAAGAGGTGGACATAGTTATCTAGGTACCTACTGAGTATAGACTATATACTGTAGAAGGGAGGTGGTATACTTGGATATTGTATGATTAGTTCCTGGAAGATGAAGAAGTACCTAAGAAGAAAGGAAGAGAGAAAGAGAATGTTGACTGCCACTGTGACTCTCCCCTCTTCATAGGAACGTAATGCCAAACTAAGGCTGGAGGTGACCCCCGGCCGAGTCAGTGGTATGCTGCGTTCCTCGGTTGGAACTCGGGGATAGACGAGAACTGGAATGTTTCGCGGAGTGGTCGTGTGCTATTTGATATTAATACTTCAGATTACCCTGAGATCCAGAAATCATACAGTGCTAAGTCTACATGGATAAAAGAAATAATAACTTATAATTCATTCAATGTGGATATCCATACATATGGTAATCATATCCAACCTCATATATACCCATCAGTCGCCATCGTCCAGTAGATCAGATCAGGTCAGGTCATCCTGCAAGATCCACGATCCTGTAAAGATACCTACTACCCCATCCACCTCATCTTTCTCTCTCTCTCTCTCTCTCTCTCTCCACAAACATGAAAAAGACAATAACTGAAAGAAAAGGAAAAAAATTAACAGCAATAACTGCAAATCAGAAATCCTGTACTCCACCATTGGACGGTCGTAAAAAATTGAAAATAATGTGCAGCAGCGCCCCCGACTGGAAAAGAAACCACAAGGAATGTACAAGTACAAAAGAAGCGGCCGTGAACCTGAATCCGGTTGCGAGTCCAACAGTTAAGTCGTAGATGTGTATCAGCCAAAGCTAGGTGTGGGAAGGGGGTTTTGACCCCGAAGACTCGACCTTTGCCGCCTTTCTTTTTCTCTTTCTCTTTTTTCTGATTTTCTTTCTTATATCACTTTTTTTGATGGTTTTTTGTGGATGCATTTCCTTCCAAGTCAGGTCATCATATGCTGGACGCTGTTTCTATCGCAAGACTGTGGACGGACGTGATCGGAATGTCATTTATTGGGAGTTGGTCATGCCCAATCCCCGAGCCGCGCCAACGGCCGCAGAAACAGGCGTCGCCGACCGCGTGGGAGCAGCGCTGCGGTTGTGGGCCATGTGTGCCCGAACCAGGTGGCCTGCCGCGAGGGCCGAGCACAGACTCAGCTCGCCGGCGAGGACGGAGGCGCCGATGATACGCGCCAACCGGCGAGAGTTATCACCGGGGTTCGTCGGGTGAGCACCGCGCACGCCCAGCAGGTCCAGCATGGCGGATTGTCCCTCGAGGATGGTACCGCCGCCGATGGTTCCGACTTCGATGGAGGGCATCGACACGGCGATTTGGAGGTTACCGTTGGAGCTGGAGAGTAGACGATCAGCATACTGGGGTAATTGTGGGCCCGTATTTGGAAAAGTAACTTACTTCTTCATGGTGGTGATACAGCTGCTGCTTTCCACGTTCTGCGCCGGGTCCTGCCCCGTGGCCAGGAAGATAGCCGTGACGATGTTGGAGGCATGCGCGTTGAAACCGCCCAAGCTGCCCGCCATGGCACTGCCGATCAGGTTCTTGCTGGTGTTCAATTCGACCAGCGCATCGACGTCACTCTTCAGGACGCTGCGAACAACGTCGCCGGGGATAATGGCCTCGGCCACGATGGACTTGCCACGGCCGTCGATCCAGTTGAGCGCGGCGGACTTCTTGTCCGTGCAGAAGTTGCCCGACACCGAGATCGTAGCCATGTCGTCAAAGCCGCACTGCGTGGACATGACGGAAAGGGCCTTTTCGACACCCTTGGAGATCATGTTCATGCCCATGGCATCGCCCGTCGTAGTCTTAAACCGGATGTAGAGGTAGGTACCCGCCAGAGCGGTCTTCATCGACTGAAGACGGGCGAAGCGGCTCGTAGAGTTGAAGGCGTCCATCATGACCTTTCTGCCCTCTTCGGAATCGATCCAGACCTTGGCCGCGGCGGCGCGAGCCAGAGTGGGGAATCCGACACAGGGGCCACGGGTCATGCCGTCGCCCGTCAGCACCGTCACCGCACCACCGCCAGCGTTGATGGCCTTGGCGCCACGGCTGGTACTGGCAACGAGGACACCCTCAGTGGTGGCCATGGGGATGAAGTAGCTCTGTCCGTCGATGTTGAGAGGACCGGCGACACCCAGAGGCAAAGGCAGGTAACCAATGACGTTCTCACAGCAGGCGCCGTGGACGAGGGAGTAGTTGTAATGTTCGTACGGAAGCTTCGAAACCTCCAGAGCACTCGTGACGGGAGCGGTAGATTTGGTCCGAGACACCACCGAACGGCGGATCTTCACCGCGCGCGTGAAGGCATCCACACGGCTCATGAGGTCCTCATCCTCCATCGTCTTCTCGAGAGCATAACCGGGGATCTTGCCTCGTAAGGACAATTCGATTAGTTCCTCGTCGGTCATGTGAGGCGCCTTCTTCTCTTTCAAGAGGGCCTCGCATTCCTGCGGGCTGCGGTTCGGGACATCGGGGTTCAAGTTGACCTTGGGGTAAACCTTAGGTTCGGGGACGACGGGCTTGGACTCGAGAGGAGACGTCGGCTCCTTGATGCTCCACCGGGCGGCATTGAAGAGGTAGCCGTTGAGCAGGATACTGAGCGTCAGGGCACCGATGATCCACTTGCTGATCATGGGATCCTCAATGCTCTTGAGGAGGCTTTCAATCACACGCCCACCCACAGCGTCCAGAATCTGATCGGTATACTCAATGTCAAACAGCGGGCCATCGACGGCGGAGTAGTGCACGGAGGGGTACTCCAGCTTGTACTTGATGGGGGGCACGACAGTGACGCGAGTGTCCTTCATCTGGCTCTTGGCCGCCACGTAGATGGAATCCAGCCCATTTTCGGCGACCTTGAACGGATCGATCGGGGTGGGTGCAAGCACGTTGGACACGCGGGACAGAAGAGGCACGTTCGGGCCCTGGCTCGGGTTCCGGAAGGGAATGGCGGACATGTTGAGAATGTTGATCAAGACAAAGCCGCCGACCATGATGACCTTGAAGCGGCGGACATTGCTGGCCTTCACCTTCCGCCCGAAGATGTTGGTTTCGCTGGAGCCACCGTTATCGGCGGCGGCCTGAGGCCAATCATTGGTCGAGGCCACGCTCTCCGCGACCCGGTGGGTGATGCCATCCTCTTCCAGAGCCTTGCGGAGCGAGACGTGACGCTTGATACGGGTGATCTCGAGCTTGATGAAGAGAATGGTGGTATAGAAGGTGAAGAGCAGAACACAGTCGAAGAACAGAATCCAGGCAGCGAGGAAGCAAAACTGCCTCAGTCCGCCCTGCACGCCGGACGCGGCACCCGCCACGAGGATGGCGATCTCGATGCAGTAGTCCCGGACGATCTCGAACCCCTGCTTCTTGATGGCCGTCTGGATGGAGTCCTGGATGGAGTGCGGGGCATTGGGGGTCGGATGCCCGGGGTTGGCGCCGTTCGCCCCGGCACCCTGGCGCTGGTTATCCAGCGCAACGTTCAAGACCGCCCGCGTGAGGATGATCGGCTTCTCGAACCCAATGGTCACCACGAGGAAGGGGAGGCCTTCGGACAGCAGCAGCATGCTGATGGGCACGCCGAGCTTCGTGGTCACCAGCAGACCGAACAGGAAGGCAAAGACGCCGGACAGCAGGACGGTCGACGCCAGCCAGCACTTGGAGCCCAGACGACGCATGGAAATGAAGAGGGAGACGAAGCTGAGGTGCATCGACAGGTAGCCCAGCGCCATGATGAAAATGTCGGCGCTTTCCGCGTGCTTGATCAGATCCACAAAGGAATTCCACGCGTCCGCGAACCACATACGAATCTTGCCGCTCGAGGCCGGGCCGCGCGCCGCACGCATAATCCACTTCTTCTGCTCCGTCTCATCGTCGGCGACAGACGGCTCGGGAATTTCCTGGACGGCCCGCAGGAAGCCCTCGACATGATCGAACGGCAGAGAATAGGCCAGCGAGTAATCGGACGAGAAGGAGGTGAACAGATTCGGAGTGTGGGGGACCAATTGAGCCGAGGCGTTCGCCGGGACCGGGACCTCTTTCGCCAGGGGGGCGGTGGGTGCGGATTTCGACATGGAATCGGGAAAGATGAAGGTAGTCAATGCAAGATGCTGAGCGGCCTAGGACACACCAGAGCGATTAGAGAGCGATCGAGAGCATACCAAGTTCGGATCCGAGTGAAGAGTCTATCTACCTTGTACTCCTCCTCCGCCGAGGCATCCTCGACCTGCCACTTCCACATTGTACTCTCGCCTAACCGGAGCGTCCGACTTCCTTGCAACAGCGTGTCCACATCGACCTGACCGGCGACATTTCGAGGGTTTCGGACCGTATCAATCAGGCTACCCTCCAGCAGCCCCACGTAGGTGGTGCTGGCCAGGAGGGCCACCACGACAATTGTGTGAATGGGATTTAAGCAGACCCGGCGGGCGACGGCCTGCAAACCCCCCGTGACCTGACGCTTGAACCAATTCGGCTCGGGGGCATTCTCGGAATCTGTAGGATAGGACTTCCTCGGAATCAATGAGGAAGCCATGATTGCAACAACCCCCCGCGGTGAATTGGGGGTGAGGGAAGTTCTTGCGGGCGTCGTTCAGCAGGATCAGTGGATACCGACGGTTCTCCGCGAAAGACCCTGCGGGGGAGACCGTCCCAAATCTGCGGTATCGCACGCGACTGGGATCTTGACGTATGACAATGACGGGCGGGTGGAAATCCCCAGGATATGGTTTAATGTCCAGAAGGTCTGTGGTGTACTGGAGGAAGTCTAGAAAAAAAAAAAGAACACGGGACTAGTCAGTCACGGGGATGGCCCCAATCACTATCCGAACGGATGGACAACCCAAGGGGGGGCAAAAAAAAGGGGTGGGGAAGAAGGAAAGAATCAAAGGAAGAACACATACCAATTGATTAGATCCTTTCGAGGGTCAATGAAGAGAAAAATGAATACAGACCCCAAAGGAGGCAAGAGTTAACTCCAACCGGTCGAAAATCAATTCTCAACAAGAACCTGACAGTGTAGCCTCCAGTGTTCTTCCTCTCTCTTATTTTTTCTCTTTTTTCCCAGCCTTGCTTCAACAGGCTAATCAATCTCTCACCGCTCGGGCTGAAGGGTCGATCGGAGTGGTCGAATGTCGATCGCCCCCTGAATTGGCGCTGACTCAGCAGCGACTGCGCCACACTTCGGATTTATGTTATTCCGCCAGACCGTCTGCTGCCTCAGCCACAGTCCGGTAACCAATCGTCGTCCAGGATCACCCTCTAACATCAATAGTATCGGGTTAGTCCACCACTAGTACTGCTGGCGGTACTTGATCGACAACACATACCGGAGGTACAAGGTGAGGAGGCGAAACTCCAGAATAGAGGGGGAAGAGCAGGAAACAGAAGTAGCAGGAGAAGGAGCAAAAAGAGGTAGAAGAATCAGAAGAATCAGAAGAACAATACCACCTGCAGGTGGGGTCCTCAGTTAGATAAAGAGCTGAGCAACCAGGACTGACATTCCCCCACTACGAATAATAAGCAATACACCACTCCCTCTTGGTACAACCAGACTTGGACTTTGGTTTCTTTCTTTCCTTTCTTTTTTTGGATATTGTCTTGGTTTTTTGTCCCGGATTCAAGGTTACCTAGTTCGTGATCCATCGTTCCATTACTAGTAATTACCGAGTTACACTAGAATTGGCACGTTGTCAAATCGCAGCCACTCCTTGCAGTGGAATGCCCTTGCTCCCGTCAGACGCAGTGGATCCTGACTAAGATGGTACTGGGCATCGCTATCGGTGTGGGATAGATGATTCGATCCAACCCAGGGCCTTATGTCTGTTGATATAGGCTTATTTAGATGGTGTGTCTGCCATTGGTGGGACTGAACCCATTCGTATCTCAGCCCAGTCATCATCATCCTTCTGAAGGCTGGAGATATTCCCAACGGGATGGCATTACCAGAACACGAGGATGTCGATAGTTGGAAGCAAGGACGTTGCTAGACTGTCCCAGCCAACTCAATCTCACACAGCTCACTGCAGCTTCAACCCCCCGACTCGATTTGATGTCCCTCTCACCGCCGTTCGTTCCCCGACCGTGGAGGCAAGCCCAGCACCCTTGAAGTTTCGTCACTCTGACCAAATCCTCTGGACAAGGGGCGCCGTATAGTGCAGTCACGCATACGCATTTGGCAAAGTGACCTCTGCTGACACCAGGACTCATTGGACGATGATGATGAATGCCCCAGGCAGGATGCCTAGGAAGGCATTCCCAGTCGTGTTTCCGTTATTGGATGGCTCTTATTTGCGGTATACTTAAGACAAGGCTGGGATACCTCAAGACGAATACCCACCTTTCATCTAATCAATTCCCTCAGCGGTCCGTACCTATGATCTTACACCAGCGTCACCTTTGTGATGTGCCCTGCAGGGATCCTGTTTTTTTTTTTTTTTTTTTTTTTTTTTCCAGTTTCCTGGGCTTTGCCCGAGTCATACAGTGGTACGAACAGGATCATTATGACATTGCCAATGCTTTTTGCCAAATCACTAAGACCCATGTAGACGGGTCTCTACAGATGCCTCGGAATAACAATAACTTGAAGAAACGTTGTGCGAGTGACGGTGCGACACACTTTACGGGCGGTGGCTTTGCCCTGATACATTTGTTGTACGATGAACAATAGGGTCTCCGTCACCCAACAATATCAACAGTAAGTAAGTCTGGACGAAGACAAACCTCGGTCGTGTGCGGGGGGGGGGGGGGGGATGCCAAGAGATGTTTTGTCGACTCCTGGTCTGAAGAGTGTATTCCAGAATAAGATGGTTTATTTGCCTCGTATAAACAATCTATAATCTGTTCAACCGTTTAGATCGGGTAATATCAGCGGGATGATATGATAGATACACCTATAATAGCCAAGTCCATCCATATGGCCAAGCATCCTGCAGGCAATAACACAGATTGGGTTAGTAGAGATCAGACAGCCTCGATCTCGCAGCCTATCAATGCAGGATTCCTACCTCAATGTTTGATCGGATACTAGTCCTCTATTAAATCTGAGTGTTTCCCTTGGCGCCGTACTCCAGCGCCAACGGGGCTCTGATCGGTTCCGTTGGCCCCATCGCAGCGCTTACATGACACATCTTGCCGACATGGTCTTCAACAAACAACCAGCTTGCCTGCCCCAGAGTAGTACTACCGGATTGTAGTAATAAGTAAGAGGTAAGGCACCTCGGGTCCTGGCGAGCGTCAATCAAGAATCTCCGTCCAATCGCAAACCTCGCTGTCCCCCCGCCTCGCCGGTTTCGCAACACGCCGGGGCTCCGCTGGGCTCAACCGAGCAGATGTGCCAGTAAGCGCCACTGCAATATGGAGCGAGATGTCATGCAGACGGAAGGCTCCTGGCAGACAGCTTGAGATCCCAGCATCGTCAATCTGCTGCAGCAGCGCGCCCTATCAGGGACGACTCCGCGGGGCGATCTTTCTCAGGAAAGTCTCCTCCCCGTGCTTGATCGCATGGGGTGGAGAAATAGCTCTCTACCTGTGACATATCAGGAAGCAGGACGCTTGAGGAATGACATGGGGTGATTGAGTGATTGGCTATTGTCTTCCGATTCAGGGATGCTGTCTGTCATTGAGGATCTATTTTTTAACACTCTGCCGCCGCAGAACCATGTGGTTTTGATTGATATCGGTTGTTGCTGCATTGAGCACCTATCATGTTGGGCGTCAATCACCCGCCCATGGCCTCTGCAGTGATCCCTTCATCTCGCTCAGGTTAGATCGTGAGGTAAGATATAATTATGTGAGATGGCCCGGTGCGCAGCGTTTGGTTTAAGACTGGCACGGTGTCTCTCGCTGAGTCGGAGAGTCTTATTCATTGTTCGGTTCGATTCTGTCACTCTTTCGCTTCCTTCCTTGTTTCCTTGTCCGCCTGGTCTGGCCTATTGTTCTCTTTGCTGTGATCGTCTCGAATCGTCCCAAGGCAGACAAAGAAAGATCAATGAGATTCGAACGGCCAGTAACCATCATGGATATTTAAATAGGTTTGTCTACTTCCTCGCTTTTGTCTATACTTCTTTCAATCCAGTTAATCCAGCTAACAGAGAAACAAGACGGTCTTTTCATTCAATACAATTCCGCTGGTCGGTTTATCTACTTCTACGTGCTATTCCACACTTCGTCCTAAAACGAAGAAACATCAATCATGCGCGGCTTCAACCTGAAAGGACTGCAACTGCTGCTCCTGTCCTTGACGCTCACGGGCACCAATGCACACTCCTGGGTCGAACAATTGACCGTCATCGCGCCCAACGGCACCTTCGTCGGCTCACCCGGCTACCCCCGAGGGAATGCACTCCGCACATCCGCAGACTACAGCGACAAGAGCATGACCTACCTCGCCACCGACAAACTATGCAAGGACACCCAGCAGACGCAGACGCAGACAGACAAAAGCCCCCGGCTGCAGGCCAGCCCCGGAGCCCCCATCGCCCTCCGCTACCAAGAGAACGGCCATGTGACGCTCCCCGACACCCAAAAGGGCAAGCCCAAGAACCGCGGCACGGTCTACGTCTACGGGACAACCAACCCCAAGGAGGGCGAGAAGCTCGCTGATGTCCACAAGGTCTGGAACCGCGACGGGACAGGAGGAGACAAGCGGGGCGTGTTGCTGTCGACGCAGGACTTCGACGACGGCCGCTGCTACCAGATCAACGGCAGCCCGATCTCCACCTCCCGCAAGGCTCGGTTCCCGCAACCCGCAGACCAGCTCATGGGCGCCGACCTGTGGTGTCAACATGATCTCGCCTTGCCTGCCAACGCCCCCTCGGGCAAGCCCTACACCCTCTACTGGGTCTGGGACTGGCCTACCGCCGCCGGGGCCGACCCCGGTCTCCCCGACGGCAAGCAGGAGATTTATACGACCTGCATGGACGTCGACGTGACGGGTGATCCCCAAACGAAGCAGCCGGCCAAATATACCTCGGACCAGCCGCTCAACAACGCGGCGATCCCCGCCCAGTTCGCACAGCTCATGGGGTCCTCTGGACCTTCCGGTACACCTTCTAAGTTAGCGGTTCGGATTTCGGGTTCACCCTCCCCCAGCCTCTCCAAACGGCCGCCGCCGCCATCCAAACGGCCGTCGCCGCCATCCGGAGGGTCGCCGCCGGTGCCATGCAAGCCATGCAAGCCGTTCCCGCCGATGCCATCCAAGTCGTCGCAGCTGATTCCATCCAAGTCGTCGCCGCCGATGCCATCCAAGTCGTCGCCGCCGATGCCATCCAAGTCGACGTCGCCGGTGCCATCCAAGTCGTCGTCCCAGGCGCCATCCAAGTCGTCCCCGCGCCCGCCGCCGGGAGCCACCGTGACCTCGTTTGTGACCTTGGTCCGGACGGCGTCTTCCAATGGATGTGCGCCAAGCGCGGCTCCTTGAGGATGCGTTGCCCGTGTGTATGCTTGGTGTAGATGGCTGACATTCTCATATTCACTCTTTACATTTCTTTACACTTCCTTTCATTCATTCGCTTCATTTCATTTCATTTCAACTTTGTTTTTGTTTTTGTTTTGTTTTGTTTTTCGGATGTTCGAAAATAGAGTGGTTGGGAGATCACCAATCTGGAACGTGACATGCATGCAGGCTAGACCAGCATGGGGGAAGGGAAGGCTGACTACTCGCATAGATGGATGGGGAGTATGTACGGTGTCTGCGGGGACTATTGCATTCTTCGGGATTCACTTGTCTGTCTCTCTTTCTTGTATTTCTTTCTGATTGGCGTACTGTATTTAGACATGCATTGAATTTATTCGGGAATGTTCCAGACTTGAGTCGATCTATATATATCATATTTAATATACTGTAGGAGACTGATTCAGGCACCAGCGCCTAGAAGGGCATAGCGCAAGGCACCAGAGTCTGAAACACGCTAGTCCGCAGCCGTGACATCACGTGCCATCGTACTCGCGCCAGAAATGAAAGCAAATGGAAACCAGATAGATACAATGAAATAGAGAATATAAAATACTATAATATCAAGAGTAAAACAACGCCGATTGGGAGAGAGAAAGAATGAAAGAGAAATCCAAAGACTGTTGTGGCAGACAACAGTCAATCTCTCTCCAGACTCGGTATAAAGTAATGAATCAACTGCAAGACCTCCACACTCCCCTCGGCGCCGTGCTGATCCTTAACGCTTTCGTGCTTGGAGTTGAACGAGTCAGACCTCTTTCTCTTCTCTCTCTTTCTCTTATTCTTCCTTCTCTCTCTCTTCTTTACCTCGTGTGTGATACTCTACTGCATCCACTGTCTCGGCTCCCTACCCTACTCCCGTACCCTATTTCTTAATCTCGACTACCCACTTGCCGACAACGGACTCCAACCATCTGTGACGGTTAGTCTGTTACCCACCTCCATTCATTCCCCTTTGCATTTGCATCTGGTCGGAATTGAATTGTTGCTCCTGGTCCTTTCCTGTCGGTCCTTACCTCCACTTCTCTTCCCTTCTTCCCCCCCCTTTCTCCTTCATTCCCGTTGGTCTTTTTTACCCTTTTTCTTTTCCCTTTCGAATCCCCGCCCATGCGGAAACTCGCCTTTGCTAATCAACAGTGGCGCTTTTGCACCAGCTGCTAAATTTAGAACCCCTCTCTCCTCCTCCTCATCTCCTCTGCCTTCTCCTCCCCCTCCCATCTGGTCTTCGAAACAAAAACCCTTGGGATCCGTGACGCGCGGGGCGACCTCATTGATTCTTCACCACCCCCCTCTACAACACCCCGTCACTCGGCCGTCATTGGACATTGTCTTTCACCTTATATTTTTTTTTCCTTTCTTGTTGTTCTTCTCTTCTTGATTTATCTATTTTTTTCTCTCTTTTTTTTTTTTATCTATTCCGATTGTCTATTGCCGATCCCGATCCCGATTCGCACTCGGAGAATTCTCTTGTGATCCATCGATTGTGTGGAAGGCCGGTCCCTGTTTTCCCCAGATCTTGCAGTGCGCCGTCTACAATCACCCTGTACCTGTGTGAGGTTGTCGATCATTGCAGGTCGATTCGACACTCCCCATTGAGACCATCGAGTCTCCCGGAACGAAGATCGCGCCCTGTTCTCGGCGCAAACCCCTCCGACGGACGGCCCCCAATACTCGAGTCGTGCGTCGCACGCAAGGAGCTCAACCAAACCCATCCCCTCCATCCCTCGGTTCCGAGAAGATTGGAATTGGAATTGTCTTGCAGATCGCTGTTCGGTGACGGCGCGCCTTCTCTCTCTCCTGGGCTCTTTTGTCGGTGGGCGGTCGCAATGCCAAACTAGGGCGTCCACGTTCCTGACCTTGACACCTCACCAACACCCCCTCGACCGGGCGTTCTGCTCAAACCCTTGATAGACAATCTTTTCTGCGTTCGGATCTCTCCACACGGCACGACGAATGGCCACCATGACGTCCACAACTTCGCCACAGCAGACGGCCCCCTCGCCAAGCTTGTCCGTCCTCCCTCAGTTAAACACGGATGCAAACGCGAAGCGGCAAAGTCGCCATCGATCGTCCTCCATGTCCAAGGATCGTCTCTCCACGCACTCGAACATCTCAATTACGTCCCAAACCCGCTCGCGCCCAGGGTCGCACGTGTTTCCCATCTTCCATTCCAGCTTGTCGTACGCTCTGGTTCGCGATTTCGCATACCCGCCGATTCACCCTCTCCACTACGGCCCCCTGCCCCTGCGGGCGTCGGCCGTGTCCACCCCCGTCAGCGAGCAACGGCGTCTGTCGGATCCTCCGGCTCCGTGGGACAGCTCCCGTGGCCAGTGGTCCACGGGACCGTGGAGCACAGACCACAGTTATGGACATCAGCAATTGCCCGCCATGTCCTTCGGGGACGGTCCGCCATACAGTGAGGATGAGGATCTGCACAGTCCGGTCTTTTCCACGCCCCGTCATCGGAAGAACAAATCCACCGGAACCGATCTCAACGGAAGGAGGGGCCGGAGCCCCGCCGGGCGCGGACCGACCTCGATGAGCTTCGCAGTGAGAGCGGACCGTGGAACGTTCGTCGGGATGAACTCGGACGGCACTGAAACATACTATGTCAACGACGACGACCTGGCGGACGATGGGCCCGGGGGCGAGTTCGTCACCTACCCGTCCAACGGACACAGCTATGCCCTGTCGGGAGCCCCGGGCGGCTACCCGGGGTATGAGCGGGAGGCCGGCTTCGAGTCCGGGGAGGACTTCACGGACCACCGGTATTCGCGGGACTTTCAGTTCGCCGTTGGCTGCCCAGACGAGGAAATGCACGGCAAGGCCGTCGCCCTGTTTGACTTTACGCGGGAGCACGAGAACGAGCTTCAACTGGTGGAAGGTCAGGTGATCTTCGTGTCCTACCGGCACGGTCAGGGCTGGCTCGTGGCCGAGGACCCCCAGACGGGCGAAAGCGGCTTGGTGCCGGAGGAATTCGTCCGGCTTCTCCGCGACATCGAAGGCGGGTTGACGTCGTTGAACGGCGACCTGGAGATGGAAGGCGCGGACAGCGCGTCCCTGAGCCCGGAATCCGATTCACAGCAGGAGAGCACGCCGACTGATAACAGTCGCACCCATCAGTTCCCCGTAGCGTCGGATAAAGAGACCACCAACGGCAATGGAAACACGAACGGGGGCGAGGCTTCTGCCGGACATTCTGGCAAGAATGCAGACGCTGGTAATCAACCAGCCACGAAGGCATGATCTTTGAATAGTCTGTCTCAGCAATGATCCTTTTACTCGTCACCATAGTACAGCATTCACCTCATTTATTCATCCAGAAGGATATTGGATCAATCCGACGGATGTTAACACAACCCCTCCCCTTCCCCCTCCCCCTTTCCCTTCTCCCTTTTCCCATTTTGCCTTATCCCTTTTTCTTTTTGTTTTCTTTCTGTTCTTCTCCCTGTTCAGTTCCCAGGCTGGAACTTCCTCTCTACCTTACCCTCTTTTTTTTCTTTTTACCTACGAAACAAAGCCTACTCTTTTACGGATGACGAGGCCGATCTTCTCCACCCTGATCAGCCAGCTATGATGGATGGGTAGGGATTTTACGTCATTTCTTTTACTTTTACTTTCTTTACTTTCTGCATTGACTGGTATGATAGAATCTACATTGTGGATGGATGGGATATCTTGGAATTTGTGAGAATTGGAATGGAAGGAAGAAACGGGCTCGGTCTACTTTGAAAGGTGATGAGAAAGAAAAAACAAAAGAAAGAAAGAGAATGGCAAATGACGGATGAAAGAAAAGAAAGCAAAAGAAGCGAATACCAGCGCGCCCCTTCCCTCATCTGTGAAGAAGGGGGAGGCGGGGGGAGTAGTCTGATATTGTTCCCTCTCAGTGTGTCTGTCTTATCTGTCTGTCTGTACATATGGTCTTTTTCTTTTTTGTGTGTGTTCTTTAGTACCCCCATTTTCAGCGTCGGCGTCGCATCAATGCATTAGCATTAGAAATTTATACCATTTGGACTCTTATTTTGATTCTTTTTTCCTTTTATTCTTTTTTACCCTTGTGGGTTTTGATATTTGTCTGTCTTGTCTGTCTGTCTTCTACTACCTACCTACCTACCTACTCTATAGCTATAACTACAGCTACAACAGCAGAATACCCAAAGTACAGACAGACTGACTGACTGACAACGTCCATGATACCGAAAAGAAGACACTCCTATAGGAGTCATTATTCACCTACATATCAGGTACTTACGTCAGTATAGATCATACAAATAAGTTTTCTCTTGCTCTGTCCGTGCAACTATGAGTATGATTAGTATTATACAAAGAGGAAAGCGAGAGAGAGAGAGAAGATATCAAATATCGAAGAGAAGAAAGGCCTATGGGATAGAATAGGTGAAAGAAGATAAGATGATATTTTAATAATAAGAAAGCAAATACTAAATGACAAAAAAGATAATAAAAAGTAATTAAGAAGAAGTAAAAGAATTGGGCGCTGCTAGTATAGATCCGTATCTCCTAATGTAGAAAAAGTAGACAATAATGGAATCTTTTAATAATCTGAATCGCACTAAAACAGTAAGGTACCAACGGTGTAATAGGTGTGGTAGGTGTGGATGTACTCCGTAGAGACATAGGACGAAGAAATAAATAGATTGGTGAAAGAAAGAAAGAAAGAAAGAAAGAAAGAAAGAAAAAATATAACCCAAAACCCCACAAACAGCAAACAAAATACGGAGGAACGAAGAATGAACACAACCTATATCTACTAACCCAGCAAATCGTCCATGCCCGAGCTGCCAGTCGTCTTCGGCTGAGAGGAACCAGTCTGAGCCCGAGGCGACGGGGACGCCGCGTTGGAAGGAGCAGCGCCCCAGATACCGGCGCTGGCTTTCTCCTTGGCCATGCTGGCGAGGTTGGGGCCCTTGTTGACGGACGAGGACTTCTGGATGCCTGCGCTGGCACTGGCGGTGGACCAGAGCGAGCCGAAGGCGTCGCCGCCGGAGGGCTTGTTGGCCGGGGCGGGCTTGTTGGCGGCGGCGCCTGAGGAGGTAGTGGTGGTCGCGGAGGTGAAGGACGAGGTGGAGGGCATGTTGGGTCGGTGGCCGGACACACCACCTGCGGGGGCTTGGGAGCTGTTGGTGGAGATGGAGGTGAAGTAGTTGGGGGTCGCGGCTTGGAAGCCGGCTGGCTTGAGCGGCTGGGTCTTCTGCTGGGGGATCGCCGAGGTTTGCGACAGGGCTGGGGAGGCGATGGAGCTGGACGGAGGCGTGGGCGTCATCGATTGGAATCCGACCAGGCCGTTGAGGTTCGACTCCTGCGTGCCTGAGACGGGTTTCGGGGCGGCGAACTGCGTGCTGGAGGTTGTGCTGACGGTCGACGCGGGGATGCCGAACTGGTTGGATGAAGCTGGCGCGGGGGCCGGCGCCGGGGTAGCGGACTGGAAGTCGTCGAAGTCGTCGTCGTCCATCGGTTTCGAGTCGAGGATGTCCAGGCCGTTGCCGCCGCTGGCGGGCTGCTTGCCTGCCGCGGTGGACGTCGTCGTGGTGACTTCGTCGTCGCCGAAATCGAACAGGTCGGCTTCGGGCTCCTTGGGGGCCGGGGCCGGCGCTTGCTTGGCCTCGCGCCGGGCACGGGGAGGACTCGATCCACGCCGCAGCGGGGGGGTAGCATCGGCCTCGTCGTACTCGTCGTACTCGTCGAACCGGTTGCCCCGCCGTCCGGTATCTTGGAAGTCGCCGGTGCTGCCGCCAAACCCGCCGCCGTCACCGAAAACGCCGCCACTGTATCCGCCATAGCCAATGCTATCGCTTCCGAACCCAGAGTATCTGCCACCGGACCCCGTCATGCCGCCGCCGCCGCCGCCGCCGCTGCCGATGCCCGACCCGATGCCCGATCCACCCTCGAAACCTCTGAATTTATTGCGGTTGGCGCGGGCCTTCTTCCGCTCGGACCGGATCAATTCAACGTCTCCCAGCAATTTGACCAGCTCCGACGAGCGATTGCGCACGTTGATACCCTGATCCTTGCCGTTCTGGTCGATAAAGTGGAACTGGCGAAGCATTCGGAGGAGGGACATGTGGGATCGGGCGTCGTCGACGACACGCTCGGAGCCGTTCTTGACGAGGAATTCTAAAAGTTGGAGGCCCTGTATCGCGAAAGTACCCTCGTAAGCCCCTAGTCTTATGATTCCATCCACGATAACGGAAAGCCGGGCGCACAGGGGCATACCTTGTAAATCTGTCGCCACTCCTCCGCACTCTTATCGGTGAACCGTCTGTAGATCATGGGCATGATCTCATTCAGGAGCTGGCTGTTATTAAATACATAAGCATTGGTCCTTCGAGGAAAGAAAAGGGTAAGGTATGTATGGGCCTGGAAATCGAGTCGGGAGATTCAGGGTCGGGGGCACTGACTAGCTATGAGTACCATTGGAAATCTCCTGCATTAAAGACGAAGAAGCGCCCCACGGTTCATTGTTCGTAGCTTCGCGGACCTAGACAGGTAAGTGACGTGCGCGTGGAGGGACAGAAGGGAGGTTGTCTCGAGGCGAGTTCATGACCGGTCCTGGTCGGGAGGCAAACCAACCTTGGACTCCATCTCGGTATAATTCATAACAGCTAGACACCATTAATCCAATGAACCAGGCCCGGAACCACCAGGTCGTAGTGACCGTGCTGGCGTCGAAGTATAAGAGCTCACCATTCTGTACTTTGCGGACACCCGCTTTCAGGTCATACATGGTCATGTTGCTGACCTGCTCCTTGAGGTTGGACAAATCCATGGCGCAATCGGGGTTGACGCGGTGGTCAAGCAAGAAACTAATATCCAGGCGACAGCTCCGAAGAGAGATATATCGATTGGGGGGGGGAGGACGAGACGAGACGGGGTGGAGGAGGGAGTCTGAAGGGAGAGAGGAAGATGTGACGGGCGGATGATCAAGGTGGCATCGCATGGATTAGTAGTGTTATTGTTCTCCACTGCCGGTCCGTTTGGGCTAGCCCCAGTTCGGCCGCAATTGGGCCTCAACGAGGTCGGATCACGTGGCAGCCCCTGAACTCTACACTCTACACTCTACGCTCTACATACTATAGGACAAGATCTACGGAAATACCATTCATAGCCGATGACCATTCGTCGGGAATATCCACTATTTCATAGAAACATACATGCATAGAATCGTCTAAATCATCGAGTACCGATGTGGGTTGCAGGGTACTCATCGTGCCAGAAAAGAAAGTAACAGGAAAAACCGAATCAATGGGGGAATCAGATCAACAGGAGCATAGAACAAAACGGTGAGAATCCAGGAGATGGCGAGCACATTTTTCGTAACTCGATAGGCCATCAACGGAGGGGATATCATAGGGTAAGTGACAGGATAACGTTCAGTGGGTGAAATGGGATGCAGAAAATAGCGATGGGAAGTGAAAGGAACACAGAAAGAAGACGGAGGAGAGGAAGACGCAAAGGGGTATGTAAGACTAGAGATGCAAGACATGGGCCATCATTCGTTGTAAAACTTCCTCATAATCAGATGCAAGAAGAGGTTCACGTTGACTCGGAGCTGTCCGTCAAAAAAGTCCAGGAACTGCGTATTGTTGAACTGGGCCTGCAACAGGTCATCCAGCGGTACCTGCGCGCTCGCTCCCGGAATCATCATCGGACCACTGCTTCCGTCGATGGTAAAGACACCCACTTCGTTACTCGAGATGGTCAGGTCGACGCGGTCCCACTGGCGTTCCGTGTAGCCCTTCCAGTGCACGAGAACCCCCTTGTCGGCGAGGTTGCGTGCCGAATACTTGTAAGAGCCGAATTTGAACACCTTGCCGGATTTCTGGAGCTCGCGCTGGTGGTCCCACTGCTTGGTGAACGGCATGAGGAACCTCTTCTTGCCCTTCTTGTTCTGAAGCGTGATCATCGCTTGCTCGATGTAGTCGTTGTACGTCTTGAGCTGCTGCTCTAGATAGCCTGCTTGGTCGTTCAGCCGTCCGAGGGTCAGGCTAGCGCCTTCTAATTCTCGCTCGCGCTGGATTCTGCGACGGTGCTTCGTTCGGATGTCGATGGCGATGGCGTTCAGGAGATCCTGGTAGTGGTTGTCTCGGCGGATCTTGCTGCACTGTTCGAGGTGGATGATGTTCTCAAGCGCGGTCCGCTTCAGCTCCGAATAACTCATAGAAGCAATGTCCACCAGCGAATTGGCCTCGGCGTATGGACTCTGGCGTGTGTTGTTCGCACTCAGCTCG